CGGTTTATAGGTTATAGGCTATTAATAGTCTATATCTTATAGCGAGGAGATAGTAGAAATAGCTCTAGAATTTTAATATAAAGACGGTACCTCTATTACTAACGAGGTTTTCTAGTATTCCCTATAGGGGTATAACCTTTTCGTAAAATAAGGTTACGAGTTCTAGCGAGTCTACGTTCTTAGTATAGGAAATATAGAGGGAATATTTTAAAAATAGATCGACTATAACTATAATTACGTCGTAGGCCTTCCCCTCCTATTTTAAGGGTAGTAGGCCTATAATAAAGTCTACGCTTATCCACTAGCCTAGTCTCTTTAGTACTAGTAGTAGTTCGAGTAGTCTATATAGCTTATAGTGTTTAATAGTATTAGACTAGTAAATCTAGTATATAAGGACGTAGTCCTATATATCCTTAATAAGGGTTTTCCACTAGTATTTACGTCTAATAGCCTATAGCGTTCTCTTCCTTATATAATAGCCTACCTATAGATCGTCGTAATAGATCCTTATAATTTCCTAGTAGATTATAGGTTCGCCTTCGGGAATATAGACGTAGTTATTATATCTTAGTAGTCTATCCTAGCTCCTTACGCTTTATCGTGTCTTCGGGGGTTATTTAAAGTCGCCGGTTTCCCGTACCCTTCTAAGTGTATTCCTATAGAACTTATTCTTCGCCTATATCTTAAGTATAAGTTCTACTATAGTTTCTAGCGGCTTATAGGTATATACGGTTTCTCCTTTAGCTACTTCGCGTATCTCCTTTCGACTCGGTAGTCTATTCGTCGCGGGCTTAGTAGGGATCTCTACGCGTACTATAGTTATTATAGCGCCTAGATATATCGTATTCTATAGATCCCTTTAGTAACTAGCGCCTTTACCGATAGTCTCTTTAAGTCTCTATATAAAAATATTACGACTTATAGCGTCCGGTAACTCGTCTACTATATAGTCGGGTCGTCTACTAGGAGCGTCTATAAGGTTCGTTTTCCCTAGGCGGAATATAATAACGAAGTTAAAACCTACGAGGTATTCTACCTAGCGTACCTAACGTCTCGTAAGCTCCTTAGTCGTTATAAATTAGACGAGATTAGCGTAATCCGTTATTACTACGATTAGGTACTTATTTCCTTCGAGGAAGTAGCGCTATTCCTTAAACCCCGTAAAGATTACTAGTATTTCCTAGTCGCCGACCTAGTAATTTCTCTCTACTACTAGTATCTTCCGGGAGTAAAAGGTGATAGGGTACTAATATTTATCTTTATAGAGCTATAATATAATTACGTAGATAGCGACTCCTAACGTATCTATTTCTATTATAGTTTTTAGCGTAGCGTCAAAGTATATAAGTATTAGCGTAGTCTAGAAAGCGGTCTTAGTCCTTTTAAAAGCTTCTCGCGCTTCTTCCGTAAAGACGAACCCTTCTTAGCGCTTATTTCTTCCTTTCTTTTATACGTCTAGCCCCTTAATTAGATCGTTAAGGGGGGCGCTAATTATCGACTATTTCCTAATAAAATATCGGTAGAAGTTAGCGAAGCCTACGAACTACTATATATCGAAGATATAGGTCGGCTCTAGCTACTAGTTTATCGTTTCTACTTAGGTAGGGTCTATAGTGACTCCGTAGCGGGAGACGATAAAGCCTAAGAAGTCGACCCTCTCTACGTAGAACGTATACTTACTAGGTTTAATAAATAACCTCTACTTAATTAGGCGTTCTAGCACTTCTCGGACGTAGTATACGTAGGTCTCCTTATCCTTCGAGAAGATTAGTATATTATTAAGATACACTACTAGATAGACGTTAATAAGTCCTACTAAGGCTCTATTAACGTACGCCTAGAAGGTAGCGGGAGTATTCGCGAGTCTAAACGGCATTACTATATATTCGAAATATCCGTAGCGGTATCTAAACGCTATTTTCTACTTATCTCCCTATTTTATACGGATCCTATAGTAGGTATCTTATAGATCTAGTTTAGTATAGATCTATACTCCTAATAATCTTACTAGGGACTTATTAATTAGTGGTAGAGGGTAGCGGTTCTTAATAGTGATCGCGTTTAACCCTCTATAGTCTACGTAGAGTCTAAGCTTACCGTCTTTCTTCGGTATAAAGAGGATAGGTATACCCGATTAACTCTTTAAGTATCGGATCTAGCCTTTTTCGAGGTTCTCCTTAATATACTAGCGGAGGACTTCTAACTCCTTAGCGGATAGTGCGTATACTAGCCTCTAAGGGGGTATCTTACCTAGTATTAGCTCGATTACGTGATTATACTCTATATAGGTTAGAAGGGCTATAGTACCTTCTTTACTCGCTACGATAGCTAGATCTTAGTATTCTAGCGGGAGTTTAGTTAGGGGTTATACCGGATAGGGGGTCCTATCTAAGCTTTATATTGCCCCTAGTATCACTATAAACTCCCCGGTAACCTTATCGACGTCTAAGCGTAGCTCTCCGAGTATACTTTATAGTCTTACTTCTTTCTCGAAGTCTTCTAGCGGGAGGGTTTTAACCTCTAATAGGGCTATATTTCTATACGCCTACTTACTAGTTACCTAGTTAATATCCGGGTTTACTAGTCTAAGCTAATCTATTCCTAGGATTATATTATAGATCGTTATATCTACGGCTTCGTAGATTATTTTAATAACTCTACGGGTTCTATTCCGGTCTATTAGACTAAGCTATACTTCTCGGCTTCTATATAAAGGGATCTTACGCCTATCTATAGCTTCTACTAGGCGGGTATTTATTATATACGTCTCTTCTAGGTTCTCTTTTATCTATTTCTAGCTTACGAAGCTCTAGGTTACGCTACTATCTATTAGCGTCTTAGCTACCCCCGTCGGGGCTCTAGTCTTAATGTCTAATATTAGTACGTTATAGACGAGTGCTCGGTACACTCCCTTACGTTCTCCGAAGAGAACTATCCCTAACACTATAGGAGTCTATAGTATAGGGTTATCTATTTTTTTAACTTTTCCGCGGCTATAGCGTTTACTATAGCTTTCTTACGGTAGTCCTTTATATAGTAGCCCGGCTTACTATAGAAGTTATAGAATTTACTATCTCCGCTCTAGTCTTATTTAGACCCTACGGTAGCTTTTCTACCCTCTATAGTAGTCGTAGCTTATTATATAGGGAAGGCGCTATTTCCCTTAAAGGGTCTTCTACTAGATTCTTACGAGTCTATAGTATTTCTTAGCGCTATCTTCCTAGCCTCTCTAAAATATAATATCCTATCTAGTATTACTTTCTTAATTTAGTTATAGAAGGCTACCTAGTCGTCCTATTAATCTATAGCGGGGGCTATAAACCTCCTTACTTCGTCTTATACCTCCTTAACGACACCCGTCTCTAAATAGTCGATTCTTATCTATCTAGTCGGCGTATCTTTTAGGCGGTTATAGAGTCCGGTAAGCTTTAAGGCGTATTAGTATATATCCTAATACTTAGCTTACGTTATCTACTACTAGTTATATTTAGCTTCTCGCTATATCTTAATAGGGTCGGTAACCTAAGCGAGCGCCTATATTTCGAAGACTAACTAAGTAAACGTCGTACCTAGGTTATTCCTACGGTATTCTATCTATATTATATTAATCTTCGGCGCTAGGAACTCGGTCACTCGGTCTACTTTACGTACGTCGCTAGCGAACTAATCGGGGTATCTATTCTAGAAGGCTTCCTAGTTCGATTTAAAGAGATTATATTCGCCCGAACTCTCGGCTCTATACGTTATTATATTATAGGGTATATATAGTTCCCTCACTTCCTTCTAATAGGATAGGTAGCCTCCGGCACTTCCTTACGATATAATCGAGTTCGTACGGGTAATATCGGGTAGTTAGTAGATAGTTTAGCTAGTAGTACTACCTAGCGAACCCCGACGAATCTTAGATCTTTATATTCTCGTCTATAGGATTACTACGTTTTCTTCTTCGTCTTATAGCTCCGCGCGGATCCTATTTTTCTCCTTTACTAGAGCTAGACGTCTTTTAAGGGTCTCTAACTCTCGGAGTTCTACCTCCTTATCTACCTTAGTCGGGGTTATCGGATCCGGCGGGTTTCCTCCCTAAGGGTTATCGTCGACTCCCTATATCTCTACCTCTTCTAGTAGGGGTTATAGGGGTCCCGGGACATCGTTCGTTTCCGCGATTAGGGCTAAGGTTCCCCTTAGGCGGTCGCTCGTGCGTCGAGTTATCGATATTACGTATTTTAACGGTCTAGTTTAATTAAGATTTAGCGATTAGAATATTAGGACCGGCGTGCTAGCGGGTCCTAGTAGGTAATATAGAACTAGAGTGAAGGAATAGTAGGGTGCTAGTATATTTATAAACTAATCGCTAAAGAGCTAAGTTCCCCTAGCAGTCTCTATATAGATGACCTTTAGCGGGTCACGGGACTAGGTCACCTGACCCGGCAGGACTCAGTCTCCCTGGTGCGGTCTCTGGCGGGGGGTCATGCTACCCCTGCTAGGTCACGGGTTCTGGGTCACTGGACCAGGCGGGATCCAGCCTATGAGGCACTCTCCTAGTAGAGGGTCGTAACAGACGGCCGTAGGCCGTCGGATCGCTAGTAGGCTCCATCACCGCCGATCATCCATTGGCTCTAATGATCAATGGTATTTAATTATTTCCTTGCTAGCCTCTTATGCTACCCCTAACAGCCATGCTTTTAGGGTGGAAATGAAATAAGAGACACAAGTTTTGCTATATTTTGAAGGAATCATGTACAATGCGATGCCGAGCCTCCAGAAAAGCAGAGCGAGCAAGGGTAACACTTTAGAAATGGAATCATAACCAACAGAGTCATCAAACAACATGAAACGGCAGTCCTAGCCTCCGGCCAATCCTAAACATGGAATTGAGATGGATAGCGCTGAAGTCTCAATCAAGGCAAACGTACCACATCACCCGTGGTCCGGAGTTTACTCCTGAGTTATATATTTGTGGGATTTTGTTAACTCAGTTTTCAAATAAAGACAGAGGAGGATCAAAGATGCTCATCATCGCCCAACAACCACTGGAGATGGCGGTAGGACACTCGGCCTTGATCCTGCGGCTGACGGTGACCTGCTTGATAGGTCTCAGCGAACATCAGACCACGCTCATAGTGCTGAACACCCATCTGGCCTTGGGGGCCATCAAGATCCTCATAATTCTCTTGGGCATCAAAGACTGAGGCATATTGCAGATCGGGCATGTCGATACGAATGGGAGCATTGGGACGAGACTGGAAACCTAGCTCGCCATTCCAGGTCATGTTCTGAATTGCCACCAATGTTCCATTCGTGATGATCAGATAATCCCAATCTCCGTTCGAGATCAAAACCCGATTGGTGGCTTCGATGAGTCGCGGCAGGACATCCTCGGTGGGATTGGCAGACTCGTCGAATACCTGCTCTGGCCCTGGGTCTTCACTCACGAAGACGCTGTCGACGCTACAGAGCTCCCACTCGATATCTTCGGGGACGTGGAGAGCCCTTTTGACATCGGTGCGGTTGAAGTAGGTTGTAGGGGCTGGTTCGTAGGCAAGATCTGTGGGGAAGCCTAGGACATCCCACAAGAGTGGGCACGTTTGGCTGATCTTGTAGGGACTCCAACATGGGTTCATATTGAAAGCTTCGAAGTATATCATGTTGAAAATGTCGCACTCGGAATAGTCCATATACTTGGATGGCTGCACTCCAGAGGGCGGAAATGTGAAATACTCTTCAAAGTATGCCTCATAACCGCATTCTGAGTAGGTAGCTTGCAGATCCTCCATGAAAGATTGATTGAAATTGAATAATTCGGCATGTTGCTCAACGAATGGGTATGCGGGCAGTTCTGCCTGGATATAATCCCACTGGCCGATACACGCATCATACATGAGGGCTCCTAGCATCGATGAGAATTTGGGACCAAAATACTAAAACTTGGGGAAGCTTCCAGATCTTACCGCTGACATTGAAGTGTTCGGTGTCGTTCTTGTCGAGCATAGCGCTGGAAATGTAGGGCACGTACCGGCCCGCATAACTTTCACCAGTCAAAAAAATTCGGAAGTTTTTGATGCCATAAATCTCTTGGAATGTTTCGAAAAATTCGATGAAATCCGCAGCTATCTCCTCATTGTTGATGGCAGTCGGTGTACCATTTGAAAATCCTGTACCAACCGGTTGATCGACCCTAGACACACCCAGGGCTCAGTCAGTTGATCAAGTAATGCGAAGCTGAGAACATGTATCCTGTCTCACAGATGACTTACCATAACATATTTGTCAAATTAACCCACGAGTACTCATTAATGACTGGCTCATAAGTGCCGGGTTGCCAGGTGAAGCGGCCGTTCTCCTGCAAAAATCCTTGCATTGAACTGCATCCCGGCCCTCCATTCAGCCAAATTGTGAGATCGTCGGTTGGCTCACCGATCTTAGGCTGGAAGATATAGAACAAGGAAGCGTCTTCCTTTGTGGGGATAAAGCCCGAGTACATTTCTCCCAAGTCGAAATGAACATCTGGTAGGCTTTCTACCACATGCGCTGTGGAAACATGGTACTTTGTCAACCGAGGTCCAAAGATTGAACGGGGTGAAACATACCTTTGGTCTTATTAGTTAGGAATCGGTAATTTGATGTGTCGATGGGCTCCCCTTCATGTGTATGATGGGAACCGCCTCGAGTTGGCTGCTTTGCTTCGCCGCCATTCATGAGCAGCGTGGAGGCCAGCACGGCTCCAGTGACAAATTGACCGAACATCCTGTTGATTTTGTTATAGACACACGTACGAATTCCAGCGTACGTGTAGCGTAGGGTTAGCTTTGCACAATCTCAATCAATCCTCGCGGTCAGAGTTGAGGAGTGGCTCCTTATATACCCCTGTGCGCTGTATATATCAGTTTTCAGTCCCATGGTATGACTATTGACACGATGTCGGGGGCTTCCTCTTTTTTTTTCCATCTTGTTCCTAATCTTCCAATGATAGCTCGATTTCCAGGGGATCCACTGTGCTAATGGATATTTACTGCTCAATCCAGATAGGCCCGGTCTAGGATATAGTGAAATTATGCAAGTGCAAGGAGCTGTTGCGACTTCTGTGGTAGGTCATAGATTGGAATGTCGATATCCATCAAAGCAAGCTCATCCTTCAATCCGATTTCGGAGCATGGATAGCTATTGCAGCCATAACAATGCAGGTCCACACAAAATGACAGGAAATTGGGAAGCAAAACCCACATAGCGAACACATACAATGTGCTAGAGCTGCGATCTTTCTTATCATTGGGAATTATGCGCACTAGTAGGACTCAGCCCCGTTCGAAAAAGAGTAACGATCGTCCAGGTCGGCCCCTGCTTTCCGACTTGCGAAGAAGGGGTCGTGCTCAAGTGCCATGACAGTCGGACTTGCTGCGCCTCGTTGAGACAGGTGTTTGCACGGTTTGCATGTTTACCATCTCTTCGAGGTTCGCTCTCTCTTCTTCAACCCATTCAGTTGCAACTGTTGATATTGGTGGCTATTTGCCCATCGCAGTCATAAGAATCCAATGCGAGCCGTATCATTCTTTTCCTGTTTCGTGACTATTGCCTCCAGCGAGCATACCGGATGAAAGCATTAATGCCACCGACAAGCAGCTCCGCCGCTATGTGGACCGCCAAGCCCAATCTTGGTCAGTTAGGATTTGTCTTGGCACAATTGAGCTTGTCTATACCTACGGCATACTCCGTACGGAGGACCAATTGAGAGAAGGAATGCCTCTCACCCTCAACTTCATGTTAACTCGAGAGGGAAGGAGTGGAGACGACTCGCTCGACCACTCACTCTTCGGGTGAACCGCAGTCCGACTGGGGGAATTTTACGAGATATGGTACATGAAGAAAATTCGCCATACAGATTGAACAATGAAGCAACTTGGCATTAGTCAGAAGCTCACGAAGTGTTGCGGCCACAGTACTTCGTAGAAGTTGCCCGTTAAGGATTTTCTCCCATGGAGTAACGGTTACATTGTGGTTAGGAGTGGATTTGAAGATTTACCGATCCCTGTCTAGTTCCGGAGAAATTGACTTGACTGGTGGTCATGGGGGACAAACCGGAAGCATGTGTTCGGCGTTTCGCTGGCTCTGATCCCGTTGCTCGGCAAAATGCCGCTCGGCGATTATCAAGACTGCACCGTTGACCCCATGGGGAAAATCAGATCTGGCATGAGGAGAATGCCATTAAGATCTAGGGCTATATGAGTCCATTGGGCTCGATGACCGTTCGCAGGTTACGGACTCATTCTTGCAATTACTTTGTGCAATATTTTGTACAATGGACCCAATTCCCAAGAGCGAGCACTTGAGAGTTGAGCAGCATGGCGCTGTGTTTGTGATAATCTTGCAAAACCCACCGCAAAATCGACTGACAATGCAGCTATGTCAGACGCTCGTTGAGACCTATCGATGGGTTGAGCGACAGCTTTCGCAAGGAAAGCAAAACCCTGCCGGCGCTGTGATCCTCCAGGGGACCGACGACAAATACTTTTCTACAGTACGCGGATTGATAATCTGCCAATAGCTATTTGACGATCGTTGGGCTAACTTGGTTGAAAGGGTTTGGATCTTGATGAAAGGGAAAAGAACCCATTTGCCAGTACGGATGGATTTTACCCAGTAAGAAAATATCTTCATATCGGCTTTCAGCCTAGCAGAGTCACTCATGTAGCTGACATCTAACTGTTATTAGCTTTTGCGCACGATTCTTGACTTTCCCTTTCCAACAATTTGCCTCATCAATGGGCACGCTTTTGGAGGGTCCGCGGTGCTTAGTCTAGCCCACGACTACCGAATCATGAATTCACAACGCGGGTTCTGGTCGATGCCGCCTGTTAATCTGGGTCTTCATTTCGACGGGATGGGGTCCTTACTTCGGGCCAAGCTCAGGCCTGAAGTGGCTCGGAGGGTGCTATCGGAAGCGCACAAATTTACTGGAAAGGAGGCGTTCGAGAATGGTATTGTCGATGCCATCGCAACGCCAGGGGAAATGCGCTCTTGTGCCTTAGCGTTGGCAGAAAGTGTCAAAGACAAGGCCAGGATGGGTGTATATGCGCTGCTGAGATCTGAGCTATATGGGGATGCACTCCGTTCCTTCCAAGGGATCAGCCATGTTCATAGTCGAGAAGTATCTAGACAGCCAAGGATGAAGCTATAGATAAATATTGAATGTTGATAGTTCCTTATCGCCCGTAAAAAGTCCCTTATTTTCATTTTCTTGGTTCATTCAATATCCTATTACTTGTCCGTTTCAATCGAGCATACGGAAGTTTCGTGCTGCCAAAGGATGGAATGTTCCTCTCACACATCAGATACGCACTTCCTCTAAATACTGGCTGATGAAATCTTCGGTTGATCCGACTATGTTTCGAGATTACCAGTGATTGCGTTGTCGCATTTTATCTTATGGGAGATAGTTCCAATCCGACAGACAAGTCATAATAATTTCTAGACGAAGTCTCATTTATTATGAGAAAATCGATACTTATCTCTCCTTTTAAGTCTGAGCTTGAAGGGAGCAATCGATTGGAGTTCTCTTCCAGTGTCCAATTGTGTCACTTCAATCTACAAACAAATTAAACCTTCGACCTCCGGAATGCCCATGTCTGGATTCCAGGATGTCCACCAGTAGGAAACAATTCCTTCTTTAGCAGTCTTTTGACTACTTTACCCGTTGAGCTCTTCGGAAGTTCAGAGACGACGCGTAGTATAGTAGGCATCTTGTATCCTGCCAAACGCTCGCGAAGGTCCATCCGCAATTTCTCAAGCGTCAGTGGGGGAACCTATAATTGAGATTAGCTGATTGAGAATCCATGACTTTGACAATATTTCATGACTTACGCCGTCTCTAAGGACGATTGCCGCAGCCACTCTTTGTCCAAACTCTTCATCCTCGGCTCCGACTACCATGACTTCGCTGATATATGGCATATTGAGAATTTCACGTTCAATGTCAAGGGCTGAGATCTTGTATCCGCCCGATTTGATAACTAGTTCGGTCAACGTGTAATCTTGAAGGATGTCAGAGGTGAATGGTACGTACTGTCGATGGATGCCCGGCCAAGAATGAAGTAATAGTCGCCTTCCTTTCTGGCAATATCGCCCGTCCTGTAAAATCCATTCGGTGTAAATGCTGCTGCGGTAGCTTCCGAATCATACATGTATCTAGCAACTGTCAGGATTCAATGGATCCGGCGAAGGACACGCACAGGTTATACATACTCTGTGAACATGTGTGGGCTCTTGACCAAGATTTCGCCTTCGTCCCCATTCGAGAGTTTCACTTCCAATCCAAAGAAGACTTTGCCCACCGATCCCTGGACACACATTAGCTCACGCTTCATTGTGGGGATGGAATCTGTCGGGACTCACATCCGGGTTTTCAGAATCCCCTGGTCTCACACTGAAGACACTACTAAACTCAGTGGCGCCATACCGTTCCAAGATCCGTTTCCCGTTCAGCAATTTAGACCATTTCATCTGCAGAGAAAATGGAAGAGCGGAGGTTCCACACATCATCAAACGGAAAGCACTGGCAGCCTGAACATATGACCGAGCCTGGGGACCTTTAGACAAAACTTCTTCGAAATGTCTCATCAACCGCATGTACATAGTTGGTACACCAGAGAATACGGTGAGCCCACCCTTCCTCCATCGATCCCAAATTTCTGCAGCATTGAATCCAGACGATTGGAATTCGATAGTAGCCCCTGCTAACAGGAACGGCATGAAGGTGATACCGATTCCGGTCGCATGATGCACCGGTAGAGTATGGAGAACGACGTCGTCTTCCTTGAGCCCGTACCAGTCAGCAATGGCCTTGGCATTCATATCGATGAATGATCGTCGCTTGACGGCGCATTTGGGTGGTCCGCTTGTACCGGAGGTGAAAATAGCCAATCCATCACCGTTGTAGTCAAGGTAGTGATCCGAGGAAACGACAATCCGGTCATGAGGAATAAGCTTTTTGCAGATTTCGGGCCGAATGCTTAGCGAAACAAAGCTCGGATCGCGTGTTGTGTGGATGGTCTGGGCGAGACGTTGTCCGAACTCCGCATATTTCGAAGAACACAGCAGTGCAACTGACTGGCAGGTGTTGGCAAAATATAAGGCTTCCTCCAAAGGGACCGCGGTAGCTATGGATGAGCTGGTTAATAACTATCTTTGAAATAAGGCGTCGGAAAGGGTATCTCACAAATTGGTACAAGGACTGCACCCAGAGCCACGGTGGCTAGGAAAGCCGTAGCAAACTCATAGCCTCCCGGTGCAAGCAGATTGATACACACTCTGTCTCCACGCAAAAGCTTAGCCTGAGTATCGGCGTCTAATCTATGAAAGATCGCGTTCCGAAGATGGAGTACATCCGACAGGAGTTGGCCGTAGGTTGCTTGGTGACCATAGGTGACATCGTTGATTGCAAGTGAGCTGCGATTGCCCGCCAGATATAAGAGTCGACTGAAAATTGGGAAGTTGGGAAGAATATTTTCTCCAATGTGCTGCGGCAATTTAGTACTAGCAGGCACAGGAGTCTCTGCATAAGTTGATATGGAGTTCATCGTGATGGTTGGGTGATAGAATGTCCCTCAGTTGTCGCAGGATATCACCAACAAATGTTACTCGTGTGCCTTCATTAAAGAGCAGATTCCCCAACCTTATCTGGCCTTGATCTCTAAATTCCATGCCTGCTGGAGTTGATCTAGTTCCGCGCAAGGGCCCCGGCGCAGTCATTGCCAGTTCGCCGAAAACGCCGAAACGCCATTTTTGGGGTATGTTGATCCGTTCATTCAGATGGTTCAGCGCCGTCGATAGCATCAGTACTTGATTCACTGCGATCTCGACTTTGGGAGGTATTTGCGGTGTCTCGGTGAAGTGGCACTCAAGAACGTGTGGTATAGTTTGAACAACACCACGGATAAACGTTACTGTATTCCTAGTGAACATACGCAGGTAAACTCTAAGGGAGTTACCAAGGTCTTCAATATCATGACTGTAAGCTGTTCTTGATTTTCTAGAACTGTGCCATTTCTGTGATAGCCTCAGACTACTGGGGGTGGTGTCGTTACTGAATCATTATTGCCACGGCCTGTACTCCACTCGAATAGTGAATACCTCATTGCTTTCTAGGTTCTCATTGTTTTCCATGAGCTATTTACCCTAAATGGTTTATTTGGAAATTTGGAACCTTTCCATTTTCAAACATCTTGATTCTTTCCGCACATACATGCCGAGATGTTGTTCATAAATTTCCCGCTGTCGTGGAAATATCAGCCGTCAAAGCCAAGTATCGAATCCCCTGGCTCCGTCCTCGCAACAGCCCCTCCGCGCTGCCGTTTAGGGGATTGCCAAGCTTTGTGGGGTAAACCCGTGCTCTGAGTCCATTGCGGGGGAGGATTCGCCGATCTAGTACTGCCCGGCGATTCGAGCTACTAGCTACATCCCCAATGAACAATATGCCCTATATATATCGAACGAATTCCTAGAATTCTCCTCACAGAAACACACATCTGACTGTCCTACCAAACGATGTTCAAAGTATTCTCTGAGCGGCGAAAAGCCATCGAGGCCGATGGAGTCTACATTGGCGGATTCAAACTTCGAAACTCCATGATTCCGGAGAAGAAGGCAGACGGTAGTTATAGTAAGACACTTTTCCTCTTTCGTACAGGACCTATCTTCTGATTGCATTCAGATACAACTGAGGACCGGATTGAACAATTCAACGCTGCCGAGCAGGACTGGACACCGCAGGAAGAAGCCAAGCTTTTGCGCAAGCTGGACCTGCGCGTTTTGCTACCATGTTGTATCATCTACTTCGTTGCGTACGTCTGCGTCCCCGATCACGCAGAACATATCTGGTACTGATACGAGTGCGTGAAGATACCTTGACCGAGTCAATCTGGGAAATGTCAAAGTCTTGAGATCCAACACACCGGATTCAATCAAGTCCTCACTACATCTAGAAGGCACCCAGTTCAATTGGGCTGTTTCCATTTCATACTTCTCCGTCACTGCGCTGCTCATCCCGTCAACGATTCTTTTCAAGAAGTTTTCGGCGAAACGATACTTCCCTATTATCATGGTCCTGTGTTAGTGTTCTTCGCGATTTGCTTTTGACTTGATTGAGTTAACGGTGTGCAGGGGGTACTGTTGTCATGGCCATTGCCGGCGTAAGATCGGGCCCTGGTCTACTCGCGGCAAGATTCTTCCTTGGTGTTCCCGAGTCCGGTGTTGGTGAGTATCTTCCACATTTCCTTTTCTCCGATGGACTCAGACTAATGGCTTTTATATAGTTCCTTGCTGCGTTTTGTACTTCAGCTTCTGGTATCGTCCACGAGAGCGAGCCTGGAGACTAGCTGTCTTCCATGCATTCAATGCCCTAGCGGGCGCCGTCTCGGCGTTCTTCGCAACTGCAATCGATCATGTCAGTTGAATCTCCTTTCATTTCGATGCATAACTGTTGACAAATATCCAAGCTCAATGGTAAAGGCGGCCTGAAATCATGGCAATGGGTCTTCATTATTGAGGGTGCTCTTCCGATCGCTCTTGCAGTGCCAGTGTATTTCCTCCTCCTAACCTTTCCCGAGGACTCCAAGGCTTTATCCGAAAGAGGTAAGATGTTTGCTCTTGATATTGGCTTTTCACGAGCTGACAGCATCACAGAACGATATATCGCAATCAATCGGTTCGGTCGCGGCGCCACTCGTTCAACAGACGTAACATGGGATACTTCGGCCTTTATTCGGATCATGACTCGGCCCTCTACTTACTGCTTCTTTATCTCCTATATTTGCGTAACGATCATCGCTGTGTCCCAAGCAACCTTCCTGCCTACCATTTTCCATGAAGTCAGTGCCGAAGATTTCCGTTGCTAATCGTATTCGCTAACTGATTTTGCAGTTGATGAACTTTTCCAGCACGAAATCTAACCTCTATACCGCCGTAGTCTATCTCGCCATTATCCCACTTTACTTAATCTGGTCACTGCACAGCGATTGGGTTAGAGAGCGCATGTGGCACTTCATTCTGCCATGTCTAGGCAGTATTCCCTGTTATGGTAAGATATCCCCAATGAAAATTTATTCTCTCGATGACAATCTAACAAACTTATCAGCGGTTTGGACATATTTCTCGTTCAACGCAGACGCCACAACTATCCAACCAATTAGTCTGTACGGAGTTGCCTTTATGGGCAAGGCAATTGTGATTTCACAGCCTATAATTCTCAGTTTCCGATCATCCACGTTGTACGGTGCTGCAGAGCAAGCAGTTGGCACTTCCGCTGCTGTTGCAAGCTTGTCGATTGCTAGCATCGTGGCTCCACAGGTAAGTCTTCCTTCCTTATGACTTTCTCTTAGCAAGAGCTAATTCCATGGAACAGATCTTTCCAGATAGTGACGGACCGCTCTACCAAAATGGGTTCGTTGCCTGTCTTGTCTTGGAAGTAGTCGCCATCTTGTCGTACTGCTGCATTCCCGTGCTTCTACTTCTAGAGGCAGAGAGACGAAAGAAGAAGACTGGACATGTTATGCCTCTGCGGGCGATTCTCGATGCCGAGAACGCACAGGTATCCGACGCTACTCTTGCCCGGATGCATGCGATACAAGAAAAGGAGGCGGCGGAGAACCTGCAGAACGCCAAGCTGAAAGGAGATAGCAGTGGAGCGCATGTGGAACATGTTGAGATGGGTCGGAAGTAGAGAGCACTCACTTAAGTTACTCACTCAGATCTAGGCCTGTGGGTATCCGGAGGCTTTATAGTCATAGCTCATAGTATAACGACATGGTGGAGAAAGGTATATCCGAAAGGACAACTCAATCACGAGATTCGGCATTCGGGACTCGGGATTCGGAGATAAAGCAATCTGACATTCTTAGAAACATAAATACGTTAAGTCGATCAATGAACGTAATTAATTCCCATGTTAATTTATGTACATAATTGTCAAGACGCACTCGCTTCAGAATCACACGGAGCCGTCGATAAAGGACCATCCAGGTCGAAATTGTTCAAGTCCAGGAAAAGATTGTAATTTGACGCGGTGACCCAGTCAAGCGACTCAGGGGTCAGCGCCACACTTTCATCCAACGTGTTTGCAGTGTCCGCAGTCTTTTCGCTATCTGGGAGGCAAAACCCTGGAGGAAATTGCATGGTTTCATTTAAATCATCACCTAAATGATTGTCGGTGTCTTGGCCATCGGATTCTTGAAGGCCACGTGATGTCTCAAGTTGCGCTGAAATAGAATTGTGCATGAAGATCACTTCAGTCAAGATATTGGCCGCCTGTTGTAATTTCTCCGAACATTTGCTGTGGAATTGTACTATGTTGAGCTTATCAACGTTCCCTCGATTGTGTCGCGAGATGTCTTCGAATTGCCCCAGGATGCTTGGCGGCATCATCTCCATCCACTGTGCCACTTCATTGTCCCCGCACTGTGAGAGCCCCTTATTAAGTCGTTGTTTCTTTTGTGAGGAGCAGTTCTGTGAATCTGTACCCTGGGGGTTGTTTTTCCTCTTCTGTGGAGCCCGCTCGGGTTGGGCAGTATTGCCTTCAGGATATATGGCGGAAGCGTCCGCGAGTAGAGCCGCGAGCGGATGGTCAATCTCAACCGCATCTGTACGGCAATTTGAGCTTCGAGTTCTTGGTTTCTGTCTCCTCCTCGGTGTAGCGACACATTCCTTTATGTCAAGTCTGCAATTGGTACAGGGTGTGTCATAATTGACCACGTCACAACGGACTTTGCGTTTGTGACATGCCTGACACGCCCACTTGGCCCGCTTTGGACGGAACGGTTCCGGGGGCTGTTGGGATTGTGTTGTTTCATTCCCGTCGACTAGTACTTGATCGGAAGTGTGGAAGTTGATTTCTGTTGTCATGATGTCGGGTGTTCTTTGCTTGTGATGGTCGGTAATCTGGGGAACCCCGCATATGGTCGGGGAGTATCCTTTATTCTTGAGATCTAAGCGCGTCGCTAGCGAGTGTACTCTTGGCGCGGGAATCGGCAGCCGACTGCCAGGTCGATCGAGCGGAATCGCCGAAACGCCGAGCGCTGAAGTGCGGGGAAATGGAGTCGAGCATGAAACTTTGTGCTGTGATTGGCCAGACCATCCCGTGCCTGATGCGTGGATCCGGGGTAACCCACGTGAGTATGGAGAACTTATGTACCATGGGCGGCATAATGGAGGATACCCCATGCCTCGGACGAGAGGATGGTGGAAGACTGTCGATATATGAATGTTTGTGGAAAGGAACTACGTGAATATCTGAGCAACCATCAATTAGTCCCCTGCACCTTTACGCTTCTCCCATATATGTTAGATATCGGGTAGAAGTTGTACATATGCTAGAAAAATATATTAGAAGTATTAATCCTCCAAAATTTCTATATATGAACAGCAAAGAGATTCTCCTTGTTCACAACTTTGACAAAATCATGCCACCATCATTCGACCCTTTGACAATTTCATCAGAGCGGTAATCATAGTTGAATGTAAGCTCGTTCAAGGGATTCAGACGATGGGCTCGATTGAACAGATCTTCATACACCTTGCCATCCGAGCGACCCAAGGCACTATAGAACTGTTAGCTAGCTCTGTTCAGGCCTGAACTGGAGGAGTATGATAAGTCTTACCTATCAAGTAAATAATCCGGAATAGACCATGCATCAACAAGACGGACCGCGTGAGGTCGGATTTGTTGCATAAGGTTAACGATTGTATCGGGGATCGCGTCGAGATCAGTATCCAAGACTGCACCAGCCCGAGCGAAGTCCCGAGTAGACTTGCCCATGGTGTATAGGGCGAATAGGCGGAAGTTAAGCCAAAGGACATCCCGAGTCTCGGATGGCAAGGTTGTATCAGCGGTAAGGCTGTCGAAAAAATTGTAGACCAAAACAAGCTCGGATTGAGCATGGCTTAGCTGGTGCATCTGAATCAATAGAGACTTCCAACTCCGCTTCTGGATTTGGTGGCAGTTGTGCGCCTCGAAACTCTGGATATTGAATTATTAGTCACTGTGACAGACACACGAGCGGGTAATACTACTTACGAGGAAGGCTGCGCGTCTCTCGAAAGCGAGAACCAAATCCCGATCATCGCCAAATAGATTCAACGGACTGAAGCCTGTAGCCTTAGACTTGTGGAAATCCAGCAAAACACTCTCGGTTCGATTGGATGGCACAAAGGTGGCGGATGAAGCAGAAACCACTGACACCTTCTTGATCAGGTAGCGAGCCATCTGCTGGGTGATCATCCAGTTATCACCCTCAACAGTAGGCTTTGACAGATAGTCCGCATTCAGCTGCACAAGGCCAGTTCCTCCACCATATCCGTGGCCACCCATCGATCGGCGGCAGGTCTCAATACCATTCGCAGCCAACTCGCTTGCTAGGCTCTTCAGACCAGAAGAAAGACTGTGAAGGTCGATGAGAGAAGACAGGTCGCCTCCATCAATATTCGATCGTGTGGCTTCATAAATTTGTCCCATGCGTTCGCCGGTGTAATGAAGAGCGTATGTGGTAGCAAGGAGAGGAAGAAGCCGGATTTGGACGGTTGGGTAATCCAAGACTGCTGTTTCGAGGGCCCCGGGAGATGTAGTCTCCTTGTCACGGAACTGTCGTCGGATCGAACAGTATCGAACGGCAACAGTCACGGCTCGTGCTAATGCGAGTCGTGCTGCCATAGTGATGCGCTTTCGAGCCTGAGCTATGGTAAGCAAACTTGAACTGGACATGCACAGATGCATGGTAGCACTCACATGAGTCATAGAGCCGTAAACCACTGCCGGGTTCTCAGGCTTGTGGTATTCCCCTGTTTTTGGGTCCACCTGACTGTAGCGACTGAGCATAGCATTGTGCGGGATACTTGTCAATGTTAGAGACTTCCATTTTTGATCATCGATCTGGTGACACCAAATGGAGGCTGGAGAGACAAACCGGAAGTTGTTGAAAAGCATATATGCATTATCCATAGAGGCATAACCATACTTCGGCCCGATATCCCCAATTACAATTCCGGGCAGCGGTTTGTGGGTTTCGGCATCCCGAACACGCGTTACAAACATGTGAACACCATAGTTCTTGTAGACAGTCTTGCCTTCGCTATCAACGGCGTCTGGTAGAAGTAGCTGCGCCGCAACAATCGAGTGTGTTGCAGTTCTACCCAGCGAGCCATTCCACCACTTGCTGGCTGTAAGAGTGGGAGAGTGGAGAACGAATTCTTTGGTCTTGGGATCCCAGCGAGCAGTCAATTCAATACCACTAACATTGCTTCCATGGCCGAGCTCAGTCTGCGCATATGCCCCGATAATCGTCCATGATTTGTGAAGATCGAGCCAATACTTCCGCTGCTCTGGGTTGGTTTGCTCAATAAGGGTTTGACGGAACATTGTTTGGTGCAATTGGTAGGGAGAGATGTCGTCAACGAGATACTTTGCCGCTTCATGATCTTCATCGGACCAGTTGTATTTGTCGGCCATCTGTCGCAAGCGTTTTGCACGCGCCAAACCAAGCATATATCGTTCTGGGCGACCGAGGTTCGCCTGTCTATCCTTCGAGAATAAAGGGTCTGGCTTGATTTGGGACAAGATTCGATCCTGGCGGGCGAGGAACTCATCTCCCAGTAAATGTTGAGCTAGGGAAATAATGTTGATGTTGGATCGGTCGCGCTCTGTTGCTATCGTTGTCGCGCCATCTGGGGCGGCGGGCTTTAGGTGATCAACCCAATCAGTGCTTTGGTCAGACATATTGAAGCGCAGAGGTAATTAGGAATGCGAAACAGTCATCAGCAGTAAACTGAAGTTCAGATTGCTCTTCTCCTCCCATAACCGGGCTGTCTGGCTGATATTATTGACCGTTCATGTCTCTTGCTGGTTTGCTGGTGGAATCACCGAAAGCGCCGGAATCGCCGGTGGGAGTTGAGCGTCGCAATATCTCCGGGTCATACTACACCGAGAACATATTCACTGTTCAACTTGGCTTTCCGACGACAAACATAGTTATCAATACGCCGAGAAGAGATACCCCGCTCTTCCTGGTCTGTTGACACGACGAAGAGCTGACCTTTCTGTCGGCACTCCAGACTAGGTACACTCGCCCAACACGCCCCACGTCACTTTTCCCAAGAAGATTCTGAGGTATCGACACGGGGTTTTGAGAGGCGATTTTTAAGCGTGTGACATTGGGCATCAGACGCTTTTCAATAGTTTCCTCAACGACATGCTAGGGGTTGTAAAAAGACAATGACATATTTTTGTTACAGTAGTTGGCAGAACCAAGGTGCTATCATATGAGTTTTTGGGTAGCTCTATATTGGCTCGTGAAAGAGAACACCAGGTATCTCACCCAGTAGCCAGCTCCCACTGGATTCAATTACCGGCCAATTCCAGATTGAACCATCATCCTCCAAACTACCAATGGTGTCCGGTTGTTCGAGTAGTGGTATTGGGTCATAAATATCCGTGGAAGGTATGTTGGGATTGAATTCAACCTGATTTTTAGATTGAATGCCCCGTGAATCTCGATCCTCTGGCTGCAACACCATGGCGGCACTACTCGACTGCCATTGAGTGTCCCCGAGGGAGTGCCTTTGTGGGACATTTGTGTCAAAATTTGGTTGGATCAGGTGCCACAATCGACATAGGTCAGGACCCATGGCGTGGAACAGGGAATACGCCTCGTGGTAACTGGGTAGAGGTGCAAGACTGGGTTTCCGGTCATGTACCGTCATCTTCTTGTTCGCATTCTGAAGAACCAGAATGTTATCATTTGCCGAGGGCCAGCGTGTGGCGAGTGCAGCCAGTGAAGAGTTAATTATTCCCGTCTGCTCTTCCACAACGTCGGATGGCGTAGACAAAAACGCTCGTGTATGTGCCTGCGCCATGCCAGCGGCGAAAGCGTAAAATTTGAACACCGGAGATTGGAAGCGGAACTCATCGCGAGCTAGGAACTCTTCAAATATACCGGCCAGGAATGAGGATGCAACTGCGGCGATGGTGATCGGAAACTCGGAGGTTGATTCAGAGCGATAGAGGATTGTCAGGATGACAAAATATGGAACATGTAGTGACCGTACGCGAAGGTTATATGAATTCAACTGCCCATTGCGTTCCTGATTGAAGAGGCGTAGATTGCTTGGCAATTCATTGACCCAACAATAGAGTGCATTTCGAATTTCTCGCCGCTTGGACATAGTAATTCTGTGCCGTAGATAACCCTCGGTCACTTCTCCGAGGATCAATGAGATATTCACATAAGCTGCAAATAGCGCTCCATTATGATGAAGATTGGTAACATCCCGAGGGGATGGCAAGGCAATGTCCGAATCAGCAAGGCTGATCGCTCTGGGTCGACCGTGAGCGGACGATAATTGACAATCGCGGGCCTGCATGGTTCCGTCAATAAATGGTTACCACGCAAAGCCCGAGGCTATCCCGAAATGCTTTGTGACTTACGACCAGTGTCCACCAAAGCCTCCGACGGTAACTCGAATTCTTTCCAATTGTGGATTCCCTATGAAGCCCAATTTGATAGGCCAGACTTACAGCAACGCGTAGCCAAAAGCCACTCCCATCGAGTGACACTTTATCGGGCCCGAGAGGATTCCACCAATTCAAGAGACAAGCTGCGGCAATCTTGATGACAGGATTAGTTTCATAGCTACTGAAGAATAAGGCCTTGGCGCGTCGATAATATGTTTCCGAGGAAGCAGAGATATGGGAAGCCGCTGCGACTCGACTTCCTGCAACGAATACACTTTGCAAGAGCAGTATTGACAGTTTGTTTGGCTGTTGTAGGTGCTTGCTGTCTAAAATAGGCATCCAAGGTGCACAGTAAGTCTCAAAACTGTCAATTAGCGACCGCTGCACCGCAGGCGGAGGCAGATCAAATGCTCGGTGAATATCAAGGACCGCTTTCTCTTCCTCAGTCAATCGAGGGCAGCTGCCAGAGTCTTGTACATTTGGAATCTCATTCGGTTGCGGCGCAGCCAATCCAAGGTATTCCGATCGTCCAAGATACCCCTGGCTCCCCGGTGTTTCCTTTTCGAAGGCCGCTGCATCGTCCGGTAAAGGTGAGTTTGCGGCACCTTCAGGCTGAACTGCGGTCGTAGTTATGAAAGTTGATGGCCTCTCTGGTTCCTGTCTACTGAATCCGGGGATTGAATCGTTTTCTAGCTGTATCAACTGTGATGGTCGCTCAGTTTGCAGATTAGCCGCATCGTATCGACGAATCAAATTATCTCCAATAGCCTTCGGTGTGCTCGGAGGTGGAACTGATCGTTTCCGCTTGCGTTGCCGTTGATGTGGTCTTATACGATCAATCAGTGCTTCCGATGCTGCAACGGCCCCAAAGACCTACGGTCAGAGGACTCACCGGCAGGTCGTGCCATTCATGCGGCAGTGCGAGCACGGATGCTCTCCAACCATATCGCAACGAATCTAACAATCTTCAGTCAAAGCGGATCACATATGTAAGACGAAGACCGTACCTTCTTTTCGTGACACATTTCACAGGCCCGCGAAGGACGACATTTCGGCGCGTTGGGCTGGTCCATCATCGCGATCCCTCTCATGTGCGTGTATCTGCTTTCGGACAATTCTCACCTTGCAGTTGGTGTTATAGAATGGTGGAAATGGGGATTTTGCAGAAGGCTCAGTTCTGCCGAGGCGACTGGGATTCCCCGCATCCCCAATTCCAAGCCTCTGGGGCCCCGCGCCCCCAGGATCCATACCGCCCTTACGTAAAGAGCTTATGATGACCTTATGTTGAGTTCGCGTGCTTGAATGAATACCAGTCGTCATATTATGTGGCATCTTCCATCTATCCGGAAAACGCAGCCCAAAGAGCTTAAGCAATGAAGATCACGATCAAGTTACGGTCAGTCGGTCAGTCATTCTTTGATGACTCTGGCAGGTGGGTTGCTTGGAGAATAGCGGTCTACATGAAGAGTTATCAGCATATGAAGCGTGGGGCTAGACAGCTGGCAGGAGGAATTTTGGAGCTGCTCCGTACTATCTGAAACGGACAGGGTTAGGCTTAGCCGCTCATAGACCTCCGCAATAGCCTTGGTTGGGCTTCGAAGGTAGGGCCCATAGCCCACTGCTGGTTGGGCTTTGCGGAGGTCTAGGGGTAAGTCTGGTCTCAAATTTCTTGTGCCATCTCCGCTGGCACGTTATGAAGCATCCACTAGGTGAAGTCACGCCTTACTTACATGGCCATGGCGGCCTCGATCGCCCTCAGCAGCATACGCATGCCATTCTGGGCTAACGTAGTTACGATATGCTCATTAACGAAAACATAAGCTCTCAGAGCGCTACGGCGCACTTAACGGAAGCCCAAATCAAACAATGAGAAGCCAGGGTACCAGAAAAGGCACTCAAACATTTAGGAAGAATTGCCGATAAATGAATCTGCAGGTGGAAGGCATCGGAATGTTGGGAGATGGATTGGGGCCCTGCTTAGTGTCCCATGGCAGCGGCAATGGCGGTACAAAGGTCTTCCCCTATGGTGCGGGAGACAAAGTTGACATCCTTCAATAAAGATGGTCAGTCAGTGAGCTATTTCATTCAGTGGAAAGTTGGATTCCATACCTCCCACGTCAGCTCCATCGCAATATTATAGATGATGAACCAGGTACAGTTCCTTCGTAGATGGCCGCGTCTACGGCAGAACCAGCAAACACGGCGTCGTCGGCGCTGAAGCAAAACCAATCATACGTCAGTAATTGAGCTGGTGTCAACAATATGGTGTCTTTCAGCCAAAATATATGACAAGGTATGTGGCACCAATCGATAGTGGGAAGATCCAGGGTATAAACTATCCTTGACTTAATCGGTGTCGGCTTCGATGACCCTGCTCGCGAGGATCCATCATTGAGAAAGTGTTTGAAGAAAGTTACCGGGAGATATGGGCTGTCGAAAGGAAGAAGAAAGCTTGGAAACAAGAGGAAGATGGGTTGGGAAGAGAGAAGAAGAAAAAGAGCAATCGGAGACAAAAGAGCTTTTATAGACAAACAAAATTATTCAAGGGGTTCAAGTGTACTTCCCCCCTTAAACCGATCACCATCCACTAGTATATTGTATTATAATCATCCTACTCTTAATATTAGATTATCTCGGCCTGAGGGCGAAGCTGTGAAGTGATAATCCAATACTTATTTATCTCTCAGTGATGAGTTTGTCATGAAGAGGATGTTGAACTTCGTCTTGGTGCGTACGTGAACCCACCTATGTTTAAGTAGTGCATGTGCAGTCACCTAGGATGGGCCAGCTTCGCTATCCCTTCAGTATGGTCGCGATACCGGGATCTCGTTATCAAGGACAGGCAATGGTGATGTTGATCGAAGAAAATCTTTCTCAAAGGAGGTGGACGGGGTAAAGAGGTGACAATAGGGAGTTGCACATTAGAAGGAAAAGCAGGAGTTGGAAAGAAGTATATTTTGGTGGCCAAACAAAACAAACAAACCTTCTCTTATATGCTATCTTGGAATATCACAACCTATCGTTCAGTATTGTTATATTGAATTCGCTCGATAGATCCTCCTGATCAGGACCGTATGGCGCTGAAGAGTATGGTTAGGAGAAAGACCCTGATGGATCTAATGAAATATCCTGTTTATATCTTCAGCTGAAGCCAATGAGGATGTAGCCCTGGCTTCTGGGGCCTGTGTTCTTATTCTAGGCCACTATGCTAAATCAAAGACAGGATGCATTTCCATACAAAATTGTGATAGAGTTGAGGACGAGGAAATGGTAAAGAAATTGACAAATTACTTTCCCTGATGGGAGTGAGGTGGGGATGGGATCTCCAAGCCGGAGGTCCAGGGTCAGGTTGGTGGTTTTGATAGGGATACTGCCGCACGGAGGGAGTATCTGCAGTTATTGCTAGCCTGGCGGTGCCGGGAGGACGGAGTTAGAATTAACATTAAGGTTGCTGCGGTTGATGGTGGGACGGTGCCGTCGTGCCTATGCCGCCGTTATAGCAGACCAGACAGGATTCTCGGGGACAAAGGCATAAGCCCCTGGCTCATTTCTGCGGCTACTGTCCACCTCACAATAAGAGCAACATGACGAGCTCCACGTAGGAGCAATTATGACAGCAACGATAGCCCGGTCCTGTCGTAAACTTTCATATGAGTCTTTATCGAAGAGAACTTTAAATTAGTCCACCCCACGATAGTAGTATTAGCCGGGCATTAAATTCCACGTGCCACGGTGGCGGAAATAGCGTCAGGAATATCTTGAGCGACAGAACGGGAGATAAAGTCCACGTCCTACGATATAAACCGTCAGTGACTGTGCCATTAAGAGTAGATTTTGATCTCAAACCTCTCGTGCAATCTCCACCGCGACGCTCCGAAGGATATACAGAGGGATGCCGTCTTAGGTGACCACGTCTGCCACAAACCCGGCATGGCCGGAGCCGTCGGATCTAAGGGGAAAGGGCCGAACTTTCGGCCGTTGATCTAGCATCGAGGAACTCATTCATTGTCGCTAACACATATCCAGAGGTATGTGGGACTGGTGGATGGGTCGAATCTGTGGGGTATCAATTATCTGTACCGTATGTGTTGCAATAGCCATTCCTCCAAAATCATAACCTCTGTAATGGGCGGCTGTGGCTGATCTAGCTACTGCGTCGAAACAGCTTGGTGGGTGCGTTCATAGGGTTGCCCGTTGGCCTGCCGACCTTGGCAGACCCAATTTGGGGCCCCAGGTTCAAAGCCCAACCCAGACTGGGTCGTGTGGAAGACTAAGGATGTCACAAGTCACGGGGATCAAAGAGAAAGAGTATCATTCAAGTTCAAAAGCAGTAGATATCAAAAGAACAACGCAAAATAGAACAAGAGCAAGTGAAGACCATGTCACAAAACCTAGATCTGCGTCAAAAGTAGCAGAATAATTTCTGCGACCATTTCGGGTGTTGCCTGGTGATTCTATTAAAGACTGTATTAGTGAATTCCTAGCTTAGTTCGACTGAAAAGAATGGTCTCAAACCTGGCGCATAATAGCCAGGGCAACGCCCCGCATGAAAAACTCCGGGCAGTGACGGCGCACATGCCCGAGGTTCCCGCAGTGCCAGCATCGCCTATTGCGTCGGTTCTAGCAAACGTGGTGGATTCTGTTAGTACTCGATTCTTGGTATCGCTAAGGGTGGTATGTCCATGGCTGGAGATGAGAATAAAGGGCGTGTGCGAGGGATTGCAGTCGTGAGCTTCCATATGGTAGTGAGTGAGTAAAACCGGTAGGTGGTACTTACATGACCTAGAGGGCTTTGGGGCGTCCAGGAATCACCAGAGCCACGGTTGGCACGGCTTCGTCCGTTTTCGCCGAACGCTTCGCCGTCGCGGCGCTGGAAAAAGTAAATGGTCAATGACTGAAGCTGCCACTAGTGGGAAGGGGCGGCACTTACGCTGCCCGGGTGACCTAGGGGTATCTGGGAATTGGCAGAGGCTCGCGTAGCCCGTCTTCCTTCATTTTGGCCGAAGCGGCGACCATCACGGCGCTGCCAAAAGGACATGTTGTAGGGGTTCAATCACCAATAGTCAGTTGGGATAGAAGTTGAAGGAGTTGGAAGTTGGGGGGTAAGCAGTTGAGGTGTCGGAGAGAGAAGAAGACAGGGAGGGAAGAAGGAAATGGGAGGATAGCAGAGTTTTGATGCGTACAAAATAACTAAGCCCAATGAGGGTTGTTATGAGTCGGCATGGATTATACAATGAGAGCTGCCTCATTAGGAAGTCATGGGATATAATCACAATTATAACATAATCACAAGCTACAAAGCACTCTCCGAGCTGGACTTCCCTTTCCGTGAGGTTGATAATGAATCCTGTCACTTACAGGAACGCTATCCCATCTAACCACATTGACAGCCAAGCCAGGGCACGAGCGGGTACAAGAGAGAGTAATTATTCGCACAGGCAGCTGCCTAAGACTTTTATGCCCCCGAGGTTACTCTTAGTTGCAGAGTAGCATAGCCCCATGGCAAGACGAACTCCGTACGATGACTGTAACTACTTCACTTGTTTTGAAAGAAGCTGATGTCGCCAGGGGGAGTTGCATGCTGAAGCTTGATAGTCGGGTCTGAGCCTATTCGAACGTCTCCATCGCTTGGTTTATATACTATGCTGGGCCTGTCGCTCGCCCAGAAGGGTTGGTCTCCTGAATAGCTCGCTGCCTTTTCACGCTAAGTAGAGGATCCTGGAGGCCGGGGCTAGTATGACATATTATGTAGAGATAATATCATGGTCTACTCGGGCTATGGCTTAGCCATAGCTAGAATGGATGTACAACGAAAGAAGAATTATTCATCGCTTGAATCCCCAGTCGTTGCAGCTCGATGACTGCCTAGGTAGTAAGATACTTGGGAGACTCCATGGCTCCAGTATGTCACAACCCACGGCGATTAAGAGACAGGGTATTGTTCAAAGTCAAAAAGACCGGAAATTGGAAGAAGGAAGCACCAAGCAAAAGCAGTTGTGGACCCTGACATGGCACCTAGAGCTGCCAGAGGAGCCGCAGAATAACGTCTGCGATCATACCCGGGGTGACGCCATGCTGCTGATAGAACCCGTATTAGCAAATCACAATCTTGACTATATTGAAAAGAATGGTCCCAAACCTCTCGCATCATTCTTGTGACAACCAGCTGGATAAAGAGATCTGGGCAATGGCGACGAACATGTCCACGTCGCCCACAGTGCCAGCAGACAGGTGCGCGTTGGTTCTAGGAAACGAAGTGAAGTCTGTTAGTTATCGATTCGTAGTCCCACTGAAGGTGTTATGTGCGTTTCTAGAGATGAGAGCAAAGGGCGTGCGTGAAGAACCGTAGTCAACGTTGGTTCTTATAGGCTAGCGAGGGCATGGAATGGATATGTGGTACTCACGCTACCTGGTAGGCGTCGGGGGGTCTGCAACTCGCTAGAGTAACGCGTAGTACGGTGTCTCTCGTTGTCTCTCAAGCCTTGGGCGTTGCGGCGCTAGAAGGACGATATGTTAAGTAGGTCATGCCGCTAGTAGTAAGGGATGGTCGTACTTACGCTACCCGCGGGCCCTGAAGGGGTCTCAGCATGATCAGAGGCACGCGTCGCGCTGGTTGCCTCATGTTGGCCCAAGTGTTGGGCGCCACGGCGCTGAGAAATAGGTATGCTGAATATGTGAGTTTCACCGTGTTAAAGGGTAGGAAAGAGGCGAGGAGTTGATGGGTCAAGGAGAGAAGAGATGAAGAAGGAAATGGGAGGATAGCAGGCCTTTCATAGATGAAAAAACAACTAAGCCTAATGAGGGTTCTTATGAGTCGACTTAAATCATTTAGTGAGAGTTGCCTCATTAGGAAGGAATGTTTGATAATCCCAATTACAAATAATCATAAGTGGTGAAACACACTCTCAGAGGGACCTTCCATAGACTTGGTCATGGTTCCTTCCACGGACAGGAACGGTATCCCATGTGGCCATATCGACAGCCAACCTAGGACGTGAGCGGGTACGAGCGAGAGTGATCATTCGGACATCTGCGCGACTAAGTATGCCACGTGGGATACAATCATCTCACGGGAAAATATTGCCTGGTTTTGTAGGGTATATGCCTGAACATCCCGCAGAATTGAGAATGCATCCTTCCACTGGGAGCGACGATGTCTCGCCGAACCATATCGACAGCCAAGGCATAGGTGGACACGAGCGAAACTGGAGATTGAGGCATGGAGCCCGCTGGGGCGTGATCTTTCCTGTCTTCGCGGGGGTCGAACGGTTGCTTGTCCACTAGTTGATAATTCACCAGGTTGTTCTGAGCTGCGAAACGGGACACCACGCCGACAAGACGCACTCCAGTCGGTAGCTGTCTCTAATTCATTTCGATACCAAAAGAGACGGACGTGCTCAGTGGATAGTCGGATGTTCAAGCTTGATCCTTGAGTATCGGGGCTTCGTTCGCCGAGGGTCTTGATAACCTGGTTTATATATTGGTCTCGGGTGGTACGATTCGTTAGAGTCTACTTTGAAGGCGCATTCAACTGCTCGCTTTCCTGCATCGATTCGCCTCAAAGCTTGAGATATAGATGAAATGCCGGAATGCGGTAATTCCAGGCTGTATGATGGGATTATAATCATTCGACTCAGGTCAGGACCCTTGGCGAACATTCTGTCAGCAAGCTTTTGTCTGGTTCTGCTCCAAAGGAGATGCTCAAACTTATCCCACAGTGCCTATTTCAAAACGGAATGTGGGCTCCGATGCGCACCTGTTATGATATACCCATCGTGGCGACAAGGATGACACAGAGAGATGGAGGGGTTTACTAAGCTATGCAATAATCACCAAGAATGCTGTCAGTCATTTGTTCCTGATAAAGGGAGGGATTCAGAATGAGATTTTGTAGACCCCACGTAAATATATAAATAGAGGTCCCCAGGCCCATCATGACCAAAGGCCATCAAAGTATACGATGGTCGTTGCGATCAGCACTGAAGGCTCTTGGATAGTAGGCAACATGACCCTCTAATGATAGGGGTAGCTTGGATTTAACGACCTCATCACAAGGAGATCAAGTTAAGTTTTGGGAAATTAGGACGCAGAGCAACATATAAAGGAGAAAATAAAGGGAAAAAGTAGCGGAGAAAAGTATGTAGCCTTTTATATGCGACAATCGTCCGGGTCCTGATGCCTGCTTCCTCAGGCCTCCAGGAGTCGCGACCAAGCAGTTTGTAATCTTCCAAGGTTTGCTTGTTTGGTGAAGATTAGGGCTAGGATTTCCTAGAGTTAAGAGTGATAGCAAATCCCTATTTGTTCTTCTCGTCCGTTGCCTTTATGGCATTTTCAAAAGCTTGCATTACGAACCGATAAATAACCATCAGGGCGAAATCAAAAATACTTGGAAGGTTGCTATGCAAAATCACTCCTATGCAGTCATATCGCCCTGTCCCTACATCTCAACCCATTTCCGAAAGGACTTATTTATCCCGTTTCGAAGTCTGAAGCGAACGATCAAATATCTATAGAAGGGCAATGCCCCAGTAATCGCGCCAAGGTAATCCTGATCTCAAAACGGGATATAAGCTATGATAACATTCTACGGTGGTTGTCAGCTGCTTCTAGATGTCTAGGTAGATTGTATGTGTGTTCTAATTCCATTCCTTTCGTCGTCTCAATGTCTGTAAAGCAAGAACTCCCGCCGTCGGCTACACTAGCCGGCGCATTTGATCTTCTGCCTGGGTAAGATTAGAAGGGGCATCCTGAAAGGAGTTGCAACAGCTCCTGTTCAGTGAGTTGGTTATTCTACGGCAGCTTGTATTAGCAATTTGATAGTTCTGTTAGAGCAAGAAGTTTCCCAAACCTCGCGCATTTCAAGAGCAAGGTTGAGGACCGGGAGGACCATCCAGTCGCGTGTGACATGGTGGTTACGAGGGGAACGACGGTAGTGGTAAAAACGACGAGTGAGTCGGCGACGGGCCTAGAGATAGTGAAAGGAACTATGTCAGCCACCAATCGCTTGGACACTTACGACCAGTATCCATCTTCACACCTCCAAGTGGGACTTGGTAAATATGATGAGTTGTGTTCATGTTGGATTCGCCGAGTCCATCAACAAGCGTAGAACCCGCGATCGATACTTACGATGCGCACAAGACGTCGACGAATTCCGTGACGAGCATCCATAGGATGCTGTCGGGTGTTACGAGCACGAGAGAAGCGTCGTCGAATACCACCACCCCGGTTGACCGCGCGGGTAGATCGATGCGAACGAGTAAGAGGCATGATGATGATTCTTAGTGATGGCAGATGTTGGTAAGCTTAAGACAAGGAAGTGAGGTTGAGGAGGGGAAGGAGGAATTGGGTAGCGAGGAGCCTTTTATATCTAGAGAGTGCTGGCAATTGCTAACGAGTCGACCGGCATTGGATGAAAAGAAATCTCTATTTAGGAAGAGGGTATATTTACACTTTTGATACACTTTTAGCCAGGCAAAAGGCTCCCTCGTGGAGGGCAGTTGATTTTCTACGGATTTCTACATTAGTCTGTCTTGTATGTGGGTTCGAATTCATTCATTTCCGTGTATCAAGATTCCCCAAAAGCAAAAACCCACGGTACTCCTTCGTATCGATATGTTAAAAGCAAAGAATCCCGCAGTCGGCTACCATAGCCGGCGCATTTGATGTTATGGCTGACTAGGGCTCCATCCATCCCGACAGACATTCCATCAATTCAAACTCGGTGATTTCACCATTCTATAACAACATGTATTAGCACTTTGATAGTTTCTTCCAATGGAGAGTTTCTGAAACCTGATGCATCTGAAGAGCCAAGTCAATGATGGAGATTGCCATGTACTCATCGTGGACATGGTGAGTACGTTCAGCATGGTGGTGGCCGCAAAATTCACAAAAGGGTGGAAGAGGTCGCTATATACAGTGAAATGCACCATGTTAGCCATCAATCGTTTATCCCATTACCGATAATATGTATTGGGCTTCCGGTTGGAGTTGTATGTATGATGGGTAATGTTCCTGCTTAGTACGCCGAGTCTGGCAAGAATGATAGAACCCGCAATTGCTACTTACATCAGGCGACACACGTTCACGAGGCTCAGATTGAGCATCCAGAAGGCCCCGTCGGTAGTTAGGATCGTCGGAGGACGGTGGGACATTACCACCGTCATTAAACACGGGGATAGTTCGATGTGAGTTAGGAGTAGGCATGTTGAATGGAGAGGCGTCGTCAAAGTACGTGATAGAAGAGGTAAGTTCTGAACGTGTAGCCTGAGGAGAGAAGAGGGGAAGAAGGAAAGAAAGAATTAAGTAGGGAGTGGGTTTTTATACCCAGAGAGTGCCAGCAATTGCTAGCGAATCGACTGGCATTGGATGATAAGACATGCCCAATTAGGGAGTAACAGCATATGATTACAATTCCGATACACCTGTAACTAGGAGATATGTCCCCTGATAGACAGCCGGCCGATTCTATATAGATTTCTACAACGGTCTGTCTATTGATGCACACTAGAAAGCAAAGAAGTCCGTCAATTCTACGAAGATAAACCATGCATGACCGCAAGATACGGAAGCAAAGAGATATCCTACTATGACTTGAAGCAGCTTTGTGGTGGATAGGCTATCATTTCAATGACCATTCATTGCAGTTAATCACGTCGGCGTCTTCAGTCTTACTGCTGGGTCGACATCCAATACAAGATGGCATGGGCCACCATGTTGGGAGTCAGGTCGTGGTTCTAAGAGAAGATTATGTTAGCAAGATGCTGGGCTATGTGGGGTAAATGGCTTCTCATACATGTCTCATGATTGTGACGGCGACATTGTGGACGAAGTAATCTGGACAGTTGCGTCTGATGTGGCCCCAACGGCCGCAGAAATAACACAGCACGCCACGGTGGTGCTAGAAAAAGTAAAGGGAGACTTTGTTAGCCATTGATCGCGCATCGCAGGGGGAATAATAGGCTTATGGATCGAGGTAAAAGTGAGATATGTGACGAGATATATTCAGGGTGGGTGTCCATAAACTAGCAATGGGATGGAACCTGCATCTAGCACGTACCAAATGAGTAGGACGTAGATGTCCCTGAGGATGGCGACGGTTATGGCGATGGGCAGGGCCGTAGCGGGTATCATCCTCCCTAGTCGCCCGTCTTGGGACATGATAATCGTCAGTGCCCAGGGGAAGGGATCTGTCTCGCTGGTTCGAGTTCATGACGCGTTTTGAGAGGATATGATCGAAATTGGGGGGATCGGAAGAAGGAGAAGAGAAGAAGGACAGGAGATAGGAAGAATGGAAGAGGGAGATAGGCAGTGAGACGGCTTTTATATCCAAACAAAACTAACAGATGCTACACTGAGTGGGGTCCCAATAATGAGTGAGAAATACCTGATTAGGAAGTGACAGCCTACAATTACACTTCTAATGCATATCATACCGAACCCCATGTCACCTGATAGCGGCTATATTCTTGTTTTTTTCATGATTCAGAGCTTAGAAATACGGTTCCATGCCTTATGGTGGACTCTAAATCCCACCATAGCTCATAGCGGTCACTATTATCGAAGCCAGTTTATGATTCCGCGCAAAGTTCATTCGCGAGAGGTTCCAACCTAACTAGGACGAAAGGTTTCCCAATCGCGTTGCAGGGTGCGACTGCAGCATCGTTCCAACAGGTCAGACCACTCAATTTCTCCGAGACGGCTACATGAGTAGCTAGCGATGCAGCACCTTCGCGTGTCCAAAAGCGAAATGGGGTGATCAGTCTTCCTGTTAGGCCATTCAGAGGATTTCAATGGTATCAGGTAGGTATATATCACCATGCGAAGCCTCTAAATATCCTTGGTGATTGTTACTACTGTTCTGACCCGCGGTTTCTTTCGACTCTTCTGGTACCGGGAGAGCTTTACTGCTGAGCATAAGAAATAGCGAATATCAGATGACCGCATGGTGGACAGTTTGGTGTCAAGTGATTTAGTGGGAAACTCGATGCAAATATAGGATGTATCATTTAGGAAGGGAAATTAGGAACACGGGACTAAGGTTTTCTACTCGAATTCAACGGTGATATTTCTTCGCGTTGAAAAGACTATGGTCATATACTATGCAAACACTTCTGTGGTATCTCCCTTTCGATATCTCATGTAGCCGTGGCCCTGTATATCTTGACCTTACACGTATCAATCGTAATTAAAGAGACAGGCATCATCACGATGATCCTACAGGGATAGGTTAGGTCTCGATATATAAAGGGAATTCAGGTATAACTAGTGTACCGTGATTATGGAGAGAGTTAGGTGGAAAAATCCTTGATTCGAAGTCTATTCATTGCGTCAGATGTATTCAGTCAATCGAAATCCACACTATATATCTGCGTAAGAGCACCCCACATGAGGTGCTCAGTACAACTATGCACGCAGTCAAGTTTGGATCACTAGCAAAGACTGTGTTTCTCAGCTTCCTGCCCACTGTGTTGAGGGTTCTCGATCTTCTTGCAGATTCCTGGGTTCGATAGTGCGCATGAAGAGCTCGGGGGAGCTTTGCGGTATAGAGCTCTCTGGCGACAGACTGATCCGGTGAATCCTACTTACCCAGCCCCGGACGCCCTGGGGATTGAACCTGGTGGCGATTGTGATTGGCGCAAAAGCCTTATGAATGGCTAAGAGCATGTCTGTTCGAAAATTGGGGGTGACTTCTACAAGAAGAGGAATCCTAATACGACCATCGCCAGGGTGAGGTTACATTGGGCAATCATAGCGTTAACAAGCCTCTCCTCTAGTTAACATGCATGGTTTCTGACACCCGTCTCATGAGCTCCATCATGCTGATTTCATTCACCCGAAGAAGCTCGTTTTATATACATGCTGCTATGCGGGATAGCATCCCAAATCTGGCTTAATAACAGCTAATGATGGTCCATCCCAGGTATACAAATCTGCCCTCGAGACCAGTCGCCGCGGGGTCCCCGAAGCTGTCCTCGCGGACACCTCGAGGACTTCCAACCTGAAAAGTAAGGCCGCAAATCGGCAGTGCAAACACAGCGCCACAATTATATTGTGTAGAATGAAGGGCACTTGCATCTGATATGCTCGTAGATATGAAAAAGGTAGTATTAGGCTGGGTGATAGTCTACTGTGGGCGTAGTTACGCATACGTCGGCATGCCAGGAGCTGTCCCACTACGGGGTCCTCTCCTCCATCTACTGGCAATCTGTCAGCTCATATCTGCCAGTTTGCTAACTAATCTTGGAACTAATTCATCATTTCGACTTTCTTTCTCTTTTTCTTTACAAGCAACTACAGGTTCGATACCGCATTGTGGAATCTACATCACACTAAAGATTATAACGGTCATCATTGTCAAGTCAGCTACCGAATTCGTAGCAAAGAGTGGGTTCGAGGCTCTCCAGTATGGCTGGGACGACAAGATTTCCAATGCTGCGCACACAAGCGGTCATGCTGCATTTGCCCAAGCCTCAGAGGATATCCGTTGAATATGACCGACATGGCCACATAAGTAGGTAGCGACAGGCCTTTTGCAGTGTTCACAGCGAAATGAGTTCCGTCGGGCTTTCTCCCACGCCATCACACGCGGAATAGTGCGAGCAACGTGACCATTATTTCGCGATACATGTTATCAGTCATCGTTCCACTGAGTAAAGATGTGACTTAGATCCCTAGCCTCGTGCATCATCTCTTGCGCGACGTTGTTTGGAATGAACCGGGTATAGTCTCTCCGACGATGCCTGCATCTGCTGCAGGATCTCACCACCGGCGCCGTGGGCACTAAAAATGAAGATCGTCGTGTTAGTTATTATTCATGATTGCAGCAAGTCATTTCCTCCAACCGACACACATGCCGAAGCGCATCGCATCAACGGATATTGGGAAGGAATGCAATATAATTGTTCGGGAAGTAATGGGGTCAATGCGACTTACTCGGCTGCCTCGATTTCACTGCCGGTTGTTCTGGTCGTGCTGGGCAGGTTAGCCAGCGTGCTCAGGCTGCTCAGGCGTATGTCCTCTGTTTATCGCTAAGAATGATAATTAGGACCATCGGGCCGTAGAATGATATATAACGCCGAATTATCTCTGCCACCATGGACGAAGTACCTTCACGATGCTTGAAAAGGTTATCCTGCCAATTTGTCCACCTATTTGAGGCGGACGGTTTCTTTACCCCATCGCATGTATATGATGGTGCATGAAGTACTCATGGCAGTTGCGTCGAATGTGCTCTCAACTGCCACAGAAGTAGCAAGGAGTGGCTTAACGACACTAAAAGGTAGAATCGCTGTTCTCAGTCACCCTCTCAAGCCAGCGAGAGCAATGCAGCGGCACTTACCGAGGCCTGAGAAACCCGGGAGACTCGGACATTTTCTTGTCGGTCGTTGCCACTTTTGTGAACCGTGGCTCCTCCGGATTCTTAGATTGTGAGTAGCCCATGCCCCCAGTTATTCGAAGTCGAACAGATCGGTCAAGCTCATGTGTGTGGTTTGTGTGGAGACCCATTCAGCAGACTGTCGGCATTCTCTTATCTCGCAAATCGGTTCTTTCAGACAGGGGCGAGGCCATCTATTCCACTTAGCATATTTGGTTTCCAACACTCAGCGAATGGCATGAGATTCAACGCATTGGATGGATATTGTCAACATAGAGACTTGGCAGTACTCCGCTTCGAACGCCAACTGACAGTGGCCCTATACGAGTGACATCAAGAGAGAGCCAATGATATTGATACAGTGTCGGTATAATTATATTTGGAAAGAAGTAAATCGAAGTTGCCTTGCTTATGGTATATAGTCCGGCGCAAATATATGCAACAAGGGATATCCATGATCGAGTTGTTCCCCTGGGGTGGTGCTGGTTCAATGGTGGAAATGGTAGAGGGGAGGGGTTGGTAAAACCATGGGGATTATGAACAACAAATATTCTTTATGTATCAAAGATTTCAGTATGATAGAGCACAAAGGCTATCTCTCAAGTATGCAAACATGTGCTTTATAGAGTATGATATTCTTTGTATGGATTAGATATCAAAGGAGGATATGCTGGAAGGACGTAGACTTCATGGCGTCATGTGTGTTCGAACTTCCTCAAATAAACCAAAGAGAACCTTGTGTCTCCAGGTAAAACAAGGTGGAGAGATGCAAATTTGAGTACGTAAATCTACGAGATCATGTATCCAACAATCCAGCAAATCAATACATTTTTTATAATTTGACCCTGTTCGGCTCTGCGAAGGATATGAGCTAAGGGAATGGCAATAGTCGATATAAAATATGATGGGCAAGAAACTTTTCATCAAATTAACAAGTTCAACGGATCAAGCCAAGCAAGCAAGAAGTGTCCATTCGAAATAGTTTGCCGTCTTGACGTGTTTTCCATCAAGGTCCTCCTCAAAAAGAGAATTAGAGACTGGACAATAGAATGCAACCATGATCAAGAATCAAACTTGGGCTTGGGCTACCACACGGGGAACCAGTCAGTCTACCTTGTGCTGCGCCGTTTACCGCAACGGATATATATCCTCTTGTGTTTCCATTTCTCTGGGAAGAGGAAAACACATCCTAATGCTCATTATTCCATTTCTGATTTGGAATAGATACATAGGATAACCCAACAATTTGATATTAGACAGCAACTCATGGAGGCCTGGTTGTAGGATATTTCAAATCGAAAATATTCATTCCATTGCGTCCATACACATTCTACAGCTTGATAGAGTTGAAGTCATCATCCCTTCTTGAACGTATTGTCTGTGTTCTTGTCACAGCCATCACGTCAAGCATTCGGTACACTGGTAAAGAGACTGGTCGTATAAGGACTTACTGCATAGGAATGTCACCATCCCTATCAACGTAAGCCCTAGCTATGGCAGCGACCAGAGCTTCCTGTATCCATGTGAGCTATGCAACATGATGTCTCCGCCACGGTGACTCACAGTGTCAATTCGCTCGGCGAGGGTTATGGGATTGATGTTGTATTCCTGTACAATATAGTATCAGCGTTTGCCGGTGATTTACCCTGGGGGTATTTCTGTACACGGTAAAGCCGGTCCAGGGTGTTCCGCCACAGGTTGAACAGTGGACAATCTCGGTGACGGTGTCTGGTATCGCGGCAGAAGTAACAGATCGCATCCTATATCATAATGACATCTTCTTAGTAACTGCCCAAAAAAGAGAGACGGTATGCAAGTGCAAGATGAAAAGGTAAAGAGGGGACAGCATCAAGAGCAGTGGGAAGATCACCTGAGGAACTTCCTGCCATAAAGCCAACAGTGGCCCAGGTAGATGAAACGATATAGAGCCACCTGGGCAAGATCTGGTGATTTGTAAAAGGAGATGCCTTACCACGGACTCGGTTTGGTAGGAGGGCTGATACCTATCGTCGCGACCACCTCGCTGGCCGCCTCTGCCACCACGCTGGGTGTCATTGACAGGTGCCCAACGTGATCTGTTACGACTGTTCAGGTCCATCTCAACAAAATCACAAGAAAATCCTGTGGTGCGAGATATGTTAAATGTCAAGAATGGGATACCACAACTTTGGCTTGAAGAAAGCTGGAAGATGATCAAATGGGAAACAAAGTAAATTGCCAAAGAGAAATCCTAGCTCATTTAACAGCAACAAGGCAATTCCAGAGCCTGGGAAATCTTGTCATTTCCTCCCGACACGGCCTTCTTACTGAACTCCACTACTTTGGGTCAACGCAAACATATAGCTTGCTTTGTTACTCCAACACCAAAAGAGAAGGCAGCTATGGAGTCACAAATCAGGTATATATGCTATGCATTATGCTATAGACTAGAACCCAGCCTATGGACGCTAGATTGCAGCTAGTGCATGGTGCCTCTTAAGACCTTACTATTGACGAATACATAATGGGATTGTACACTAGATTTGCCTCAACACCTCTGGCTAGGCCTCTACGGTACAGCATAAATCACGGGTATATTGCTGTATATATTTCTACCTTGGGAATTGCCGGCGAGATACCATCAAGTCATGTAGACCCATGAGCGGAAACACTGTGGAAGGGTATCATGATCATTCCATTTTGACAAGATCTGAATGCTAAAATTGCGAATATAACGCCTCAAACATGTAGGCAGTCCCAATCCCGAACGCCATCCATCTTTTTCGAGTCAAGCCTCAGTGCTGAGCATGAGAACCAGGCCCTAGGCTTGAACCGATAGTTCAATTAAGGAAATCTCTCAATTCCCACTCAAAATGCCAGAAATCCGTAACGTCAGGTCCAACATGGAGAGATGCTCATCGGACCCGTCCACCAATCTCTTGTCCATCTCCGAGAAGAGCATGACAATCTTATTCTTCTGAATATCGGGAATCGCTTCGCTGAAGATAACACGTTTGTATAGCTATAAGAAGTCAATAATCTGTACCAGATAGCCCAGGAAGAAACACAAACCTGTCCAACAAGCTGCGTAGCACTCCAGCCATCAGCCACAAGATCCGTAATCACCCTGGAGACGCCCTCGTAGGTCGACGCACCCCCACTCCTGGGTTGCATGGCCTGCACAAGAGAGTCCAAAATATCATCTGGCACAACACCAGCAATCTCCTCGATACTGCGAACTGTGATAACACTAGTATTGCTACCAGCATCCGCCATCTCGGCATCATCGTCCGCATCCTTCGTAGCAGGCTTCGTAGCATTGGCCAATCGAGCCGCACTCTGCAGATACGTAATGGCGCGACGCAAATCACCCTCACCACATCGAATCAACGTATCGATCACACCATCCTCAAGCTGCAAACCCTCCTGCTCGGCAATATGCGCGATTCGCGTACCGGCGGCACTATTATCCAGCATCTTGAATCGGAACTTACTGCATCGACTCGCGAGTGGCTCAATGATGCGGGTAACATAGTTGCAGACAAGACAGAATCGCGTGATCCGACTGTAAGTCTCCATCGTGCGGCGCAGAGCGGACTGTGCGTCTTGCGTCATGCTGTCGGCCTCGTCGAGGATGATGATCTTGAATGGTGGGCATGGGTACTGTGCGCGGTATGCGGCGTCCAGACCAGTGGGTTGGGAGAGTTGGGCGCGGGCGAAGTTCTTGACTTTGTCGCGGACGATTCCGATGCCGCGCTCGTCAGAGGCGTTCAGTTCTAGGATTCGGGAGCGGTAGAGAGCGGGCCCGAAGAGGGATTTTGCGAGAGCGAGAATAGTAGATGTTTTTCCTGTACCGGGGGGTCCGTAGAATAGCATGTGAGGGAGCTGGATAGAGTTAGCTAGTTGCTTGACTTTCTCGAGCTTGGACAATTCACGTTTGAAGCTTGCAGAGTTCGTTGTAAGACTTTAGTTGTGTGGTCTTGCGCAGTGACATCATCCAAAGTCTTGGGACGACTAATAAACCATTAGCCAGAAGCACAGTGAGCTTAAAATGAAGGATTGTCGCACTATTTCTCAACCCACGGCTGGAGTCGGGTCGAGTCTTTGTTGTCGCCAGCTTTGGGCTTGGAGCTGCTGGATGCCGCGACGGCAGCGGCACGGGCCTTATTGTTAAAGAAAGAGGCAGCCATGGTTCTTAGAATTTCCGAACTCAGCAAAGTCAGAGTTATCCCGGGAGCTGTTTTGCGATGTGTTGAAGATCCAGCTCTGACGCCCTCCACAATCAAGACGCGTCTCCACGTGACACGCGCAGCACTTAAACACACTGGCCAATGAAAGCCCCCCGCTATAGTTCATGCCAACACCGACTACATGTAGGTATATCTTCTACATTCAATGCCAGTGTAATATGTTACAATGTGCGATGAGGTAACTTTCGGGATTGCATGATATATCATTAATGCATGAATCTAAATCTACAGCTCATCTCGCGGCTGCTCCTCTCTCGGGGCCTCGAACATCCTCTTTTTGGTATTCCGAGGAAGCTTTGCAAGTCTTTCGATCTCTTCCGGAGTGTAATCATCCATGTTCATGCCCTGCTGCTTCGCTCGCTCTACCATCTCTCCAATCTCATCAATCCGACGGTTGTTGTCAGCCGGTGCGGATGGTTCTTGGTCCCAGGCAGTGGTACTGGATACTATGGTTCCTGTCGCAACCGACGTGGCTGTCTGATGAAGTGCGACAGAAATTTCGCTGGAAAATGATCCTGAAGCAGACTTCAAAGCTGCATTAGAGATCCCAATGGCACCTGTACTTGCAAAGGCAACACGAGCGACGAGCTTCAAAGGCAGCCAGAGGAGCCACCAAAGGGGCCCGTAGAAGATCCGTCGGAAAATGAGCCACCCGATTGTTCCAAGTAAGATATAGAATGCGGTTTCGAGGTACCATGTATCGGACTTCTGGGAGCGGAGAAGAGAGTTCGCGAGACTACGAGATGAGGAGATAAGTGTGTCAAGGCTGCTATAGGACTCGGACAGAGACGAGATTGCAGCCGTAGATTGTTCTAATCAAGTACTATTAGTGTTATGTAAGATTGAACAAGAATAAGGGTTCTCACCAAGTGTCGATTGGGCGAATTGACTGCGGGAGAGCTCCGCTTGCATGAGTTGGTGGGTTCGACGCAGCGCAGATGTAACGTCGTTCGAGGCGTTCAAAATAAGATCATCTTGAGTGAACTTTTCCGTATGCTGATTGTTCCCAGAAGAGTGCGATCTTGACAGTAGCAACTCTCTTTCCTTCCGCTTGGCTAGCTCGGCATTCCGCTTCGCTTGTAACTGTGCTGTTCGGAACTCGACTCGTGTTCTAAGACACCAGTCAGCATTTTATGTCTACTCAGATCCGAGTCACAGATCATGAGACTGGGATCTCTTTGGACTGCGCCAGGCGATCGAGAGTATCGTACCTCTTGAGATCATCCGCCATTCGTCCCGCCATATGAACCACCCGCTCTCTCTCGGCTTCTTTTTCTCCATGGGCAGCAGATGACTTCCGCCTGCTATCTGAACTTGTGTCCAGCGCTTCGACCTCCACACGGAGCAACTCCAACTCATGCTCGGCTTCTTTTAATCGAGAATGAATTTCGCTCCCAAGCTCCAGGCGGGCCTCATCACCCTGGCCAATAGAGGCAGTAAAATCGTGTAATCGGTCCACAAGAGGCTGGATTTGTCCCAGGGAAGTCGAGAGCTCTTTCAGGCGGCCCTGAAGAGCTGTTGTGGGGGACATGTTGCGATAAGTGTGGCGTATTCGATGCGACGCATATAGGTGCTGGCTTTTAGGGAATTCAAAGAGAGAATGTCAAGAAGAGACTCTATTGAAAATGTCTGCTATTGCTTCAAGCAATAGGATGTCTAACATGTGCTGAGTTGTCCAACTCGATGTTGCACTGTTGACGGGCGTCATTCGGCCAACCGGGGTGTTTGCATCTGAGTCAAACATGCCCCATTTCCTTCAACCGCAATTCGCAGCGGAGACTCGGGTTTGGTTAGAACTTCCAATTGACCTCGCGCAATTACCTGTCAGACCTGTCGCAGACTGACTGATATATACTCCGTTTTCCTCCTGGCCCAGACCTTCACCGAGAATCCTCTATTCAACTGCTGCGACACCAGTATCAGAAAACACCACCTTTAAAAAACTTCCCGCCAACCCTCATCCACTCAGGTACGCAACAATACAACCGTGATAGACCTGGAATATAGAATTTTGCCTTGAGAAATCCTAGAACTGACCAAATCACTAGCCCACAAAACCTCTCTTTCTCCGTTACTACCAACCCCAACGCAACAATGACTATCCCCATCGCGACGATTGTCTCCTTCCGAACCGCCTACAACCCCTTCTCTCGCGCTTCCCGGCCATGCCGCCTCTTGTTGAGCATGTTGCGCACACCGGAGACTATCCCTACCAGCAGCCCAACTCACATTGACATCAAGGTCAAGCAATTGCCGCGCAACTCCACCGAGGCACCAACCATGACTATCGGGTTCAAGGGCGGCAAGGAGCTTGTCCTTGATGTTGGGAAGCGCGGAATGAAGATTGGTGATGTTATCGAGGAGGTTTCCCGTGTTGGCCGAGCTCTCCAGCGTGAGGCTAGCTTGAAGAACTAGTGGAGAGAGAGTCTTTTGGCTCGGGCTGTGCATTCGTGTATTATATTACCTATCATTTGTTTCATGTGACGATTTTGGCGCTGTTGGGCATATTCGAATACTTGAATTATTCTTACTTGGGTAGAGAACATAAGATGTTCATGCTTGATACTTCGTACTTAGGTTTAGTAGATCAAATCTGACTATCAAATGCGCAAAGACTTTGATGTTGAAAGTGACTGTTTCATTGAATATCAAATTTGAGGATCAAGTTATCCATTGCTCATTCGCCCATCAGAGAATACTCCTCCCCACGCTGTGTTTGCAAAGAAGAAATTTTGAAAGCAAATCATTCACAAATCAAAAATGGGTCCGCTCCTCGGGGTACCGAAGAACGTAGTTCCCACTGGGCAAACGATCATAGGCTTGACAGTTTTAGTTAGTTTTATACTTCTTTTGCAGAAAATTCACTTATACTGCGGCACCTGAGATGAAGAACCACTTGTCAATGCTGCCATCAATAGGAGCAGCAGGGAGGGTCTCGTTGCGGGGGATGGCAGCAAGCTGAGCCTGGTCAACACGGTCGGCAGAGTTCTCAACGGTGGTGTTGGCGCTGATGATGGTTAGCTTAAAGGCACTTGGATAAAGAATCGATGCACATGGAACTTACAGGCTGATCTCGCCACGGGGGGCCTTGCCGGAGACAAGCTTCTCCCAGGCATCGGAGCACTCGCGGATGACATCCTCGGCGTACTTCTTGTTCTTGCACTCGCCGGAGAAAGCGAACTGGTTCTCGGGCTTTCCGTCGGGGATCTTGTAGATGCGGAACCACTCGTTGGTGGCGCGCATGAGGCCGGGCAGCTGGCGCTCAACATCCTCAATGTCGTTGAGCTTAGGGGCAAGAGGATCGTTGACATCGATGACAATGATCTTCCAGTCGGTCTCCTCCTCATCAATCAGAGCCATGACACCGAGGACCTTGACCTGCTTGACCTGACCGGTGTAGCCAACAAGCTCACCAATCTCGCAAACATCAAGAGGATCGTTATCACCCTTAGCCTTGGTCTCGGGGTGGATGGAGTTGGGGTCCTCCCAGGTCTGGTTTAGAACATGTTAGTTTCATTTACCCCTCTTCCAACCCACGGGTGTGGTGAGAACGATCCAGGACTTACGCGAGGGAAGGCACCGTAGTTCCAGAGGTAACCCTTGTGGGGGAAGCAGTTGCGGACGAAGCGGAGCTTGCCCTTCTTGGTGTCCTGCTTGATGGGGTTAAGGAAATCATCCTTGGATATCTGTTTACGATGCGATTAGCATATGGCGGGGTATCAATTGGAATGATGGGTTAGGTATCGTACCTCCTGCTTGGCGTTGGTCCAGCGGGGGATCTCAACGACCATGTTCAGGATGGTCTGCTGCTCGTTGGCATACAGGGGGATATCGTGGAAGGGCGAGACGGGGACGCCATCCTTCTCCACGAACACACGGTGCTCGAGGGTGTAGGGGGAACCGATCTTGCGGACGGTGTAAGTCATGCTGGGCGAAGTTGACGAAAAGTGTCTGGATACTTGGGCCGCACGGGATAAGGGAGAAGAAAAGGAAGAGGAAGAGAGAGGGGCAGTAGAAGTGGGGGGAGCCAGCGCTGCTGATGTGCGCCAAACAGAGCGGGAGGCGGTGGAGGTAGCACTTCCCAGTCGGGCCAAGGGAGGACGAGTCATTGGCTGTGTTGGAAAGGCTTCTACTGCTTTCCGGTTTTTAGTATTTCTGGTACACGTCTAATCCCTTTACGCGGGGTATAAGTTGGCGATGCGTGGTGGTGCTGCCCCTGTGTCCTGAGTCGGAAAGAAAAAAAATATAACGGGGTTCCGAAAGTCGGCATGTTGGGATTGATCCGATTGACATCCCGACGGATCACCGAGGCAATTGGCACGATGGAATGGAGATCGTATGCTCGATATGTCTTCTACTCAGGTAGTACTCCGTATATCCGTCATACATACATAAGGATCACCCTCTAGCTACTTGACAGCATGTACACTGCATGTACGGAGTACATACCCGACCCCATACTGCCAGGGCCGATTTCGGCGCTGTACACCACGATATGAACAGGACTGTAGTTGTCTCAGGGACAGAATATTTCGTATAATGCCGAGCTCAGCCCTCGGGAAAATTGCAGACAAGGACACTCAACACTGCCAATGTCGTGATCCTTGGCAGGGAATGGAGTGTCATCATTGGCCAAAGACGACCGGCCCAAAGAGCTTCACCAAACTGACCAAAATTACCAAAATGACCAAAGTTACCATAATTGCCATAATTACATGTAATCCAATTACGCGCCCTGAGGCAACGAACTTTTCCTCTATCGCCACTATCTCCACGTGACTCCAACTTTTCTCATCGGAAGCCTCCGACCCCACAGAAGAAAAAGAGCCCGTCGATATATACATACCCTCTTTTCCCGCCATACCTGGGCATGCTATGATCAGAATCCTCCGCAACACAATGGCAGCCCTCGCATCCGCAACCACAACTGCCCCCGCGTCGGCCGTGGTGCCGCGCGTGCCCATCCCCGCGAAAGGCGTCGACTACCGCAACAAAATCGTCCTCGCGCCAATGGTCCGCTCAGGCGAGCTCCCATCTCGTCTGCTAGCCCTGAAATACGGCGCCGACCTCGTCTGGGGGCCCGAAACAATCGACAAATCAATGATCGGCACCGAGCGACGCGTGAATCCGCGCAACGGCGTGATCGAGTACACCCGCATGCCCAGCAATGGCGGCCGCACCCAAGCACCAGTCAAAGAATCAATCATCTACCGCATCGACCCAGTGCGCGAACAAAACCGTCTAATCTTCCAAATGGGAACCTCCAACCCGGAGCTAGCAGTGCAAGCCGCGCGCGTGGTGGCGGCAGACGTCTCAGGCATCGACGTCAACTCCGGCTGCCCGAAGCCCTTCTCCACGCACGCAGGCATGGGTGCCGCCCTCCTCCGTACCCCCGATCTCCTCGTCTCCATCCTGGAAGCCCTCGTCAAGGAGGTCGGCGAGCCTTTCCAAATCGGCATCTCTGTCAAAATCCGCATCCTCTCCGATCCTGAAGAAACAAAGAAACTCGTCTCTCGTCTTGTCAAGACTGGTATCACCGGTCTGACGGTCCATTGCCGCACAACGCCGATGCGCCCGCGCGAGCGCGCAATTCGTGACCAGCTGCGCATGGTAGCTGGTATCTGCCACGACGCCGGCGTGGCGTGCGTGATGAACGGCGATGTGACCTCGCGCGACCAGGGTCTTGCGCTGATGGCCGAATATGGCGTTGACGGTGCCATGATCGCGACGTCTGCGGAGACGAACTCGTCCTGTTTCCGGGCTGAGGCGGACGGCGGCCTTGCCTCGTGGCAGGAGATTGTCTACGAGTATATGAAAATCTGTCTGGAGCAGGAGAACCGCATGGCGAATACCAAGTACCTGTTGAACATGCTGATTCCGGGCAAGAACAAGGAGTTCAAATATGCGACTCTGTCGAAGACGTATCTTGATCTTTGCCGCGCGCTGAAATTGGAGGACTTGCTTCCTGCCGCTGAGCGTGTTGATCAATTGCTTGGTTTGGATGAGAAGTGGGCGTCTCCCCCTGGTGCCCCCGGTGCCACCGATATCCCGGCCAAGCCTGAGACCAAGTCCAAGGCTGTGCAGAATGCCATGGAGTCCGAGTCTGCTCGTGCGGCTGGTGGTGGTGCTGCTCGCACTAAGGCATCTGCGCCTGTTGCTCACGCTGGTGGTCCTATTCGCCGGACGTCTGCTCCCAAAGCGGCCAAGGTTGCTAAAGTCGAGGCTGAGCAGCCAGCCGTGGAGACTACTAATCCAGCTACACAGACTCAGGCCCAGTCTCAAGTGACGGCATAAATATTGCTTTATGCCTAATGCTTGTTTTTCCGATGTCTTATCGCTGTTTCTAATGCTCTCACCTCTGTCCATATGCATAGCTCTTGGTTTTCTCTCATTTCTTGGTTTCTTTCGCTTTGTTTATATCTGCATTCTGAGGTGTTTATGATTGTTTTTGTTAGTTCGCTCTATAGATTCCCCCACATATCTCATCCTCATCTCTGATGAGTGCTATTCCTACATTCACAATAAAAATACAAGTACACTTATAAACTACGTTTTGAACATATTATACTGAATGGCAGATGGATTTTTATCCTCTAATCTAACAAATGATATGCGATTCCCCGAATCGCCATGATATCAATCCCTCACCAAACACCATGTACTGACTGTGCCTAAATGGCACAGGATTAACCATAGTATTCGCACCGCCGCGCAAATACTCACAACAGAAACTCCGGCATGAACCTTTTTTTGCGGTTTTTCGTTTTTCTTTTCTGCTGGATTGTGCATGCTCACTATGCTGCTTTCACCTGCAGCTCAGCCCTCATCATCTCCTCAACAACCTTGATGCCGGCCTCCTCGCTCTTTTTGCTACCGGTCTCGTCCTCCCCTGCCACCGCCTGGTCAAGTGCCAGCTTAGTCTGGCCGAGGGCGTAAATTTGCTCCTCGATGGTGCCCTTGGTCACCAGGCGGTAAATCTCGACCTCGCGCGTTTGTCCGACGCGATGCGCGCGGTTTTCCGCTTGAACATCTTCCTGGGGATTGAAGGAAGAATCGAAGATGACGACGCGATTGGCACAGGCCAAGTTGATACCGGCACCGCCAGCCTTGGTGGACAAGAGGAAAACAGGGATCTCGGTGCGTTCGTGGAAGGCATCGAGGATGGACTGGCGGTCCTCGACGTTGGTGCGGCCATCCAGGCGGACAAACTCGATCTTCAGGGTCTCCAGGACGTGCTCGAGGATGTCCATGACCATAGTGAATTGGGAGAAAATGAGGGTGCGGTCGCCGTTGGCGATGAAACGAGTGAGAAGCTCTTTGAGATGCTCAACTTTGCCGGAATCCATCCACTCGTCATTCTTGAGCTTGAATTTCCCAAGAGAGTTCGGGTTCTCCACACACATGTGGTGGCACTCGAAGTCATTGTAAGGCATGAGTTCCTCAAAGATGATCTTAGGGTCAGAAAGCGACCACTTGTCTTCCTTTAAGCAGGCCTTAGCCATCTTGTGTAAAATCTCATCGGTGTAGTGACGACGAGCAAGGAGAGGGTGAATCGCAGCTTGGCGTAGCTTCATGAGGATATTGGCAGATTTTGAGCCGGTCTTCTTTCCAGCAGCACGGTCTTCCAATAGCTGGCGCACTTGGTCTTTTTCATGGTCGTAGATTTTGACTTGAGATTCTTTCATTTGACACCAACCGACATGGGAATGCTTGGCTGGAAGATCAATAACCTGGTGCTTCTTTCTTCGAAGGATAAAAGGTTTCATCATTGACTTCGCGCGTTCAATACGCTGCGCAGACAGGAGAGTGGCGTGGGACTCGTCAGTCGTTTTGGCCTTGTTTGAGAATACTGCATGGAGGTCTTCTTTGTGCTCTTGGAAGACAGAGGGAAGAATAAACCCAAGAAGCGATGCCAGCTCTTGCAGGTTGTTTTGGAGGGGGGTACCGGTGAGCAGTAAACGGAAACGCGCGCGAATGCGAATCAATTTCTCATATAGCTGAGATTGATGGTTCTTCAGCATATGTCCTTCGTCGTAAACACAGACAGTGAAGTCCATGTCACGCAAAAACTTGGCATCAAGCTTTGCCTTGGCGATGGTGTACGTGGTGATCACGACATTAATTTCATCACGTCTCTCCTCAATCTCGTCGCGGATGAGAGCACGCTCGTTGAGATTAGCGTAGTAGGGCATGACAGTCAAAGTCGGACAGAACTTCTGGAATTCACGAAGCCAGTTCTCAATGGTAGAAGATGGGACAACAACCAGATGAGGACCCTTGATGCCCTTTTCAAACAGATGCGCAAGGAAACCAATGACTTGACAAGTCTTGCCCAGACCCATGTCGTCGGCCAGAATGCAGCTCAGTCTCTTTTCAAACAACAGTGCCAGCCAGTTGATTCCCACAATTTGGTAATCCTTCATAACCAGATCATCAGCCATGATAGAAGGTTGTGAAATAAAACGAGATTTGCGCTTGGAGGCCACGAGTCTGCCGCTTTCTTCGTCGCTTTCGGGGGACTGGCGTTCAGATGCTGGAGTGGCAATGCCCGAGTCATGTTCGGACTTGGAAGGAGCAATGGTGGTCATTTCCAGATCACCCTTCTTTCCAAAGGTGTCGACGCCCCATTTCTTCATCTCTTCGGCGACTGGCTTGCCAAGGGTCTCAACCTCGCTGACAAGCGCATCAATTGCCATATATCCCGTCCACATATCAACACATTTGTCGACAATCTTGTCTCCAATGGGCTTGGGGGCCTTGCCTCCCCGTCTGCCCTTGGGCTTTACAGTCTCAACAACTGGAGCAGAGACAACACGAACTTCATCAAGGGAGTTGTATGGGCGGTTTTCGATGATAATCTGGGCAGTTTCCTCGGGGATAGAAGCGATATCGGCTAGATCACGAACCCGGCAAGTGTTGAAAAATTTCAAGACCTTGAGATCCAGACCGCCAGCGGTGGATCCTTGAACCTGGACGGTCGAATCGTCCGAATCACTCATCATAGCCTCGGGTGACTCCGATCGATCGGGAGAAGGAGCCCTGCGGCCCTTCTGAAGCCGTCCCAGCTTCTTCTTGGGGGCACTGTCATCGGATTCGATAGTAACAACAGTGCGAACAGGGGAAATAGCACGAGAAGAATTCTCAGACTTGGGACCGCGAATGAGCCGGCGGCGAGGCTTTCCTTCGTCGTCGGACTCCTGGCCCTTGGGCTGTTTCATTGCGGCCCACTTGTCCTGAATGGTCCCACGAGCCTTGATGTTCTGTTTCGCCATGGGAACGGGGCCTGAAGCCGGCCCAGCGCTCAATTCATCATCGGAGGAATCAATCACCACTGCGTTGTTCTCCTTGTCGGCAGCATCCGTGTTGGCGAGGTATTGGAGCGCATCGTCATAGTTGCCCTTACTCTTCAAGATCGCTTCTTGGCAAATTCGAACAGTCATATGCGGCATGACTTTGAGAATGCGCTCAACTTTGACACGCATTCTGAAGTCTTGGATTTCATGTAAAAGAATGTCAGGAACTCCTACAGGCTGTGCGCGAGCGGGCGCATCTTGTCGGGCTTTTTTCATGGCAACTCCTTTGGTTGCCGGAGGGCTCATGTGGTCTGCGGACCGCTTGACTGCGGTCGCGGCATTTTTGGGATCATACATGGCAGAAGCCGTAATCTCTCGGAACCGGTCCAATGAGGCGGCATCGGGGCGGAGGGGGGACTCCATGATTTTTTCGTTCTCAGGACTCCGAACGGTTTTCTCAAACATAGACGGTTTGATATCAGTGCTTTGCAGGTGAGACTCTTCGTCTGAAGAACCACCTCGGTATGTAGGCCCGTCGTCAAGGTCAAACTTTGGCGTGCGCTTCGTAGGTCCTGCGGCAGGAGGGCGGAATTGCGTCCCAGAAGGAGCGATTAAGGATGAAAGCACGCCGCCTTGGCTGCGGCGAGGTGGGGAGGAAAGTGGGCCTATCGGGGACGATGCAGCAACTTGAATAACAGTATTATTGTAGCGCGTGTAAGGATGCTCAAGTAGTTGTGTTGGTTGGGTCAATCTTTGCGATGGAGTTGTCGCAGGAAGGGTGGCGATGGTTTCGTAATCTTCTCCAGGAGGAGTACTCGGCAAGGTTTTTATATCTCGAGATGGGGTATTAGGAGCAGAATATTCCATCGCTCTCAATGCTCAACAATGTCATTCAATAAGAGTCCACCTGAACAGATCCAATGTGGTTATTCCCATTCAGGAACGTTTTTTCTGCCAAAGCGGAACACGCGACCGCGAACGCGCCCAATCACGTGGAAGAGCAGCCAATTAAGCATTTGAGCGCGAATTGAGACAAAGGAACATTAGATCTGAATAGGAAAGTGAGCTCATCGTGACAATTGGAGAAAGGCCTTACTCTGCGCCTATCGATCGAGAACAATAGATCATCATTCGTAGATCGTTCACATGAGAACGACACAAAGGGCGTTCATAGACCTCAGCCCACCAATCAGACCCCAGCATGTGACGGCGGGCACTAACTGGCATCTCCGCAATGCGATAGCTTCCTGTATCCTCGACTTGAACTGCTCTTCCGTTTTGCTCCTTGAGACTGACTTGTGAAGCTGTTGCGCATTATTCCACAATCCCCACAAACATAGCAACCTTGGAAACATGTCCGCCCGCCGTCCCCACAACCAGTCTTATGCTGATGTTGCGGCAAAGCCTCCGCCGCAAGCCAGCTCCGACGTCACCCCAGCTGTTCCTGCGTAAGACGATCACCCTGCAAGCTTGACTTTTTTTTTGAGAGACTATTCTCACTCCCTCTGGTATATAGTGATGTGATCTATAAGCTTCTGGGCTTTACCGCAGCCATGGTCGCCGGCCCCATTGGCATGTATTTCTTGACCGTGAACACAATCTTCAGCGGTGAGTGTTCCCCTTCCGTTTGAGTCCCAAGAGCATACACTGATTGCATATATACTGAGTAGGAAGCTCAACACTCGCCGGAGTTACTGCCGCCATCACCGCCAACGTGGTCTTGTTCGCATACATCTATGTTGCCTGGATGGAGGACCAAGAGGACAAGAAAGCAGCCGCCAAGCCAGATTCAAAGAAAGCCCAGTAAATTGGAGTAAGACTTGAATATGGCGCATTTCACAACAACCAAGTTCTTTTTTATTCCGGCGTTACGGCATTGTTCGGGTACGAGGGTTTTGCTGTTTGAATATTGGGATGAAATAACCTCGATCATCTGAGGTCTCGATTGTTAGAATACAGAATGACTGAGTTATCTGGCAATTGGATACGATAGGGACAATCGTCACATATTGGATACCCATTCGCAAGATATCATACCGTCGATCCAGGCCCATATCAAACATGCGCTGTCCATGTTGAAGGAAACGCATGTAGAGAAATAACCACAGCCCAAGCCTTCGGTATAGACAAAAAAATACGCCGATATGCAGTGCCAAACAGAAACAATTCTCTTGCACATCCCATTCCCTCGGCAATAGTCCTAGGTAGGTCTGCGCTTAACGAACTCCTCCAAATCCTGTTTAGTAGCAACACCAAGGACAAACTTGCGTGCCACATCGGTGACAACAGCGAATTGCTGCTTCTCGCGCTTCTCGCCATTCGGACCTGTCTCGCTCTCGAAGAACTGCTCCAGCTCCTCGAGCGGTGTCTCCATTGTGATGACTTGGTAGATGCCACGCTTGCGGTTGAACCGCTGCATCGCTGCTGAGACGGGGTCGCTTTCCTTCACAGTGCCGGCCTGCAGCAGCTCTCGTAGCCGGGGGATGCTGAGGTAGCCGAGCAGAAAGCGCTTTGAGGAGGAGATGACGGTCAGATGCGTGTAGTCACGCTCGTAAGCGGCCAGCATGGCTGTGGAGATTGGGTCATGGGAGGAGATTGAAAGGGCGGGAGGTGGGTCGAGATCCTCGATTGTTGCCTGTGTAGTGTGTTAGTTCTAGGATTGTGGTTTGTGCGGTTCGATTGCGGGGAGAGACGGACACCACGGTACTTGTCGGCCCATGCTGCTGTGGATGCTGTGTTGATCTCAGGACTGGGCTGCTTCTCCCGGGTGAAGGCCTCACTGCCGGTCAGGTATGATGCCATTTTGGGGATCGAGATGAGGGGTCGGTGAGGGGCAGCGGATCGATTGGGGGCTGTCGATAGGGACCACAGGGTACTGTATATAGGAGGCAGAAGGCGGTGTGGTAGAATTGGTTAAATTCAAGATATTCAGCAGTCTCGTACAGAATATCCAAGTCGTGTAGAGGTCAAGAGCTATGAACCAATGCGGAATGACTTTTTGATGTCACTCTTGGCATCTCACCGCTACGGGAGCCTTTTGCGGCCAACTCGACGATCGTCACATCTATATATCTTCCTCGATATCTTGATGTTGTTTTTTATTCCTCGGCGCAAGAGTATGGCTATGTCTGTGTAGTTGCTATATGTTAAGACACATACATATTGATAGTGAAGATGATCCTCAATCTAGATAACCTCACAATTGACTACATACGCCTACATGTCAGCGTGAGCACATCGTTAGGTTCTCATCCCAATTTTGTTGTACGTTCGGGATTATATGTTTATAAATGATAGCAAAAAACAATTTCCCAGATTTTCCCCGATTTTCCCATGATTCTTACGTACCTTGTCAATTGACCAACTGGCTTACCTTCAGCCCCCCGGTCAGGTGCGTGTATAGTCCAGCGGGGGCGGCATTTTTCATCGAGTTACATCACACTGCGGCGATTTTCGGAGAAGCTCAGGTTTATATAAAGAGCGGAATGCTAGCTCAGACTTAAGCTATATTGCAACAACATAGAAGCGCATATTCGACTAACGTGTAAAACGCGCATGTGCCATTGGAACACTGTACCTGCCAGCCTTGCCAAGACACGCCCCACACGTCATATTGAGCTTTGTGAGAATCACTGATTTCCGAGTTGCCTTCCATTGGGATTCTGCCTCTTCTGTGGTGTACAGTCTAACGAAACAACTTCATCGTTGCTCAGAATCCACTTGGTGGGGATAAACCCGAATCTCCTTGACTCCACTTATCTCCACATTCGACCCGAAGTACACAAGTATATCACCATGACTCCTGAAGCTCTCAATACTATCGCCGCCAGTCACCCTCTGGGTAGCTTGACCGGCAAGAGCCCTGCTATGCAGAGGAAGCCGTTTCAGGCCTGGAGTGCACTCGACGATGTGAAGAATAAGACCGACAGCATTGCCCACGAGGCCAGTCGCGAGTTCAATGTTGCTAGCCAGAAGGCTCAGGAGAAGACCGGCAAGATTGAGCCTGGCTCTCTGAAGTACTATGCAGCTTGCACGTTTGGTGGATTGTTGGCCTGTGTAACTATTTCCTTTCAGATCAATGTTGCGTTGCTGTATGAGTGGTAGACTAACAAAGAGACTACTTATTCCAGGGCCTCACCCACACCGCTGTGACCCCACTGGATCTGATCAAATGCCGTCGCCAGGTTGATTCCAAGCTGTACCAGAGCAATCTGCAGGCTTTCCGGACGATTCGAGCCGCCGAAGGTATTCGAGGTGTCTTTACGGGTTGGAGTCCTACTTTCTTCGGCTACAGTGTGAGTTCGAGCAGGTTGAAGGCTCCAAGCGATGCTTGGATCTTCTACATGGCATATACTGTATACTGATTACATGGAATTTGACAACAGGCCCAAGGAGCTTTCAAGTACGGAGGGTATGAGTACTTCAAGATCTTTTACAGTGACTTGGTCGGACAGGAGAACGCCACTCGGTTCAAGACTGCGATTTACTTGACTGCCAGTGCTTCCGCCGAGCTCATCGCCGATATTGCGCTATGCCCCTTCGAATCGGTCAAGGTCCGTGGCCAGACTACCATTCCCCCTGAGATTACTGGTACTTTCAGCGGCATTTCAAGCGTTGTTGCTAAGGAGGGTGTTGCTGGGTGAGTTTGGGCCACATCAATATCTGTCGTCGGATCAAGCAGCTAGCTACTAACACTTCGCCCAGTTTGTACAAAGGTCTCTATCCGCTATGGGGTCGTCAGGTTCCATACACCATGATGAAGTTTGCTTCCTTCGAAACAATTGTTGAAATGATCTACCACAACCTGCCTGGCCAGAAGTCGGATTACAACAAGGGTGCCCAGACGGTCGTTGCTTTCTCTGGTGGTTACCTCGCCGGTATTCTGTGTGCTGCGGTCTCGCACCCGGCTGATGTTATGGTCAGCAAGCTCAATGCGAATCGACAGGCGGGTGAGGCCTTTGGTGCTGCTATGAGCCGTATCTATGGCGACATTGGCTTCCGCGGTCTGTGGAACGGACTGCCTGTTCGTATTGTTATGATCGGTACTTTGGTGAGTCATCCTTTCTCGCTTGGAATAAGGATTATAGCAAGTGCTAACGAGGTTACCCTGTACAGACTGGACTCCAGTGGATGATGTATGTTCCCGCTCTCTGTTCGTTTGCTTCCTAGACACATACTGACTCTAACTCTGCAGCTATGATTCCTTCAAGATCTTTATGGGTCTTCCCACCACCGGAGGCTCCAGCGAAGACAAAAAGAAGGCCAACTAGGCGTGGCTCGTATTTGGTTCCGCGACTAGCATCCCCGGTATCTACTGTATCTGCCACGATGCCCTATGACTACAGTCATATTCACGAAATATGCGGTTTTCGTGGACTTGGTAAATTTTGACAGCCCATATCCAACTCTCTACTCATTTTTTTTGATTCCCTTGTCATATCACTTACGATGTAGGTACGTCGTAGTCTAGTAAATGCCAAGGTCGCTATCGGCCAACTGGAGATTGTCCCAGCTCCACCAATGAACAGCGGTTATCTTATCTCCCAGCGTCACCAATGTCGACGGCCACTCAATAATGCCGTTGAATAACATCGGCTGTTGATATCGATAGAAAACGAGGGTCGAGGGAACTAAAGCGCTTGGCTCGGAAACCCCATATTACCCATGTCACAGCTAGAGTGGATTATATTTAAGGATCTAGATCCCCCAAAATCCACTTGAATATCCCCTGCACGACTTGTTTGATCTTAGGCCTAGTAAGCTTCGGGTTCTCGCGCACGTGGATCCCCGCCTACATGCTAAATCGTACCTGCATTTACAGCCCCGTTGACAACACTTCTCTTTCACAAGCTACTTCCATTTCTTGCTTCTGATTCTACTCGTTTGTTTGATTCTCAATTTCTGAACATATCAGGAATCCTCCACTCAGACCGATCAACTTCGAATTTTTCTGGGCATTCCCGGCCAATATCCGAGCCTCCCGAGATGTCAGCTCATATCAAGGAGCCAATGGTCTCCCATGGCCGTGGAGGTGCGTTATAAGCCCGATTTTCACATCGAAGTCATTCCAGACTTACTATAGCAATCACATTAACTATGATATATAGGCCAAGGCAACATCGGTCCTGATAGCACCGAGTACGTACTTCATACAGACTGATCCATATCTCAAAACCAGCCCACTAACATGACTGCAATGTAGATACGTTGATGGCGAGATTGTTCGTGAGGGCATCTATGGTGACCAGGGTGATGGCGCTTACTCCGCCGGTGTAAGTACACGCTTCCCGTCCATTACCTCTATTTCCGGAACCTCCGCTGATGCATATACCTACATGCAGCGTGGCGGAGCAGGCAACATTGGGTCCCCGCATATCCGTCCTGCTAGTACGCCCCATGATGCAGAGATGGTCCCTGAGCATGCTGTCCATGCTTCTATGGATGAGCCTCACCATACCGGGGTAAGTTGAATCTCATTTGAAATCTGCATTTGTGTTATATGGATCACATACCACCCCCATTTATCGTCTGGATCCAAGGCTTGAGCACTAGCATTTCCCTTTGGGGGTTTATATCATGCGTTCTTGGCTTCTCATGCACCCCGGACATCTCATTCTTGTTTTGATCAGTGTTCAATACTAACTCGTTCTCAATGGCAGCGTGGCGGGCAAGGCAATGTCCACCTGGACCAGGCATCCCTCAAAGACAAGGAGGCCAAGGATCAGACCACTAGGAAGGTTGCTCACAAAGGCTTGGCAGATAAGCTGAAGGACAAGCTACTTGGTCGGAAGTAAACGGACTCTGAAGATGTCTCTTCCAGATTTCGTTCGTTTTGCAACCCTTGCTGTACGCTGCTTCCATGATTCCCATTTGCATGTATTGAACCCTAGGTTGATTAACCTAATACGACCGGAACCCTTTCTGGGTCTTAAGTTGCCTTTGCCACATCGTACATTGTACTTGTGAACTATAAAAAAAAGAAAAGAATATTCTTTAAACACCACACCCGGAATCTCTGGGTCAACTGCGGGGATCCTTTGCGCTTTGGCGTCAGGCACCAGCGGTGGATGATCTTGTAATCGAATGTCACACCCGGAGTCTCTGGGTCAACTGCGGGGATCTTTTGCCCTTTGGCGTCAGGCACCAGCAGTTTGCTGGGAGGTCTGGGGTATAATTGTGCACCCAGGCCCGGCTCGAACGACCGACCTTTCGAGGCTGATTGCTGCCGACTTGCAAGTAGACCACCTCTCTCGGGCGGTACTTGTTTGTCGTTGTTAGTTATATTTATCGATGTTTGGTAGAGGATGGATGCTTATAGTGGATGGATGCTTATAGTGGATACGTTTGCCGACTAGGAATCTATATATGTATTTATTGATATTTAGTAGATGATGTTGATATTAGATACCTTTATCAGGGTATAGGTATTAATATGCATGTGGACTTAGGCCTAGCTCAAACGACCGACCTTTCAAGGCTGATTGCTGCCGACTTGCGAGTAGATCACCTCCCTCGGGCGGTATTTGTTTGTCGTTGTTACACATGTTTATCGATGTTTGGTAGAGGATGGATGTTTATAGTGGATACGTTTGCCCGGGCTTTCATTTCTCGATATTTGGTAGAGAATCTCCATAGTAGATACGTTTACCGGGGTATAGGTATTGATATAAATACGGAATCAGGCCTAGCTCGAACGAGCGAGCTTTCGAGGCTGATTACTAGCGACTCGTAAATAAACCACCTATCTTAGGCGGTAGTTGTTTGTCGTTGTTACTTACATTTATCGATGTTTGGTAGAGGATGTTCATACTGGATACGTTTACCGCAGTGGTTTTCAGTTATCTTATGTGGAAACCTACCGGTATATTGACGTAAAGCGAATACTTCGCGAGTCGAGTAACTGCCTGAGACGATGGTAGTGGAAGGTTAGAAGGAATCTGATGTGGATAGGGCTCTACAATTTCGATGAGATAGACAAAATGTCCCATGCTCTCTATCTTGTGCCCTTAGCAGGATAATAGTGCTTTTCTGCTCTTATCGAGTCCTCTATTGATGAATTCGTTTCTATTGATGTCTTCTATATCGCGTGGACGATTAGACGGCTCGGCCCGCACTTGCACCCCCACATCTGCAACCAGAGCCTCATCATCGACAGCCTCAAGTCTCAACATTTCCACTACTGGATACATATTCCGTTGGTTCTTTTACCTTTCAAGAAATAGTGATAATATGAGGGTCGAAGTGAAGAAAGACCGGTTCCTCGCTCAACAGGCGCTCTAGCTGAAGTGACAAACTAACATCGGCATCATGGAAAACGATAACTATATTAGAAGGAAGGCTAGAAGCTTTTACGAAAGATATAACACCCCGAAGACCGGCTCGTCTAGATGGATGAAACGGTTCAAGCTAGCCATGCATATCTTTACAGCTTCTGTGTTGATACCGAGTGCGTTTGTCTAGAACTGCATCCTAGAATTAGGGGATTACTATAGGTGGTCAAAATCTGTGGGAACTATAATTAGGACGATAAATAGCAAAGTTGGATTGATGATGTAACAAATATGCGATCATATTTGGACCAGCACTGTTTTTGTCGGGGCCACACCTGGCAAAGGAGCGGCGTTGCAATGGAAGTGATAGCTTGTTTCAGGCGACAAGAGAAGCCATTTTATGTGTTTTTTCTGTACATTTCTTGAACGTAAGCTCATGGCTCATTAAGAGACATACATCACTTGCCTTCGCTTTTTCTCATTACGCAGCTCTAGTCGACTATCCCTCGAGTCGAACTCTAATACGATAAATCCTCAGCTCAAGTTTCTGGGCTTGGCCCAAACAATTTTTCCCACCAACTGCCTGGCAGCCAAATATCACCCACACGAGTTCCTCTCGTCTCATCTTGCACGAGGAGTCGGCCCGCCTATTTCAAGACCGGCGGCTCATAACTCGAGCAACATGGCCCAAATCGCTTACTCCCAGCACTATCCTGGACTTCTCCGGGCTCTTTCGTCTCATTCAGTGAGTACCAACAGCTTAAGGAGCTCATCGCTATCAACCCAATCTTGTTGGATGTCAAACTGACCTCATTGGATGAACTCCCTCCGGAGATCATACTATGGATCTCAGATCTACTCCTACCTAACGACATCATTGGTCTCCCAATGTCCAGCCACATCCTCTTTATAGCCCTTCAAACCAAAACAGAACCTCTCCTCTGGCTCGCAAAAAACTAGAAACTAAAACCCCCCAGCGATTCGAACGCGAGCTCCCAGCCCATTTCATATGCTATGCCTGCGACATCCTCCACAGATTAAACAAACAAGACGATTTCGACTAAAAATCTCGTTCAGAATGAGCAACAGTCAGGGCGTGATCCCGTAATTAGCACCGTGGTAGAATTATCTCATTGCGAGTTGGAGATGGAGGAAGCAGAAGGAGTATTTTGTGTAAAAGGTGAAATCATGGATTTGCATTTATAGTCCGAGTTCGGGGTATAACCATTTCTGGGTAACATATGGGAGCGAAACGCCATCCTTCGTTCAAATCGAAGAATTCACCGAATCAACCGCGCTATTCTCCATCGATCCCCGGATTCGCAAACAACCTCTCGGTCTCTATCTGCGCATGCAGGATATAATGCTAGTCGAGAATCGAGACGCAAATCTATTCAACCCCTCTAAACTTCCAGATAGACCCATTTCGCTCATTGACAATATGCATGCATCGACGGCCTTCTTATATCGCGAGGTCTGCGGGGAATTTGCTCCGAGCTCTGATTGAGAAAAAGGCACCTTATAAACGGGTGCTGCGAAACGCGCAACACGGATTTCCGGTTGAAATGAGCGAGTATCATGGTCGGTTGGCTCTTTTTATCACGCGCTGGCTGAATCTAGGCCCCGGGCTGAAACCTGACGATCCATTGTGGAAGATTCAATCGTGTAAAGCGTATCGACCACGCTATGGGTGTGACGCTGTTATAAACTCGGATATGGATTACAGTCCTCGGGCTTCGTCTGAGACTGCGTCTGGGGATTGGTCCCATGAGGCGCTGCGGTCTCGGAATCTTTCGCATTTCCGGAATAGGTCATACAAACGGCGGATGGGGAAGTTTTCGGTTTGGTTCATACAATCTCCGGATTGTCGCGGGGAGAATCAGAGTATTACCTGATGGGATTGCATATGTGGATATAGTAGATTGTTCCAATCTTGATTCGGATCCAATTCTCCTCGCTAGCTGGAACAAGCTCCGAGAGCTAGCTGCTAGTTACTGTCTTGCTTGGGGAGGCTTTTGCTTATCCACTTGCTAGTTGGGATTTTAGCTCGTGTGAGGGATATACGGAGTATATGATTCCCGAATGAGCGTTTATTATTCTTTCTCCGTGTCGGCAGACCAGACAACCTAGTCCCATAAACCATAGTATAACGTAAATATACTAAGCATGCTCATTCTCCGAATCAAAAAGGCGGTCTATACTCGATGATTCGTCCCCACTGTCTCAGAGCTGTTCCCACTATTCAGCTGATGTCCACTTTCCGACCCCCAATCTCAACAAATTTATATTAAACGAGAGGGCCGGTGGGTATCCTGATAACTTAAGATGGTAAACTATAAGCTTGGCAAAGTGGGTATGGAGAAAAAGTTTTGCTATCGTATATTGCGGGCTGAGAAGATTTTGCGTCCCTGTTTGAAGGCACGGTTGCGGAGATAATAGGAGTTCCTTGGGTAGATAGAACACGATCTCACTATACAAAGCTGGAAGAGTTGCCTAAAGAGAACATGTTTAACAATTGATGCAATGAAATGTAATGTTGACTCCATGGAGTGCATATATACATCTACATGACGATTCCAGAAACCGACGCAGGTGCAACAAGGCAGAAGTTTTCAAAAAGAACAAGCTAGGAGTACAGATATGGATGAAGCAAACACAATTAACAGGGGGAAAAAAACATACTAAATAAAATCCCAATCCATGAGGTGAAGGTTCCATGTGTCCATGTATCATAATCTCATTACAGCATGCGATAGAAGAAACAAGTCAGGGGAAGCAAAAACAAAATAATAAACACATCATATCCATAATCCCATATCCCAGCCGGTGGAAGTCCATAAAAACAAACAAAACGCCAGTTTGCAGAACAGAAAATCACAAATAAGGACAAATCTAGGAAATAAAGTGTCCAGATACAGAAACATAGATAGTAATCGAACTGGAATACTCGAGTTCAACAATTCAAACACCCGTTCGGATTTAGTCTTTGTTGAACCGGCGCTTGAACCAGCTCTTCCGCTTATCTTCCTTGGGCGGAGGTGGGATCTGGTTGAAGGCCTTACGCGGGGGAGCTGCTGCAGGCACAGCTCCTGCACCTCCACCGACGGGTCCGCCCAAGCTCGGATCCCCTGGCTGTGTCCTGGGTGTGAGTCCGTTGACACCGTACTCAGCTTGGGCACGCTCGCCAAGACGCTGTTGCTGCAGGGCCTGCTGCTGCAACTGGTCATAGGAGCTGTTCATCGAGCTGGGGTCGGTGGAGTGGCCGTAAGAATCTGTGTTGCCGGATCCATTGGACATGGCATTCACGTTGTCATATGAGCGCTGACCATTGCCCTGTGGATAGTCGTACTGCGAGTAGTTGACATTATTACGGTAGCCGTCGGTGGGGGACCCGCGCGGATGTCTGGATGGCTTTCTACCCCCATTCTGACCGTATCCGTTCTGGTAGGGGTTCTCGGGCGATTGGGGAGCGTTCTGATAGGCGTTCACGATGCTATCTGGGCGCGATGGAGGTCCTCCGTAGTAGTTGCTTTGATCGTAATTCCTGTTGGAAGGACCGTTTTGACCTATCGGGGAAAGGGGAATCAGAAACCATCGATCAAAGGGAAAATCACAGGGCACTTACCTCCATAGTAGCTTGTTCGTCGGCTGTAATCGCCCATCTGTGATCCAGCATCATCTATCCGGGAGGTCAGCCTGGAATTCCTTGATTCAGCACGCATGGGTGAATGTACCTGTTCTGGCATATGATGCACGGTTACTGGTGTATGATCCGTAGATGGCCGCCTCAAACGATCGGATTGTATCCAAAGGGCGCTCCAAACGTGGCCGGGTGGGGTTTGACAGGTCAGGATCGGCTACGACGCAAGGGTTAGCCAGCCAGCCGAACCAAAGAATGGCGGAAACGAACAGATGACATTTCCAAATTGATCTTTATGCTCAATCTCACGAAGGGAGCCCAAATTCGACTTTTCCAGGGCCACCGCCACTATTGAGGGGTCAGTTTGACTGCGATAGCAGGAGAATGCGACCGGGCTAGAATCCAAGCGGGTCGGCGAAACGTACTGGGCTGGAGTTCGTTCATGGCGACCAAGGGATCGGCTTTGGTGTGTAGATTGCGACGGGATTTCTCCTCCGAGGACTCTGACAGTCCGCGTTTGTGGCCTGGTGAGCCAGATTGGTTCGACTTGTCGGATTTGATGCTGAACCCACGACTCCGCTTGGGAGAGGTGGGAGATTGGGGGGCGACCATTTTATTAGGGCGGAGTTCGTCCTAGCGTCCGAGATTCAAGGCTGGTCTGAAGGGGTTGCGATCTGCTGAACTATGTACAGCCGTAGTGGAGCGTGGTGGAGGTGTGATCTGCCCAGCGCAAATAATCCGCTCACCGTTGCAATTGCGATATGACCAAGATAAGAAGGATTCAGCAGTAAGCGAGTGATGTTTTTCAATGAAGTTGGTGTGAAAGAGTGGAGCAGGACAAATGAATCCAAAAGGGAAAAGCGAAGGATTGCCAGGATTTTAAGCCCTTTCTAAATTTGCAGGCAGTTAGGCGGTTTAGCCTGAGGTATTGGTGTTCTACGGTCCACGGGTTGCTGGCCCATTGCCATTGGTGAGGTTCCTCCGCTTAGTCCCAATGGGGGAAGCTAAGGGCCAAGGTCGGTGTCCTTGGCAGCTCTCGGGGAGACCTGTTCGCAGGTTGAAAGCCCTAGATATTTGGACCTCTCCAACCTCTCTGGGCTTTGCCAATTCCCTCGCACTTCTTCCATTTTTTCACTTTTACAAAAGGTGTAATGCACCCGCGATCATCCGCGCTGTTCTAATTGGATTGCCAAGTCTATCACTGCCTCGGAGATGTGCATGTGCACAGTACCTTGTGCAATCGCCCTTTGAAAATGAGTCATATGTTACGAGATGTGCACAATTTCGTCGCTCCGTATTCCGTGCTGTCGGCCTCGGGAATGTCCCTTGCCTTGTTCCGAGAGCCGATCGAAGTGAAGGATTCCACACGTGTAGAATCTAGATCGCCTGGTCAGTAACCGATTAACGCGGTGGGTCGATGAGTTTTCCATTCTATAAATAGGCAGCCTCGGTATCCCCATTCGAGAGGAAGATGAGGATAGTACAGAGTAGATACTGTATAAATAGTTCAAGACCTGTATAAGCTAAGGCCGAGGAGGTGGCAGAGAATCAAAGACGGTGTTTACGGAGGAAGGGGTGGAGGTGGACGAGGCCGCCACACGTTACACAACAAGGCATCTGTCAGGCACACAAATGTGCCTTAGGTCTAAGGCATCTATCAGGCATCTATCAGGCATCTCTCAGGCACATAAATATGCCTTAGGTCTAAGGCATCAGTGACACAAACTGGGCAAGACCCGGTTCAGGTACTTACATGGAGTGACTGGACTCTCGGAATACCCAAGTGGACTTCCTACACTTAGTCGCACTGTTGCCCTCGCATGCACAGAGTGGTCTATAGAAGATACCATCTAGCACGGGGGAAAAACATGTAAAAGGGAGATGTAATCTTATTTTGAAAATAGGATTGGCTATACTCTGTACAAGGATTGCAGACCTGATACATAATAAGTAAACTAGAACCGATGCTCTTTCTCTGTCTTAGCTTTCAACCAAATCCATTTCGGACATGTCGATATTCGCTCGAGTCATGCTAAGATGATAGGCCAACGCCTTCTCAGAAGACCATTGCCGCCTGTCGGTCTGCTCATCGCACCGTCGACTATCATCACTCAGTCTGTAGGACCAGCCTATAGTACTTCTAACCACTAGGTTCAAATTTATATCAACATCTGAATTTACCCCCGGTGGATGGCATGTTGTACACGTCCATTGGAACGCATACATACACCGTCAATACCAAGCTAGTAACATATCGTGCAACTAAGTACTTGGCACGTAGCAAACTAAAGTCTCAATTCTTGACATGTCCCCCCAGTCTGCGCCAAACGAAATGAGTTGTCTTCCACTGGAGCTCTTACACCAGATATGTCTTAGTGTAGGTCAGCTCCACCATTTTCTGGCGAGACACTAAACCCTTTAGCTTCATGCCGATGGGTCGGATTCACGCACAACCCTCTCAGCTTTCAGTCGGCTCAACCACGCATGTTACGAACTAGCTGCTCCGCTTCTGTATCAACATCTTTCTATCAAGTTCTGTGATATCCAAAGCCTCCAAAAGGCCGTCTCCGAGTTGACAGAAGATGGCTGGGGACGTCAGTTCCTGAAATACGCGCGGAAATTATCTGTTATAGGGTTCAATCCAGAGGAGGAGAAGGCACCGCCGGACCGTCATTGGCAACTCAGAGCCACCCAATATGGATCCTCTCGTCGCATCCATGATGAGCCGGCCACGAGAGACTCTTTCCTGGAGTCTCATTTGACAGATCCTACTCGACATGATGTCGACGGATTCCATGTCCTCAATCGTCCGTCCAGCTATAAAAAATGGAAAAGAGACTGGCAGCCACTTGCTGCCCTCATCGTCCGCTTGTCGCATCTAGCACAATTTGAGTTTTTCCTTCGGGACAATTTTCCAATTGCTTTGCAGGACGCCATATCACAACATCATCCAAAATGTCGACTGGATCTGTTCTACTCGCAGAACGTCGTCGGCAGTCTGCCAGGTTTAGCAAGCGAGGTCGATCCTTCTCTGCGGCTGGGAATGGACGAAGACTGGAGCATCGATGTCAACCTTCTACGTCTCGAGGGACTGCATACATTACCCGTCCAAATTCGGCGCAAACTTAACGGTCAATCCGGCCCTCTAAACGTAGATGAGATGCTGCCCTTCCTTTTCCTGGCTCCTAATTTGAAACACCTTCTCTTGCAGAAGAACGTGATGATCCATCCATCCCTATACCCTCTGCTGAGGCAAAGATGGCGCAGTTTTGCTGCCACCATGCAACCTGTGCCGATCTCTTCCTTGCAGTCGATTACAATTGGTCGACAAGGCGCATACGAAGATATCCTACCCGTGCTGGCGAATATCGTGGATCTTTCCCAACTCCGGTCTCTGAAGCTTGATGATTTATGGGACGCAGCCATGCTCACAGAAGTGGCTGCGGTTGTACCTAACCTCGAGCGACTCTTCATCACCATGGATGCCCGTGGCTGGAGCTATCCGGATCTCAATGTTGATAATCCTATTGGGATTGCCGGAATATGCGCATTCAATCCCCTGAAATATCTCTATCTTTGTGGTCTTCGCAGCGCCTCGTCTTTGAACGCCATCATACAGCGCCATGGCGCTACACTAAAGGGCCTTATCATTGAACCGTCCACTACGATTAACACTCCGTCAATTGTATCAAATTCTGGCTATAAATATCCAGAATTGGATGCATCTGGAATCCGTCATCTAGCCGAGTCCTGTCCACAGCTCGAGGAATTACGTCTCCCCATCAGAAGATCCATGGGCGATCAGAAAGAGTGTGAAATGTACAAGGCCATGGGCAGCTTTTCTGCCCTCCACAGCCTGGCACTAGATCTCCATTTCGACCCTCGACCACGGTCGGTGAACCGAAGGGAAGAAATCGCGCCATCTGTTCTTAGAGAGATATTCGTCAACGCGGCTATGGATGAGAACCTCGCTCTCCAGATCTGGCACTTGATTTCGTCGAACCAAGTTTCCCACCGTCTACAGTATCTTCGGATTCTGCCTTTTGGTTTCCTGAACCTCCTGCACGATGATCATCGGGTCGTTGATTGGTTCGCTCGTTCGTTTTTGATCAATCGCTACAACTTCCAGAACGTGGGCGTGCCGACTATCATTGAGCTCGGGAAGAAGGAAAGGGTGATAATTAACCAAGCGCGCTATGAAGGCTTGGGTGAGAGAGATATCCCGGAGAGGCTGGCACAGGTTCTTTCTGATCTCTGGCCATCTGAGCCGGTGAATGGCTGGGAGTCTGAGCGCTGCAGCTTTCCTCTGCAGCCCAACGGTGCCTAAATATCTCATGCCGTGTTACATGTTTCCCAGTCTCTGGAGCGTTCCTTGCCGTCAGACTTTTTCCTCGGTCCATAGCATAGCTTGGTCTTCTTAACTTCATCAACCATATTCATGATACATGTCGACGTCTCCCTCAGTAGACTCTGACACTTGTCTTATTCCGGGAGCCGATAGAGAGACCTTTGGAGCATTCCGCCACATGCGTAGACTCTATCTAGTCGAATAAGGAACCGCTTTACGCTGTGCGTCGATGAGATTTCCATTCTATGAATACTCAGCCTTAGCATGTAAACACATCCTATGCTGTGTAAGAGAGCAGGATAAAATATTGTATCTTCTCCAAATCAAATATCCATTATCGATGGTACGATGCTGGGGGATAGGAATATGAGGCTGGGATCAACCCACCTTTCCTGATCAGCTCACCCCGGCACTGCCCGACCTCCCAAGATCCTCTGGATACTTATAGTCCCTTAAATAAATCCCTAATTAAAACAACCGGACCGATATACTCCCTCCGCCCTCACAAGACTAACCACAAAAGCTCCCCCAAAAATAACCACCCTCAATCGAAGCCCTGCAAACTAATCTCCCTATCACCAGGCCACAACGACGAAAACACCGCAAAGCAGCAATACACTCATCCAACAATATGAACACCAAGTTCCCACCGCCCGAGATCCCATCGTCGCAGCAGCAGAGTCTCCGGATACCAGATCTTACGATAAATAACGCAGCTGATCGACGTGATATACGTATACATCCACGCCGCCACGTTCAGCGAGAGTGCGCAGCTGATGGCTCAGAACAGCGCAATGGCTTCACCAGGATTTTACGGTTAGACTCGACTTTGCCGATCCAGTTTGAGAATAGGAGGCCCTTGTTGCGCGAAGGCGATGGTTTGGCAGGAGGTGGAGGCGTTGAAGAGGATGTTGCTGGATATCAATGGAATGATCGTAGCTGTTGGGCTGTGTATACTGGCGATTGAGGTGGCGGCTTGGAAAATATAGAATGGGAAGCCCATCGTGTTCTTTACACAACCTTCTACGGATGGCGTGGCGGGGAGGTAGGTTGTTATTGGGATGATGGCCATCAGGCCGTTACTGAAGTAGCCCTAGGCTATCGCGACAGGGACGTTTCGAGCGGCGGGTTTAGTCTCTTCGGATATGTAGTATGTTGCGTCGGAGCCCATGTTTCTTGCTAGTGATGTTGACATGGAGTCGCGGGGTGGAACAGTTACAGCCCAGAGCAGCCATAGGTCGTAGATCCCTCTATTTCTTTCTTAAATCAAGACTCCCCGAACAGTATCAGATGAATATACCTTACGTTCCTGCACTTTTCACATCCGAAGCATACATATCACCATCATCTGCCGTCCCCATCGGATCATCCCTTGCAGAGTGTAGCTCCGCATCCTACATTTCCATGGATTTGCGTATGGCCATGGCGACACGCTGGCCAGTCACACTGCCGAAAGGGGTGAAAACGGCAAAGAAGGTACCTAGGTAAGGAGGACCGCTCGGGAACCTAAGCGAAGAGACTTGACTTCTAAACATGTGTCTTCGCATACTTAAGCATTGGCTAACGCCGAGGCTATCCAAGCCTCAAAGAAAGTGGGGCGGATTCTGTGGCTGCATCGGACAGGGATACGAAGGCCACGATGGGAATGGATATGTCTGGTTCCCTTGCGGCGAACAGGTGAGGATTATGCCGTGTCGAAATGAACGCCTTCGACTCGGGATCCTGGGTGCTTGGACTTGATCGTTGTTGTTCTTGTCCGGACCTCCGTGGCTCAGAAGTCCCTGTACGGCGATGGCGTGTACGTGGATGGCGCAATAGTGCCCTAATGCAGGCTGGGATAGGTGGCTTTTTAGCTCAAAGGTTAATTCGAAACCGACCGTTTACTGGTGGGTTCCATGATTCGAAGACGAGATGGAAGATCGCCTGGGATCATCAGGACCCTGCATACCATGCCGTTCCGAACCTTGATCTCGATTAGGTAGTGGATCGAGTGCAGTACATGGAGAAAGTTAAAATCAGAATAGCCGATCGGCTGAAACCCTGTTTAGTCTGTTGAAGTAATTTATTTTTATACATAAAAGCTCGGCGTTGAGTAAGAGCGATGAGGGGGTATCTATCTATTAAAACAAAAACAGTTCCCAGTGAACCGTGAAAAAAATCAATAAATCAGAAAGTCATTCGGGGCACAGAGCTCAAGCTGCTGTGTCATCCCCTTTGTGCACAATATCATCCGCGGTGACCTGCACCTCGTGGCTGTGCTCCAATTCAGAGAGAATGATCCATGTCGGGTAGAATGCGAGCAATGTGATTCCGAAGTTGAGACCAATGCTGACGAAGTGGTTCGCATTGCCTTCGGACTGCATGGCCCATGCAACGGTCTGTCCCAGAGCTTCGAATCCGCGCAGGATACCGCAGTGGTAGGACAGAGACGAGATGTCCGTGCTGTACTGGCCGATCAGCCAGTAGAGGAATTGTTGAAACCCTTGGCCGGCGAAGGTCCAGAAGAAGATGAGTGCGTAGGATTTGTTGAACCCGGGGGTGAACCAGTCCCAGACTGGGGGCTCGGCCATGTCGTAGAACTGCTTCTGCAGGATGGTGGCCCAGATCCAGGTGCCGGTGAGCAGCACGACGATGGTGCAGAAGGCGATCCTGGCGCGGGTCTTGATGAAGATATTTTGGCGATCAAGAAGGTTGGCCAGGAGGAAGGAGGAGGCGATTCCAGCAAAGTTGGTTAAGAATGAGGAGAAAGCACGGGATCGGACAGTGAAGTAGGTGGTCAGCCATGTACTCAGGAAGCCATTGTAGAAATAGCTGATGAAGAAGGCGGGCATAAGCAGGAGGACGCGGCGTGTGGCGAGCAACGAAAGGACAGCCATGAGCTCCTTGCCCCAAGTTTCCTTCTTCTCCACAACGACAAGAGAGCGATCCTTGCGCCGCACCTTCTCAGCAGGACTGAGGAAGAGCGAAATCGGCAGACCGAGACACATGATGGAAATGAAGGTGATATACGTCGCTTCGCTGACGGCTCCTGCCTTGGATGTATTTGCATTTAAACCCAAACTGATAGCACCACCGACGATAGGGCCAGCGGCTTTGGCCGTCTGCCAGATGGCAAGGTAGAAAGCACGCTCACTGGGACTAGGATAACCGATGATAATAGCCGCCTCTGCGGCCCAGAAAAAGCCTGCGGAGATACCGCACAGCGCGGAACCGAAAAGCAGGAACCATGTCGTGGGGTGGTAGTTGTTAGTGTACAGGCCAGCGCCGTAGATCGGGTAAGCAACAGCACCGATCATCAAGCCGTACTTGAGACCAATGCGATTGTTGATAGCACCGGCGGCGACACACACAATAGCAAACAATCCATAAAGCAAAGCGTTGGCGGCGGAAACAGCATAGGGCTCAGCGGCACCACCCGCTCCCACGTTGTTCAAGGCATCCCACATGCCAGGTGCCGTGAATGAGACACCACTCGCAATGGCGATCTGGAATGGGATAGACCGGTACCATGATGCCCGAGACCCGGTAACGGTGATGGTTCGAGCATCATCATCGTGCTCAGACGGGAGCTGTGGCTCGAGAGAGGCCATAATGTACAAACACCCTCTTTTTTCTGTACAAAGGACAATAAACAGCTTAAGGAAGAAACGCAAAGAAAAAGATACTCGATCAAAAAACGAGCCAAGTGGACCTCGATGTCGTGCTCAACGCCAAGGACGGCACGCAGCAAAGTTTGACACATCGTGAGCTCTAGCGGCTTCCCGAGTTCGGCCCGTCGTTCGCGTCTGAATCGCCACCCGTTTCATGCGCAACACTCGATGTGCATCACAACATCGAAACCCACCATGTTCTCATTTTTCAGCGTATCGCAATGCATCCCGATCAAACCCACACTTCAGAACGGTGCATGAGAGAGTTCAAGACAAAACCGGCTTGGAGGCTCGGCCCCAGTGGGATACATATCGAAGGACCAGGGTGTCTCAAGCCACCAACGCTTGGCCAAGCTTATTGATCCTAGGCATATTATAGTGCGCTCTTTGGCATCTTAATTGGCATCCTAGGCCAAACAAGCCATATAGTAGCCCAACCCAATGAGAACCTCACCGCTGTGATAAGAAGCCAACGAGAGACGGTCTTTAGTCGGAGAAATGACAAATCCACACTGTCGATCGGCATTGACTCAGACCGCCCTCGGGTTCGGGGATAATCCCCAGTCGCCGTCTCTCCAACTACCACTCACACCATCTACAACACCGATGGTCAGCAGAAAGAACATCCACTATCCAGCCCAGCAGTAATTCTTGCCATCAGTATGCCTACATGCGAAAGACAGTGCGGTCGCGGCTGGTGACAATATGTTAACGCGGGAGGCGAAGGTAAATCTCGGCCTTCGCTTGGAAATACAGACTGGACGGGGTGGAGTCCGGGGACCATTATGGAGTAGACTCCAATCCAATTCACGACAAAACCACCATGCCATTATCCAAAGACTCGCTTGGAAATCGCACGAGAGAGCTGTGATTCATTGGGCGCTGCAAGATCGTTCAGACACACATCGGTGATCTCGTCCCCGGTCGCTGTGAGGACTGTTGCATGTTGTACTCCGTGGTGGGCGGGCCACGTCTGTGTGGACAATGCATCCCCCGGCCTGCTCCGGATAGGACGAGCCTATGGGAAGCAAACCCTGAGAGTGTACTCCGCACGGAGTAAATAATCAATCATTGGGCAAGTGAGCCATAACGCCTGAAGTTTCCTCACAACGTATAGAATCTGGCCGACACACCCTATCCAAGCAACCCATACCTTCATTCCAAATGCATTTCACCAGCAGCCTGTAAACCACCCACGCAGAGACCCTCAAACGTAGTCCGGGCAGCGCCACAACGAAGAGAAGCGCGAAGCGACGCTTCAGGTCGGCGGTGAAGGAGAACGTGAGCTCGCAAATTCCGAACCGCATTGCGGATATCGTATCCAGCTTCTGCCCTCGCCTACAGCCGAACGTGCACAGTTCCCATCGACATTATAACTTATGTGGAGTATTCTTTCATGCCACCGAGGAAAGTTATTGCAGAGAACCCAGGATGCATTTGATCTGAGGAACTGTATAGAGGACATTGGCATTGCCGATCGTCTGCTGTCTTGGGTATTTGGCGAAGAATCAGAGGCAGCCAAAGACTGCGATGATATCCATTTCGAGAATCATGTAGTGTCTTCTCTGGGTGTGGCAGTTCCTTGAAATGTCACTTAGTATAGATAGATGTAAACCGGAAGCCATAGTCCGTCTTGCTGTTCTGGGTTGGAAGGGACTCTACAGTCGGATATTCCGATCTCATGGCTCTTTGTGCTATCAATTGGATAAAGCTTCTTCCATGGAGTGCGAGGAGGGAGTATCGGGAGTCGGCTCAATGTCTATAGGACTATAGACTATAGTCAATACTTGAGAATATCTTTCTGTTTTCGTTCTTTCAATCATTCTGAACAAGATGCAATCTTCGTTAATGCAAAGTGCGCCGATCATCACGTCTAATGGTACATCTATGGCACCCCTGTACTGTTGCGGAGGAATCGCTGGTCCCGAGATACTTGTCTTAGGTTGTAGTCTGATAGGGGTTCTTTTCGGATTTCTACAAAGAATGTGCCCGATAACGCCCGCTTACCTTGAATAATTGAAAACATAAGTTGCAGCGGGAGCATACGATGCTTTGTTCTGTTTTCGGCGATGGAATGTTTGGCAGACAAGTAATGCAACCCGGTCGATCAATGTTCAACATCAAGGATATATGAAAATGATATTGAGAACTAAACTGATATGACGCTCCATGTGTATCTATGTGTCGAAAGAAGGAAAAACAAATGCTCATGATCATACAATGTATACACCCTCACTTCGAAGTCTGGATATCGATCTTGTAATGCTTGGCGGAGAATGTGACATTCTTGTCCACAGAATAGGTTTCTGTTCCGAAACTCAAACTGCCCAGATAGTCGTCTTTCGCAGGGTATTCGTCGCCTTCCAGATTGTATAGATCTGTGATGAGAGGGTAGATATCCCCAGTGAATTTCTCGGTCATGACGTCCGTAACCCAGGACAAGACCTGCTGGTCTTGGTCATTTTTACCAGAGTAGAGTGTGCTGAAAGATGTGTTAGCTAGTGGCATCGGAACGGATCGCAATCAAGAAGCACAACTCACAATGTTGTCCCATCCAGAGTGCGGTTAATTTCTGGCTTTCCCCAACCATGGGGCTGGGCCACCAGAGATGACATCCAGAACCACACCATGACCTCGAATTTGGCATCGGTTCCATTCTTGGCTTTGTCTTCATCGCTGTCCAAGAACATATCAATGGCAACGTTGGCGGCGAGATTCTCATCCTTCAATGTCTGTTTGTCTGTTGACTCGGCGGGTTGATCGCCTAGTCCGTATGTCCAATGCAAGTCGAGATTCAACTCGGAGATTGTATCCAGCGCCTTCGGCAAAATATCGTCGATTCGAACGTTCGGGTATCCGTGGACAGGTGCTGTCTCTGGGCCAGGGTCGAATTGCCATGTAACGGAGAATTCCGGAGCGGTCTGGGGTACATAGGTCTGGTTGTTGAATGTGGTGACCTAAATGATCGCACTGTTAGCATTCACTCCGAAGACATGGGAATAGATGTCTTCCATACATTCATACACAGCCCGTTTCCTGTGGAAGTTGATGTCACACCCCACTGGTTAGGGTTCACTAGAGTCTCAATCAGTGATTGTTCAACATCCACGGGTAGTTCAATGTCGAGGTCACTCACGGATATATTGTTCAGTCTTTGACGGTGGAGTGATTCCATAAGACAGGTCACAGTATTGAGTGTTTCTCACGCCGGTGCCAGCAGTGCTTTCATGGCCACCGCCATCGCCAGTACTATCGCTGCCGTGACCACCGTGACCACCACCCCCAGAACCTATGGCGTCCTCGTTGTTTCCACCGGTGAATAGAGCCTTCTGGCCTGTCGCAGCTCGGTGGGCATCAATTCCCACCAGTGCTCCAACAGTTGCCCCAACTGGGATGCCCACAAGGACCGTGTTGACCAGTAGTCCTAATCCGAAGATCATGGCCGGCGAGGATATCAAGTAAGGCAGTGAAAGTCACGAAGCAATTGCAAATCAGCAAGTCCCGAAGTCTAAAAAAAGATAACCAAAAAGAACCCTGGTCAGCAAAGGATTCGACAGCGAATAGCAAAGGCGAAATTCTCGCTATCCAGGCAAGAAAGGAAAGATGGATTCACACAGATGCATTGGGCCTAGTGTGTTTAAGATCGGAATCAAGCGTTGACCACCCAACGCTTGTTGATAAGAAGAGCGTCCCCGTGGGTCCTTAGCGTGGTAATGGTGTGCTCATTCAGGGCCCCGTATTGGTATTGATGGTCCTTTGCACCTGCATTTTACCTGCATTTCACCTGCATTTCCGGTTTCTTTTCAGGTACATACCATGTACCATGTACTCCGTACTTTTCAGGAACATACATCCTGCAACCACGTCACCGGGTGGGAACTGGCCCTCAATGGCCGCCGCTGATTGGTCCGATGAGGAGGCAATTTGCAAAAATAAAATGGGCCGGTAAGATTACCCCGGCATACAGGACGGAGCCAAGCCCAAAACAGGTACGCGCTTGATGCAAGCGGAGCCACCCCGATCAAATAGGAAATTCAGATCCTGAAAAAGAACGAAAAAGAGTGAAAACAATGCCCCCCAAAACACAGTGAAACCTTGGAAACCCGGACTCTGGAACATTTGGAAAAAATGGGATTCTATTTTTACGGATGCGGCCACGCCCTAGCCTCAGGGCTTAAACCGTTTCTAGAGGTGTACCACCGATACCCTAACAATAAGAATGTGTATGCTTCTTTTCCACCCGTTTCCATTCTTCCATTCCAGCTCTTCGGGCTGATCACACTCGTTTTCAGCATTTTTGCGATCTTCCCTCGTTAGGTCTTATCGCTCTTCCCTCCGAGAATGGACAGACGCCATGGTCACGATGATCAGGACGAAAAGGTCGAGTTGAATACCTATCGAGCCTATCATCCGAACCATAGCTTTGAACAGCCAGAGACTATTTCTCCCTCTCCAATCTCTCCGAGACCTCTCACTCCGATCAGACCGGGCCATTTCCCTACGGACGACTACGGCCAACCCGTTTGGCTCCAACCCACCGCTCACATGTCGGGTCACTCAGATTCCTATTCCAACACGCCTTGGGAGGCTCGAACGCCGTATGACTCGCGGTCGGCGTCACCAAGTCTGGTAATCAAAATCTCTCCTTTGTGCTTTTGGTCTCTTCTCTATAGATCCCGTTCTAACCGGTCTTTGTCCCACAGTACCAAAACAACGCCGTCCAGGAAAGTCACCAGAGTCTTGCCCCTCTAGTGAGCTCGCCTGTGTCGCCAGGATTTGAGAAGGATTGGGTCAAGTCTGGATCAATTGCTCGCATTCATGACCGCGATGATGTGGACACATGGAAAGGATGGAAGAGATGGGTATTTGCCCTGGTTCCATTCCTCACCTTTGCCAACACCGGTATTTACCTGTTCTATCTTGGGCTGAGAATTGCCTGCATCATTATGGCTCAGAATATTGCTGGAGTCTCATATGCTGGAGCGTGGGTCTTTGTGGCTATTGAAATTGCCGTTGCGATCCCCTCCCTCATGCACAACTGCTGGACCATGATGGCCTTGAAGAAGAGAGGCCGTGCCAAGCTGAGATTGACGGGTGGTGAATGTCCTACAGTGGATGTGTTCATCACTTGCTGCGGAGAGGATGACGAAGTCGTTCTCGATACCGTCCGGGGTGCGTGTGACCAGGACTACCCTCGCGATAGGATGAGGGTAATCATTTTGGACGACGCCAAGTCTGCCACTCTTGAGGCCGCTTGTGAGCAACTCGCAATGAACTATCCCAACATCATCTACATGGCTCGTGAAAAGATCCCCGGAAAGCCCCACCACTTCAAGGCCGGCAATCTCAACTACGGTTTGGAGCAGGTCAATCTCTTGCCTGGAGGTGCTGGCCAGTTCATGGCCGCATTGGACGCCGACATGGTAATTACAAATATCCAGCCTGGTTCGAATTGAAAGTTTGTGTACTAACTGGCAATCGGCAGATTCCCGAACAAGAATGGCTTCGCGCTATCCTTCCCCACTTGCTGGTGGATCCCAAGATGGCCCTTGCGTGTCCGCCGCAACTTTTCTACAACACCCCTGCGTCGGACCCGCTGGCACAAAGTCTGGATTTCTTTGTGCATGTTATTGAGCCGATCAAAGATGCGCTAGGTGTGGCCTGGTGCACTGGATCTGGTTACGTTGTTCGACGCGAGGCACTGGAAGAGATCGGCAACTTCCCACTTGGATCCCTGGCTGAGGATGTCGCAACATCGACTCTGATGCTTGGAAAGGGATGGAAAACTGCGTACATCCACGAGCCTCTGCAGTTTGGTACCGTGCCAGAAGACTTTGGTGGCCATCTCAAACAGCGTACACGATGGGCTATTGGAACCGTCGACACGGCTGCCAAGCTGAAGTTCTGTCTTTGGGGCGATGCTGTCAAACAGATGACTGTCGCTCAGCGTTTCTCTGGTTTCCTGTATGCAACTCTTAGTGTCTATACTCTCCTGTTGACCGCTTCCCTCTTCGCCATCCCCATCATCCTCTTGTGGGGTAAGCGTCTGGTTGCCTTTGCGACAGAAGAACAACTCCGCTGGCTGATTTGGGCCTGCTTCGCCGCCACCATCTCCAACCGTCTTTGTGAAATGGCCCTCTTCATCCCGGCCGGCTATCACACCGGTCAACGAGGCTCCCGTTACCAACTTTGGATGTCTCCTTACATCGCTCTGTGCATTGTGCGCGCCTTCCTGCTGCCTACCTGGTTGGGCGGCCAAGCCCAGGCCTTCAAGCCCACCGGTTCTCTCGGCTCCGCCCTAAATGAGCGCGACCCAAAGAAATCGAAAAACATGTTCGTTCGCCTGCGTGTGATTCTGCTCAATTATATGGCCAGCTTCCACCTTGCCTTCGTCTATGCCACCCTCATTGGCGTCGTCATCTCCTCGTACCGCTGCTTCTCCCAGAACTCTGGCTTCCATGATATTATCCTCTGTCTTATCACGCACGCCTTCTGGCCCCCTCTTACCTTCCTCTACATCTGCACTTCTCTGTGGACTCCCATCTCCTATGCCATCGACCCACCCATCATGCCGGAACGTGAAGAGCTCCTCGTCCGCGACCCCAAGACTGGCGTTGCGCACCCGACCAAGCAGAGTAAGAAAATCGCGTTTGGTGGCCAGGCTGCTTGGTTCGAACTTGAGTATATGGTCGCTACCGTTGTGACCATTCTGGTGTTTATCTACTCGTTCCTGTTCTAATTACTATATAATTCCCTGGACACGATCTTTTGGAAACATCTTCTCTTGTATAGCTAACGTGCCACACGCTTCAATCGCAAATATTCTTTTTTTTTATGTTTCTTCTCCCACGTCATATATGCTAGATAGATACCGCACCGACTAAGCTTTGAGGTCTCGGGTGTATGTACTGTACTCCAGTGTACTGCATGGGTGGGTCCTGTCAGATCAGAACCCTTTCCAAAAGTGACCTGTCGCCCGGGCTGTGTACCTTGACGTACTCCGTACACTGATGTACACTGATGTACACTGATGTACACTGATGTACACTGATGTATACTGATGTATACTGTACATCGATGGATGGAGTACCTGTTCATCACAGATCCACGCTGACCAATCACCTGATCTGCGCCCGTTGAATCTCGCGCGTTGATTCGGTGACTTGCAGGGACTTACGTGTGCGTTATTTCCCCGTACCTATTTGCCCAGCTCAAGCTCCGTGTTCCCTGTCATTTTCTAGGCTTGTCCTGTTGCTCCTCTGGCCTCGCTTATCAAGTCCCACTGATCACCAGCGCGTTCTTTAATAATTCGACCACTTACATCGCACAACGTATTCCGTATCCAGGGACTGAATATCGATCAGCGCTGTTTATCCGTGTCACCGCCGGTTTGGTGACGTTTGTGAGCCTCGGTGGGGTTGTTCAGCGTGTGAATCATGATGCGTTTGAACTAACTCACCGCTGGAACATATTGGGAAACAGTACACGATGTGCAAACTCCTTTTGCGAGAGTTAGGGAGAGTGCCTTGCCTCGGGCGATAGCGAGATTGCGCTTTGTTTAATCTCCACCATGCGGTAGCCTCGCACGTCAGGATCTCCATCCCTGTCATTGGCAATCAAATTGTTTACATTGGGGAACAAAGATACCTTATCGTATCAGCAAAAGATTGCTGCCCCTATGCGAGGGTCGGGGATCGAAATCTTATAGTAAACACTGTTGCTAGGGGACCAGCTACTGATTTTATCACAGCTCCATGGTGCAGGTCCGTGTCTATCGGTTTGCTAAATCAACAACCCTACAAGCGCCAAGGATCGCATTTCTTTATGCTTCGTCTCCTGATTGCGGTGATTATGTTGAAGTACTCCAACGCCGGCGATGTCGGAATCGAACCCCTGCTCACCACCGCCATTGTGTTATCCGCTGTCTATTAATCAAAAACAGGTCCACAACAATCCCCTAACCCCGGCTTATCATCTATATCGCCTTGGCAAAGGATCAACACTGCCATTTAAGGTCTTTTTAGGCCGGCGATCGGTTACACTCCGAACAGCCAACGGTTCGGAGTTCGATCACCTGCCCGTCTTGCACAACCACTGGGCTTCTTCTGACGGTGAGGAGTGTTCGTTTGTCTTCAAGCCACTCGGTCCGGTTGCTGAACTCCCGGTCACATGATCGGTAAACACCTATATCGCCCGTCAGAAATGGCCACTGGGATGCAATGAGTCTCCAAATATGTCATCAGACTCGGCTTCGCAAGGTCGAGAACCGGCATATGCATCGGATGGAGCCTTGCAAGGTCCGTACGACATGGCAGGATGGTCTTAGTTGTGGCTATTTAGAAGAGCAGCTCTATCTTCGAGATCCCGTATAGTTCAGAACTACAAAGCGCATTCAAATTGAACCTTCCAACCTCCGAATTGATTGATTGTTTCCAACTATACATCCGTGACTTCGCAATTCGTATTCCACAATGTCCTTCTTACGAAATTTCTTCGGCACCACCGCCATCCCAGCAAAAGACGAAAAGAAGCCTATCCGGGCACTCCCCGCATCCTGGTACACATCCCAAGAGATGTACGAACTCGAACGCCGATCCATCTTCTCCCGAAAATGGCTCCTCACCACACACAAGCACCGCATCCCCAACGCAGGCGACTGCGTCCACTACGACGCCGCAGGCTACGAGTTCCTCGTCGCCAAAGATGACAACGGAGCCATCAACGCCTTCCACAGCAACGACCTCTTCCCTGCACACGTACACATCGACACAAACGGTTTCATCTGGGTGAACCTCGACGCCAGCGAGACACCCGAAGTAGCATGGAAAGACGACTTCGACGGTGCCGACGAGCAGCCCCGGTTCCAGCACTATAACTTCGAAGACTATGTCTTTGACCATACGTGGGATCAGGAGGGCGAGTTTAACTGGAAGATTCTCGCGGATAACTATAACGAGTGCTATCATTGTCAAGTTGCGCATCCGGATATTCCTACCATCGCCGATCTGAACTCCTATTATGTTCGGACGAAGGATGGGCATATCCAGCACTATGGGGCTCAGCGGGATGATCAGATTGAGAAGGGATTCCGCATTGCAACGACGTATTTCTGGCCGAATGCTTCGTTTAATATCTCGTGGGTGGATATACGGTTCTTGGGTATGAGCTCATTGCTGATGGTTATATCTTCTAGTCCTAATTTCTTCTTTATGCAACGCTTCACGCCAACGAGCCCGACGCAATGTGTGATGCGCTATGAGGTCTACCGTCATAAGCATGCCACTGATGAAGCTTTCAATCTTATTAGTGATATGTATAAGCGTATCATGTCGGAAGATAAGTATCTGTGCGTGCATGCGCAGAAGAATCTCAATGCCGGTGTGTTTGTTAATGGTCAGCTTCATCCGGAGATGGAGAAGGGTCCGCTTCATTTCCAGAAGACGGTGCGGGAGGTTGTTATGGAGCATTTTGCGAAAGAGGAGGTTGTTGGGCATCAGATTTGGCCGGCGAAGCATGCTTCAAAGGAGAGTGTTGCTCGGGAGGAAGATGATGTTGCCTTTGGCGGGGAGTACAGCGTCCAGGTTGATGCGTTCAAGGATTCTATGGGCTCTGGGCTTTCGACTGTCTCGACGATTGCTGTTTAAGATTGGTTTGGCATGACCTATTTCGGTATAATCTAATGGTGCTGGGGTTTTGAATTGTGTTTGACGATCTAGGACTTGGTTTACTTGCAATATTTAGTCTTGACAGAATGTATTCTTCTGATGTTCTTTTTCAATTCGTTATCTCTAATGAATAAGAAACATTCTATATCATAAATCAAGTCTATCAGGCTAATAATCACATTCATTAATACATGTATCCCTGGGGGCAACAAAAACGATCAATCCGTCCAGTCAACAAGAAACTCGTCCAACAAATCAAAATTGTTCCTCTCCCTCTCCCTCTCCCTCTCCATCCGCCCTCGGAGTAAATCAGCAGCGATATCAAATTTGGGCTCGGGCACAGGAGGGTCCTCCACTTTCTGCTGCGGAACATGACTGGGAAGATCCAGAGGCCTGGGAACAGTATTCCCCGACCTCCCCTCTCCAATCAAAGGCTTAGTATCAGGGATCTTAAAATCCACCAATCCAGGATCAATTCCAGGCCGTGTCCTCGTCCCCTGCCCATCAAGCCCTCGATCCAACCCTGACCCCGATCTAGCACCACTCAAAGAAGCACCACCCCCAGAAGCCGTCTTGAGATATCGATATGACTCCCGCGAAGAACCCGGCGACTCAGACTCCGGACTCGTCCGACTATCACTATGATCCACAGAATCCAAACTCCGCGGCGACCACGGCAATCTCTGTTCCAGCGAACCATCCCGTCTCCTCTCCTCCCGTTCCCCCTCCCTCCCCCGATGCCCGCACGCATCCGTAATCAAGTCCGTCAGCAACACATTCAGCTGCGCCAGCCGCTTCATCTGTCTCGCCGGGATGGCGTCATCAGCCGACTTCCTCTTCCGCAAGCCCGGCGTCTCGGACAATTCGCGCCAATCCCGCAACCCCCGTTCGGAGCGCTGCCCGGCTTCGATCTTCAATGTCTCTTCCTCGTCGTACGGGAGGGCGGGCTTGAATGAGATCTCGTGGTCGAGGAGGACTTGGTTGAGGTAGTTGACGCGACTTTCCAGGAAGGCGACGTAGCTGCGGGGCACTTCTTGTTTGGTGAGGGGGTCGTAGCCGACGCAGCGGACTTGGGCTTTTTCGCATGTTTCGCAGCGTGGCAGGCGTTGGTCGCAGCGGTGTTTGCGGATGCGACATCGGTTGCAGGCGGAGACGTTGCGGAATGGGGGGATTGGGAGGTCGGGTTGGGGTTGTGGTTTGGGGGGGTTGGATGGGGGGGTTGAGTGTTTGTTAGGGCTTATAGAGCTGGGAGGGGGGGGACAGGTCCATTGTCTGGTTTTTGGGGACGAGGTCGTGGGGGGGTTTGGCATTTTGTATAATAGTGCTTATGAGAGTATTTGTGAATCGTGTTTCTAGGAATTGCAGGGGGGAAGATGAAAATTCAGGAATTTGGGGGCCAGAAGCCGGTGCGGAGTATCACTTCATAGATCGGCGTGATAGCGGTTTTAACTCCGAGACCACGGCTTGATGTACCGGCTAATGATCAATTCCGGGGCAACTCCGGATCCGAGTTCTAGACTCACCGGGTGCACAGCGGAAATCTGTGTATTTTCCGTGTCCGTGGGGGTGGTTGGGGGCTGTCTTGGCTGGGGGGAGGCGGCCTATATTATCCTCTTGTACGGAGTACTCCGTATACAACGTAGATGTTGAGTCTATTGATCAACTTCCTTGGGTGATCATTGTACGCAATGCTCTGTACTATCCAGTCCATGCATTCATTCATCGCTCACCGAATGGCCATCTGGGCAAAACTATGCCTTTTAGGGACTCGGTTAAACGGCAGGGGTATATTGCGGGGACAATCCTGAGACCATGTGGAGATGCTAATGGAGACTCGAGTAACTCCACTGTGGGATACGTCGGGAAAGGAGCAACGGTCCAATGCCGATTTCTCCCGCGGTCAACGCAAAGGGAAGCTGCCCCGCGAACGCACAATCCATATGCCAGGAAGACCCAGGACCACCCAGAACCACTCAGGAACCCCCAAACGAGTGCCAAGCTTCGGGGCGGGCGCACGGGCCATGGCTTGGCATTGTCCCGGGACTCTTCCCCCGCATTACACAGCACGCTCTCTCTATACAACATATTCTCTATTGCTCTCGGCAATCTAGTCTGCTCAATCTCGCTTCTGGGGCCAATAGAGCTGTATATTGGGGCTTTTTTTTGGAGCTTTTCTGTCGGACATCATGTTGACTGAATCGATAAAACCCCTGGAAAGCTCAACACCTCTAGAGTTTGGCAGGATTCGACTATGACCAATAAACTAGCAATTGAAGATATAGATTCAAAATAGCCCTATTGAGTGATCTCATCGCAAACAGGGTGGATATTCAAGGATCCAGGGGCCGAGCATCTTTGCCGGTCATAGGGCATCAGACGGACTGTCAAGGGAAGTCAATTGGACTGTTCAACACAGAGACCCAGTCTGATCATACTAGAAATGACCTCGAAAGCAATTCCTCGTTTCGAATGAACTGGCGGCCGCATATTGAGCAATTTCAGCTCTGAATCAGCCCGGCATCATGGGATAGGCCCGATCAAGAATGATACGTATCATTCTATGCGATATAAAGAACACCTTTCCAAGATAGTCATCTTATCAAGACAGGAGAAGCTAGTATCTGCATGTACTACGATGATGGAATAGCATCGGGACTCGCGATTGTATTATTATTCCTGCATCATATCTCAGTCCCCCGTCGTCTCCGCAGATCCAGATACTTAGCAGCATAGTCATTAGCCAAGACCGGATCGCCTGTAAGATGCATCACAGTAGCCTTTTTAGCCATCATCTCCGTCTGACCCTTGATATCCTCGATTTCCTCGAAATGATCATACGCCGAGTCAATGTACCCAAGAGCACGATTGATATGCTCTTTTCGCGCGGACGTCGAGTCCCGTCCCTTCAAGCTCCACAGCTCACCCGCCATACCCATATTCGCATCAACGAGCAGCGAATATGCATTCGCGATAAGGCCGTAGTCTTCTGACTCCAGGATCTGGGGCATGATGCTCTCGACGAGTTCGCCTGTTGCTTCGAATTCGCGGAGACTTAGTAACACCGTTGATAGTGTGCAAATGGCCTCCCAGAGATCAGCGAGGAGTTTTGAGCGATGTGCTATGTTTGCGGCGCGCATGGCGAGGGAGAAGCCGCGTTGGGGTTGGCCTGATTTTCCGAGGATTTGGGCTTTGAGACAGAGGAGCTTGACTTGGGAATGGACGTCGAAGTTCTCTGGTTGCATTGAGTGGGCGGCTTGCTCGACCATTCTTAAGGCGCGGCCATAGTCGCCCTGGCGCATGGTGAATTCTATGGATTGGAAGGCCAGAAGAAGGCGCATGTCGAAATCGCGGAGTTGCACTGCTTCAAGTTGCGCTAGGATGTGTTCGACGGCCACCTTATCATCACTATAGAGTGTTAGACTTGGGCTTGGAGGATTGCATTTAGTTAGAGGTACTTACCGACAGATTTGGCGCCGCAATTGCAGAAGCCCTGAGTACCAAGTCCATGCATTATTGTATTTGAATGAACGCAGCTTCTCTGGGTCGATTTTATTCATCCGCGTGGATGCCTCCTTGTAATTGCCCTTTTGGGTCAACTGCGGGTGAAAAGTCAGCATGTCTGTCACATAGCCCAATGAAAAGTTCACATACTATTTGGCAGTTTCGGAATGTAATCCTGACACAGTCATCGTGAGGTTGTTTCTCTGAATAGCACTCGCGGAATACCTCTGTATTCAGCCAAGCAAGATGAGTTGCGCCTGCCAGGGTATGTTAGCGTCATCACAGTCAACCTAGACCTTTATGACCTTACCTATCCTGGCATACATGGATCCATGCAGCCCCATGTGGGCACCCGTGGGACTGACAAGACCCTTTATCACATTAACGTGGGATGCTCGCACAAATGTTTCGACAATCGAGGCAAGACTCTCTCCCTGTTTTTCATTAGCATCCATTGATCTTTCAAAGAAGAACGACATCCTTACTTGTTGCATCTCCAATTTGGCTTCGCTTAGCAATGTGGTACTCATGAGAGACCACATTTCGGTCTCCTTGGCCTTGTACTTGAGGAAAGCGAGGCCCTCTTTTTCATTGCCCAGCATTCCACTATTCTGAACTTCTCTCATCTGCTCTGGGAAGGCTTTGCTGAAGTGATACAGCCAGCTCATACAGAAGTTCAAGCAGTTCATATCGTGAGACTCGCGAGCGATGGCAACGGCCTCTTGCACGGCGGAGATAGCTTCGTTGAAACACTCGAAATCTGCTTGCATGATAGCTAAGTTCAGGAGCGCAAACTGATATGAACTTCTGTCCAGGCTCTCATGCATAGTGTAGTCGAAGTAGCGGTGGAGATTATCAAAAGCTGAGGTGTAATCTCCCGCCCTCCAGGCATCCAAATATCTAAGATTGAGTTAGTTCCGATATACGTCAATGATCATTTTGACCAGGACATACTCTAGATAGTGCATCTGTACTGGAATTGAAGACTCTGCAGTGATGATGCGCTTCAGCTGAGCCCTCATTTCATCTGGAACTCTGCCTCCCATTCCTACACCCATTAGCACATGTTCATGAGGTTAGAAGAGATCAGCATACTTTGAAGTTCACCAACCTGGAACTCAAGCAATCGCTCTGCGTCCTTGGCGCTGACCTCTTCTTCTTCATCTTCATCTTCGATATTACCATACACCACCTGTGAAAGGTGGCTAGTGGAATCCAGTCCAAGGTCGCGTAAATTGACATCAATGGCGATTTCCCCGGCCTCGTGATGCCTGCGACTCCAGTAGCTGTATGTTGGCAGACGATATCTGACGAATCCCGTCCAGAGTTTCACAGAATCGTGGAACTGCAATCGCGTATATTCAAGGTAAGCTCTCCGTATGAATATGCCCAGCGGCGAACTCCTAGACAAGCGCATGCGATCATCTTTCTCCGGTACAATTCCATTGTCCCTCTCATGGATCAATTCATCACGCGATTTTTCCAGTAGCGACAGGATAACATCGCTGAAGAAAGTTTCCAAAGCATCCAGCGAGTCGATGGACCACAGGTTCTTCAGAAACAAGTCCCAGAGCGTGCGCCCAGGAACAGATGACTCCTGGCCAGATAGACACTTTTCGAACTCCGAAATTGTCGGCATGTAATGCTCCTCCCATTGCTTATCGGCGGCATCTAGTGGGAACAGACCCGCTGTGAGAAACGAGAGGACGTGAATAGCTGAAGAGTTGGGCACAACGCCATCGGCGTACAGTGTGACCAGACACAGCAAGGAGACTCTCCAGGGAGTCAAATAACGCGTCATTTTGCCTGCACTATGGCTGTCCCATCTTGCTGTGGTCTCTCAAACGGTATATTGTTCCCAAGGGCGCGTGTGTCCGGGGAATAATTAATCGACACCTGAGGCTGCAAGGCAGGAATGCGGGACAACTAGGGGAAAAGGTATGACGCATAACTACTTTCCCTCCGCAACTCACCAATTGTACAATTGCACAATGGCTCAAGCTCTGACAACCACAGATTTGCAGGGTGCTTTGCCCCTGATTGCCAGAGGCAAGGTCCGCGATCTCTATGAGATCGACGATAAGACCCTCCTCTTCGTTGCGAGCGATCGTATCTCCGCCTACGATGTGATTATGGAGAATGTACAATTCCCCCACACCAACACCACAATTGTCTAATTACGCAACGTGCTAACGCTGGTTTTTCTTTGAAATTAGGGAATTCCCAACAAGGGCGTTCTCCTCACCCTTTGCACGCAAACATGGTTCAAGGCTCTGACTGAGGCTAACCCCGCCCTCCGTACTCACTTCATCACCCTCGATCTCCCACCCCAGATTCCAGAATCGCTCCGTCCGATCCTGCAAAATCGCAGTATGCAAGTCCGCAAGCTGCGCATTCTCCCCATCGAGGCAATCGTTCGCGGATATATCACTGGCTCGGCATGGAATGAATACAAGAAGTCCGGAACCGTGCATGGAATCAAGGTCCCCGCCGGTCTGCAGGAGAGCCAGGCTTTCCCCGACGGCCCAATCTACACCCCCAGCACAAAGGCAGAGCAGGGCGAGCACGATGAGAACATTCATCCCGATCAAGGTACGTTCTTTTTGTCCCATATATCTGCATAATATACAACGTGACAGACACTAACGTCTGTCAATCCACAGCCGTCGCCATCCTGGGTGAGCCCTACGCCTCGACCGTTGCCAAGATGGCCGTTGAGCTCTACAAGACCGCGCATGAGTACGCTCTCGCTCGCGGCGTGATCATCGCCGATACCAAGTTCGAGTTCGGAGTTGATGAGGAAACCGGCGAGGTTGTGCTGGCTGATGAAGTCCTGACTCCCGATTCCTCTCGCTTCTGGCCTAAAGAGTCCTACGCTATCGGTCGCGGCCAGTCCAGCTTTGATAAGCAGTTCCTGCGTGACTGGTTGGTCAGCGAGGGTCTCAAGGGCAAGGAGGGTGTGCGCATGCCTGATGATATTGCGCTCAAGACCGCGGAAAAGTACCAGGAGGCTTGGGAGAAGATCACGGGCGGTGTCTCGAACTAGAGGCAACGGACAAGGCATTTCGGGGGTATATATAGGATTTCAAAATTAGACACGAGGTATCTGTTTATGAATAATTTGGGATGAAAATGAAATTTCAAGGTTATGTCCGAAGGGTGCTGTCTGGCATAGATTGTCATAGCAGAGATTATTATACAGATAAATGGCTTTTATACCCTACCTTTATTCCTCCCACTCAGACTTCAAGCCCTTGAGACCTTTGGCATTTGAATCCCGGGTCTGCTGCTTGTTCTCTTTCTTAATGGGAGTTTGCTTGGGCGTATCAGTCCAACCAGACTGGACACCCTCATCAAGAGGCAGCGCGTTAGCCCCACAAATGCGACGCTCCTCTTCAACCTCCGCCTCACTAATTCCATTCGTCGCCCAGATCTTGTGAATGCGCAGATCAAAGGGTCCCTCAACACGGTCCGTGAGACCAATACCAATACTCTTAACCCGCTGCCGAGTCAAAGAGGTCTGTGGCTCAATAACGAATCCGTGGTTCGTTCGTACAAACGAGTTGAATGGCAATAGTACGGTCTCCCACCCATCCGTGCCCGAAGTCGTTGTGCTGGTAAAGGTTGAAATGATTGTCGATTCGGGCGGGACGTCTGAGAGCGCGGCAGGCATGCCGCCTGGATACAAATCCTCAGCGGCATCGGGTGTGTCAGCCTGGAAGCTATATGCATCCTCGGAGGTGGCTTCTGCGTCGCGCACACGGTGGTGTCGCGTGTATAATCTGTGTTGGTGGATATCGGTCTCGACAACGGCATCGGTCTGCACGTTAACGGTGTATCGCCGGCCATCGGACTTGATGCGCAGCGCGAGATACGCATAGGGATCGACATCCCAGAAAAGCTTGCCGAAGAGCCAGTAGCCCCGGTCTTGGTTGCGGAACGCGGCGTAGCCTGGTGTGCCGGTATTAGCAATGGTTTTTCTTCCGTGCCGTATTGCGCTGTTTACGCCATCGGGTGTAGTGTAATTTCGTCTAGGCAGCACATACCGGTCCTTTCAACGCGCCAATTATCTGGAAGTTTAGTTGAGATGCTACCGTGGAAGCGAGCATGCGAGGGAGTATTCGAGGAAGGTTCGGCGGGTTCGAAGTCTAGGGTGGCTGTGCTGAAGCCTCCGACGGCACGGTCGGCCATGGTCTTGCATCCTGTCACGGTGCTTTCATCTTCGAAATTGAGGAGGGTATAAGGTTTGGTAGGGGTGTGCAGGGCTTCTGTGTTCCAGGCTGCGAATCTTTAGTCAAGCGGCCAGACTGACGGCATTGACACAACTTACCAATCTTTGATAGACGGCCGAATTCATCGGCACTTCGTCTGAAGAACCCGCCCTGGGCTAATCGGCGGGTGGGATGGAACATACTGGAGTAATTGAGGGAGATCTGGGGGAAGAGGAAGCTCACGGCGGTAGTTATGTCCAACGGCTTTCCGAGGTGGCGTGAACGGCGATAAGATAGCTTGTTTGTGCTGTTTGGTCTCTTCTCTCTGCTCTCTGCTCCGTGTGCATCTACACGATTGCTTCTACACGATAAACTGGCTTTTCTCCTCGATATCAAGGTTTTTATTTCGTTTCAGCATACAGCTGGATACACGTTTTCTCTGAATCATATACTACACGTCACTATGTCACCACCCTATTTTCCAAGGGTCCAGTCCTCAAGGGTTCATGATTCACGCTAAGTATTTGGTTTCGTTTTTGATTTTTCGAAGGCAGCATTTTTTATAAACTTCTTTATTCAATTATCTCCTTTTTGTTGGGCATCTTTCTAGACGGCTGTGTCTGGATACCAACTGCCATGCATTTGCCGACAACTGACGACATTCTGATGCTTAGGTGTAGCCCTTGTGGCTTTTATACTTCAGTTGGCCGACATTTGAATGGAGGTAATGCGTATTGCCTTTTATAGGATATGGTAGAATCCGTCTCCATACTCCATGGCCAACTATATACGAGATTTCACATGCAATCTGCGGGATAAAACCCATCGTGAATGCCTGGTTCCGACTACCTTGATGGATTTCGTGATGGTGAACCACTGGCTTGCACTGTTGTAAGCATGGCTCAGTTCTGACTCAAATCCCACTGTTCTAGTCGATGACTTTCGGGACTATACCATGGTTGAGATTCTATCTACTTGTCTGTGTCGGGGAGATCTGGTCGGAAAAACGGATATTCTGATATCTATCCCAATTTGGCGACGGAGATGGTATTCGCAGACGCTCCCCCCATTCTCTGTAGTTATCTGAATAGTCTGCTCTTTGCTTCTCTCTATCGCAGTTCATAGTTTTATATCACTCTCGTTTATCACAGTTAAACCCATTCGTTTTATCACCGGACAATATTTAGCCACCCTTTGGTTGATTTGGATACCCAAATGGCCATTCACTATGTTGAGCAGGATGGCTCTGAGCCTAGTACTCAGGGATCTCACACCCCAGAGCCTACCGTCCAAGAAGATGATGCTCACGAACATACGGCTTCGGAAACCAGTGACCCTGAGTCTAGTAGCTCGGACCCTAGCACTCCAGAACAAACTGCTGAGCCAGCCAAGCCCAAATACTCTCCTCGTGCAGACCGACTGAACCAAAAGCCAACCAAGGGAAATGCACAGGGACTTTTCCTTCCCAGTTGTTGTGTGTTTGTGGGGAAGTAAGTATTCCTGCAGGCTGGTTGGTTATATATATATATATATGTACTGACCAAGATCCCTAGTCTATCTGTTAGAATGTCTATGCAGCGGTTGGAGGATGATCTTACTGCGCTGATCTCTGTGTTTGGACGATGCCATGTTAAAATCAAAATAGCGAACGACCGAAAACTCCCCGTTGGGTTTGTACAGTTCGAAGTAAGGCCCAAGGTGATATAGTTGGAGATAGGGACATGCAGGCTAATATGAGAACCAGGATCTTAAATCAGCAACATCAGCATTGAAGCAGAACGGACAATTGGTCCTTCATAATCGGGTGTTGAGGTTGGAATTGTCCAACTGCAAACGTGAGTATTCTTTTGTTCTTTGTGACATTCCCATCTGCTATATCTGCTGTGTCTATTTGTATCTACTGTGTCCGCTGTATCATCTGCATCTCTCCATTGCACCTTCTCATCGAGCCTTCCTGACTCTTTCCCCAGGAACTGCCTTCTTCGGCCACATTTCTGACTCTCCGGTTACTCGAGACGAAGTCCTCTCTGTTCTCAAGGTACATGGTGCTCTCGAGAATATAACCATCAAGCCCTTTGTCCACTGGGAGGGCTTCCGCTCTACCTTTGGCATTGTTACTTTCGCATACCCCGACGATTACGCAGATGCCCTTCAGGTACGTAGTTTTTCAAACTCATCCTGATTCTGCTGACCGCGTGGGATGTTCTAGTATTTTCAAAACAACCGCAGATACTATTTGATCAGAGCCAATATGGACAAGGACGGTCAGCTTCCCCAGGAGGGCCAGCTTCCTCAGGACTACCCTGCTCCAGGACATAGGCCTTCCAACCAACCTCCCCCAGCCCGCGGCAATCAGCAGCGATACAACGGCCGTAGAGGCTATCATCGTCCTTGGTACAGTGGCAGCAATAGCAGCAGAGGCGGGTTTCGCAATGGCCCTGGGGGTCCCCCGAGACAAAACCCATCATTTTCCAGCAATAACCAAAATCCACCTTTCAACAATCAGGGTAATCCACCTCACGGGTCTTTCTCTCAGAATTACCCCGGCAACAATTTCCCTCAGGGCTACAACAACCAGTTCAATCAAGGCTATCCCAACCCCATGTTCAATCAAACTTACCCTAACAACTTCCCCCAGACCCTTCAGGGCAACAACTTCCAACCAGGCTATCCCAATCCAAGCTTCGTAGCTCCAGGTGCTTTCCCCAACCCTATGGTGTTCAACCAAATTCCAATGGCTGACGGCCCACCCCCACCGTATCCTACGGAGTACACAGCTATGCCAAACCCCGGGTTCCCTATCTATCAACCATTCCAGCCACCCAACCCTCTCCCACCTATCGTGACCCAAGCTCAGGCTGTCCCGCCTCCAGTTACCCACCGCCGACGCCTGCCACCTCGTCCCGACTGTCCTTTGATTGTCTCCAGTCAGCCCCAGTTTGACACCGAAGAACACTTGCGACTCTACTATGAGCCCTACCCTGCCAACGAAGTCTTCCAGGGTATGCAGCCAGCTTGGGTTGGTTATCCGGGTGGTGATTACATGCAGCAAGGCTATACTCAACCCTACTCGCCTGGTGCTGGTGATTATCGTAGCCGGCACTCGAGTATGGAAAGTCATCAGAACCCCAATTCACCTCCCAGAGTCGGTGCATCTGAGACAACCCTGACACAGACGAAGATCGTCAGCGATGGGACTGAGAGAGGACGCCAACTGACCCGACCGTGCCATGCTAACACCGATGGGGCCTCTGACATGGCTCCCGTGGCTGATCCTACTCAGACGCAGACCGACCCGGTCTCTACGCAAGCTTCGAGTGGTTTGAAGGAAGAAGTCCAGACAACAGATGCAGCTGAGCTTACTGAAACTCAAATCGAGCCCGCCGCTCCTGTGGATGACTCTCAATCACAGAAGCATCAGAATGAGCCTGAAAATGAACCCAACGAGCTTCAAACTACCCTTATCTGCACTGCACCACCTGAACAAAAGGATGAAAACTCGAATGAAGAAGCCAAGCAACCATTGCAGATTGATCCCAAGCACGAAGAAAGCACTGGGTCCTCTTCTGAAGCCGGCCCCAAGACACCAGATACCGATGAGTCGCGGGAACGCGCCAGTCTTCAGACACCAGCCCCAGCCGAGTCTTCGAAGCCAGCCGAAACCGAGGCCATCGACACAGCCGTGACTATCAAACCAATGGAGAAGGAAACTCCCCTTAAAGGAAGCCCCGAGGCTCCGGCCACACCAAGTACTTCCTCAACTCTCAAGCCAATTGAGAAGGACACCCCAGACAAAGCCAAAGGCAAAGCCCCGACCACGCCCACCCCAACCAAGACCGGCACTCAGAGACTCGAGCCCGCAGTGCCAGACGACAAACATCTATTGGCTCGCCATACTTTCCAGCACCGCAAGCCTCTCAAGAAAAAGTACCAACCAAAGACCGCCACTGGTAAGACAGTTGAACAATACACACGCGAGATCAATTCGCAGCGTGCCGCGGATGATCCCGACTCGCGTGTCCCAGAACATCTTCTACAAGAGGTTATACAGGAGCTAGAGAACGAGCGCAGAGAGAATGCTCGCAAGAGCCGAGGACTCGGCCCCAGTGATAAGAGCAGCACCGCCAGTGGTGCTTCGAAGAAATAAGTTTGAGATTGATTATTGAGATGACGGAGGAGATTAGCCAGTTTGATTTCGTTGCTATGCTGGTCTTTCTATTATTATTTTCTTTTAGTACTTTTATGGGTCTTCTACTTTGTTTTTCTTGTCTCATGCGGTATCCAAGTTTATGTCTCTGCCTCGAAAAGAAGAAAAATATACAAAAAAAAGACCTGGGACTATGTCCATTACGATGGGTGTACCCAAGACAGTTACCAGAATCCAATTTGTTATTCCGCGCTTCCTCTTTGTTCTTGTCATGTGCGGCCTCAGAGCACTCGTACTTAAACAGCTGATAAGTCTTCATTCTGGTGTTTTTAGAAAGGAAATATATAAAGACCGAGTATCAAGTATGAAAAATAATCAATGATATGATCTAAATCATTTCAAAAAAAAAAAAGCCACACGGCAACTTGATCCCTGTCCATGTAAACGCCGAGAACGAGAAAGCCATGATATGTACAAAATGCTTCTCGATGCAATCTTGGATGCCATGAATACCGAAACCAAATGCCAGTGAGGGGGATAATAATGCGCGCCGAATAAAATGAATCCTACAAAGAGGAAAGGCACATAACGCAGAGAAAATAAGTGGCAAATTGCAGATGCAAACGCTCATGGGGAGAATAGAGTGGTCATGATGAGAAGATTTGAGAAGGAATGCGGAGAAAGGGTATGAAACAGAAACAGAAGCAAGGATATCAAGTAGCAATAGGGAAAAGTGTGGCCTCTGCCAATTAGATGTGGTCATTAAGCTCTCACACGCCTAGCATCGAAATAGCCCAGGTTGACAGCCGTGTCATTGATACCCAAGAATGGAGCTGCATCCTCGAGTAATTCCCATGGACGGACTGGGTAAGGTCCGAGGATTCGACCACGGTGTTGAAGACGAAGTCGGTTGGTCATACAGTTTGAGCCATCAGATAGCCCCATAGACAACCCCGACGCCGCTACAACAGAATGCTGCGCTGGGGATGGTCCAACAGCAGGGAAGAGAGTAGATGCAGACATTGGGGTCGATGCCGAGGCTGCCGGGGATGGAGCTGAGACTTGCTGCGCATTGGCGGAAGATTGCTCTGCCATCGGGCCCAGGAGATACAGGAAGCGAGTGTCGTTCTGGAATGGGATGAAGGACGGGCATTTGTTTTTGAGGAAGCGTGCGCATTGGTGACGGACGTCATCTGGGAAGATGTCGATGAGTGAGGCGGCAACGTCGAGAGCGTGGGTCTGCAGGAGAATTCCTGGACAAGGACGGAAATTCTCCGTCGGTGCCGGGTGCGGGAAGTAGTCGGCGGCAGGGAAAAGACGGAGGACATCTCCCGGGAGGCGCGAGAGTGCGATGCAGAAGATCGAAGCCAGAAGTCGGAGCTGTTCGTGCGGAGGGTTGGCCTTTAGAGCCGTGGGCGGCTGAATGAAGGCAGACCGATGCAGGACAATCATCCTCAGAAGAGCGGAAAACCAGAATGCAAGAGCACGCTCGAACTTTGCACGATCTGGGTTCGCTGCACCCTTGAGGGTGCTATTGTTGATTGTTATGATCTTGTGAAGAAGGGATTCTATCTTTTCCACTAGCAATGAAGCGACCGATGGAGCTCCAGACTCAGGGATGCTGCTGGAGAGTTCTTCTATCATTGTGAGATACATCCTGGCGGTTTGGAATGATCCTGGCCTGTCAGAGGAATCTGACGCATCATCTGTTGGCTCTCCGAGTAGCGGGATGGAGAAGAACTCCTTCTCGGCACGTTCCCGAATTTGACGCACTGCCTCTGGGCTCATCAGTGCAACCAAGTCCACCCAGTGAAATTTGTGAGCACGACAGTCTGTTACGGCGGTTTTGAACATAGCATCAACAATGTTGGTTTGATCTTCAGGGCTTGAGTCCGCATGGAACAGAACTTGGAGCTTCAGCTGGCAGAATGGAAGCGAGAAGTCGTCAGTCATACTGGCAAGCTTTTCAACCTTTGAGAGGACGGAATTTCCGTCGGACTGTGACTCAACACCCAACAGAAGGTCCAGCGCTTTCTGAACAATGCCCAAAGCGGCTGGGTATTGGTTGATGAGCTTTTGCATCCCGTTTTGTGCCGCACTGTCGGGATTTCGAACAAGAAGATCACGTACAATCATGACCATAGATTTCTCCAGCTCGGGGTACCCTGCTGAAACACCAGCTAGATTGGAAGATGCCGCATCGCAAATAATTCTCAGCGCTTCCTCCGAGTTCTTAGTGAGGAACTCTTGCTGTGCCAAATGGAAACGATATGATACTAAATCGGAGGACCTGCTATCTTCGTCACCAAAGACAAGAAGTTGAACAAGTTCAGCTGGCAGTTGAGCTGCGTTGGGGACCTTCGCTGGCGTGGAGAGTGCAAGTCTCCTTGCAAGGGCCAAGAAAGATCTGATGGTGACGCATCCGACACCGATTAGAGGTGGTAGGATCCGCAGCAAGGTGATGCGCTCAGGAACTCGCAAATGACCACAGACCCAACGGGCAAGAATGCCATCGAAATGCTTCGGGTGAAACGACCTCAGCTGTGCAAGATAACGAGCAGTATCATTTGCTGACAAATTTGCATGGCCATCAGTAGATTCCAGGTGTTTGGTGAGTGTGTTGAAAATCGTGTCCAAGGTGGGCTCATCCATGATACTTCCTGATTGCAACAGTTGATCTAACTTCCCTCGGAAAGAAGGATCGACATCACCAAAGCCATCGGGAATATGATCGGAGACTGGAGAAGATGCGGCAATTATAGACTTGTTCTCCATGCGAGAGAGATCCTGACGGAGAATAGACACAGTGTTGAATTCACTCGGTATACGCAAACCAAGTTCAATCAAAGAGAATATCAAATCGAGACTTGGCATGCCAGACCTCTTAATGCCGGCGTAGGCATCGATGAGTCTCCGGAACAGATCGGTTGTGGCACCAATTACGCAAAGAGAGTCAAAATGGCAGTTCGTCGTATCAGCAACCGAAGCGAGAACGGTATCATCGCTGCAACTGGATGAGAATTTCAACACATCCGCCAACATTGAGATATCATCAAATGATTCAAGAACCTCGCGGACGGTATAAAACTCAGCGGGCGTCAGGGCAGACACAATAGGAGCAATGTCAATAGGAAACGCTGTTCTATTGGTTGATCTGTTAGATGGTTAGCAAGATAAACTGGCAATGGTTAAAAATAAAGATAAAAGATAAAAGAGAGAGAAAACGCTTACTCCACACATCGGTTATGTTCTGCAATTGCACGGCGTAGCCACTGACCAACCTCAGCTTTCACAGCCCAAGGCATATTTGGCGGTATTGAGTCTAGTGGCATTTTCGTAGGCTCCTCGACGCCAAAAATCCCAGGAAGACGCTGGCTGATGATACTTTTCACGTTATCGACGGCTGAGCTCTCCTCGGCAGCAGAGAGTCCAGTACGAGCCAACAGAGTACTGCGCAGGTTCCCAACATGCTCCGGAAGACGGCCAACAGGAAGTTGCGCTATCAGTCCAATATCAATTGGCAAGTCCTTTAACTACACGTCTGTCAGTAAACGAAAGGCTGTATCCGTCAAACTCGGACTTACATTATGCTCCTGGGCTGAAGAGCCATTAGTAACGCCTCGTGCCATGAGCCATTGAAGATAACGGCCAACTGAAAATGTTTGCGACCTGACAAGTTCAGAAATGACATGATAGATTTGTTCCATGTTGAGCTTCTGATTATTCTGCCCACGAGATAGAAAAGTGAGTATGTGGGTGTCTATATCGACGCCGGCTGACTTCCATTTGCGAAGTAGGCGAACGCCAATGTAAACACGACAAAGGCCGTGGCGGAAGGGTGTTGAGAGCCATTCGAGTAGTTTGGATACCAGGATAGACTTGTCATCAAATGCGTCAAGAAACGTGGAGATAGAGGAGAGATCGTGAGCGGAGCGGATGGAGTCCAGAAGTCGGACGATCCGTTGATGTGGTGAGCGTTGAGTTATCTGCTTTGAGTGCCTGGGTCGTTGCACTCGTGCGTTGCGCTCTGCAAGGTTCTGGAAAAGAGCTTTGTCCGTTTCATTTCCCAGGTCAAGGGCGGATATGACATGTTGTTTATACGTCTCCCACGAATTCGGAAGTATCATCGAGGATGTATGGTCACGAACAAGCTTTCTGATAAACCGAGACAGGCGGTCAATGAGCGGTTGAAGTTGGGGTAATTTGATTTCCGTTGCCTATTATCAACTGTCAGTACCAGCCAGGATAGAAGGCAGTTAGTTCAATTTGACGCACCTGGCGCACTTTTTGCAGCAGCAGCTCAGCTAATCTTCGTCCCCTTCGTCGATATCGCATAATACTGTTCCAGTATATACCGAGCATCAACAGCCAGATCGGAACCGTGCCAATAGAAGCAGCCTCGAAGGATGTCAAAAACCATTCAAGGAAATGGTCGTGGTCTAGAAGGTTTTCGGAGAAGAAACGAGCAGCCAACCCGACACTGGAGACAAAAAGTCAGTATGTAGCTCGCAGTCGAGGGCGATGTAGTGCACACATACGCATAGGTCATTTTGGCCTTCCAATCTGCAGACTTGGGCGCAGCAAACACTCCTTCGACAAATTGCTGAACATTCGTCGTCCAGTCTCGTACCCACTTCGCCTCCAGCCCGACAGCCAAAGAACCACTGGTGCCTTTCCGCTTGAACGCACGGATTTCATTTGCACCCACACATTTTGCTAACCAGACAGCACGTGCAACAGGGATCCATTTACCAAGACATTGGTCTAGAAGAACCTTGCCACGGATGCCATGTGGAATGGTGCGACTCAGCCTTCGCAGCGGAACAGATGGGTTCGCGAGGTCTCGAAGCCACGCTTCTCGCTTGTTGTCAGTGAGAGTGACTCGAGGCGGTGGCTTAAAGGTTGATGGGGCGTGGATAGTGTTGTGGCCTTGTCGTTTCTCCAACGCAGCAGCGAAGACCGACGAGAGCATTTGTAACCCCGTGCGATGCTTGAGCTGCGCATATAATGCAGGACGCGCTGTGTTCGATTCATTCTGGGAGACTTGCGTGCGATCATAGTAGCCTTGTTTCGCGGTTTGCTCGCTCAGTATGTCCTCCGGGTGGTTTCCAGTCCACGGGGCGAAATCGGCAGGTTCTAAGAAATACCTGTTAGTCTGAGAGCCACCATCAAGGGGTTGAGGGTGTTCATTTACTTTGGCTTTTATAAACTGGGGCGACAGCGGGAATCTCAATGCGATACGGGGTTGTCTGCACAGCCCCGACTGGAGAGCTTTCCCTCGACTTCACAACATTACTTCCCTCGGGTTCAACAACTGGAATGTTCTTCCAAGGCTGGGCCGGCAAAGGAGGCGGGGATGAAGGTTTCGATGCGGCAGCGCTGTCCCCTCGATTCTCAATGCTCGGGAGCTCCGACACAACGGCCTGGAAAGACCAGGCCGGCCGGCCGCGCCATGAGACTGCAGGTCGCGAGCTTGCGCTTGCAGGAGTATTCCTCGCATCTCCAGTTCCCGCGCCAGTGTCCGCTGTATTTGATCCACTCGGGACCTCCAATCTCGGTCGTTTGGGGGGTGGTTCTCTATCTTGCGACTCAGGATCACCTGCGGTCAGGTCCACGAGGGCGGGTTGTCGAGTCGGCTGGGGGTTTGGCGCTGGTCTCTCAGATTGGTGATCATACAGCATCTGCGCATTATCAACTCGTCCGGGGGCGCCATTGAACGTCCGCAGAGGGTGGCCCCACGGTTGACCGCCGGCAGAGGAATGGGGGATCATCTTAGGCTCATGATGTGTCTAGAGGATGAAGTATTTGGGTCATCCAGGCGATAATTTCGAGGATTCGGGATGAGATCAGAATGGATGTAAATGCACGGAATTAGATGGGGCTGGTTGGGTGAGCTGATGTCGGATCGGGGAGCGGCGACTCGGATGTGTCTGGGGGTAAATCGGTGATGAGAACACCACTCTTTTTTTTTTCCTTTCTTTAGAAGAGGGAAATTAATCCCAAAATTAAAACAAAACAAATGAAAAACTAGCAGTTCAAGGGTAGGGTTGTACGAAATGAGCCAGTCCAAGAAGTCCCCCGATCTCATAACTTAAGTCATCAAAGTCCAGGGATCGACAGAATGCGCAGGTTGTGTTCCTCCACATTTGACTACATACTATCATATGATTGTACTCCATTCACTACATGGGCTGACCAGGTGTGACGCTTCTTGCTTCGGAGGTATTCCTCTGATCTATTCTGAGTCTTTTTTTACCAGCACGATAGGCCATGTTAGATATTCCTAGGACTCGATTCCAAATATCCCCTAATGCGGAGCGGAAATACTGGGGATTCGCCTCCTCGGTAAGAAGTCTTAGCCGGGATTATTCTCTTTGATACGAGACCAGTCTGTTACACACCTGGATAGTGTCAAGAGGTCCAAGAGCGCAACGGGCCGTTCCCATTCTCTCTCGGCATAATCCCCGAGGTCTTTCGAGATGACTTTCACATTCCCGCATATCGGAACATTGCATCCTACGGAGGACTTCATTTGCCAATTGTTCCACTCCGGTATGATCGGCATGAGCTGTCATCAAATGCCCTTTTCAGTGCCCAAGCTCTGAGTCGTGGCATGTTTGATTCGGTCTTTAATGGTACATGCCGTCTGAGAGTGCCAATCATCGTCTACCTGCATATCCATCCTACAATGTTATGGATCTGCATCGATGTACGATGCACAACAGTATTCCGTAACGAGGATCGAGAATGGAGTACTCCGTACTCCATACGGAGTACGGAGAGCCTACCTGCAAGGGGGGTAACAGTCTGTTCTAGCCTGTGTTGTATGGACTTGCGCTGGACTGTGTGAACTAGGAACTGATCAAGACGCAGGCATCACGCCGACCTGCAGCACATCAGATCATTGCTCCGTCCTCCGTCCTCCGTCCTCCATACGAAGTCCGTATGGAGGACGAAGGACAGAGTACAACATCCACAAACCCTGTTGTCGGTGGGTTTTGGGCTCCATGTACGCAATTATACGTATGGATTCGTAATTCTACAACGCAAGTGCTTTGGTCTAGCGGGCATACATTCACCCTAGCCAATTAGCGTCTCAAGTATTCGGTTCCAGGACCCTTGGATTTATAGCGGTGAGGATATTTGTCCACAGCCGATGTCCGATTTAGATTGTCCCGATGTGTACGGAGTACATGTAGGTACTTGCAGTTGTCCTCGCCTGGATTCGGAGATCAAGCTCCAAGGAAGTTTATTCGGGAGATACAGATATGTACACCGTAATTCACGGAAATAGAAACACAACAGTGCCCAAGCGCAAATTGGGGGAAAACAGCTCGGAGATATTCAATCCGGGGGTGTTCCCGGCAAGTCCAGACTGGCACCGCCTTGGCACGGGGAGGTGGCCAGTTTGATCCTTTTACCTTAACCCACCACGTTAATACCATAATCCAACACAATGTCGTCAAAGAAAGATATGCGCCGGGCGGATCTCGGTACGTGGCGCTGAGATCTCTTTCTATTCGAAGCTAATATCCAAAAGCGATCCCCTATGTCGATCCTCCCAAGAGCAGCAGCGATGCCGATATCTCCAGTACGCCTCCATCGCAATGTGATACTTAGGTGTGAGGAGTATGAAGGCTGACTCGAGCTACACAGGCACAATGTCAAGCACTTTGCCCATGGCGGCTGTAAGTTTCTCGATCTGGCATGTCCATTGACTCAACACTAACCTTGACTCCTTAGATGTTTACCCGGAATCGGTGAGTCGCGCATCTTATAAAACCTTCGAACAATATTAACAACGGGTCGCGATATAGCATGATCGGATGGTAAGCGCGAATCAAGCAGTGGGTTTGGCCAGGTTGTCTGACTCGAAAATAGGGTCTCAATCGTCTTTTCGCTTCAGTCCTGGTTGGGTGAATCCCCAGAGCAAAAGAAGAATGCGTCTACACCGGCTTACATGTCGGTCCTCATGTCTTGTATGTCCATCGCTGGTCCCTCCCTCGTTCTTGCAAGACACTAATCTCATAACGTGTTATAGTGATGGCATTGGTTGTCGTACGTGCCCTGAAACTCCAGCGTTGTGGAGCTTGCAATTTAACAGAACACCGCAGACCTATTTCCCCCTATTCTTGCCCCCGCAAGCTGCTAAGGGAGCCGCCGCACCGACTCCGTCGCCCTCCTCCTGAACACTCGAACGCCCTTGACACCTTTTTCCTCCCATACACACATCATAATTTCCACAATATTACTTCAGCTACGATGGATTAATTGTTCGCGGGGGGGGGTGATATTCCAAGAGATCCTAGGAGAACGTCTGGATTGAGGAATCTCCACCCGTTATCTATTCCTAGGACGTTGTATCAGTATTCGACCCGACCTCGGCCTAGGGGCCAAAGATCAGTCAGAAGCTTGTCCGCCATAATCGCCATATAAGTGCTATAGTCCAAAATAGAATTTTGTATGATTGCCACCTGAAGAAAGTTCCTGCGCACATCGAAAGTCCACCTGGGCAGGGGGTTAAGACGGCTTAGTCATACACCGCCTTCCCCCACAACGTGACTCTTGCCTCAAAAGGCTCTGCCGTTCTTCCCTCCCATTCTTCAACCACAGCAACTCCTCTCCTAACCACACACGCTCCAATCTTTTCCAGAGATATTGAATCTCCCCCTTCGCTCACTTTACCAATACCCATTTTAAACGCCGTTTACTACGCAAAGGCCGAGTTTATGTCCATCGAAAACCTCAAGACCTTCGGTAAGTTCGCCACTTTCCCATCCTGGGCGCGTGTCGGGCCTCACCCCCCACATGCACGCATATCTACAACCTGAATCACTCTCTACGCGATCGAGGGATGCATATTCTATCCCGTGCAGTGTCATGGTTGTGGAATTCAGCTCTCCCCACCCCCGTCCCACCTAGTCTCAACGCGGCGGGGTAGGTATTTGGTACTGGACTGAGGCTGACCTGTACATCTGACAGACCCCTTCGCCGAAGCCGACGAAGACACCGGCGAGACTAAACAGTCTCAGAACTACATCCACATACGGATTCAGCGTACGTCCATACTCTCCTATCGTCGCCGTTCATGGCTACTATTGCAACTCGTCGGCGCTTATAGGGGGTACATGCTAATCGCTTGTTTCACAACAGAACGCAATGGTCGCAAGACTCTGACCACTGTTCAGGGTCTGCCCAAGAAGTTTGACCAGAAGAAGATTCTCAAGGTCATCAAGAAGAAATTCGGTATGTCATATGATTTTGTATACATGTGTTCTGTTCAGATGCTAATTGTACACTAGCTTGCAATGGCACCATCGTCACTGACACTGAGATGGGCGAGGTGATTCAGTTGCAGGGAGATCAGAGAAAGGATGTCCAGGAGTTCTTGACCGACAAGAAGGAGGGACTCGAGCTTGATGCCAAGACCATCAAGGTATGTTGCTACCCCGCAGTTTGTTCTCTATCACAACGACCATTTTCTAACTCGCCATCGTCCAGGTTCACGGGTTCTAATCCCAATACCAACATCATGTCTTGTTCCGGTCCCCTCTTCCTAGTCTATGTTGCCCTGTGAGCGGTGGGATAAGAAGCATCCCTCATCCGCCGGCCGTACGCTATACTGGCCTCCACATCGATTGAATGTCTTGCTTTCTCACCCCCACCACTCTGTGCCTGGCGTGTTAGATCTGGGCCCTTTGTCGAAATGACCCGCTACACCTGTGTGCGCCCTACCGATCGTTCCCGCATGGTCGGTTGGGAGAGCGGGGTGGTTCGACCGCTATTCTTAGGACGGGATTATGATGGAACGAGGCGTTGGTAGATACCCACATTATCTGCATAGACAGACAACACTTTTTTTCTTTTCAATGACTTTGCGTGTGTTTTGCATTCTTTTATCCCTTGATAGGGGCTTGCCTTTGCCTGTATTGCTCATTGCCATTGCATTCCCATGGTCAATTTGTCAGTCTGGCTGATCGAGGAGATCCAGGTTGAATTGCGGGCGTGCTTTTGCTGAACCGTTTTCTCGGTCTCTACCGTCTTCGTTTATCTTCATGCCGTTCTCACTCTTTTGCTGCCCCTGTCGTATCATGCGGCATACTATCGCTAGGAAACAAGGAATCATAACTGCAGTCTAGTATCATCCAGCTGATGTGGCAACGTAAAGACTTATATGTAACCTTATACCTGACTACTTAGGTAGCTTCTTAATCGCTCATCCAAAATTGCCTCATCTTCTCAGTAGAAATTTGCATTGCGAATCAATCAATAATCAAAAATACCCGATAAGATCTATCAAAGATCGCCATGTATGGAAAAAAAAAAAGAAAAACTTCCCTAGGCCAGGGGTATAAAGCGCAACGAAATCCAAAGACTCGAAGACAAGGCTCTTAAACCTCCTCAATCAAAAATAAAACCCCAAAAAATGTACAAATCCTCCGCTCTGTCTGGCCAAGAATGCTTGTCCAGGTTGACCGGACCGCGGATCGAAAGCAAATCTGCAAGATATCCCGAAAAAAAAAAAGAAAAGAGAAAAGAGAAACAGGGGAGATGAAAGACGAAGGACGTTCAGAAAGCTCGGGCAAGCTACAGCTCTCTAGCTGCCATACGGTCGTCCGCGACTCGCATGCGCAGGAAGATGGCCACGGCCCAGTCCCAGAGTTTGCGGGTGATGACGAAGACTGGAACCTCTGGTTCGTTTTCGCGGGTTAGATGTAACTGCATGAGAAGTGAGGACATGCTTAGGAAGCTTGCGACGGATACTACTAGTAATGATGCTGCCGTTTCGCGTTTTATAGTCGCGTGGTTTTGTGTTGCATGATAGACGAACGTTAGAGACTAGGGGAATAGTTAGTCGTTGTTTTTGAGATATATGGTTAGTGTGGATTGGCGTACAGTTGTTATAGAGATCCAGGCTGGCAAAAGAAGTCGAGGATCGGAGGATGCTCCAGATAGGTAAAGAACCCAAGAAGTGATGTATGCAATCAGGCCGTTGGTTGTGAGAAGACGAATCACAACGGCTGGTGGTGTGTAGTTTAGAAGCCTAATGAGCATGTATGAGTATCAAGAACAGTAAGGACAGACGATCGAAGGGAACGAACCATCGAGACATCATGCAATCAGCAAAGAAATAGGAAAGATATGCGGATGCACAGCACTGTCAACAAGTCAGTATCAAAGGATGTGGTTGGACACGGACGTATATCAAACAGGATATACACCGACAGAACAACGCGGGATATTACATACCCACATAATAGCCAGTGCTACCTCCGTCACGCGGAACCTCCTCTCAACATCCCATTCCTGTCCAACACTGCCGACAATCGCCGCCGTCCATCCCTCCCGTCCCATACCTGGCCTGATATGCAGCAACTCGGCGAGGAAGGTGAAGGCGCATCGCAGCCCCCACCACGCAGCAGGCAGCGTACTCAGAGCTCGACATACCAGCAGGGGAATATACCACCTGCGGTCTACTCCGAGAATGACAGCTACACGCGGGTGCAGAGCTGACGGAGTATCCTGGCCATCGTTGCTGAGTGGGGTATGGCACGTAGAGGGAGTCGGGGACGGCGGGACAACAGCTGAAGCAGAGTGGGAAGCCACCTCCTTAGCCAATCGGCCTTGAAGTAGCTGTGTGGAAGTATCGAGGTAGCTAGGTGGAACAGCCGACCGCGCGAGGTTCAGGTCTGGACCACGCAGGTGTTGATGTGAGTGGTCGTGAGGAGTGTATGGCGGAGGAGAGGCATTACGTCGAGGAGGAGCCAGCCTTTATTCTGAATCGCGGCAAATGCGGCCGCCACGCAAGGAAGAGAAGGGGGTCTAGGATGGGTGTTGCGATCGAGTCGTTAGCTCGCGAGAGATATAAGTTCGGGGGTGTTGTCAAGCTGTTTCTGGGTCCCCTAATTGGCAGATATCAGCCCCAGTGCGTGGCGGGCGGTGTCTTTTTTCCTGCAGGCAGTTTATTTCTGGGCTTTGAACTTCTTCTGCATAGGACAGCAATTAGTGACCAGAAGCCAGCGTAGAGAGTAGATGCCCTCAAACCCTCAATAACGCGCGCCGCTTAGTATAAGCTCATTTGTTGCCGTCGTCGTGCGGAGCGGGTGCACGTGACCGACAGTTCCGCGGATTTCTGTTCTTCGGCCAGGAACCACTTCTCTTCTCAACGTACCAATTCGCAATGGCGTCCACCCTACGACTGCCCGCGGGCACCTCCGCTCGCATTGTGTCATCCGGTTCCTTCGCTCCTCAACTCCGTGTGGCCGGCTCATACCAATGCCGGGCCTTCTCCCAGACATCCCAACAATGGGCCGGCGCGAGACAAATGAACTTCCGCCCTCCCAGCCAAGCGCAGCCCGCCTTCAAGACTAAAACCAAGGGCATGAAGTTGGCTGATCTACCCAATGATATTGGTCTCTTGCCGGGTACCTTCGTCCGGCCGCTGTGGAGAGACATGCCTTCCATTTTCACGGCACCACGCGATAGGCTGCACATGGAATGGACATGGATTAAGGCCTGGTTGAGCAACTTCGGCAGGTTAGTTAGCTGCCAATTATCGGATTATTCGGCTTGTTCTGTCGTCCTCGTGGCGGGTTGAGCGAAAGCTGCATATATCATATACTTGCAAAGAGCATCATTTCTAACCGCATTGCAGTCTGCTCCAATATTGCAAGCGCGAAAACACCCTTCCTCTCATGTTGAGGCAGAGACGTCCCCTCGCCGCAGATCTCCAGGAGGCTATGTACACAGCATTTGCGGAGTAAGCAAGCACCTCCCTCGTCTACTATTGGACGTAATTAACCATCATCTATTGCTTTAGAGGCAACATCCCTAAAATCCGCTCGATTTGCTGCGACGGCCTCGCCAGGAACCTCATTACCGAGATCGAACGCCGTCCCACAAACGAAAAAGTGACCTGGAAACTGGTGAAACGCCTGCGTCAGCCCAGCACAAACTTCACCGGCCTCCGCGTCATCTCAGACCGCGCCACCTCCATTCCCGATATCCCGAAGTCCGGAATCCGTCAAATAATCGTTCGCGTCACCAGCCGACAAGCTACCACCACCACCCGGGTCCAGGGCGGCCGTGGACAGGAACCCGCAGAGTCCACCGTTGTCTCCGCGAAGGAGCAGGACTGTGTTGAGCACTTTGTCATCCAGCATCTGCGTTGGAATGACCAGGATAAGGGCTGGAGACTTTGGGGCACCACCACGCCCACCTCCGTGCACACTGCCTGGAACGACCCTTACTTCATGCCCGGACTGTCGACCATGGAGCGTCTGGATATGATCAAGAACTCGGTTGACAAGAAATAAATATAAGTCGCATCTCAAATTGTGATATATGTTTTTTCTTTTCTCTTTCCTAGCAGAATGATATGTTCTGCGCCATCGATCCCTAACGACCAAGAGCCGCTCCACGAACTCAAATATTGGAGACCTACATGCCTCACTAAATGGCCTTTTTGGCTTCCTGAATGTCCGGCCGGATTTGATGGCGCATGGTTCGGCACCAGTATCCTTCAATTCACCTGCTTGTGTTACTTTCTGTTGTACCAACTCCCCCGGTCCTAGCCAAAAGCCCAAGTCGACTTCTTGTCTGATCCGCTCTCTATCTCTTTCCACAGAAGCATTTACACCCCCTCATGTACCATAGCCACCTTTTGATCAAATCCCACGTTTCTTTCGAGCCGCCACTTGTATAAATGAATATCGATGTCCCAAAAAGTGTGTCCTATTTCCCGTCCTTGTAAAGTTCTAGAAATACCAAATTCTACCTTTCATCATTCGTGACACAATTAAACGCTGTTCGTGGCTAACAAAAGTCGAATCCAAAATAACTAAAAGGGGTGTATATGTACAAGAAGACACCGCAAGGCACAATGGCACAGTGTTGATGTGTAGCACAGGTATCACTTCGACGAAACACTGGAACATACAGGGACAAGAGGCGCGAATGGAGGGGAGAAAAAGACATCGAAACGACATGCTGTAAGAAATGCACCGGGGAGTGATGCACCGGGCCATTATACGTGGGGTCCGTGGAACCAACGCCCATGTCCTAAAATAAGATTGAAGGGGGAGTGTTAGGAACGCGGGTCGGGGGCGAACTGATCTAGTCGTCGTCGAAGATCTGGAATGTGTTATTCAGGATTGTCTCGATGACGCGGACCTGCCACCCAGCGTCGGCGATGTTGCCACCGGAATTGGCGCCCATGAGGGTTGGTCTATTGGGGATTAGTGGGTGTCTATAGATTATGGAGAGGAAAATGACATACCCGAAACAGATGGCCAGATTGCCTGCATTCATGCGGTTCTGGGTATAGTGTTCTTGGATCTTGTTGAGATGCTGCAGCGGAAGGGATCAGTATTTGAGTGAAAAGAGAGAACTGTTCCTGGTTAAATTCGTACCAGAATGATGGCCCGCAGAGTAGCGTAGTGAGCATCGGGCAAGCTATTAATAAGGGCGTGCAGTGAGTCTCGGCGCTGGATGTCATCATCGAAGCCTACAGAGACTCGTCAGTTTCGCGAGTACAGATGGCGTGGTTCTTTCAATGGAATGATGGTACTTACGAGCAGCATCAATGAATTGGTGGTAGTACTGGGAAGTAAACAGAGGATCAGGTAGGTCCCTGAAGAATTGCTTCGCAAGCCCTGCAACGCTGTTGACGTCGTGATAGAAGTTTTCCGGGTTTGTGAAGTCGACTTGTGATGAATCTGTCGACATAGGAGTAAGATTAGCAAGTTGCTCCACACATGAGCCTGTCTGAAAAAACTTACCATTGTCAAACACAGCCTTCATGTGACTAATGTGATTAGCACTTCCTGAAAGTCGATAGATGCCCTCCACATCCAATCCAAACAGCTCGACCGCTTGGAAGCACTGGTACACAATGAACGGAACGGCTGTTCCATCCCGGGCATATAGGTCGTTCAGCGAGACACCGAACACTGGCTTCAATGGAGGGAGGTTCGATTGGAAATTCCTATCCATTGGGGGAGGTCCTGCCATTGGTATTTGAACCTTGGGTGCAGGTTCTGGAGCGGGGGTCGCGGCAACTGGGTAGGGGGTGTGCCAGCTGGGGGCGGAGTGAAGCTCTTCTCTGACAGCGATTGTGGAGGAGGGTAAGGCGATTGCGGCAATCGGTCACCGCTATGCGGCTGCGGAGGCGCTGGCGAAGACAGATTATTCGCGGTGAATGACTGCGGCATGATAGACACGCGCTTATTCTGAGTTGGTTGCGAAGGTGCAGCCGGTGTAGCTCCACCACCAAGAGTCTAGCCAACGTGTTAGAACTGGGAAGCAATCCAGAACCACTGCTTGTACTTACTGGGTGGCGCTCATATTTGACCTGTTCTGAAGCCACAGCCCCTGGGTTACCTTCATGGCCTAAGATAAAGTCATGGAGATCTTTCTGATTATCGACTTGGCGAACAACCTCGGCCAAGCTCTTAGGCCCCAATGCCGTGCCGTTCGAATCAATCTTCAAAGGGTTCACGCAGAGACCTTGACCCAGAAGTAGTTTCTCATTGAAAGTGGCTGCAAATTGTAAGCTGATAAAGAACAAGACCAACATAAAGAAATAGTACACATACCGAACTTCTGCTGTTGCAGAATCAAGCCCGAGTCGCACTCGGCGATCAATTTCTGAAGATTGTCTACGGCCTGAGGTCGATGAGTAGACAATAGCTCCTGACGCGCAGCTTGAGCAGCCTGGACCTTAGCTGCATAATCGCTATCTGCATGCTGGACCTTCCGCAGCAACTCTTCCTCGTGCTGCGCCGCAGACTTGTGACCCTTGAGGCCGAACTTGCTTCCTTGCTTGTCTCCCGTGCGGACACGGTCATACTGCTCCGCAAGCGACTCGTATTTGGACTTTGCTTTCTCAGCCAACGATTCCGCATCACTGACCTTCTTCTCCGCAGCTAGACCTGTCTGTTTCCATTGCTTGCGACCGCGCTCAATATTACCGGCGAGCTCGTGCAAATCGTCAGACATCTGATGGAGGGAAACGGCGAATTGGAGACCATGATCGACCATGCGCTCCTGGATTCGGTGGATATCCTTGTAGCTGGAACCGTATGTTCCTTGTCGGTTCTCGGTGCGCTGCGACGCATCGTTGATCGCGCGGGACAGTTTTCGCAACCCCTGAGCGTGCTCTTCCTCCAGGGCCCCTCGCTTTTTCAGGAAAGTTGAGAAATCCTGATATATAGCATGTCAGCGTTTGCGACCGTCATTTTGGCTTGCGACTACTAACCTTGGCGGAGGCTACGCTTTGCTTCAGCCGAGTCAAGAGTGTAGTTATGCCGATCTAGAGGAATCACAATTAGTATCACAGCTTGCTACTTTTATCTACATCCACCGGCGGATGATCCGTGGGTTCTCACATCAGAGTAGATAACTTTATCCAGGCGAGCCTTTAACTCATCGGAGATGGCGTCGTGGGCCTGCTCTCCCCCGTGGCTCGGGGTAGAGCGACTAGGCAGCGGAGGCGCATTGGAGAGCGTCGGTAGCGCCGTCGATTCATGTACAGCTGGATCCGACATGGAGAATATCTGGAATAATGAATGTCAAGAGAGAGGAGGTAAGAGGGGAGTGGAACGGGAAAGCCACAACACGGGCCACTGGTATCACCCAAGTGGGGAGATTAGGAGATCCCAATGAGCTCCAGGAACAAGGAATGCGGCAGCCTTCAAGTCCCAAATAGTCTCTTGGCAGTTTCTTCGTTCTCGCGTCCATCTCAACACTATCAACCCGTTTGAAGACCGTCCACGGGTATAGTTACGCTCTTTTGTGATCTCCAGGATGTTTGCCAGATCCGACTGTGCAAGATCAACACAGAATTATATTATCCACTCTTTTAAGATGTTCAACATGCTTCGGAAATATCCATAGATCGTTGCTAACAGGTGATACAGCAAATATGAGTGTCTGCGACCGTTGTCTTGGACAGGAAGATCCCCGGTGGCTCTAGTTGCTCCATCGTGATTTCTCGGAGTATAACCTGGCAAGCCAGCGATGAGATGCAAAGGATTGTCGAAATGACCGAGAACTTACCGACCACCAACCCTAACAGAGCAGCTTTTTTTTTTCATTCGGTCGTAATACCATCCACGGAGACGGTTGTAATCAAGCTTGAAGAAGTCCTGGAGCTGGGATTTTTGCTCGGGGTCAAGTGCAAACCGCCGGGCTTTCTCGCAACAAAAACACTCCACGATGCAATGGCCAGCTGCGAATTCGGACGGGCGATGAGAACAGCATCCACAGTCTCTGCCACACCAGCCTCCTCTCCCAACAGAATCTTCCCAAAGTACTCGGTGCATGTATCCTTTGGGCTGGGAACGCCAGTAATCGATATCCTCTGGTGAGTGGGCTGTTGCTATATGACGACCTAATCCTCCCCCATAGTCGTTCCAAGATCCAATATTCCTTCGAAAGTGTTGACAACTCCTCCTGTAAGTCTTGAACAATATTCAAGTTGTTGCTTTCTTTGGCAGATTCCTCTTTCTTCTCTCTCAGGGCTATCCCGCGTTAGGTATGCTCCCGAAAGGCAAGCTGAGGTCTGTCTGCAGTAGCCCCATTAGGTCGATAGGACATCGTTTGGAGGCCACTCTGTTGGCGAAGGTAACATATCGGTATCTTTGAAGAAGATATATGTCTCCAGATCTTATTAGATCAAGCTCTTCACCGGTTGCATCCCCAACAAAAGGTAACTCCGAATATCGTTCCATTTAAGGATATCGGGGGTGGGAGAGAACGTCGGGATGAGCGGTTGCTGTGGAATCGAAGAGATAATCTGCTGAGTTCAAAGCCTAAAAGTCAAATTCCCATCATCGATGTAGCTCGTTCTACATCCATACTTACGAAGGTGTATGGCGCTCAGAGGTTTCAATTGAAAGTGAATTGGTTGAATAGGCCTGACTTTGGACCGCTCTTGACACAGCCTTCGTTGGGCGACAACTTCATTTTATATATATACATTATTTGTGAACACGGAAAAATCAACACTTTTATTCTGGTATCGTCGCTGAGAATCAAACATCAACATCTGTACAGAAATGCCATATCGCAATAATCGGCTCGTCAAAGTTATAGAACTGGCGGGGCCACGAATGAGTCCGGGATACCGTCAAAGACCCAATTGAGGGAATCAAAGACTTCCGAGAACCCAGATTCGCCGAAAAATGCTCCGCCTTCGTCGAATTGAGCCGGCATCATCAAAGATGCATCCTCCAGGGAGCTATTCTGCTGTGGTCGCGTGAAGTGCCCTGCTGGGCCTAGTATATCTTGATTAGCTGCAATGGCAGCAGCTGTAAGGCCAAGTCAGGAACTAGGAGAAAATAATCAAAGGGTTACGATACGACCTACCTTGCATTTCTTCCATGCTTTTAACCGGTCGGAATCGCTGTCGCCACCGCCAAACTGTGTCGTAAACATGGCTCATGCTCATCCGACAGCGTACTTTAAGCTGTAAAGCGTCCTCCTCGGCGGGTTCTAAACTTGTGGCATTCCACATCTGAGCCAGTATGTCTGCGAGACGAATGGGACGGTCATGATCCATAACACTGATTCGGCGGATTGCTGAGATCGCCCCATTGAACAACAGTTTGCCATGGTTAAAATCAAGATTTCGACCGAAGCTGCTCTTCAACAATTTCATGAGGGCAAAAGCGGCAGACACGATCATCTGAAGAATGTAATTGGTAGAGTGGCCGATCAGTTCACCTGGCGAAGTTTCGAGATCTAGTACACGACCAAGGAATGATGTTGTTGCAAGGAAGAGTTTGATCAGGTCGTCGTTACGTGCATTAGGCCCCAAAAACATGAAGTATCGGAAATGCAACTCCGCTGCACGGAGATGGATTGTGTTGATTGCTTGATATGAGTGTTAACACGGCTAAATTGGCAAGATATGTCAGTCACTTACCAGAGAGCTTCCCATCGAACTCGAGATCCATATCTCTTAGTTCATTTTCCAGGACCTGCACGACTAAAAGTTTTTCGGTGCTGATAAACTCCGCCGGCTCGGGCTTACTGCTGTACAATGCCTTGGTCACCCGGTCGCAGAACTTTTCAATGCGCAACCGGATTGCTAGGTCATCGGGCAGTCGGTAGTCGGCATCTCTCAAAGAAGCAGGCTCAAGGGCCCAATCGTACATCGTACTTGGTGGCTGGCCATAACCCGTTGCAACACTATAGAGCCCCATCAATATGTGTCGATCACAGACGTCGGAACAAAATACTTACTTCTGAGCCACGATGTTGCAAATGACCCACGTATGTAGCCGATCTTTGAGAGCTTCACCTTGAACCTCCATGCGGAATGTTGTGAACTCCTCTGATTGAACTGGACGGTGGAGACCGAGTTGCATGGCAATTTGCATCATCAAGCCACTGAGCATGAACGTTGCATCAGTGCGCTGGCTAGTAGTCGGAAGAGGCCAGGTACATAGAACACACAGGGCCTTGACTACCCGATAATCCTGCGGAACACTGGTAATAGTTGACCAAAGCAGCCTGCTGAATGGTCCAGAGAGTGCGCTTAAGAGACCAGGCTCATATTGAGACCGGCGACTCGCAACACAGATGATGGTCCATGCCAAGAGCGGACATCGGTTGAAATAAACCTCTGGAGGCTTGGGTGGATTCAAAAGAGGAAGGAAGGGGTGATAATATGTGAAGTATCTAGGCAAGTGTTAAACCCAGACCATTCAAGAGAGAAAAAAGTGGATAAGGCATACTGTTCGAATAATCGGATAACGCGAGCTCTAGAGAGACAAATATCTTCGAGTCTCCACTGGCCCTCATCCTGCGATACTATAGAGCCATCCCTTTTGATAGTCAAAGGGGTTGCTATAGATGGGTTGGTTTCAACAGGCACCGAGACAGGCCTTGATCGGTCAATTGCGGCCGAGTCACGGCGAGCAAAGACATCCTCTGAGCTATGGGACATTTCATCGCCACCATGGGACTCGTGATGCTCTAGCCCTTGCTCCTGATCGGAATTAGGCCCCAACCGGCGACGGAGATCTGCAATCTCCTTTTCCATCTCAGCATTGCGCCTGTAGATGGAGTTAGTAATATGCGGAGGTAAAAAAAAGACGAAGCAAATAAAAACAAGCAAACAGAAGAATTACCTTCTTTTAGAGATGCGCTTGAACGACTGTTCGACTTTACAGTCTATCCCAAGCCTGCGACAGCGCGAACAGGCTGCAGCGGGCGTTTGAACAATATCACATCGCAACTATCAAGATTTGGGACATCAGCACGGTTGTCGAAGAACGCCCCCTGTGCGCTCCGGGGGGGAGGGAGGGGGGGCAGTAAATTTTGGATTATCGGATATATATATGTATATGGCTCACCTTTTGCTGTTTACATTCATTACAGGCTTTCCGGCTGCCACCTCGGCGCTTGCCCGTGACAGGCGGGGTCTTCTCCATCGTGCAAGATTCGGAGCTTCGCTGCATGAAATCGATAACCGGGGGTGGCCGGGGAACGGTGGGGGACCGAAAGTCGCTCGGGGGGATGGAGTAATGCGGCCCATCCGGTGCCAGAATGTTCCGATACCCCAAATCCATCAAGATCAACCTGCGTTCAGCCGGTATAAAACCCCACGAAACGTGAACGAGTGCTCGTGGAGTCCATGTGCCGTAAATCGGAGAAATTGGTCCGCCGAAGGGGGAGGTGGGGAACTTAGGTGGTCGTTGACAACGGTGATTTGCGGGCGACTTGGTGCCGAGACGAATCTCGGCGGTTGCTGATTGAGTTGGTGCCTGAGGCAGAAGTCGACCTGATGATCTAATCTTTTCCCGTGATCCATTCCTGTGATTCCCGTGATTCCGCCGGGGAGATTCCCGAGGCCTCGGCCTCGAGGGCCCCCAGAGAAGCTTTGATCACTAACATGTTGTCATATATACGCCAAACTATGACCGATATGGCTATAGTATAGAGCTAAATGGTTATTTACTCATCCTGGAAGCATTGAAGAGTGGGGATTACCCTACTCCGTCAAATACACCCTATAGATCCCTAACATAGCCTTGCTTACTCTCCGGAGTAAACTTCCTAGTATACCAATCCAGACGAGTAATATCAGAATCCACCTAGCCGTACCCATAGCCGATATCTCAATATCTTGTTGGACATCCAAGTAGACTGTGGAAAACGCTATACAAGCCCAATGTCATACATCTGCATGGGCTTCATGCCCCACTTGCCCTGGACCGAGGTCGATGTGGATTATATGATCCGCATTTCATTCCAATGGACCTCTGGGCATATTTAACCCCTGCGATCTATGTCCCAAAGGCTACCTATCCAACATAGATACAATTTCAACGTCTCATTGACCCTGATATCTACCTAGGCGAGCTCGGTCATTGCTGGATTTCTTCTGTTTTCTCACACTCAACAATAGTTCATCATGTCCGAAATCAATGTCACAGCGGTTTTCTCTGTTAAGCCCGAGAAGTTTGAAGAGGTTAGCCTAGACCCGTGCTGTTCTCTGTTCTCTGTTCTCGATCCAACTTCCTCTGGCCGACCCAACGTCTAACATATGGTATCAGTTAGCCACTCTGGTGACCGAACTCACCAAACAGGTGCAAGAACATGAACCCGACACATTGCTCTACTATGCCTTTGAGCTCAAGAAGAAGAATGAGATTGTTGTCGTTGAGCGGTGAGTCCCACCGTCAAGTCTCAATATCCTTCAAGCCCCCCGTCACTACGACCTCCCCCGCGTGGAGAGGCCTCGGCCCAATCTATTTCGCGATAGCCCAGAACAAACACTGATCTCACCATATATAGGTATAAGGACCAGTCAGCGATCCAAACCCACACGAAATCGGCCTATTTCCAAACATTTGCAAGCCAGCTACCCGCTTTGCTGAGCAAACCGATGGAGATCAGGGCGGGTGGGTTCGTGAATGGTTCGAGAGGCGTGTCGCGACTGTAGGCTGGGGGGTGTCTGGGTTCGAATCCAGTCCCCAGATGTCATATCCCAGGTGGTTGGGAGGATATAAATAGGATAGTTGATGGAGCATGCATAAGCACATTTCCGCTTGGGTTTCCCCCAGTGATTCGGTATTGAGTAGACGCCATCGTATGTCCCAGCGTCACTCGTGATTCAATTGTCATGCGATTGGTGCAGTGGTCCAACAGCCACCAACAGAGCGGAGGTCTGTGTGGATTCTGAAGATCGCTGAACTGGCCAGAGCATCAGCTAGCATCCCCAAGGACCTATATAGCATTAGTACAACGACGTTCAATGCCCATTTTGTAAGTGGAGACGCCCAAAGGGTTTATTCGATCTCTTCCACTTCATATATTAACATAGTGTTGGACCTTGGCTAAGGGACTAGTCCGATCGCCTGTCCTTTTTTCTCCCTCTCCCTCTCAACTTCTCTCTCTAACTCTCTGTGATTTTCTGCATCTTCCCTTTTGTTTGTTCCCCTTCGAGGTGAGTCTTATTCTAAATCTATTTCTTTTCTTCCTTTGTCTCCACACCTTTCCCACCCCCTCTTTTCCCTAGCTCCAGCCTCCTAGGTGCTTTTCGAACCCCCTGAAGCTCAAGCTAATAATATCCTTCAGATACCCTTGCCATTGTGTCCTTTCACGTTATCGTTGTCATTCCGTCCCGAGCTCCTTATCGCCGACCCCTCTACAAGAGCCCCTGTTGGAATTTGGCTTGATTACATTTCGCGCAAAACATGGCAACGGGTCCGGCTACTCAGTCACTGAAGGTGGGCATAGGGCTGATCCCCCGATCCACAGGGATGCGCGGCTAATTGGCAATCTTACCTGCAGTGTGTGGTGACCGGTGATGGTGCAGTTGGCAAAGTTAGTATTCTCCCGACAACCTCCCCCTACTCCGTGGGTTCGCGACACTAACATCCAATCCAACCTCTAGACATGTCTACTGATCTCCTACACAACAAATGCTTTTCCGGGGGAATATATCCCTACTGTGTACGTGCTCACCTCTACCCCTCAATGCGAAACTCTGAATCTCGAACGGGTGTTGATACCTGAACAGCTTTGACAACTACACGGCCAGTGTAATGGTTGACGGCCGGCCGATCAGCCTGGGACTGTGGGATACTGCCGGACAAGAGGATTACGATCGCCTGAGACCCCTCTCCTATCCGCAAACCGATGTCTTCTTGATCTGCTTCTCCATCGTCAGCCCGCCTTCATTCGATAACGTCCGAGCGAAGGTATGAACCATCTCAGCCACAGAGCCCATCCAAGGCTCTTCCTTCAAATCTATGCGACTAACTCATCTCCCCGCTCTTAGTGGTTCCCTGAAATCGAACACCACGCCCCCAATGTCCCCATCATCCTTGTCGGTACCAAGCTCGATCTGAGAGACGATCGCGCGACCGTGGATGCCCTCCGCGCACGCAAGATGGAGACCGTCTCCTACGAGCAAGCCCTGGCTGTGGCCAAGGAGATTCGTGCACATAAGTACCTGGAATGTTCGGCTCTGACACAACGCAATCTGAAGAGCGTGTTCGACGAAGCCATCCGGTGCGTTACCACACTTTTGAGAAATCACCTATGTCGATCTGTCTGCTAACCCTCTACCGCAGGGCCGTTCTCAATCCCCGTCCTACTACGAAATCCGGGAGGAAGGCAGTCAAATGCAATATCTTGTAGAGCACGTTTGTTTGGCTTGACTCGCCTCCCATTTTCTCGTATGCTATAATGAATAATATATAGTTAATACGGCGTCTGGGTTGCAAGAGGCTTTTTTTAATTCGCCGGCCTCTCAGTGCTGTTTTGTGATGAAATCCATTGACCGTTTTCTTTGGGGTACTTCCTGTCTTTTTTTTTCTATTTCGGCCGTTTGGCTCTTGTTCATACTCTGAAGGGATGTGTGATGTTGTTGATGGGATTTAGGTATATTGTCTAGTAAATTGAAGCCACATGTACAAGCACCTGGACAATCTTACTCCGAGGAAGTCACAGAAAAGAGAAATATGATTGGTATCTTCAAAATCAAGCAATAGAGACATGAAGTAAGTACTTTTGGAACAAAGGGAAAAAACAAATCCGGCCAACCCTGCCCTCGGGAATATGCATGGCTATCATGATGTACAGCTGTCTGTAGATGCTCCGGACATCTTGCTGTACACTGTCCTGATCAACCGATCGAACAAAAATCGGGACTGTTTGAAGTCAACCAAACAAGTGAGCCAGCCGCTTGTGTTGATTTAAACACGGCCGCGGCGGCTAGGGTGCAGACCAGCCCACTGATCCTCAGCAGCACCGTCTGTGGTAGCAGCGTTGGCACCAGTGGCGCCAGCCTCACCGGTCTTCCTCTCAAACTTCTTCTTGTCCTTCTGGATATCCTTGGCCTGGCGCTGGCGCTCCTCGTTGAGCTTCTCGTTCTTGGCCTGGATCTTGGCATTGCGATGTTCAGACTTGGCACCGCCGCCGCCAGCACTAGATGTGGGAGTTAGTATACAGTATATCGTTGCAATTGCGATTCCTCCTTTGGAGGAGATCCTCATCGTCTCCAATTGGGGGTAGAAAACTCACGTCAGCTCGACGTTCATGCGTCGGGGCGGGTACTTTCCGTCGTCGAAATTGGAGTGGTGGTACAGCTTGAGGCAGGTCTTCATGCGGTCATAGTTGTCGAACTCGATGAATGCAAAGCCACGGCACTTCTTGGGGTCTTCTTTCTTGGTGGCGACGCGGATTGTGGCAGGGGGGTTCTTCTCGAAGTGCTTGGTCAAGGACTCAAGGTTGGCGGAGTAGGGAAGGTTTCCTGCACGGGCGAGCATCCATTGATTAGATCCTGTGTCTTCGGGTGAATGCCTTTTATATGGATTAAAAGCACTTACCGACGAAGCAGATAAAGCGAGCACCCTTCTGGGACTGCGCGGCCTCCGCAGATTCAGCGGATTCAGCAGATTCAGCAGATTCAGCAGTAGGCTCTTCTTTGGTCTCAGCGGCGGCCTCGGCCTTCTTCTGCTGCTTCTTCTTATCTCTCTTCTCCTTCTTCTTGTCCTTCTTTGCCTGTTCAGCATCGACCTGCTCGGCGGGAGCCACATCCACATCCATGGCGTCCTCGGAGGGAGCAACAGGCTCGGCGGCAGGCTCAGCGGCGGCCTCCTCGACCTTGCGCTTCTCCTTCTTCTCCTTCTTCTCGGACTTCTCGGACTTCTCCTTCTTCTCCTTCTTCTCCTTCTTGTCCTTCTTGTCCTTCTTCTCCTTCACCTCTTCCTGTGCGGGAGCAGCAGTTTCAGTAGCGGCGACGGCCTCGGACTCAGCGCGCTCCTTGCGCTTTTCCTTCTTTTCCTTCTTTTCCTTCTTTTCTTTCTTCTCCTTCTTCATCTTCTTGCCCTCGGGCTCAACGACCTCATCCTGCACGAGCTTGCGCTTGTCACCCATTGTGATATGTGTTGGGGTTTTAGTTGTGATGAACAGTGACAATTGGGGGATGGAAAGGAGTGCAAGACAAATGAAAGTCTTAGGATGTGTGTAAAACCAAGAAAAGAGGTGGAGCAAGTTTGTAGCGCAATAAGACTAAAGCTCCAAAAAAAAGTCGGGCGGAGAGAAAAGTGAAATTAAATTTTTGCCGCGTGGCCGGGGGCGGTGAAAGCATGCTTCCCGATAAGGCTTTTTTTATAGTTCGCAGATCTACAACCCTTGAAAGACATTCTAAATAGCTGTATGGCTACATACACAAGTTTGTTCAAATGATGTAAATGGTCTAACTGGTTGCTAGCATAGTTCGTGATCTGCCCCCTGCTGGGCACATTAAAACACCAAGATCTTCACACTCTTCTTTGGCGCTCCGTAGCGCTCACGCAATTCAGGCCGAGTAAGCAGCTTCAAGAGCGGCATATGCGTGTCCTTCATATCAAAGATGCCCCGCTGTTTCTGGTCAATGTGAGATCCATCAATGACAATGCGCTCCAATTCATCCAGTTTGAGATCTCCTAGACACTCATGATCAGTATTTGCATATATGACTGTATATTGCTATCTATAGATAGCAACTGAGCAAACTCACCAGCCTCAATCAAATCAAATATTCTGGTTGGGGTTCCAGCCCCAATACCAGATCGGGCACGCTGAAGGAACTGCTTTGCTTCCTCCAGCTTGATGTGCTTCGCAAACAGCTTGCCAACAATGCTTTCCTTGGTTTGGAAAGAGCGGAGTGCCCTAATTATACCAATTGTAAGTCTCAGCTTCAAATTGACCCAGATACAGCATCAAGTTGTGGCCACTTACCGTACAACATCAGCAGCTCGCAGTGCAGCACCCGAAATTACCAGTGTGTGAGGGGTACCGGTCTTCGCGGACGACTTTGACAAGTCACAGCCCTTGGGACTGAACGACTTGAGGAATTCAGGGAGCTGCTCCAGCTTTCTGAGGGAGGTGAAGGAAGAGGTATCGAGGAATGCGGAATCTATACACATGTTAATATATAGATACCTTCGATCTTGATCAGCTCAAAAACAAGTGCTACATACCAGGAACAGAAAGATCACTCAGCTCAACAGCAGAGAGCTCCTTATCATGTCTTTTGGCCTTCTGCGCAAAGTGATCGCCCAACAACCGGCCGTCCATCTTGCCAATCGACTCGTCAATGCCGTCTTTGCGCATCGACTGTTCTCCATCTTGCTCAGCCTGCTTCTTCTTGTTCTTGTTCTTCTTCTGCTTCTTCTTGCTAGATCCCTCAGCGGGTGTGCCTGCCTCGGGCTGTTCTTGCTTGGGAGCAGCATCGTCTGCTTGTCTCTTGCGCTTGTTCTGGAGTTTGCTGGAAAGCCCTTTGGGGGCATTGGTGTCGGCCATAGTGACGAGTTTTAATATGAACCAGACAACGAAAATATCAAGGAGAATTCGAGTTTCAATTGGTTAATCCAAGTCGCATTGAGAAGACTTCGATGCGCAAAAAAAAGCCGGCTGATTCAGCCAATCTTATCGATAAGACAGGCCAATCATGCACTGGCCCGCAATTGTTGTTTCTAGACGCGACAGACAAACATCAACTTCAATCTTGTGTTTCATTGCTCGCCCAAATTGATCTCCGCTTTGAGTATCGTGGCGACTACACATGCAGTTGGATATATCTCGAATGATCTAATTGTAGTTCATTTATGGCCATGTCTACCTCGACCCCCAAAGCGCGTGGTAATCGGTCACCTTTGGGGGCTGCTACCCCATCTGGAGATACAACATTGACAGGTGTGAGTGCTTGATAGAAGCTTCTATGTGGATTGGATATTACTGACCTTATGGTTTTTCTGCAGCTCCAACGTCTCCCTGGCCACACGCGCTACCCACTTACACCAAGTCGACTTGTTACTGTAGCGACCCCAGGCACCCAGCGGTCTGCTTCTCGATACACACCACGCGCCAGAGGTGGAGGTGCGCCAGCAACACCATATGGACTACGTGCCCGTCAACAACGAGCAGCTAATACTCCTGGTCGTGATCGTCGACGCAGCGGTCGAGTGCAGCGTGAGACTACATTCGATATTCTGAGAAACCTGGGCAGAGGTAAGAAAGAGCCTGGCCACGCATAGTCTGACAAAAGAAAAGTTACTAAACTGTTTGGATTGGTACTAGCACTTGCTCCTATATCTGAACCTATCCGCTCTTCGCCTCAGGAGAAGCCAGAACCCATCCCAGACCCAATCGATGAATTCGAACAGTTTGACAATGAACCAGACATAGAGCGACCACGGTTGTCTCTACCAATCCAGGAGTCCGAGGAAGAAGATGAAGATGCCAGTCCTGAAATCCACCCCCGAGAATGTCTCTCGCGTTTGCAGAGGAAGATATGGATATCACCTATCGATCTGTCGAATACCCTCGAGACGCGAGCTTCAGAGATCGCGACCGATTATCGATGATGAGTCGTGCTACAGGTCGGATCAGTGGAGATTTCGAGGATACACGACTAGAAAGCGATGGTGCGGATGATACTGGTGTTATCGGTGATGATTATGACGCGGAGGACACAATGATCAGTGGGGGCGACTTTGATAAGGGGTAAGTTTACAAAGTTTGGATTGCTATGGTACAGAGCATGGCTAATATTACATAAAGGGGAGAGACGGAAGACCTGGGCCGCTTCCATTTTGACCTAAACTTCCCATCTCCTGCGGCTGCTCCACTTGAGGATCCCGTTGGCGGGGATATTGACGACATGGAAGACTTCGAGCTGTCCACCGCGGATGTTGACCCGCTCCCGGCCCAATCAGACGATGATGACGACGATGACGCTGGAGGTGACTTTGGTTTCGGTCTTGACCTTGCACCCGCGGCATCCCCCAGTGAGAGCCCTGGCATCGTTGGAGGTGGATTGCGAGATGAAGCCATTCCAACCCAGGGCAAGCAAAAGAAGATCTCCAGGCACGGAATTCCTGTCCCAAACTTGCCTGCAGGCGTGGTCAAAAAGCTAGCAACTCGCTTCGCGCGTTCGGGAGCTGGCTCGAGGGCAAAAATCAACAAGGCGACGCTGGCTGCAATCGAGCAGGCATCCGCGTGGTACTTTGAGCAAGCAAGCCAAGATTTAGCGGCATATTCAAAGCATGCAGGACGGAAGACCATTGACGAAAGCGACGTCACAACATTGCTAAGAAGGTCAGTTGCGTCGAAAGCCAAGCGACCGACGAATTAATTGCTGACTTGTTCCAGACAACGCCATATCAACAACTCAACGACAGTGTTTTCCCTCGCCCAAAAGCACCTACCCAAAGAACTTCAACAAGACATGAGATTGGCCATGCCTCCATGAATGTCCAGAACAAAAATCCTTCATGAAAAGAAACGCTTTCAACGCCAATAAAATATGCTAAGGCAATGTTGGAATTCCACTACCGATTACCAGTTTCGGTTCTGGCGAACTCGGCGCAGTGCCTCGTTGGGGTTCTTGCGCACAACCATCCACATCATGATGGAGGTAGCCAAAGACAGGCCATACCTAGGGAGTATGAGCAACATTCTCAAGTGGGAATGGAAAGCACCGAACAGATCCAACCTACCAAGTGAAGATGTATTGAGAATGGTTGTTTTTCAGACTGACCTCCGCGGCGCGGCCAATCGGGATACCCTTAGCCTCACGGTCATAAAACTCAATCAGATCAGGCACTAAGAAGGAATGTAATTGTTAGCCATGCATGTATTAGCAAGATAAATCAATCCAGTCTCCTTACCCATTGTCTGCTCAATCCAAACAGGCTGGCTTCCACTCAACTCGGCCATTTGGTTGATATCGGGGAAGTAGAACTTTCCCTCAGCGGGCTTGTTGTCTGGGGTGAACATGTTTTTCTTCCATGGCTCTCGTATTAAGCCTTCCACGGTGACCTCTTCATCAAGCACACCCAAAGGCCGGTCTTTTTGGTCTTTCAACTTCCGCGAGATCCAACCCCGGTTCACAAGTACCGTGCTCTGTCCCTCACGCTCGAGAGGAGTCACCACGATGAATCCGTCCTCGCCGTCATGCATGCGTGGTCCAACGAGCATCTCTTTGTCGTGACGGAGACGGCCGGTAGCGTAAACACGGCGGTAATCAAATTCCGAAATGGCATCCGGGTCAATTCGCGGCGGCAGGGGCAGAGGGGGCTTCACGAGACGGTCCTCGAATTTGGCCATCAGTTTAGTTTTCCAGTCCAGGCGCTTTATCTGCCATGTTCCCAGACCAAATGAGATGATTGGAATCAAAGCTAAAGACACGGAGAACAAGACGTTAGTATTAAATCTCTCAGCAACTGTACGTGTAGTGTTTTCATGTCCGGAGAAAAGCTTGTATTAAATATCAACATACCCAGAATAATCAGACCGGGCCCATGTTTCTTATTAACTCGAACAAGTCTCGCGGGGTGATCCACCACATTCAAACCCTCGGCTAGCTGGCGTGACTGCGAGATATTGCGGAATTGTTGAGGACGATATTTAGCGTAAAGTGAATTGAGCTTCGACGAACCCTGAGCGCTCCGAATAGCTCGAATGGGTTGGGTCCAGGCCCTCGCGGCTGTCTTCTGCAGAGCAGAAAAGATCGGCCGCATGTCGGCGGGTTTGAGAATGCGAATATGAAACTGAAGTTCTCTTCGAGATGCTATAAATTGCGAGCAATAAGATGACTGGGAATGCAAAGCCTGAAATGGGGTTCAAGCAGGTTCAAGAAAGTCAACGTTGTGGTTGATTGCTGGACAGCAGATGCGATGTCAGCGGCAGTTGGGATTTCGGGGAGTTACCGCCCAGGCTTCTCCAATCCTATAGTTGTCTCTCCGCACTAGTGTTCTCGTTTCCTCCAGGTCTTTACCGGAATGCGATCATGACGCTTTTCTACCAGGGATCCCTTCAGGAGGGCATTGCTGTTGCTGTGAAAGATACCAAAGCAGTTATTTGCTTTGTCCGAAGTCAGTGATGTCCCCGACTCCCCGCATCGAGTGACATGTTGCTGATCTCGGGATTTGGACACAGATGATGAGGAATTGAGCTCTACGTGGGAGACGGACTACTTTGGCGATCATGAGGTACGCTCGCCTGCTACAACTTTATTCTTACTTGTAGCTGACGTCCTAAAGCTTGCGCAAGTACTCAATGCCAAAGCAGTTGTATTGCGCTTAACAGAGGGGTCACAGGAAGCTGGTTTCCTGGCCTCTTTCTGTCCGATCTCAAAATTCCCGACTGTTGTCCTCATAAAGTACGTTCAGTGATTCAATATCCGGGGTCGATTTGGTGTTCATTGGCTGACCCGATCATAGGAATGGCGCGCTAAAGGCATACATCGGGCCAGATATCTCGAAAGATGACTTCCAGAATCGATTAATCGCAGCTTTAGAAGATGAACAGACATCCGATCCTACGCAGCAGCCGCAGGGTACTCACGCCTCTACAGCTCCAGCTAATCCTGCGCCTGCGCCTGCACCAGTCGCTCCCAAAATCCAGTCCGAGGCGCAATCTGCAGGGCAACCAAGTGAAAATGCAAAGAAAAAACGGACACTACATTTTTCAGCAGGTCTTACGTCTCAAAAGCCCTCCGCCAAAGAACCCGCCGATCAAGACATTAAAGGAAAAGCACCTATGGGATCTAAGAAGACCATTGACAAGAATAGCGCAAAGAGCGGAACTCCCAGCGAACAACCACCCAAGTCTACAGTCCCTCGAGGACCCCCAACCCAGTACCGGTTACAGGTGCGCCTATTTGATGGAAGTTCCGTGCGGTCTAGCTTTACGCCCACCCAGAGCATTCGAAACGACGTACGACCTTGGCTTGACCAGAAGATGGAAGGCGACAATCGGCCCTACAACCTTAAACATATGTTAACCCCCCTGCCCAGCGAGACTCTCTCCGTGGCCCAAGAGTCGCAATCTCTCCGAGACTTGGGTCTTGGTTCAAGTGCAACGCTGATCATGGTCCCCGTATCAACATACACGGAGGCCTATTCGGCAGCGGGTAGCTTGCCTGTCCGTGGTATCTCTGCGATCTACAACCTTGCCTCGTCTGCTGCCAGTACTGCAACAGGTCTTGTGGGCTCATTCCTTGGATATGGCTCGACTACCCCGGCAAACGATACTACTAACTCGGCACCCTCTCCATCTACCGGCAATTCTCAACGTCCTAGGCCAACGGGCCCCAACATTCGGACATTGAGAGACCAGCAAGATGGACGTGGAGATAGTCAGTTCTACAATGGAAACCAGGTATGCGACTCCTAAAGAGATCATTTCGCTGGGTTTAAACTAACAAATTTCTCAGTTGAACTTTCAGCCTAGGAAGAACCAGGATGACAAGGATAAATGAGTCGAACGGTACTGTTGCGATGTTTTTGCATCATTTCTCTATGGCGTTTAAGGATTCCATCAGTTCACAGCGCCTTGTAATATGATACTCTGCCTATTATCGGCTTTTTGCTACTGAAAATTGAGCAGATACGCCACACGAGATTGTCTAGTATGTATTTAAAATAACATATAATTGGTGACTTGATTGGAATTCATGCATTCAATTCTTGATTTAGTAGTCAAAGATTGGTTTCCTTATTGAGGAGAGATGGTATAGAGTACAAAAAGGCGATATGGGAATCGTTATGCAAAAGAAGAGATGTCTATAAGCGATCGAGCTCAAAGATTCCCGTCATTTATTACTAAGAATGACTGTATCTGTCTTTCCGATCAAGCCCACCAAGGGTCAAAGTGGTATCAAACCCTTAGTAAGGCTTAGCGGCAGCCTGGCAAGCTTTCTGCAGGATATTAGTACAATAAAAGAGACAAAACATGGGAGTGTAAACATACCAGCTGGTCAAGGTACCAACCGCAGATGCCGAGGTTACCCTGGTTCTCATCCATACATGTGCGGAAGTTGCGGACATCGACCTCACAGGCGGGGTTCTCGTAGGAAGTCTGGGCAGCGTTGCTCTGGTAGAGGCCGTTGTCCATGGCCTGGGCCTGAGCAGGGGGAGCCTGCTGGGCCTCGGCGGGGGCGCTGGAGCCACCGCCGAAGAAGCCACCGATAGCGTGGCCGATAGAGGAACCGACAGCGACACCACTGTATCAAAATCACCGTTAGCACATATACCCGGAAAAGTCGATACTGACCCCGGATTTTATCGGGGAATGAAAAGCACAAAGCTAGGGCCGAAACTTACGCAGCGGTCGAGGCCATCTGGCCGAACAGACCAGGGCCAGCGCTCTGCTGAACGGGAGGAGCCTGCTGGGCCTGTGGGGGGTGGGCAGCGGTCGAGTGAGGCTGCGACTGTTGCTGTGTAGGAGCAGCCGCGGGCCGAGCAGGAGCGGCGGTAGGGCGGGTGGGAGCGCTGCGCGCAGGGGTAGGGGCGGCACCACGACGTTGACGAGGCATTTTGATGGTTATGTGTGAATTGGACGGATGTAGAGGAGAAGTGAGAATAGGTTGAGATAAGTATGAGTATTAGTGGAGAAAGAAGTAGCTAGAAGATGAGTAAGTTCGGCCACTGAGGCAAACTCCGATGCAAACCTTGGAGATTTGAGGGCGCTGATTGGTAGATCGCTGATTGGTGGAGCGCTGTCACGTGGATCGGACATTACGGGTGCCGGTTGCCCGGCGCGGAGACAGGAACAGGACCTCGGAATTACTACGGGGATTACTATGTATAGAGTAACTTGGAATGGAGGTGCCTGGATTATTCGAGCATTAATTCGAGCATGGAAAGATAGCAATTCGATAAATCTACTAGCTTTTAGGTGGAGTATTTTGTAGAACGTATGGTAGTTTCCATTGAGGAAGGGTATCTTGATTCATGGAGACATCAAAGTCTCGTACATAGTACAGAGAGCCACTCATCATGGTCTCGAAATAGTCGAGATAGCCGTCTGAAGGTAAGCTCATAGCTGGACAGGCTCGTAAATTGGAAGCCATGGTTGGATTCGACAATGCATGTCATGTCGACAGAGGTTCTGGTAATGATAACGGTTGGTAATGCTGTGTTTTGAGCCCACCCGATAGCCCGTCCTAAGCATTCGATGGTGCGAGGCAGTCTTTGTTTAATTTCAACCATTCAGGATGCAAGGCGTTCATTCGGCTTTTCTAGCCTTTCGACGGTCCTCCTTCTTCTGCCGTCGCTCCTTCTTCTGTTCTTGCCGTGCCGCCTTGCTCATTTTCCTTTCTTTCTTTGCTTTTCCATTGCCCGATTTATGATCTCCCTTAGACTTCTTTTGGGTATCTTTCGCTTCGGCCTTTCCGGTGTGATTGGCGTCAATCTGAGGCGCTGCTGGTGCAACGTCCACACCCCCCTCGGAATCATCATCGTCAGAGTCCTCGTTGGACTGAGCTTTCGAGGCCTCGACGCTCTTTCGGGCAAGCATAGCGGCTTTCAGCTGAGCACGAGCTCGCTCTTTAGCTTGCTTTTCTGCTCGTTCCAAGTCATACTTATCATTGCCAGCCTGTGCAGACTCGGTCAGTGGTCATCGCAAAACAATGGTAGAACCTGACACTTACAAGGCCATGTTTGATAAATCTTCCTGCAGCTGCCTTATCAAGTGTCATGGAGCGTTCCTCAGGCTCAGTCTCCAAGACCTTGATCTTTTCGAAGTACTGCTTCACACGGGTCAGTTCCCGGAACACCGGGTGCTGCTTCACATCCACGCCATGGAGGCGCAAATAAGCTGCAAATGAAAATTAGTATCGTAAAGGCTGTATATATTGCCATGTTACGTACAGAAAATTAGTGATTCAAGTGCGTAAGTGATCAACACATGAAGTTTTGCCTTGTCCATGACGGGCAGTTTACTTGAGCTTTTGAGTAGTGTGCTGGTCAAAAGGGGCTGCAAAACAGCCTCCAAATCATCCACATTGTCGTCCAGCTGCTCAAGCAGCGGTAGTAGATCTGTTGGGTCCATGGTGGTGAGATGTCGTCTAGATGAGAAATTGCTTGATCCAAGAAAAAAAATATGACGGGTTCAATGGGGCGGTAAAACGGGCGGTGTAGATTCTGGGCTGGTTATCATTTGCGCATCTGAGATAGCCATAAGCTCACGTATATCCAACAATTGCTTGATTGTTCCCGAAAACAAGCCTTGGTGGACTCTTGTGCCTACCTTTGCTTGTCGTGCTCAAATCCGAGACCTTATCAAGCCAATTGGTCCAATCTCTAGCCGTCACGGAACACCTACTCAGGACTTAACTTGCATAACCCCGGGGAACCTCTCCGCTCAACTCTCTCAGGATGCAGTCGACATTCCAACCTCGCACCTTACTACGGACTCGGATTTTTGGCACTTGTTCCCGGTCTCGTTTCCCGGCATGTGGTGCGCCACACATACGGTTCATCTCAACATGGAAGGAAGAGTTGGGTGAGGCCAACCCAAACCCAAAAACACCTCTTTCAGGACGAGTGCATATCCTCGGCATGGGAAATTTAGGTTGCTTCTTTGCTCATTCTCTGGCCACGAGACGTTCACCGCCACCAATCACAATATGCTTGCACAATGAGTATCTCTACCAGGCCTTTGCTCGGAAAAGAGGACAAATTTCTGTCAGCACACATGGCCTCGACGATGTCAGAACAGGATTTGATGTCGAAACCGTGGACGAACAAGGCAGATGGTATGCAATGCCTCCTGTGGACAAACGGCCCTCACCGTTCGATTCCGAGTCTGAGTCCCAACACTTGGTGGATGATGGACCTATCGAGTGCCTAATTATTTGCACCAAGGCGCATCACACAGAGCTTGCTGTCAAAGATATCAGACACCGCTTGACAAAAGACTCGACTATTTGTTTCGTTCACAACGGCATGGGCGTACTCGAGTCTATCAATCAAAATGTTTTCCCGGATCCCAACAACCGACCACATTATATCCAGTCAGTCTTCAGTCATGGCTTAGGCAGAAATGATCCATTCAAAATTTCGCATTTGGGAGTTGGGACCACAATTCTTAGCCCAGTACCGAATTCCACTCTTTCTCCGACGGTGCCTGAATCGGACTATACGTGGGCGCCGTCAACAAAATACCTATTGCGCCTCTTAACTCTCACTCCGCCCTTGGTTGCCGTGGCCGATACACCAGCGGGTCTTTTACAATATCAACTTGAGAAGTTGGCCGTGAATTGCGTCATCAATCCCCTGACTGCATTGGGCGACTGCACCAATGGCGAGCTCCTCTACTCCTTCAGCTTTACCCGTGTCATGCGACTGCTACTTTTCGAGATCTCTGCTGTCATCTGTGCTCTCCCTGAATTGCAAGGTATTCCTGGTATCGAAGATCGGTTTTCGCCAGAACGCCTGCGTCGTTTGGTTGTTAATATCGCAAATAACACATCCAAGAACAGTAGTTCTATGCGCCAAGATATCGATGCGAGAAGATTGACAGAGATCGAATACTTCAATGGATGGATTGTGCGTCGTGGCGAGGAACTGGGCATCAAATGCGCCCTCAACTACATGATCAAGCACCTGATTGCTGCCAAAGCGGCTACCATCCGGGATAGAGAAGCTGGCGCGATTCCCCTTGACTTTGAAAACGTCATCTCTACCAACGAGCCTCCCATATAATTGGATTCTAATACGTTTGGCTGTTGAATTCTTTTCCTCTACCCTGGCTCCTTGTCACGACTCTCTGTGTGAGAGTAGATCAAAGGTTTCAACGATACTTTAAATTCACTGGGCACAACATTTATACAGAAACGGCTTCGGCCGCATGCTCACAGAGATCCTTGATCTGCTTCCACCGGCGCAGCAGCATCTCTGCTTTCGAACGATGTTCTTGAATCGTGTCGTTGAGTTCCATGGCCTTTTGCAATGCCGTCATGTTTGCCTCTGCCTCTGCGGCATAGGTCATGATCCACCTCTTGATAGTGGCTTCAGACCGACTCTCATCCAAGCCCTGTGATTGGCCCTCAAGAACATGGTTTCGCCAATCCTCCTCCTTCATATAACTCAGACATGCTGCGATCTCTGTGCGGTAACAGGGTCCATGGGAAGTGACTTGGTAGTTACTAGCGCTGTGTCAATGGGGAACTGTATATATCGCGTGGAAAATGCGCGTATCATGTAAAATATCATATCGAATCACATACCCATAATACTGATTCAACCACAACTCCTCTTGCTGTCCGGCGGTATCTATATCCCGAAAAACGATATCGTCAAGATAGATAGAATCTGCTTCGTTGGCATCAAGGAAGAAGCCATCTATACGCCAACGGGGTTAGCAAGTCAACATGTTGAACGTAGATAACGATGATTTCCCACATTCTGCCAGTAAGGTATCATTTGGGTGACTGCCATAGTTCATGTATACCTCCTCACCCTCCTCATAATCTCTCGTGGCGCAGAAAACATATTCATGCTCATCAAACTTGACGTCTCGCTGTTTTGATCCAGACGTTAGCATTCTTGATACAACGTGAGACTCGGACGAACCACGTACAGCCACGTCCGCATGGTTGAAATAGTCAGCAAATGGCACCAGCCCCATCGCATCATTGGGATCTTCGGGTGTTTCCTGGTCCTTACCAACCCAATAGAAACACCTCGTATTTACAATCAGCCAGTTATAAGAGAACATCTCCCAGTTGGTATCCGGGAAAGCGGAAATAACATCCGTCCACGCCTTGCGCAAGCGCTGAGCCTGCTGGGACAGAATAGTCTGATAATCTGAGCTATATGTCTTCGTCTTCGGTCCAGGCTTTAGACTATTCCAAAGCCCTGAAATTGACGGGGGAAGCAAATTTGGCTGCTCTTTATCAGCAGATTTGTCGTCTTTGCCGTCGGGCAACTGTAGTCCTCCCAGAGCGGTTGGCCAAAGGATTGGCATGCTATCCTCGAAGTCCTTTCGACTAGGCCACGACTCGCGCCATAGTTCGTATTTTGATAGCTCGTCTGTGGTGCCGTGCGTGAGATATGCTGCCAGTAGTGCCTGTACGGCAATGTCTTCTGGAAGTTTCTCGGTAAACGTGGAAGGGATGTCTTCCACTGTTAACATCAGCCGAGTTGGCACTCGGAGGACTGCTTCTCCTTTCTGAATAGAGGATCGGTAAGTATATATGTATAATTGAGGCATTGATATAGTTTCAGGTCTTTTTGGTCTCATACTTTGATGTTCCGGGTTGCCATCATTCCTAACCCGCGGCCTTGGAACCTGGCTGGTGTCACTGAGCTGGTATCTATGCCATTGGAGACTGCCCATTCTGTGAACGCTTCATGTTCTTCTCCGGGCCACCATTCTGGTTTCATTTTGAATGCGTTTGGGCCTTCTTGGCAGATTTTGTAATCGCTGCGCCAAGTCAGCATGTATATTAAGACAGGGATTAAAGTCAAAAAGTCTATATTGGTTAAAACGTACCTTCAAGCGGGAGCTTTATATGATTGATACTGTCTTTTCCAATGCACACAAGCCTAGCCCGACTAGAGAGTAGTCCCAATGGATCGCAATGGATGTCAATGGCTGTCTGAAATTCACTCTCTATAATGTGTGGAGCAAACGCTGTTATCGATAAACGGCCTTATCGCGGACTACGGCAAAGCATAACGGCCATTGGTGCTGGCCCTGCCGATCTGATAATGATCATACCACTTTCCGGTTTGTTTTCAGCTTTCCCCCGGACCATGCACACATTCCACTGGCTTTGGGATTCATAATGTCTATTCTTGGAAGGCGTGGAGCCATTGAGCTTCGAGCTTTGGCTACCAGCCCAGTTCTATCTGCAAGCAGCCTGCGGGCCTTTTCCGTTCTGAACCGTCCACCACCAAATTACCCCGGCCATGTCCCATTGACTACCATCGAACGCGGAGCTCTCGCCGTGGGTTCAGCAATTGGATCTCTTATTAATCCTCGAAGAGCGGGTATGTGGATAGCTTCTCCAGCAAAATAGCTTTAGAATCGCAGATCCCAATCTAATCTGTTACTCTATAGATCTTATTGCGGCATTGGGCGAAGCCACCGCAACACCATTTTTCATATACCGACTACGCAATGCCATGCTCGCAGATCCAACAGGGCGTCGCATTCTCCGCGATCGTCCCCGCATCACCTCCGAAACCCTCAAAATGACTTATCTCCGCACGCTCCCCGAGAACTCTGTCGGCCGAACATACGCCAAATGGCTAGACCGCGAGGGCGTATCCCCAGACACTAGAGACAATGTCCAGTACATTGACAATGAAGAGTGCGCATATGTCATGCAGCGATACCGCGAGTGCCATGACTTCTACCACGCCGTGACTGGCCTACCGATCTTCGTGGAGGGCGAGTTGGCTCTCAAGGCGCTGGAATTCCTGAACACACTTCTGCCCATGACTGGGCTGAGTCTGTTCGCCTTTGTGCGAATGAAGCCTGCTGAGAAAGAGCGCTTCCTCAAGTTACATCTCCCGTGGGCTATTCGCAGCGGGCTGAGGAGTAAGGAGCTTATCAATGTCTATTGGGAGGAGGTGTTGGAGAAGGACGTGGATGAGCTTAGAGCTGAGCTGCACATCGAACGTCCCCCGGATCTGAGAGAGATTCGGAAGATGATTCGGCGACAACAGAAGGAGGAGAAAGAGCGACAGCAGCAGGCTTCGAGCTGAGCCGAGGCCTGTCTTGTCGGGGCCATAGGTCTTGAACTTTGGGAGATATGTATGATTATTGGATCGGTGAATAATATCACAAATACGCGATTGCGAGGATATTTGCCCCCTATTCAGCCCGGCTGCAAGATAGTTAAAACAATAAAGATAAATCGGGAGTCATAACGCCTGGAGTAGATTTTCCCCGCAGTCCACGAGCGGGTAACAAGAGGGTCCCGAATGCAATAAACAAAAGTCCATAGATCACATGGTATGCCTTACAGGTCCAACAGATCGTCATCATCATCCCAGCCACCTTTGCGGCGAGAGATAACAATTTTCTGCTCCTCCTCCTCTTTGCGCTGGTTCTCTGCAACAGCTCCCAGCAACTCCTTGAGCTGCTCCTCGGTCACCTTTTGTCGCAGCTGTCCGCTTTGAGCGAGCATGATAAGACGGTTCTCGATATCGGTTGCGCGGGACTCCTTAACCATACGGATGCGGCCCAGACGATCGGCAGCGGCGGGGTCGAGGATTTGCATCAATATCGAAGCGCGTTGCTCGGCTGAAATAGGTTAAAGGTTAGAATACCGATGGATCAAGCACGACTTTTGTGGTTCTTTGGATGAAAGCTCTGTGGAGACTATTAACGTATGACCGGGGGACCTACCCTCAGCTTGTCTGATTGCCTCAATTAGTACATGCTCAGCGCATTCTTATGGTCCTGCCTGCACTTACCTCCGCTGCTGTGCCTGTTCACCACCATCCTGACCACCTCCACGGGGTCCCTGTTGTTGCTGGAGTTGCGCGAGACGAGCGCGTCGGATCTGTTTCCGTTCTCAGCACGGGTGTCGAAGGGCGCCGACCTGTGGTCTGGGGATGGCTGGGACACTGACCTCTTCTAGATCTGCGTCTGCCATGGTGGATGTTCAAATTCCGTAATGATTGGTCTTGAAATGAGGGGAGGTCGAATAGTGAAGAGTCAAGATTAATTGGGAGTACCCCACTTCGCCTCAGGCTACGGAGGAGTTTAACGACCACGGAGGACTTATCCCGGGGTATTTGGGTCTGGCGATACAGCACTTTGCCCTTTAACTGAGTAAGGGGTTGGCAAAAGAAAGGATATACCCAACGTGCAAGCAATTGAAGAAGCTACTAGACCTGAGATCAATCTGAGATCAATCTGGAGATCAAGCGAGTATATTTCCTGGAAGACGAGAGGGGAATGATCGAACTTCCCAAATGGGTATTAAGGCTCATATGGTCGCCAGCCTTCTCCGTAAGCTTAGGCGCGGGGAATGGCACGTGGGAGTTGTGATTTGGCTACAAGCGTACTTTTGGACAGACGGAGTATATTGTGGATGTGGATGTTGGAGGGTTTAATTGGTGCCACGATTTGGTATTTCTTCAAGGTATGTTATATATGTTATACATGCTAGTGCTATATCAGCAATGCGTTATACTGCATGTCAATGATACGATCGTGGTACCTGAGGGATTCCGAATGCAGTATGTGGGCGCCTAAAATGTGATGAGGTAGGAGGAGTCCCGACGGAGTATGCTGTACTCCGTACTCCGTACTCCGTACAGACCTACAATCTCAAGTAAATGTTGCGAATTTATTAAACTGGAGCCCCGTAACGCCAAACTGGCGATAGGACAGACTGCGCCTCCTACAAGAGGTCCACTGAGATCGGCTGGGAGATTCAGGTTTAGCTCCGAATTAAAAAAGTGATACCTTCGCCCGGGGCCTCCGGTCCCGTGAGTGGCAATGGGAATCTTCTCGAGATTACTTTCCACTTTCCCCTCTATCTCGAACACCTCTTTTCACTCTTTTGAAAATTAATTCTCTTCACCTTCCTATAGCGCAGTCGATCCTTCGAATACAGGGGGGTCCACACCTGCAGGCTCATCTCTGACTAAGCCCTGGTTCATCTCGCGCCTCCAACCCCCAACCTCCTCGACACCAGGCTGATATCTCCGATCAGACCTGTCTGTGGCGATTCAATCCTTCAGTCTACATTTAGCGCATTTTTTTCCCGGGTCGTTCATTGGCCGTCAAATTGAAGTCTTCTCAAACCCGGATTCGGCCAGCTTTCACTTCCATTACCTCGTACGCTATCTACTCGAGATACGGCCCGCACACGCGGCCTTTCTCTTACCAGCCTTTATCTCTGCGGTGTGAATGGCGTGGATAAAACTTGGTCTACTGGGGATTTTCTAGACGTGATATCGATCTGAGGATCATCGAACCCTGTCAATTTGGCTTTACAGTGCCTGAACGCCCTCTACGTCACTCACCATGGCCGAGTAAGTGTCCACGATCCAGATGTTCTGGTTAGGAAATGAATCAATCGTTGACATTTCAGGTGGGGCAGCTTAATTGCCTTTCAAACCACCCATCATAGTTTCTTCTCTCCATCCAACATGATCACCCGCCACACCCATAGAAGATCGGTGTCCTCCGAGCACCGGTCCTTATCTCCTGACCGAACGGTCATCAAGGCGAAATCCACTACAAATCTCGCCGAGATCGCTTCTTCCAACGCTCAGCGCAAATCCACTAGCTTCGATGAAAGCAGTTTTAGCACCTTGCAGGACCCTCGATTGGCGGTCGGGCTGCAGGTTTCAGAATCGACGTCATCGTCTCACCACCCCGATTTGAGCAATGAAGTTGCCGCATTGTCTGTGAAGTTGATTCAGGCTATCAACAATCAAACGAATCTTGATGATAGCTTGGTTGCTACCCGCCAAGAGCTGGAACTAGCCCAGGGCAAGATCCAAGCTCTCGAGTTCCAGAATGAAAAATATCGGCGCGACATTGAAAATCATGTCTATATCAGGAAGCTCGACTCTGATCGTGAAATTTCGCAATTACGGGAGGCACTCACGGAAGAAACGACCCAGCGTACTGCTGTTGAAAAAGGCAAGAAGAATATCGAGCAAGAATTGGAAACTCTAACTGCGGCTCTTTTTGAAGAAGCCAACAAGGTCAGTTATATCACCCATATTGCGTTTATTCTTACTAAATTCTAACACGCTGGCAGATGGTCGCTGCGGCTAAGATTGAACGTGAGGCGGTGGAGAAGAAGAATGAGCAGTTACGTGCACAAGTCAAAGACACGGAGTTGCTTTTGGCATCGCACCAAGACCAGCTCGCTGAGTTGAAGTCTGTCATGCAAGGGATGAACCTTCACAACGGTGACCTTGATGCCCGTCCCTCTACCGCTCCACCATCCCCGGCTCGCACCCCCCGAGGGCCAAAGGCTGACAAAGAAGAAAGTGAGACGGAATCAGTCTCTGTATCGATTGCCAACCCCGAGGAGTTTATCCCGGGCCCTGCATCTAACTTCCCCCACCTCGTCCGAATGGTAAGCCGGACGGATTTACAGGCTTACGAGGATTTCCGTGATTTGATGGTCCTCTCTCGAAGCTCTAAACCCCCTAGCCGCGCTGCTAGTGGGTCCTATGGAGGCCTGAACGTGATGAGCCTGGCAAGCTTTGCTAGTGGAGGATCATCTTCGGCGACCTCATCGCCCTCGAAGGGCCTCGGTAATTCCCCGCATGGAAGCGTATCTTCCACCACAGGATCACATCTCTCCTTGAAGGAGACTCGCTTCTACAAAAGAGTTCTTATGGAAGACGTCGAACCTACATTAAGACTGGATCTAGCACCGGGTATTTCATGGTTGACTCGGCGTACCGTCCTCAATGCCATTTGCGAAGGCAGTCTCGTTGTGGAGCCAATGCCCCCAACATCCAAGAAATTTGAATTCCCTTGCTCTGTTTGTGGTGAACGCAGACCCGGTACGCTTAATGAGAGAACCCATCGTTTCCGAACGTCAGACAGTGAGACAGCCCAAAGATACCCACTCTGTCTTCTCTGCTTGGAACGTGTGCGCTCGTGCTGCGAGTTCACTGGTTACTTGCGCCTCATCCTTGATGGACACCTTCGAGCTGGCGATACCGAAGAAGAAAAAGAAATATGGGACGAGACCATCCGCCTCAGAGAGAGGATGTTCTGGTCTCGGATCGGAGGAGGCATCGTTCCCTTATTCAATGAATCAAGCTCATCGGAGATGGCGTCGGAAACCATGGAATGCAATTCCGGCGCCGATGGAGCGGAAGATGCCAAGTTCCTCCAACCTCTTGATGTTACTTATCTCGAGTCAAAGACGGAGAAATTCCCATCAGCGGCTGATCAGCTTCCACCTAAAACACCCATCATGGAATTCCATAATGATGCTCCCCGACCTCAAAGTTCTATCTATGACAACGATGATGCTGTTTCTTTGACTAGTTCGGAACGCAGACGTATCTCTGCCGATTCAGCAGCAAGCATCTACGAAGAAGCGAATGCTGACATGGAGGTCGATACCACGGAATCTGTCCCCAATGAGCCCTCAATCGCTCAAACTCGAGAGACAGACACAGAAAATGCCAAGCCTAACGGTTTGAGCACCTCTTGACCTCGGTTGATCACAAGCAATCAACACGAGTGAGACGATTACACGGTTTACCCAGCATTTCACGATCCGCCTAATGTCCCCACCTTCTGGCATTGCATTCTTCACCTTCTTTTACATTTCCCCTCAGGTCATTCAAAAAGACCTGCCCCTTAGAAGTGCCGCTTCTGCCTTTACCTTTACCTCCAACCTTTAATCGCCCAATTTGCTACACCTCGACGAATGTCTCTCTCATTGGTTCGTGTTTCTCGGGTATTACCTATTTTTTTCTCACTTCTAGCAGCATAGCCTTTTGTATTATTACTACCCCTTTACTTCTGACCTTGCATACTAATAATGTGTTGTTTTCCGTCCCCCCCCCTTTTTTTTGTTCGTGGACACTTGAGCCCGGCGTGGCACTCCTGGATCTTCATTGTTTCTGTTTTTCGTTTCTGACTCGTGGCGATGCTGGTACGCTCCGGGTCCTGTTGGTGGAGGCATTGTGGTAAATGATAGATGAAGTTAAATTAAATTAAATTGCATACATATATGATGTTTTAACAGTATATTGTATCTACAAAAAGTCTACACAACGTAACTCATGTTTGTTGCTACAAGGTTGAACCTTGATAGTGGGCCTAGCCCTAACTTAGTCCGAGATACAACCTCGGAAGTTCACCGATACATAGTAGGAAGGGAATCATAGACCAGACAAGATATTTCGTGAGGCTGAGATAAAAGAAGGGCTATTGTACACAAACATATGGGGGAAAAAAAAGTCACATTATCCGCAAATCATCCCTCCTAAACTCCGAAGATGGTTGGAAAAAAATACTATCGAACTAGAACACCCTCGCGAATCCTCAATTTTGAAACGAAAACATCCTATCACGTGTGAAGTCGACGTAGCTGGGGGGGATATCATCTCTTGGCAAGCTGCTGAATATGTCTGAGTTGGTCTTCGATATTCATACTCTGGGGATTGGGCATGCCTGGCGGACCGGCATTTGGATTTTGCGGTCCAGCCATGCCCTCGGGTCCCCCACCAGCCATGGCCATTCGCTTGCGACGAGCTTCCTCCTCCGGGTCGACAGGGGAAGAATCGAAGACATCGCTGCGCTGGCTGGCCAGACGCTTGAGGTTGTTGACGACGTCGACGGTGGAAAGGTTCGTCGTGGCGCTGCGGGATTCGGCCTTCGCGCGCTGTTCTTTCCAGCGTGGATCCAGAAGTTCGATACGGATGTGTTCGTCCAGCTCTGCGGATGGGACTTTCTGGTTGCAATAGGGGCAGATGGCCATGTGGGCTTGTTGGCGGCGGGCTTGGGCCCGGGGGACGTAGTCTGAGCGGATACGCATTGGCTGCTGGCCTGGGATAGCTTGCGCTGCTGCTTGGGCGGCGGCGGTTTGATCGCGTGCTTGCAGCCGCTCGCGGATGCGCTGCTCTTCTTCGGGGTTCGTGTACTGGCCAGGTGGGGGGTAGGGGCCTGCTTGGTAGGGTGAGATTGGGGGCGGGGGAGCGTGCATGGGTGCGGGTTGGACTGGGTAGGCGTTGTAGTAGGTGGGGGCGTCGAGATCGGTAGGCATCGCTTCCTCGATGCGTCGTGTGTTAAGGGAGAGGGCTGCTCTTTGCTCAAGAGAGGCGGACTGCAGGTCGTTGGCGGATGTCGGGGGTGGCAATTCTGCGTGGTCGTCGTGCTCGGTGAACTCGACGGTTTCGACCACGACGAAGTCATGCCAATCGATCTGTGCATATTCGATGCGCTCCTGCTCACTCTGTTCCTCCTTTTCTTGCTTCTGTTGTTGTTGGAATTTCACCCATTCCGCGCGCTGCTTCGCGCGCTCCATGACGTGGAACTTGTTCTTCGCATTTAGTTCCAGTTCGGCGATTCTGTTGGTGAGTGAGGTGGCATCGTCAATTCCTTCCTCACGGAATAAGATAGTATATTGATCGACCAAGCGCGTGAAGAATTGATAGAGACTATGTTGTGGTCGTAAGAAGTCGAACTGGAAATTTCTCGCTTCGCGCTGCGCCAGCGCGGTCATGAATGACTTCCCCCGCTTGGCGACAAACAAGGCTGTGAGCTTGACAACTTCCAAATCCTGTGCGTTGATGATAGGCATGCGCGCCGAGAAATGGAACGCGGGGGGTTCGGGTGGCCCCTTGGGCTTCTCGGGTTCGGCGGCGACGGTCTCGCCAGCTCGGCCTGCTGCCACTGCTGATCCCCGGCCGGCTGCGATTTCGGAGCGGCGCCACTCATAGTAAGGCCAATAAGGATCTCCTTCGGTCAGGAATGAGAATTTGTAGTTGTTCTTTTCCTTCTGGCGGACACGTTCTTCAAAGTTGGGTCCGTTGCGAACGACAAATCCTGCTGATTTCTCGACAATTCCTCGAATATCTTTGGGAGGAACTACCATACCCTCTGGGGTCTTGATAGCATCCTCTGGGCGAGGGGTGTCTTCCTTTGAAGGCTCCATGCTGGTGAATGAGGATGTGACAGAGATGGAGAGGTCTTGTTGGTAGGACTTTGGAGATGGATGGATCTCGGGCTTGCTGACTAGCTCCATAGCCACATCGATGGATACTAGCCACACTATGGCGGTGAAGTGGGACGGATCCCAGTGGCAGTGTGGCGCAGCAGGTGTGGCGGGTGTACAACAGCTCCCGTGCGCCAGGTTCCTCTGCATTTTATTGCTTTTCCCCACTGGCATGCATTCCCAAAGAAGACTCAGGACTGTTTACTTTCTTTTTTTTCATAGTTAGTTAATCTCGAAATATTCAAATCCTCAGGTGTTATCAAGAATTCGACCATTGTACCTGAAAACCACTAGTAAAGTCTGTTACCATACCGGGGGTTCTAAAAAACTAAGGGGCTGCTCACGTTGTCCTCCACAGCCGCCGTCGATCTGGCCTTAAGGCGGAATTGCACGCTTTCGTCCATCTGAGACCTCTTCGATTCTGGTTTTTCGACTGCTTTGTTTTTTTTACTTCTTTTCTTACTCTCTCTTAAACTACCCTTTTCATAGCTTCGTTCCCCCCTGTGATGGGGCCTTTTCCCTCACTGTTACACGATCATTAATCGGTGTGGTGCCTGAAGCCATCGGACGGTCAATAGCTCGAGATCGAAAGCGTCCTCGACAGCGTCCATACTTCCATTCCATTTTAATAAGGCTCTCATTAACGATCAAATCCTAACTCGACTACGCGAAATTCTTCTATCTTTCACACTCGATATTCCGACTTTCGCGCCGACCTCCTGAACCGTAACGTCGTCTCGCATTTACATCGGACAATCGAAACACGATATGGGTCAAAAAGCGAAAGACACACTGGCTGTGCGGCCGCAGAGTCGCGGTAGGCGCTCGCCCAGTCGCTCGCCCAATCCCAAGAACCGCAAGCCTTTGGCGGCACCAAAGACGTATGCCTCGGACGGAGTGAAGAACAATGATATCTTCAAACTCCCCAGCTCCGACTATAAGCTTATTGTGCTGGTCACTTTGATCGCTGCAGCTGTTCGTCTATTCAGAATCTACCAGCCCACCAGCGTGGTTTTCGATGAAGTCCAGTACGTTCTCAACAAACCTTGTGTTATCAATTCAGAATAAGATAGATGGAGACTAATCATTTGGGATTGAATAACAGCTTCGGTGGATTTGCGTCCAAGTACATCAAGGGAAGATTCTTCATGGATGTGCATCCCCCCGCTGGCTAAACTGCTGCTTACGCTGGCTGGATGGTTGGCTGGGTTCGATGGAAACTTTGACTTCAAGGATATTGGCAAGGACTACTTGGAGCCTGGTGTGCCTTATGTGGCTATGCGCATGCTTCCAGCTATTCTCGGTGTCTTGACTGTTCCATTGATGTTCCTTACCCTCAAAGTTACTGGATGCCGCACTTCAACTTCGGTCTTCGGTGCTGGTCTTGTTATCTTTGACAATGCTCTGGTCACTCAGTCCCGTCTAATCCTGCTTGATTCCCCATTGATTTTCTTTACCGCCCTTACAGCTCTGTCTTTCGGCTGCTTCACCAACCAACAAGAGCTGGGACCCGCCCATGCCTTCCGCGGCCCATGGTGGTTCTGGCTAGTGTGTACCGGTCTTTCTCTAGGCGCAACACTCAGTGTCAAGTGGGTTGGCCTCTTCACTATGGCTTGGGTTGGATCCCTTACGGCTCTCCAGCTGTGGGTATTGTTGGGTGATGCTAAAACTGTCACACCGGTAAGTACCTTTTAGCTCACATCAAGCCATATTTTTAACTAACAGATGGATTATTACAGCGCCTGTGGCTCAAACATTTCTTCTCTCGCGTTTTCTGTTTGATTGTTATTCCTTTGGGCTTCTACCTCGCCATGTTTGCCATTCACTTTGCATGTTTGGTTAACCCCGGAGAAGGTGATGGCTTCATGTCTTCGGAGTTCCAGGCAACTCTGAACTCAAAGTCTATGCAAGATGTTCCCGCAGATGTCTCCTTCGGATCCCGAGTTAGCCTCCGCCATCTGAATACCCAGGGTGGTTATTTGCACTCTCACCCTCACATGTACCCCACTGGTAGCAAGCAGCAGCAAATTACTCTTTACCCCCACAAGGATGAGAACAATCTGTTCCTCTTGGAGAACACGACTCAGCCTCTCGGGCCCTACGGGGAGGTTCAGGGCCCTTTCGCCTGGGATAACCTGACTGCTCCTGGTTTCATCGAGGATGGTTCAATCATCAGACTCTACCATACGATTACTCACCGTAGAATCCACTCGCATGATGAACGTCCTCCAGTGACCGAGGCTGACTGGCAGTTTGAGGTCTCGGCCTACGGATATGAAGGTTTCCCTGGTGATGCCAACGATCTGTTCAAGGTTGAGATTATCAAGTCCATGTCCGAGACTCCGGAGTCTCAGAAGCGCCTACGGACTATTCAATCTAAGTTCAAGCTGGTGCACGTCATGACTGGCTGTGTCCTCTTTTCCCACAAGGTCAAGCTTCCTGACTGGGGATTCGAGCAACAGGAAGTGACCTGCGCAAAGGGTGGTACTCTTCCCAACAGCGTTTGGTATATCGAATCGAACCAACATCCCGCAATGGCCCCGGACGCCGAGAAAGTCAACTACCGGAACCCTGGCTTCTTGGGCAGATTCTGGGAATTGCAAAAGGTTATGTGGACCACGAACGCAGGCTTGGTTGAGTCCCACGCCTGGGACTCTCGCCCCTCATCTTGGCCCACCCTTCTTCGCGGTATCAACTTCTGGGGTAAGGATAACCGTCAAATTTACCTCCTAGGAAACCCCCTTATCTGGTGGTCAAGCACCCTGGCCATTGGTATCTACCTTGTTTTCAAGGCTCTCTCCGTCATTCGTTGGCAGCGAAGCTGTAACGACTACAGCCACGTTTCCTTCAAGCGCTTTGACTATGAGGTTGGCACCAGTGTTTTAGGCTGGTTCTTCCATTACTTCCCGTTCTATCTTATGGCCCGTCAGCTTTTCTTGCACCATTATCTTCCAGCTCTCTACTTCGCCATCATGGTCCTTTGCCAAGAACTTGACTTCCTCACAAACCGCATTAAGAGCTTGGGGCTTGCGTCGAAGCCTGTGATTGGTAAGGCTATGATGGCGGCTTTCCTAGGTCTCAGCGTTCTGGTTTTCACGCTCTACGCCCCACTTGTGTATGGCAATCCATGGACCAGGGATGCCTGCAACCAAGTGAAACTACTAGGATCCTGGGATTTCGACTGCAGCACCTTCCACAGCGACGTAAGTGTTCCGAAATGGAAACCTCCCCGACGAGGTTATTAAACGAATCGACGAGCCCACGACTAACATGGACCTTTAAACGCCACTAGCTGAGCCAGTATATCACTCAATATGTTCCCAATGCGCCTCCCGTAGCTGCCCCTACGACCGCAGCACCACCCCCTCCCCCTCCCCCTCCCCCACCAGTTCAGGCACAGGAGCCTGCCCCTGCGCCCGCAGATGAGGATACCCAACCCGCCGACCCGGCGGCTGTCACCGCGCCCAAAATCCAAGGCTCTATGGCCCGGGTCGAGTACCGTGACCAGAACGGCAAAGTTCTTGACGAGGAGCTCGTTGCCAAGCTCCGTGCGGAAGGTAAAGTCAAATTCGAGACCCGCTATGAGCCCGGTCCCCCTATGGAGAATGCCCACGATGTTCCCGTCGTCGATGGGCAGCTCGCACCACCACACCCAGATGTGCAGGGCCAGAATCCCGAGACGGGCAGTGCGCCCGAGGACTCTGTGCCACCCGAGAGCCCTGCATCTGTGGCCGAGGGCAACGAGCGCTCCGTTGAGCAGCCAAGTTCCATGGAGGAAGCAAAGCCTGCCAGTGAGGGTAATGAGGCCACCCGATAGTGGTTTGTGTGAAAGCTAGATGTGTAAGAGGAAGGAAGAATTCTGCCATGTATAATGAGCCTCTATAAAGCAGTTGTCCATTTCGCGTTTGTAAGCTCTTTCTTTGGTGTTCTCATAATCGACACTGATATCTACAAATGCTGGTCACATAGTCTAGGCAAGTAGGAGGCTGGCACTTCCAGCACTTGTGCGACGAGGTCTAAATGTGAAGGAGGGCTCCAGAGCTCTAGGTAACGATCTAAATTTACGCCGTGACGGAGCCTGCAGGATATAGATGTAGCGCAAGAAAGAGACCGATTCCCAATTGACTCTTATCTGAATACGGATACTATGCACAATTTCTTGCTATCCAAATGGCAAGTCCCACGCAGCCCTCTCCTCTCCCCGGTCTTGACAGTCTTAGTGTACAGCAGCCGGCCGCAGCAAACGGCAGTTCGCTTCATTCAACTTCTAAGGCACTTCTTATAGCTAATCAATAGCCATTTAGTAATCCCACTCCTCCTTGCCGAGCTTGTTGAACTTCTCGTGGAGATCCTATCAGAAAGAAGCTAATGTCAGCATTCTGTCAAAACAGCCAATGCGATCGCACATGGCACTCTCAATCAAGTCTTGCGGAACCGGACATGTGATATAGACTAAAGGGACCTAGTGAGTTCATACCTCGGGAAGAGTGACATTGGGAACAATGACGGTGTTCATGGCACTGGGAGCAGCGCGGAGGGGCTGGCTCGTGTCACCGTGGGGGTGGTACTGGTACTTGTAGACCTTGCCATCCTCGGACTTGCCCTGCCAGGGCATGGCACTCTCGCCAATGCGGACGTTGCTCTCGGAAGTGACGGAAGTGGGCTTGCGGCCGAAGTACCTATATCGCGAAAACCGAACGGGTTAGCGATCATCGTGTTTGTTTTGGATTTTTGGATTTGTGCGCCATTGATGTTGATAGAGCGATCAGAAAACATGGCGAAGAAATTCCGTTGTCGGCACGTCACAATGACACCAATGGGGCGAATTGTTTGAAAATGAGGCATGGTAGGGTGGTTTCGGGAGGGATGCTCACCATCCGGCAATCAGGAAAGCACCAGACATGACACCGAGGAGAACCTAAAAACACAGCGTTTTAGAATGAAAGCTTCGATATGGTTCAATGGCTGCGTAGGATGCGTACGTAGAGCTCGGGGTCACGCTTGGGGGCCTTGTCGAGGCTGGCTTCCTCAATCTTGGAGGAGGCGAAGCGGCGCGGGGGAGCGCGGAGAAGGGACTGGCGGGTCAGAGCCCGGCGGGTAGCCAGAGCAGCAATTGAGGACATTGTTGCAGCAATTTGTGCGTGCTTTGAAAGGGAGTTTCGTGGGCGGGAACTAGAGACGGGGTAGTGGGAGAGAATCGTGAACATCGAATGATGTTGCCGGCATATCAGGTGACGCTGAGTCAGCACCGGTTCAAGCAATTCTGGGTCACCACTTTCGAGCTTCCTGTTGGCTGAGATTCTGCGGTTCGAATATCCGACTTGCTGGTGCTTATACGATCTTTCCGGTGTTTGTTTCTGTGATGTAATTGGCCTTTACAATTTGTTTGGCTTCGTGATTGCTGTTTTACACCAGGGGTATGTGGTTCCGGTTTTCTCCATCAGGGGGGCTCTTCATATTGGCCCCGGCTTTGCGGCGCGTTTGTCAGAGGAGCCTTGCGCTCGGATTAAAGACTAACAAGGCTATAGGCCCTTGATTGATCAATCACTTCATTCTCACTCATTATCCATTTCCTCGAATTCATCGTCGCTCCTTTCTTAACTGCTCCGATTGCCACTCACCGTATCCCTTCCATACTTGCTGCCTAAGCTCACCGCGATTCGCTTCCACTCCTTAGCCTATTGTCAATTAGGAACACAACATGATAGCGCGCATCGCTACCTAGCCAATTATTGATATTCACTCCTTTCCAGAGTTATGGCAAACTCCGCGAATCATTCAGAAACCGGCGATACAAACCAGGGATCGGCACCACAGCATGTGCTTGGGATTCCTCGCCCTCCCTCCGTGGGAGGTATTTCATCCCGAGTGACGGATGAAGATGGAGAGCGAACAGCGTCCTATACGTCACGTCCAGCTCCGCACCAGTCGCGATCCTCTGTCTCTCGACGTGCTCCGCCCCAAACACGAAATTCCATCAATGCGCCTAACCAGTTGACCAGCAGGCCTGGTAGCTCAGGGAGTCGCCTGAGTAGATCGCATATCCCGTCTCTAACAGCGCAAGGTTTCTTTCGACCCATGAGCTCGCAACGATTGCAGGCACACCGAGGAACACGTCCTGTGACTAAAGGGACGGTTTCATCCACCGACGACTGGCCAGAACAAGGGAGCCAGAACCGAACAAGCTTGGTGTCCAACAGCACGGTTCAACAAGGATCTCTGCCTCTGACTGATATGGAAGTCCCACCATCCCGAGGAACAGAATTCACAGATCCTATCATTCCAGACCGCAATACCTCAAACGCCAGTCCCACTGGTAACACCACGGTCCGGAGTCTAGGTGAAAGCGTTAGGCTTCTGCGGGATCGAGACCAAAAGGGGAAACCCCAACATCTTAACTTGGGCGCCAACTATACAGGGCATGCCGGGCAAGATGTACAACCAAAATCACCTCTTTCATTCCTCTCATTACAAAATCGGGGCGCAGGACACAATGATAACCGGGGAAATCAAGGTCATGAACATCTCTCCTCTGCTGGGTCCTCCCCGGGTCCTCTCGATATCAAGAAGCCCCAGCTACCAGAAACGAATTTGGGCAAAAACTATGAGTATTTTCTTGGGAACACACTCTTCTGCGGCGGGGGTCGATTCCAAAACTCGCGAGACAAGCCTGTCAATATTGCGACAGGGCTTTTGGTCGTCGTACCCTCGGCGTTATTCTTTGGTTTCTCGTATGTGAACACCTCTAATATGAACGAGATCCATAGCTAACATTTGAATTTAGGGCCCCTTGGCTGTGGCATAATATCTCTCCTGCTATTCCCATAGTGTTTGCTTACATCTTCTACGTCTGTTTCTCGTCTTTTGTGCATGCGTCCGTCGTTGATCCTGGAGTAAGTGACTCGTTTTGATTGAGTTCTGTGGCTACTAACATTATCATCTTAGATTATGCCTCGGAATGTGCATCCTATGCCTCATCCAGATTCTTCGAGCGATCCTCTGGCCCTTGGTCCACCCACAAACGATTGGGTCATGGTCAAACTTGCTACTTCCGATGTGGCCGCCATGGATGTGCCAGTGAAATACTGCAAAACATGCAACATTTGGCGCCCACCTCGTTGCTATCATTGCCGTGTATGCAACAATTGTGTGGAAACCCTCGACCACCATTGCGTGTGGCTCAACAATTGCGTTGGTCGCCGAAACTACCGCTATTTCTTTACTTTCGTCAGCTCTTGCACCCTCTTGGCACTCTTTTTGATCGGTGCTAGTCTCGCCCATATCTTGGTCTACATGTCTCGAGAAAACATATCATTTGGAGCTGCAATCTCCAAGTGGAGAGTGCCTTGGGCCATGGTAATCTACGGTTTAGTCGCAGTGCCATACCCTACATCGCTTTGTGCCTACCATCTCTTCCTAGTCGGCCGTGGTGAAACCACGAGAGAATATCTCAACTCGCACAAGTTTGCCAAGGCTGACCGGCATCGACCCTTCACCCAAGGAAATATCCTTCAGAATTGGATTGCTGTCCTTGGACGTCCTCGGCCTCCTACCTACATGCAATTGAAGCAGCGGTACGAAGATGGCGATCAACGCTTTGATTCCCAAAAACGCAAGTATCGCGTTCCAGATGTCGACTCCCAAGACATTGAAATGCAGCATGTCGGTCATCAACAAGGTTAGACCAAAACAAAAGTCATTCTTTTGCCTGTCGGCCTTGTTTCGGCGGCTACGACCTGTGAAGATGATATTCATGACTCCCTCTTTTCTTTCTCTAACCGATTCCCCGTTCTCGCCGGGATTCTTCGCCATTTACCATTTTCTAATCTTCACATTACACATACCCCTCTTGTTACCTCTCTCTCTATTTGCTTTGCAACACATACTTCAGACATAGTCTTGTCTTTCTACTGATCTGCCATAGTCGATTTCTTATTCTGTTATATCTTGTTACTTGTGTGACTATCTGGGAATGGGCAACCCTACCCAGAAACAGCCTTCCTCTTCTTCCATATGCTATTGGAACTATATATTCTTTTCTCAGACAATTGACAACATGTTATGTATATCACAGAATAGTCCATATCGTATCTACATCACTCCATGCGTAGAATCCCTCATGCTGCGGGGGCCAGAGTGAGGGATTTCGGCATTCCACCTGGACACGAGATCTGATTTTGTAAGCCCTGACAAGGCTTACTTTCTCCTTCTCCCTTGCATTTCCATTCCTATTATTGCCTTATTAGTCTCGTAATTCGATCGGGAAATTCTGCGATTGGAGTGTTCAAAAGTGTTGTTGCACGCGTCAGACCTCGCCCTAAATTGATAAGAAGCGCGCGGGAAGGTGATCCTCTTCGATCCGGCATCTTCCCCTGATATTTCCCCATCTCAGCACGACCGCACGCGCCAGTTGTTCTACCTTGCCAGAGAAAGGCGGTTCCGGGTGGAATTGTCCTTCTCGTTATCCCATTCACTCGAAAATGGCGCCACGAAAGTCCCGATCCATCGCGTCCGCGGCTCCCGATGTTCAAGCTCACGAGCCCACCGACGACAACATGGGTCTCGATGTACCAGAACAACTTTTGACACCAGAAAATAGTCGCTCTGAGACCTCAAGCAACAACGAGAACGTGTTGACCGACGAAAAACCCGCAGGACGGCGAAGATCAACACGGGTCGCGCGCGCATCGGTGCGGCCAGGTGAGCCACTGAACGACACACCGGAGAAGGAGGAACCTGCAACTTCTTCCAGCGAAGCCTACGTCGACAGTCTTGCCAAAGCGAAACGATCACACTCTTCTCTACGCCACAGCATTGCAGTGATGGAATCTTCGTTGTGGAGCGGTACTCCGGCCGGCGATGATACTTTGACCGACGATGCCGTGGCTCCTGATACACCGGTCTCGAAGTCTTCTCACGGTGTTCAATCTGAGGATATGAATACAATGGAGCGGCAGCGGACACTACGAAAGCGTGTGGAAAAGAAATTAGGTGAAGATGAAGGAACGGCCACGGTTGAGCCAGTCCCACCCCGAACAGCTTCTCGCACATCCCTACGGCGGTCAGGTCGCTTTAGTCTGCTCAATAAGGCCTCGGATATGGTTGATCGAGCTAGCAGTATCTTGGGAAAGCGCACAAGAGGCTCGGCAGACAAGGATCTTGGTCGGCGTTCTAGTCTTCGCCCTCGGAATATTGCGCCATCAAAAGAGGAAACGAGTGTCTCCGCTAACCAGCCGGCATCGAAAAAGCGTCGGGTCTCTGAAAGCGATTTGTCCAAACTCCAAGATGAGACTACACCTGCACCAGAGGAATTGGCTGCACCAGGTTCGCCGCGGCCTACGCGCAAGATTTGGCTGTCTCACGGCCTCTATACAGGCCAGGAACCCTCGGATTCGCCCCCCAAGCAGCGTCGGAGTAGGAATTCAAAGAAAACTGGAACTGGCCCAATGCACCGCACCATTCTTCCCATGCCGATGTTCAAGGGTGCGCGAATTTTGAAGAATGGACGGGACTTCCAACTGCCGTTCGACATCTTCTCGCCTCTCCCACCTGGCCAGCCTAAGCCTGACGAGTGGCGCAAGACTAATAAGAGTAAGCAACATGTTGAGTAATTTTCATTATGGAATAAGGGCTAACAGACAGTGCAGACGTTTTTGTTGGCGATGCTGGAAGCTTTTGGAAAGCGAATAAAAAGTTAGAGCTTTCCACTTGCATGTGTACTGAGGATACTGGTTGTGATGAGAACTGCCAGAACCGCTATATGTTCTATGAGTGTGACAATGGTAACTGCAGGCTGGGTCCCGAGTGCGGCAATCGAAACTTCGAGGGCCTCAAGCATCGGACCAAGGCCGGAGGTAAGTATAATATCGGAGTCGAAGTCATCAAGACGGCGGATCGTGGGTATGGCGTTCGCAGCAATCGGTCCTTCGAGCCCAACCAGATTATTGTAGAATACACCGGCGAGATCCTTACCCAGCTTGAGTGCGAGAAGAGGATGAGAACGGTTTACAAAAATAACGAAGTGAGTTCTATTTGCTGTCATTGATGCTTTGCTATTTACTGACTTTGCCAAACTAGTGTTATTATCTCATGTACTTTGATCAAAACATGATCATTGATGCTACTCGCGGGTCTATCGCTCGATTTGTTAACCACGCATGTGAGCCCAACTGTCGTATGGAAAAATGGACTGTCGCTGGCAAGCCACGCATGGCACTTTTTGCTGGAGATCGAGGGGTTTCCACAGGAGAAGAATTGAGCTATGATTACAATTTCGAGTGAGCTCATACGCATAGCGAGTCGCTTCACCATATGCTAACATTACATCAGCCCGTATTCCAACAAGAATGTTCAACAATGCCGCTGTGGATCAGCAAATTGCCGAGGCTTCCTGGGTCCACGCTTGAAGGAAAAGCAGCAACGTGCCAAAGAACTTGAGGAGAAACGAAAGGCCGGAGGAAGTCCAAAGAAGGCATCTGCAACAAAGGTTATCGGCAAAAAACGAAAGGTTTCAGAAGAAGTTCAAGGCACCACGCCTCGTCAAGGCAAGAAACGCAAGATGATCACAACCAAGGCTATCAAGGCTAGCGTGAAAAAGGCTGTGGCTACCGTTCGTGGGAAGAAGACAATTAAGACAACGACTAAGGGCAAATCCACAACCGCTACCAAGTCAAAGACTAATGTCAAGCTACCAACCGTTAAAACCACGGGCCGGATCAAGGCCACAGTCCGTGCTGCCCGGTCTACCAAGGCCACCAAGGAGACCGCAGCTTCTCCTGCTAAGAAGTCAGCATCACAACTCAAACGGCCGTCTGCCGAGACTAAAAGGCAGATCCTTGCAGCTGCTTCTAAGGGCTCCGGAGCCTCTCCTCGCAAGCCTTATACCAGAAAGGCACCTGCCAAGTCTCCCGTCAAGGCCAAGATGCCCGCTCCCAAGGCTAAAAGCACTGCCAATGGGGGCCTCGGCAAAGGCGTCAAAAATGCGACTCGGCGTATTGTGAAATCTGCCAAAGGAGCAAAGAAATGATTGCACTCTCTTGGTCTTCTGATTATCTGTTACCAACTCCGTCTTCGACTTGAGAGTCTCGCTGCTCAAACCAATCAAACAATCTTCTCAACATAACCCTTTATCTTTTTTCTTTCTTCTGTTGACAATCTTTGGTCTTCTGAGCCAACAGTTGGGAAGTAGAGTTTTTGAATATCTCTAGCTTTTACCTGCGCATTCTTGACCTCGACACTCACCATTCTGCATGCTCGTGTGGCTACCTCGGAGGTCTGGAGCAATGTTTGCCAGATTGTCTTTCTATTCTGCTTGATAACTCTTTTCTTACACTTCTTCCCTCACTTTCTACTCCTACATTTGCTGCCGTGCGAATCCATCAGCTAATTCCCCCCTTGTACGACCTCCGTGTTTCCCCTGGAATGGCGTTTTCTCCGTTCTCTTTCCCACCTCCCCTATCCATTGCTTTTGTTCTTTCTCCTACTCTGCTAGCTTCATGTCTTTCAAACTTTTTATTCGATTTATGCGTCATGGTCATGAAGGTGAGAGATTGCTCTGGGCTGCCGTTGGGCGTGGATTAAGCATGGTGCGTGACCTTGACATCGGCTTTGATATAGCTGAAGTAGATGTCTCTAAATGCAACATGTTTTCCCTTGAATTTTGGGTTACTATTCCAAGGCTTTACGTAGACAAGTCAGGGTTCTCAGGTTGGATGTCCCAAACAGCCTGGGGTCCCAAGAAGTTAGGATTTCGATTTCTTACATGCGGTCTGGTAACCTGACTATTTGTGTAAATCTCATTATTATTTGGACTTGCATATATATATCTACATACTTGCACCTGGACTGACCAAGTCAGATAATGATTTCTACGTGCCTGGAGGTGCCTGGAACCCCCAGCTTCCCTATATATCGATGGCTCTCGTACTAAATGCATATTATATATAAGACCATATACGGAGTAAGTGATGGATATAAAGATAGTGGAGAGACTAGTGGGGCTACTCCGCAATCGAATTGTGTACATAACGGGATGTATGTACATAGTAGGCAATCTTGCTGTTCTTTCGATCTCAACGTTGATCTCTCATGTTGACATAATTGCTTGTCACCTGTCATTCTTTCTTCTCTGGAGATATCGGGCCACTTTCTTCACCCTTGCTTTTGGGTTTCCTCTTCCCTTTTCTATCCTTTCTTCATCCGGTTTCTTTTCCTCTGCGCAGTCTTCACCATGCCACGGAAGGAATTCCTAAGAGATCTTGCAGAGGCTGCGGTCCCTGGTCACTTCTCCTATATCGCCGAGATTAGTGCAGGGGAGTGCGATGGATCAATTTCCTTCACTTTCGCAGCACCTGAGACCAGCCTCAGGCTTGACTTTCAGGCCATAGTATCAGGTAAAAATGCTTCTTCCATGGTGGCTTCTAGCATTCTAGCCTCTAATCGACTCGCACACTAGATTCTCACGACTACCCAAAGGACCACAGCTTTTTGGTCTTCTCGTCGTCCGAGAACTGTCCAATCACCGTTACATCCTCCCTGGAAAAACAAGTGCCTCAGTTCATAGGCTCAACAATCCATGACGTGCTGATCAAGATTGAGGATATCATCACCAATTGCATCATCTATCCTGACTCGGCATCCACTGACCCAGAGCAGGCTGACACACCAGACTTCGACGACGCGGGGTCAGCTGGTCACGATAGCGAGTCGGTTCCTAACATCAGCGAGCCAGGCTGGGAGTCTGATGATGAGGACATCACATTTCTACGTACTCCAAGTGAGACCAAGCTACGAGAGATGATTCGCCAAGACTTTCGTGCGGTCAAGGATGCGGGATTCAAGGTGGGATACCTGGGGTCAAAGTTTGAAACAATTATTGTGTCTGTAGCTTGCCGCATTGCTAAGCTTGGGATTTCCGAGGAAACTATGAATGCATGGGGCGTCGAACCCTCGGAGTATCTAGTTTTGCTGATCCGTTATCACCCAACATATCTCGATCTCCGAACAATCCTCGAGACAGCAAGCGATGTGAAGGATGAATTGATTAGGATGCATGTTGGTCTTTGTACTTCATACAAGCCGCACTTAGATCACGCCCTCGAAGCTATCCAGGGATCTCAAAACCGACAGCCAGCATCAGACACAACAATACATGGCCATCTTCTCAAACCGCTCTTCATTGGAAGATCACTCAATCTACTTCTCGAAGAGCGACTGCTTGGGATAATCAAGCTTCGGGTCAAACATGGGTTTTCGTGGACAGGGGCAGAGCTCTTCTTCCAAACCAACCAATGCAAGATTTACAGCGACTCTGATACCCTTTCTGAGGAGTATCACCAGTCAGATAGCTGGGCAACTTCGACCCCAGCAATCCTCGTGACTGATCATCTGGCTGAAGTAGAGCGCAATACTTCCAAGATATCTCTACCCCTTCTTGCTATGCAGTTTACTCTTCGACATTTTGTAAAGTGCACCGAATTTTGCCTTGTTTGTCACTGCAAGACCGGTGATACCTTCGAAGCACTGAAGCCATATGTCTGCTCCAGTGGATTATGTCTGTATCAATTCATGGAGCTGGGCATGGGCCCAAGTCTCGAATATGAAATCCGCTCACAGCCCTTTGTCGTTGATCTGCTGGTCAGTCTGGCATATGCCAGATCTATGCGGGGGCTTCTTGAAGACTTTCCCACTGGTCTTCGGCTTCGCGTTCCTGGGCAAATGTTCCCAGAAAATGTGCGAGCATCTACTCCACGCCATATTGCAAACTTGTACATACACCCAGACAGAATTGATCTTCGACCAAAAGTGATCACTCCAATCAAAGTCGGTGATTGGATTGTCATCATGGAAGGGGGCCAAGTTCCAGGAGTAAACGAATGGCATTGCCGTGTCAAAAGCATTGATAAAGCCTTGAACAATATTCTCATCTCACCTCCAATGTGCCAAGGTCAACAATTGCGGCCAGAAGAACTACCATCTGAGGTCAAGTTAGTGAACTTTGTTATTTATGACACCAACTTGGACGATTTGACACCCCAAATGAAACAGAAGATGATTTGCTGTCTGTTCAATGTGCTCCCTAGTGTGGAGGATATGAAAACATTCATCGGAAGCTATGGAAGAGGGAAGCCTCTTTCATCATGGGAAGACGTCATGTCTCCCGCTGGGATAGACCTTTTACGCTGGATTATTGCATCGAATCGATCTTTTATCGTACAGGATGACAATGAGCCTCGATACCAAGTGGGTGGGATGAAAGGTTACATCCAATTCCGATTTGCTCAAGGGGCGGCCGACAAAGAAGAGCGTTTCATCGATGCCGTCAATTCCGTCTCTGCGTCCGAGAATCCAGAAAATCCTACGTTCTTTGCCTGGCATGGCAGTCCCTTGCACAATTGGCACAGTATTCTACGAGAAGGCCTTCATTTCAAACGAATTAGCCATGGTCGTAGTTGTGGCGATGGCGTTTATTTGTCAAATTTCTTCCATACCTCATTGGTATACACTGCGAACCAAATGTCTCTCAATTGGCCCAGCAATCGTCGATTGAAACTCGCATCAGTGATCTCGCTGAACGAGGTTGTCAATGCCCCCGAGAAATTCGTGAGCTGCAGCCCGCACTACGTTGTGCAACACCTAGACTGGATTCAGCCTCGGTATCTTTTCGTCCAACTGCAAGGTTCCTATGTCCCAGTGAATCCACGTGTCTCGGCTGCGAACTGGAGTATCGCAGGGCCCCCAAGACCACAGCCATCCCCTTACGGGTATGATGGAATACGTTTCTACAAACAAGATAAGCGCCATATTGCCATTGGTCCTGACGGAAAGCCAATACGAATTCCCCTGTCGATAATTAGCGGCCAACAAGGGAGAGCCCTCCGTATTGCTGCAGAGATAGGACGCACAAGCCTTGTAGCATCATCTATGAGTTACACCAAAAGACGCAAATACTCAGCCGAAGCCACCGAAGAGCATGAAGATGACGACAATCTCAGCGTTGAAACAACCGCAGAAGATCTCGATGCTCTTCTATCAGATGATGAAACATCCGACGATTGCATACAAGAAGAGCCCGTCCCAGCTTTCAACTCCCAGTCCAATTTCCAGCCCGGAACACTAGAGGGAGATTCATTGCCTACACTTGCTGCACCTCAGTATGCAACAACCTCAGCCACAAAAATCCTACAGCACCAGCTCAACACTACCATCAAAACCCAGCAGAAAGTGCCTCTCCACGAGCTGGGATGGTACGTCGACCTCAACCTGATCACAACCGTCTACCAATGGATCGTGGAGCTGCACTCCTTTGATCCAGCCCTTCCACTAGCCAAAGACCTCAAAGCCGCCAATCTGAAAAGTATTGTTCTTGAGCTCCGCTTTCCGCCTCAGTTCCCCATGGACCCGCCATTCGTACGGGTTGTTCGCCCTCGCTTCCTCCAATTCGCTGCTGGCGGCGGCGGCCACATTACCACCGGTGGCTCAATGTGCATGGAACTGCTTACGCACTCGGGCTGGCTGCCGACGGCTTCGATTGAGAGCGTGTTGCTGCAGGTTCGTATGGCTATTATCAATACCGAGCCGCGGCCTGCACGTTTGAATCTACGCTCTGCAAGAATGGACTATTCGGTGGGTGAGGCGGTGGAAGCATACAAAAGGGTTTCAATAGCGCATGGATGGGAGATTTCGAAGGATATTCAGCAACTTGCTTGGTGATTTTTCTTTCTTCCTCTTCAGATTTGTACCTCTGACATGGGGATTTCCGACAGCACATGTTCGGCAGAGAATGATATCAAACCAGCAATTTGTTTGGCGATCTTTTCCTCTGGGTGGACTTTGTTTTGAGTTAATATCGTTTGTCTAAACTGATTTTCTTGCTGCTGAAATGACCATTTATGATCAGAAACGATATTTGCAACTCTACTTTTCATCGCTGTATGTGCGTAGTACCTTCATAGTTCCAAGTGAGGCGTCGTTCGTGTCTTTATAACAAATACTGTTTCAACCCAGAAGAAACCCCCAGATCAACAAATATAATCAAAGACCAAGTGTCATTGAGTAATAATAATAGTAATAATAAAAATGAAAACTGGAGTCCTATAAAACTGGCTAGGTGAAGGGAAAAAAATCCATGATGCCAAATAGACCACGCATCTGCCCACAGACATGAGAAGGACCCTATTCAAACAGCGATAGACCAAAAACGAGGCCATTCATTGTACATTCAGAGATAAGTTTGATCTGGCGAGGCATGATGACCAAGAAGCGCTTTATGTGAACTCAGACGGACCAGCCGGTAGGATCGGATGTGGGAGCTGCTCGATTTTCATCGATCTCCTTGGCTTCCCCTGGATGAGAATTTTCTTCAACATGTGCCCCGGTGTCGACAGTTTTGTCGGGGCCATCTATCTCGCTTGTTGCTTCTGTCCTTTCATCTGGAATGGTCTTCGGCTCCTCTGGCAGACTGGGATCTGCGGCGGTATCATTATTTACACCAGGAACTTCAACAGCCGTAGTTGCATCAGCTGAAGTGGGTTCTATCTGCGGATTGTGCGCACTCAACGGTGGTGCTTGAGGCGAATCTTGGGTTGCAAGAGACTGAGTATTTCGCGCAGGACTGGGTTCTGAGGCCGGGGCATCTTCCATATCAACATCTTTTGCTTCGGTCGAATCTGGACTGGCCTCGAAAATCCCAGAGGGCTTTGTTTGTTCGTGCTCGGCGGCTACTGAAAGCCTATCTCGTGCGTCAAGATTGGAAGGTGACTCATTAGAAGTCTGCTTGGATTCCTGAACCTCGATCGAGGCATTGCTCGATACCGTAGTTTGCTCTGATGCTGACACTCCTCCGAGTGGTTGTTCAGCAGGCTGTGGGTGGTTCAAAGACTGTAGCAATGGGGGTTCTGAGTATTCTTTCGGGCTGGCAGGTGGCAAATCAATTGCATTCTTCTGCTCGCTTGCAAGATTAGGTTCCTCGTTCTGTCTGAGCTCGGCCATCGGTTCTGTGGCTTCATCTTTCTTTTGTAGATTGATGCTTGAGTTGTGAGCTTCCTCGGCTGTAGTTGTGAAATCGGTATGTTTACTTGTCATTGTACCACTCTTGTCGGACGAGACAGGAGTCTCGTCAATTCCCGTAATGACAGGTTTTTCTTTAAAATCGGTGGCATCGGCCTTTTCGGAAGGAACGCTAGAATCCGCCTCGGTGCTATGTTTGAGCTGGGCCGCTTCAGCCACGATCGCTTGCTCTTGTGTAGTCGTCTCTTTTTTGGCCAACAAAATTGGTTCAGAAGCAGAAGCTTGATTCTCGGGAATGGCGTCTGCCATGTCGACATCCATTGACTGCTCGGCGGAGGGTTCGAATGATGATCGACCCACAGACTCTGTACCGGACAAAGGCTGGGGAGTGTCAGGGGTCTTCGCGTCAATCATGGACTCATCACCTTCATCGCTGTCATCGCCTTCGTCGCCGTCTTCATCGTCTTCATCTTGGCCAGCCTGGTCAATAGACATCTGCGAACCATCATGCTGTCCTTCTCCCTTGACACCATTTGCACTAGTCCCAGAAGCAGGACCAACTCCATGTACTGCCGCCGCGTCGGCTCCTTCGCCGGGCGCAAACATTACCTTCTTCTTCCGGCCCTTTCCAATACCCCTACCCTTGCGTTTAGGGGGAGGAGGGCGCCGCTTTGGCGGTGTCATTACAGCCGCTGATCCAGCTTCCGCAACTACAACACCCTCTGCATTGACAATGCCAACCCCCTCGACGACTGTTCCAGGTGCAGGCGCCTCTGGTTTCACAGACACTTGGCTCTGTTCGACAATAGTTTGCAAGTCTCCAGTGATCTCTCCTTCAATACGATGCCCCTCTGGTACCCACGCCTCGTAGATAGAGATGTTTCCAGTTTCAGGGTCGGTCTTCTTGAATTTTGTTCTTCTCATAGGCCCAGAACCCGCCCCAGAGCTTCCATCTGTACCAGCAGTGGCGCCATAGAGAGAGGGAAGGCCAGGTCGCCTCTTTGCCAAAAATTCCACCTCTGCGGGCTCAAGGTGTTTGGGAAGCGTCATCCATTTGCGAGTTGTGAAACTCCGATCGGCCATATGAGAAGCCGCGGCTGAGTCTTCTGCATCTACTACGCTCTTTTCCTCGTCATCGGTTGGTCTGCTACCTTGGCGGATATGAATACATCCGGCACGGGCTGCTCGAAGAAGTGCGCGACTCATTGGCGGTAAAATCTGGCTGTCTCTGGGCATGGGTAGCTCTGGCAAAATCGGCCCTCCGCCAGGGCCTTGAACACCAAATTCTGAGTCATCAGGCTTGGCTGCTTGAGAGAATGTATGTTGTTGTCGTGACCAGCGGCGCACTGGCAATCCTTCAAAGACGTCGTGATCGATTTGTCCAGTACGGGTACGGTTTGGGGCACCATCAAGGTGCCGCCCTGAGCGTGAGGCTCTGAACTGCGGCGGAAGTTAGCCATCTATTTCGATCAATTGAAGATCTAGTATATTTGAAAGGCCCATAGGTCTTAGGGGATCTGGACAGAGCTGGATAGGACAGATGATGGCCAAGGGTGCAAGTTGCAACATACAGTGGAAGGCATGATTGGCAGATACCTCCGCAGTTGGTTCCCCAGGTACCGACGCAAAGACAAGCGCGCTCTGTCAGAAAGCCCCTAATATCTCAGTGGGGATGTTTCAAGGGATTGTTGCGCGAGATACGGTGGAGTGGGTAGATGGAGCGCAGCGGCGCAACTCCGTCGCGTTGCGATGCCGTGAAGTGACATCACGTGATGGACACGCTCATTTCAAAGATGTCAGTGCACATCAATACAGCTCTGAGTACGGAGTATAGCGAAAGTGATCTAAGAATTTTATAGGGGAGGCCCTCAATTGATAACAAGGAGATCGGGGTAGTTCAATTTGATGCAGGTCAAAAATGGAGAGGTGTATTTCCGGGGGTTAATAGAGATGGCTACAACGGCAGTGCTGGACGTATAAATACAGAAAATGAGCAGGTGTCCGCAAATCCACCATTGCGAAGCTATCAAAGCAAATTCAATGCGATGGCCACGACATCCTTCTCATTTCGAGGATCAATCCCAACTGTCAAGAAGTTAATAAGAGGAGTGCAATGTTGAAACTATGTATTCAACGACTTACCCGGTATCCTTCTGGCGAACAATTCCTCCGTGGTTCCCGGTTTCCTTACCCTGTAAAAAAGAAATGTAAGTTTAAGTGCTGAAGCAAGGCAGCGAATCAATGCAAGACTTACAGTCTTTTGGCCTTCCACCACCAACTTATCCAATTGGAAGAACTGGCTGATGACCGTTTGTCTCTGTAATCGTGTCAGTTTGATCAATTTTTCGGAATGTATCAAAGACGGATAGGGCAGTGTTGTGAGGTGATACTCGTCAACTTGCAACGTAGGGAAAGGCACCGAAAGTGAGGACCCAATGTCTGCCGCTGATCGAGTTCTGCCCTACACATCCTGTGAGATAACTGACCTTCAGCAAGCGTAAGCTTTGAAGTCCCTCCTGGATCAATTCCTGTATCTGCCGTTCCTCCGAGGTGTTTTGGTGCTCGCGGAACGAATCCTTTGTTTTCCGACGAGCATATTCACGAAAGTTGTAATTCGAAAATTGCCCAGAATGACGCAAAAGGGAGCGGAACTAAACAAATGCCGGTGGCAGCCATGTCAGTTTAGAGTAGTAAGGATAAATGCACGAGATTGCAATGCATATAATCGTGTCAAGAGGACATACCAAAGAACGTGCCTGGAAGGCCGTCTCACGATGCAAGGATGCGACAGACATGACGTTTGAGTGTATGTCGAGATTAATGAAAGAGATGATAATCAACGTCAGATGGCTTAGGATGAGCGATGCGAAACTCCTGCTGGATCGTCCTCAGATTATCACTGTAGCCTCGGTCGCACGGTCGACACGGCGCTCCTGTGACCCAAAGATGTCAGTAAAATGCTGGCTAAGCGTGAAGATGCGGATCGCAATAATCGACAGATTCCAAAATGGGATTCACATACGTCAAGTAGAATGACTCGTATCCAAAGCGCAATCGGGGGTGGCGGTTTCGTCTTGCGAGAGCGCAAGAGTTCAAGGGATGATTAAACCACACGCTTCGATGTGTAAATCTTCTCACAACACACTCTCTTACGATGGAAGAGAGACCGCGGGCTGAACTGTTGGCAGAGGAGAGAAGATGCGCAAGGCGGGAAATTCTTTTGGGTTCGGAGACGAATGACGGAGTTACCGGGGCCGAGCTCCCTCGTTTCTTTTCCTATCTCAGGCTTCCGGGGATGTTCCTACTTTCTCTCGGCCTTCTGAGCAACTTTTGATAAAACATCTTCCATTCTGCTCTTTGTTGACCTGTAGCCTTTCTTGCTATGACTCAAATTCCTACTCCACCAGCGTCGCGATTGGGCTCGGAGGCACCCGAAACGAAGGTGAAGTCGGCAGCTTCAGTGGACTTGGCCCAATGTTTGGATACATTGCTTGAGCAATACTTACACCTGCTTGATGAGCAGCAAAAACTGCAGTCAGGCCTAGCAGAACGATTGTCGTCGGTATAGTCCTCCAATCATGGTTCATGGAACAAGCAGTATGCTGAGATAAAGAAGGGGTTTATAGCTCTTGCCCAGGCCAATTTCTCCAGTCCGCCTGGTCGCCGCTATGGTCCCGATTACTATGATGAGCGCATGAAGGCAACGCGGAATATGTAACTTTACCCGCTATCGTCGGACACTTGCGTTTGTTAACTGACTAAAATCAAAAGCTCAATTCAATCAGAAGAACGCGTGGAAGAACTCACGACTGATCTGCAAGAAACTGAGCATATCACTGCATTTGCTGGCTCTGGATACACATTCTCTACCTTACACACACCCAGTCATAAACCAGAGGAGGTCGATGGGAACAATACAACCAAAACCTCTGGTCAGGTCCAAAGTGTACCTCCGGGAGGCTTGGAGGAAACAACCGAAACAACTGAAACAACTGAAACACCCCCAGCTGAGGCGCCCAGCTCAGAAAACCCTGAGTCTTCGAGAATCAAGATTGCACCTCTCAAAGAACCAAAGCCCCGCTCCAAGTCATCTCGTTCTGCCGATCCAATTCATTGGTATGGAATCCTGGTCCCTCCATCGCTCCGCAGAGCACAAGACTCTTTCGCACATGCGATAGATAATCAGGTCCCGGACCTGGCCAGTACAACATCCAGAATGCGGGCTTTGGAACAGCGGATAAGTCAGTTACGGCTGCAGCTGGAAACTGAATCCTCCGGGGCAACTAGTCCGTGAAGTTCCCCAGCCCCCGAGTGATGAATTGACGCTAGCAGTCACACAAAGCAATTTGTTCCTGGCATTGGGTGATTACACCGTTGCATGACCAGATGGGTTTCAAACGATGCGATCGTCGGTTCCTAGCCTAATTCCTATGAAATTGCAAAAACAATACAGCTATGTATTCAGATACCACATGATCCACTAGCTAGGTATACCCGGAGTCCGGAGTCCCGAGTGAGTCTTTAACTACATCTGTATCTAGCCGAAGGGCCCAGACCAGGTCACGGGAGGCGCTTAGGAGAGGCTCGAGAGTCGAAGAGTACCCCTATGAACTCCGTAGATTCCGTTTAAACAGAATGTCAAGCTTTTAAAGGAGGCACATGATGACGAACATCAATAGCATTGAAGATATCTCAAATCTTCCCCGGTCTTTGGGATCAAAATCTCCGCAAAGGCGTTAATGCTGTACTTCTAAGATTACATATGCTCCGCACACAGTACCTAGGCTTGTTGCGCACAGGGGACTTCATTGTCTGTCTCCAGGTATTATGAGTCTCAGAATACGGAGTAATGAATGGCAGGTTTCAGATTGGGAGAGCCTGGCGTTATGTGAGACGTTAGCGTGTGAGACTAACTCCTGTCTCCACTGAAGACTCGTACCGTCCTTGAGATCCGATAGTCCCATTCGTGCATTAGGCCCTAGAATTACCGGGTGAGTTACAGTCTCATGTTTACAGCGTACCTAACTCTGGGCGGGCTTTTTTTACTTGGATGTGGAATTTCCCGACAGTTGTTCCGTGCTCCCTGGTAGACCCGATACCTATCAGAAATCCAAAGGATATGTATGGAGTAGGTATTCATACAATCTTGAATCCTGCCCTCCAGACGGCACACAACAGTGCTCTTTGAAGTAATTAATATGGCCCACTTTGCGAACCCCATTACGGTTCCTAACGCGGGTTGAGATTAATCTATCTTGTCCCGTTTGAGATAGTGCCCTGTGTCAGGGACCGGGGACCGTGTCAGGGACCATTCTCGGTTCTCCTTTTTTTCTCTTTGAACATTTCCAAGAGCTTGAGGCTCTATCTCTCTTTTGAATCTGTAAGTGCCCGGAGTGTATCTCTACCCAGGTGTATTGGCAATCCCAAGATTGGGGCTAATATGTTCCAGCTTTGAACGCCAGTTTGATACTAGCGATTCAGTCCTCTCGTTTTGAACATTGGTAGGTCTGGCCTTGGTGGCAATGCCTGACTTGAATACAATGGATCCTGACCATCATAGTGGCATTGAATGCCTATCCATTCCTTTACAGCCCTGATCCCGTGGATCTTGATCTTCTAGATCGCTTGACTTTGTCGACGTTCTACTAGACAATTGCTACAAGTTGTCATTCTCTCGTTTCGATCTTTAAGCATATCTTATTATTTTTTTTTTCAATCTCGATCAGGGCATCGAGCAAATCGTTCATTGCCCTTTGCCCTCATTATTCTAGCGAAGAAGCTCTCTTTCTTGAACTACAGTTCTACCAGGCCATACTTGATACCCTGCAAGCCCTAACTTCTCGCCATACAACATCCAGCCGCATTTCATTCGATTAGTCTATTCTTTTGTGCTTTTTTTCTTCTTCTCTTCGATCCATCAGACCATTCTCAAATGAACACCAATCCACCAAGCTCCGGGGCGTCTGGGGAGCCCCAGAGGAAAGGATCCGTCAAGCGGGCCAGGCAGTTGCTAGAAGCCGGTGTACGTCCAGAACAAGCCTCACCACCCCAACAGATGAGATACCCGCCTGGCCCCAGGAATATGCCGCAACAACCCCAATGGCCACTTCCTGATTCGGGTCTCCCACCGCATCCAATTAGCCATCAGCCTCGGTACTTGCCCCCGCGTGGTCCTCCGCTTCAAAGACCGCCCAATCCCAGTGAGGCCCCGTCGCCGTCCATCTACTCAGAGCGGGATGGCCACTATCAAACGAGGTTGGTTCCAAGACCACCTCAGGCGTTTTCACAACTACAGCGCCCTCCGCCATTGCAATCGTGCCGGCCTTCGCTGGATGGCCCTGCTAGCCCTGCTAGCACAATCGACTTGACTCCTCGGATATCAATTGCAACAGATGATTTGTTCAGACAATCTGTGGCTTCGTCAACAGCCTCTATTCCCGATGTGCCCCCATTTCCGCCACCCGAGTCCCATCTTTCTCACGATGAGCCCAAGGGCCGGACGGCAGGACTTGTCGCACCCCCCAATACACGGCGGTCTCCTCCGGCTCGTCAATCATCTGTTTCACCCATTCCGGAAGAATTTGCGGGTTCTCGCTTCACTAAATGCTCCGTCGCGTCGAGCCGCGCCATGCCCTCTAGTTGGGGATCTGGTCCCGCCGAGTCCGAGATTCTGGGGGCATATTCGGATGGGAATTCAGACGATGGTCACCCTTCACCGAGACTCCATGAAGAAACTACAACGCTTGTCCGAAATGCCAGTCTTGGAAAACGAGGAAAGCCGACAATGCGTACTATTCTCAAATCTAACCCTGTATCTGAAGTTCCCGTTGCAGCCACACAGCCATCTTTCCAGGAGAATCCCGCCAAGAGTACAGTCGTAGCACCCATCGACACGAGAGCTGCTACAAATCAAATACCCGTCTCATCAACCCGGCCACGAAATGCCTCTACATCTACAGCATCGAGTGGATCTTTGAACGGCGTGGACCCAGAAAAATCATATCCGCATGATGAGCCACCTTATAGTACAGGGCTCGAGAAAGAGCTTGAAATCATGGGAACACTACCGAAAGCTGCACCAACAATGAGCGACAAAAGACCCGGTGGTCACAAGCCACCTGCTCTGAACATACATGCGGTACGGGATGCGGAAGCTCGTGGAAGTCTTTCCAGTTTAACCGACTTAATTCGACGAGCCACAAAGCTTGCATCGAACCTGGACCGTGGGAGAACCGCCAGCCGGGCTGATTTGGCTGGCGGCGGTGAGGCTGAGTTTATGTCTGGGAAGGGTGAGTCTCATATCCGAATCACTCCAAATGTGAGATCTAGAAATCTAACTTGGAATCTTGCTGTGCTCAGGGACACGGCCATGTAACTCTGGCTCTCTCTCCGATATTCTTGCTTCCTTCCCCCCGCCGGGGTTAGCGACCCCCGAAGGCCGCGGATCATGGCCAGTCTTCTTTGGACGCTCCAACCTGCGTAACGTTGAGCCGCTTGGTTCTGACGCTGACGATCCAAATGCCCCTCGGCGTAGGAAGATGTGTTGTGGAATGCCCCGGAAGCTGTTTGTGCTCATGTGCATTGCAATCTTTATCATCGTCATCCTAGCGGTCCTTCTCCCAGTGTTCCTAGTCGCTGTACCTCGTGAGAAAGCGAGTGCATGTGCACAAGAGAATCCTTGTGAGAATGGAGGCGTGAGTGTCTCCAGTGGCACCGAATGCTCGTGTGTTTGTTCAAACGGCTACGTTGGCTCAAAATGCACCACTGCAGGTGACGATAGCTGCACCACATCACTGATTCAGAACGGATCGAATGCAACAATGGGCAGTGCACTTCCAACGTTGTTCAGAGACTCCAAGGAAAAGTTCGACATTACCCTCGATCCAGTCACCATCATGGCTCTCTTCAGCATGAATGATGTCTCTTGTAGGACTGAAAATGCGCTTGTGTCTTTCGATGGTGTCAAGGCCAATAGCATTAGCAAGGCTCGTCGATCTCCACAAAATGCAGCTGACTTGAACCGTGGGGTTTCTACACCCGTCGTGAAAACCGACCCGACGCCGGTTCTTGCAGCCCGTGCTGAGGCCACCATGCACGGCGGTATCGTATACGATGACTCGGAGTCAAGCAACTCAGCTACAACCACCTCGACGCCTACCAAAACCGCGTCAGCAGCGACTGCATCCGCTACTAAGATCAGCGCGGAAGCGATATCGACTGGGAACAAGGCATCCACAGCTCCCAGTATTCCTGAGGACGTTGTTGGATTTTCACGGGTTGCGGTGTTGTATATTCTGCAGAAGACAGGATCACTTGACTCGGCTAGATCCTCTGAAGAGAGCATCGAAGTATATCTCGTTGATTCCTACACAAACGCAACCCACCCTGTCATGAAGGTGGGCGCATTTAGCCTGGACTTTGAGGAATTGACCATCACTCTTCCCAATAGCACGGTGAAGGCCGAGTGAAGATATTGAAGAAACAGTGTATATAGGGTGTTATTCATATCATGAGTGTTTTACTCATTCAATGTTGCTTTGTAAGAGGTACATAGAGCCCTCTGGGCATATCCTTCCAGGGAAGCCCTAGAGGCCGAAACCCATGTTCCAATCTTGGAAGGTCCGATTTAGGGTTTTTTCTTAGTAAGCCAGGCTTTTCCTAATTGGGACCCATGATGTCGTGATTCTTCGCGGGGGTTGCGTGCTTTGTCACGTGATCGCAACCACTCCGATGGCGATCGACTCGCGACATGGGAGTTGTCTACTTCGGACAATTTGATACGTTTTACTCCCCGTTGTTGAGAATCAAGACACGACGGGGTACTTTGTGCTTCTGGCGAGGATCCTAATCAAATAGTTTATATGCCACCCCCTGAAAATCCCCACAAACGCGTACATTACTACATCGAAGGGAGTACAGGGTACGTATGTACATCTTACTCCGCCCCGAGGCCATCGGAGGTATCAGAACATTGGAGATGGGAGCACAATGCATAACATAGCATATATCGTAGAACAGAAAGGGCATCAATAATGTAAACCTCTCCAAATCGTTCTAGATTGTCAAAGAAGAGTCGACACGGCTCCAAAGCGGTTGTCCAGGAATCGGAGCCAAGATTTCCATATTCCCCACTGTTGACGACGATGATTGTCGCTGGGCCATGGGGATGGTGCAATAGGCCCCTCCCTCCAAATGGAAATTTCTTGATAAGCAAGCTTCCTCCCTTCTCTTCTTCTCTTTCCTACATTTCCTCTTCTTTTTCTTTTTCTTTCAAAAGCACTTTGATTTTATATCTTATTCACAATGGCCAATGCCCCTCACGGTGGTGTCCTCAAGGACCTTCTCGCCCGCGATGCTCCCCGCCAGGCCGAGCTCGCTGCTGAGGCCGAGACTCTCCCCGCTGTGGTGCTCACCGAGCGTCAGCTGTGTGATCTCGAGCTGATTATGAACGGAGGTTTCTCTCCTTTGGAGGGTATGTCTTATAATCTTTCCGATGTCGCATCGGCATCGGAATTTTTTTTTTTTCTGTTTTTTTTTGGAGGGGTCGAACATGGACATAAGAGGAGCAATAGCTAACAGGTCTTTTTCATCCAGGTTTCATGAACCAGGCAGACTATGACCGGTATGTATGATGCGAACGAGCCCACTAGAATGCGACTATACCTCATTGTATACAAGTATGATCATGGCGGTAGCTGACCATGTGCATAGTGTCTGTGAAGAGAACCGTCTTGCTGATGGCAATGTGTTCTCGATGCCTATTACCCTCGATGCCAGCCAACAGGTCATCGACGAGAAAAAGCTCAAGGCTGGCTCTCGCATCACACTGCGTGACTTCCGTGACGACCGCAACTTGGCTATCCTTACCATCGATGACATTTACCGCCCTGACAAGTGAGTGCCCATCTCTTAATTTGACTTTCGGAACTCGGTCGCACTACCGATCTCTGTTTCATTTCCTTGCGACTTCTTGAATTCCCTTTTTATCTGCTGTCATTTGCGGTCTTGGACGTTGTAAATTTGGAAATTTTTCGAATATCGAAAAGGCTCGTGCTCTAGTGGGGCTCGCTGACGTGGGATCTTCCCCTTGTCTAGGACTAGAGAAGCTAAGCTTGTCTTTGGCGGTGACCCCGAACACCCGGCTATCGTGTACCTGAACAACAGCGTTCAGGACTTCTACATTGGTGGCAAGGTCGAGGCCGTCAACAAATTGAACCACTATGACTATGTCGCCCTCCGCTGTAGGTTCAGTTCGTCTTTTCTCTTGGATATGGACTAATGGATTTTTTTAGACACCCCTGCAGAGCTGCGCGTTCACTTCGACAAACTGGGCTGGTCCCGTGTTGTCGCTTTCCAGACCCGTAACCCTATGCACCGTGCTCACCGTGAGCTCACAGTCCGCGCGGCCCGTTCCCGCCAGGCTAATGTCCTGATTCACCCCGTTGTCGGTCTCACCAAGCCCGGTGACATTGACCACTTTACCCGTGTCCGCGCATACGAGGCTCTTCTGCCTCGCTACCCCAATGGCATGGCCGTCCTGGGTCTTCTTGGTCTGGCTATGCGCATGGGTGGTCCTCGTGAAGCCATCTGGCATGCTATCATCCGTAAGAACCATGGTGCCACTCACTTCATTGTCGGTCGTGACCACGCCGGACCTGGTTCCAACTCTAAGGGTGAGGATTTCTACGGTCCTTACGATGCCCAGCATGCCGTCGAGAAGTACAAGGAGGAGCTCGGCATTGAGGTTGTCGAATTCCAGATGGTTACATATCTCCCCGACACCGATGAATACCGCCCCATTGATCAAGTTCCCGCTGGCGTGAAGACTCTCAACATCTCCGGTACCGAGCTCCGCCGTCGTCTCCGCTCCGGCGCTCACATTCCTGAGTGGTTCTCTTACCCCGAGGTAGTCAAAATTCTGCGCGAGTCCAATCCCCCTCGCGCCACCCAGGGTTTCACTATCTTCCTGACTGGTTATATGAACTCTGGCAAGGACGCCATCGCCCGTGCTCTACAGGTCACTTTGAACCAGCAGGGTGGTCGCTCCGTCTCTCTTCTGCTGGGCGATACCGTTCGCCACGAACTTTCCTCTGAGCTGGGCTTCACCCGCGAGGACCGTCACACCAACATCCAGCGCATTGCCTTTGTCGCCACTGAGCTGACCCGCGCTGGCGCCGCCGTCATCGCAGCCCCCATTGCTCCCTACGAGGAGTCCCGCAAGTTCGCCCGTGACGCTGTCTCACAGGCTGGCTCTTTCTTCCTCGTGCATGTTGCCACTCCCCTCGAGTACTGCGAGAAGACCGACAAGCGTGGCATCTACGCTTCTGCTCGCCGTGGCGACATCAAGGGCTTCACTGGTGTTGACGATCCTTACGAGGCTCCTGAGAAGGCCGATCTTGTTGTCGATTTCTCCAAGCAGAGTGTGCGCAGCATTGTGCACGAGATTATTCTCATTTTGGAGAGCCAGGGTTTCCTTGAGCGCCAGTAAATGTTCGAAGGTTCTCCAGGTTACCATTACGTGAGGATTGATGGTGTTAATTTTATGTTTTGCCATACATAGAAATATGTGCTGGCGTTTTATGTCCTATTTTTTTTCCCACAGATTCCCCTAGCTTATATAGTTTCAGATTGCAATAGATTGGTTCACTTTTGTGTATCGAGGAGCACTATAGTAGAGAATAGTAGAGAATGGACTTGCAGCGGTAAGCTCTCGGAGATCGACAATGCAAAACACTTTCTTGAAAAGGCAGGCGGTGAGCCCGCGAGTTAGGCCCGTGAGACCACGTGACCTGCAAACAAGACAAACACCCGTTGAAGTACAATGAAGAAAGGCTTCATCTTCAATCGTGTTAGAGTAGTCAACCATGTTGCCTTCTCGCAGCGCTATCGGTCGAATATCGACTCCCATTCGGTCGGTTTATAGACCTCGGATATCAGGTGTTAATGTACATCTTCGACCATTCACTCATCGCACACGCCTACTTCTTCTTTCTCCGGCGCCGGGCCGCCCTCAACTCCCCTTTCTGTCACCTCTCGCGCCAACCCGTCCACTCCCACCCCTTTCAATCCATCTCCGTCAGCATTTTGGCCGTTTGATCTCCACCGAAAGCCGCGAGCATTACAAGCGAAGAGTATCCCGCGGCCTTAAAATCGGTCTATCGGTATGGGCCATTCTTGTCTTGTTCTCCGCAATCAAGCTCGGCGTCTACCAAGAAGATATCGAGCATTCATGGCCCACCCCACCGGAATGGTCATGGAAAAGCCGGTGGTGTCTGCGATCCGCACAGGCCCTTCAGAATCCCGAGCAAATCGGTAAATTGATGACCAATTGGCCAATGGTTGCTGGGTATCTCCGTGAGCTGCTGGAGCGCTTGGAGGACCCAAATGTGGAAGGCCAAGGAATCACAGAACAAGACGAGGGTGGATTTTTGGTCGAAGGTGTCGGCCGCACTGGTTTTGATGTTTCCGCAAAGAGTGAGCCCTGGCGCCGCGGATATTTCCAAGCCCTGATGGGAGCTGCCAAGGCAGCTGAGAACCTTGATGGCTGGTTAACAGATCGCAAGCAGAAAATTTCTGCTCCTGCGGAATATGTTGTTGGACCTTCGAATCCTCGACCCAAACCTATGCCCGCTGGCCAAAAGAAGGCCCCGCGGGAAGAGGATTGCGAGCAGGCATCTCCCTCCCCAGAGAGCTTCTACATGAAGGTCTTGACAACCAAAGGCTTTGACACAGGGCAAAAACTTGACGCTGCTTTGGCCTATGCTGATTGGCTTGATTTCAAAGGCCTGGGTCTTACGGCTGGTGACATGTACACATGGGCTTTGGACATCGCTGCCAGTGGACTGGAGGGAGATGCCAGCAAAATCGTGGATCTGAAGACTGGAATTTTACATAATACCGATGGAGGTCTTCCATCAGAAAACATTCTCCGTGTCTCCACGGCCCTCGCCGTCCACAATGCCCGCCAAGCGGACCTTCCCAAAGCTTTATCCCTGTTCACATCGGTTTTGAAAGCCCGAAGAAGCCTGCCTCTATCATCAGACTTTGATTCGTCGCTCCCTTTTCCGACCATGCCCGGATCTAGGAATGATCCATTCGCTTCTCTCTTCAAATCACTCAAAAATGTTCTCATTCCCGTGGAGTACCCAGAACCCCGCCCATCAGGCGACAAGCCCCCACGCCGCACCACAGCATCCGCCTGCGAAGAAGCAGGATTGATGACTTACATCGGTGAGATCCTATATGCCTCCTCGTCGAAGGAATCCGGCCTTGCCTGGACGCGGGATGCAGTCGACATGGCAGAATCTACAATCTACGAACTCGGCAACTCCACCGATCGCGATGCCCGAACTCGTTGTGCACAGTGTCTGAAGGTTGGTCTAGAGAATTGGAAAACCATGGTCTCTTCTTTAGTTACCCATGCCCAGAAAGAAGAGCAGGAGAGTCGGGACCAGGCTAAGAGTGCTTGGTTCGGCGGCGAGCGTCGTGCACAGGCGAAGTCTCTTGAGCGCCGACGCTGGGAGGCCGAAAATGCTATTCTGGAGGATCGCATTCGTCGCCTGTTCCCTCTCCTCGAGGGAGAGTCTGGACTCGATCTCGTTGCCCCAAATAGCTCTTTGTTTGTTTAATGTTGATATATCATCGTACATTAGTTGTCTGGAGTTAGGGTAACTTCTTACGGGTTGGCGGCTGTTCAAATGTAGACCATTGGTACCCAGGTCGAAAGGCGTTCTCTGAAATAACATATAGACATTCATGAATTCATCCTTACGAACCCGATGCTCAGAACGGCATGATGTATATACTCGGAATCAATTATACTATTATACTTATATTCATTTGAAACACACCGATTGCCATGAGCTTTCCTCCTTTAGGCTAAACCGTCAATCACCGCTATCGACTCGCATCGAAGACAACGTTCGATTTACTCGGTGCGTGGATTCTACGTATTCGGTTCTTACAGTCTATGGACTTGAACCTTAAATATGTAAGTTTCATCGCATTATAGTGGGTTTGTCAAGCTTTGTCAAGCTTACGACCGAAGCTTCCCGTGTCGCTCGGTAACTTCTGATACACCACATTGTGATATCAATGCTATCATTTGGGCTTCCATGTGCCACCGTACCTTGATATAAATTGGCAAGCAGGAATGTTCGCCATTCGAAGCTGAAGACCCTAGGCACCGTATAGCACCGGTTGAGGGGTGTGTTTTCCTTGCTGGTGAGTTAAACCTACTTGGCTGGGCGATTACAATCAACAGCCGATGCAACTTGGAAAGCATGCATATAAGTTCCACGGGTAATTCAAACTAACAAAAGAAACAGCTGTAAAAATGAATGTTGGATAGCAGTGAGCTCTACTTCATTCTGTCAACTGGAGTTTCAGCTCCTCGAGAATTGACTTTGTGTCCCAACCCTAGAACGAAAGTGCGATACATATACATGGAAAAACTTGACACGCAATCATTGGCCTCCTGGCGGAATTTGAAGCAGATTCGAGGTAATGGGAGAACATATTGAGACCTAGATTTAGGTGGCCTTGTCCTTGTTGTGGTAGTTGACATCAGAGTTCCAGCTATACATCCTTGGTTAGTCACGTCTCTCGGGAAATATGATGTGATGGTGGTCTTCAACAATCCGGTCGGATTGCAGGCAGATATCCACACAAAGTCGGCGGAAGTCCGCATATAGAGAATAGCGGGGTTAGGTAGTCGAAACTTACAAGATAGTCTATTGCAAACATGAATTAGCTCAAGTCTCCGGCACATATCAAAGTAAGAGAAACATACCTTATCACCATCTCCCCAAGGGAAGTTCTTCACACGGATGTTCTGGTAAGGGTACTCAGTGCGCTCCTCGAGAGGAGGCATGTGCTCCCAGTGCTCCCAGTGCTCGGCCCAGAGGTTGTAGGCATTGAGACCGCCACCAATGAGGCAAGGAATCACAGCACTGCGTCAAAATTAGTCTTCTCTTCAGCGGTGGGGATGTTCAACCACGAATTGAATTGATTTTAATTGAATTATAAACGTACAAGATGGACAGCTTGCGCCAGAGGTCTATGCAATCATCAAGTCAGTGCCAAACGTTCTTCGCCTTCAATGATACAAAGAGCCAATTAGAAGGTTCCAATATGGTGGTACATACCGCTGGTGGAAGCCGCATGGTGCTTGACGGCAGCTCTCTCGCGGTTGAACTCGTTGTCCACGATCCAGGAAGGCTTAGCCTCGGCGCTGTTGAAACGGCGCTGGACGGTAGAGCGAACCGGGGTGGAACGGATCTGCTGCGAAGCACGCTGAGACAAGCGACCGAGGTTGCGCTGAGAGAACATGGTGGTGGTTGTTAAGGAGTTCTTTTGCGATGTAGGACAGTAGGTCAAAAGTGGTGCGATGAGGTCTAAAGCCGCTTTTAGTGCATCCCCGTGATCTCCCGGATTACATAACCTGATGTCATGAGGCCTGGTATATCAGGCATCACAAATGATCACATGATTATTTAGGACTCCAATTCAAGAGCTGGGGGCTTCTAGACCTTGATTGACCTCAATTTCGCTCTGTGTTTCAGTCATTACTAGATATGTTGTATCCTCTAATCGTACGCTAGTTTCCATCATGGGGTTTCGCATTACCACATGGAATGGTAAGTTTGTTCTGAGCTACTGATAACAATCAGAGAGTGTTACATACATGCTGACGACGCATCGTATTTTAGTCAATGGTATCAGGTATGAGAAGATCCTGCAACTCATTCCCGCTCAAATCTGACATAGCAAAAGAAATCCGTTTTCTTATGAGCCATGGAGAGGAACGCGGACATTCGAGGTCAGTGTGCCCTTGCATCATTTGAGTATACTAAGCTTATTTGACCTAAAGTCCATGTTCAACATACTCGAAGCCGACATTGTGATTCTGCAAGAGACAAAGATTCAACGCAAAGATCTCCGGGATGACATGGTCCTAGTGCCAGGATGGGACTGTTATTTTAGTCTCCCTCGAGTCAAAAAAGGCAAGCCGCTACCAGAGTGCTATGTATGCAGAGCTCTAACGGCTTGAAGGGTATTCTGGCGTTGTTATTTATACGCGCAATGCCACATGTTCTCCCATCAGAGCAGAAGAGGGTATCACCGGAGTTCTTTGCCCACCGAAATCATCAACCTCTTTCCGCGACCTTCCTGAAGACCAACAGATCGGCGGATATCCAACATCTGCCCAGCTTTCTAGGCCCTCTGTATGTCCTGGAGTACTGGATTCAGAAGAAGACCAGGAAAATGTGGGTTCGATATCCGATGCCAAGATAGATGCACCAACCCTCGACTCCGAAGGGCGCTGCGTCATTTTGGAGTTTCCTGCCTTTGTTCTCATCGGCGTCTATTGCCCTGCTTATCGCGACGAGAGTCGAGATAATTTCCGTATGGATTTTCTCAATGCCCTCGATTCTCGCGTCCGTAACCTCATTGCAATGGGTAAACGGGTAATCGTGACCGGGGATATCAATATTTCGAAGCACAGCATTGATGCCGCTCATGGGATTGAGGCTATACGGAAAGGTACGATGACAGAGGAGGAATTCATATCCAGCCCTTCTCGGCGTCTATTCAACCAATTGACAACGGATGGTGTGGTCATCGGCGAACGTGACGAAGGCAGGGAACAGCCGGTTCTCTTCGATGTCTGCAGATCATTCCATCCAGATCGCACAGGCATGTATACATGCTGGGATCAGAAGCTCAATGCTCGACCAGGGAATTACGGCTCGAGGATCGATTATTTATTGTGCAGCTTGGACATGCAGGACTGGTTCTCAGGCGCAAACATCCAAGAGGGATTGATGGTATATATTCGCCCCCTTTGTCTATTGAACCATTTATTGACTCCTTCATAGGGATCAGATCACTGTCCCGTGTACGCTGTCATCAAAGATTCTGTGAAACAGGCCGAGGGCGAGATAAACATTCGGGATATTCTCAACCCAGCAGGACTGTTCAACGGTGGCAAGCGTCAACGGGAATGTTTGAATGAATGGGCATTACCCGCCTCAGGGCGTTTACTTCCCGAATTCGATATCGATAAGCGCAGGAGTATCAAGGACATGTTCGCGCGCAAATCAAGCAATGCTCCACCAAAGGCGTTAAAACTAGCTGCTATACCGGCTAGCACATCCCCGACTGAAGGCACGGATTCTATGACCATGCATAAAACCTTCGGATCCAATGACTTGATTGGTAATGCTTCTGCCTCTATCACTGAAAGGAACCAATCTTCTCAAACATTTCCCCGCAAACGCTCCCAGCCTTCACCGTCCACATTCACTAAGCGTCCTAAGTCCACCGCATTGACATCTTCTAGCGTTTCTGCATCAGATCAGAAGACGCTGATGAGCTTCTTCAAGCCTGAGGCTGTAGATGTATGTGGAGCTACTCAGCCACCTATGGATTTACCGGGTTTGGAGACACCATCACTGTATTTTCAACAATGTGGGCCGTCACACGCGGTAGGAAAGCCTCCTGGCATTGGTATGCACTCTCCACGGCTGGATAAAGGGATTATGACAGACCAGAAAGTCGACACTTCTACCGAATCACAAATGGCCAGTAAACCCAAGGGAACGAACCCTGGATTCATAGATCCGATTGCTAGCAAGGATGATTGGTCAAAGCTTTTTGCTAAAAAGTCCGTGCCTCCGTGCGATGGACACCATGAACCATGTATTAGCTTGACTGCGAAGAAACCTGGGATGAACTGCGGCCGCTCGTTTTGGATTTGTCCCCGGCCACTGGGCCCCAGTGGCGAAAAGGAACAAGGTACCCACTGGCGTTGTCACACATTCATCTGGGCCAGTGATTGGAAATCAGCACCTGCAACATATGACCAATAACAGACTTGTATCTCCCAGCAAAGGTAGTCTCGATAATTAAAATCGACAATTAGCTGCTTCACATGCTCATATATATTCTGCAAGCCATGGTCTTGCCATGATAAGACACAGACATAGATACCTACATGGATATATAAACCTTCTATACTCGGTAGACAATCCAGATACCTGCTACAAGATACCCCTTGAGTGGTTCGTAGTACCAAAACAACTGCGATTAAAGGGGAAAAGGCAATCAAGGGGCCTGGTTTATCTCGAGCACCTTTAGCTGCTCCTGATGTCAGCCTTGACCATAAGCCGCTCAATCATTATTAAGTGCTTTTTTTGATTTCTATTGTGGCTTCTTTGTCTCCATTGTCTTCAGCTTCCCTTGTTTCTGCATCTATTATTTGGTATTCTTAATTGGTTGCCTGGATCTTAGTTTAGGGGGTTTCTTTGTTTGATTTCTTTGTTTGATTTCTTTGTTTGATTTCTTTGTTTGATTTCTTTGTTTGATTTCTTTGTTTGATTTCTTTGTTTGATTTCTTTGTTTGATTTCTTTGTTTGATTTCTTTGTTTGATTTCTTTGTTTGATTTCTTTGTTTGATTTCTTTGTTTGATTTCTTTGTTTGATTTCTTTATTTGATTTCTTTATTTGATTTCGCATCATTGGATGACTCATTGCTTCTTATTGGACATCTAACGTAGATTACATGTATGTATGAAGACTTGAGTAGAGGTACATCTTAGGGTGGTACCTTTCCAACGCTCTATTGTTAAAGGCTGGATTCAAAATTGTGCTTATACACAGGATATACCACGCAATAAAGAATTGACCTAGTATGTAGTTTAAACTAGCTTTTATGGACACACATACACATGTAGTACATACATATATGTACCTATGTACCTTGTATGTGCAATATTTTTAAGGTTATGTATGGATGCGGGAGCTAATCCCCGGATCTGCAGCACCACGTGGGAAGACCCACACACCCATATTCCATGTACATACATATGTACATAGTCTTACACAACCTACCTAATGTGGATCTACTTACACTGTAGGTAGTGCAGCTAGCATAAATTGAATTGAAAAGCTTGTATGTATTGATAAGCTCAATAAAACAAGAGCTCAGTTGATGGACTTGCTACCGAGAGATACGGCAATAATCCGGCTATATTGATTCGACGGGCTGAAGACTAGGAAAATCAGACTACACATCTAATTAACGACCTGGTTGTCAAAATGATACCTGAAGCAAAAGGAACTTTTTGTTTGTGCATACTGGGCCCTTCGAATTAAGTTTCTTTGTTCACCTGTTACTATGCCTAATGTAGAAAACTCCCCTGGGCTGAGACAACATGATTGGTGTTGCCGCGCAAACAAAGAAAACACATGTCTTTCACGTACCTTCCTGATTGGTGTTGCTTTCAAACAAAGAAAATACCTTTTTTTTGAGGCTCCCTAGTCTTGGGGTTTGTTTATATCTTGACTGTTCTCCTTTGTTTTCCTCTTCTTTCTTCTCTTTCCCCTCCCCATCCCCATTCTTTTTTCTTTTCCTCCACATCCAACTTTTCTCCTCGCTGCAGCCTTAATCACAATTACACAGTACTCCTATCTTGTTCATTCAACTCATATCCTTACCTCAATCTTTCACACATTCTCAACACCGAGCTTCGTCCCATCGTTCAAGATGTCGACTCTGTTCTGGGACGTCGATGACTCCGAGAACATGCCGCCTCGTCGTGTCCTTGAGATCTTATGGGGTGATGCCATGAATCATCTGAAGGCGACTGGCGGTGAAGTCTTTGTTCCTGTCACCGTTGTGAAGGAGCTCCTCTCTATGGAGCATCTGAAGAATATGGCGATTCGTCTGTCGTATGTCTTGACCCTGCACTAATTCCCTTGCCTAAACTGACATGTTACAACAGATGGTTGCTGAACAAGGAGGTTACTATCCTCATGGATGAATCTCTTGACTGTTACCGCATTGTTGAAAAGGGCATCGATCGCTGGACCACCCCTGAGCAGATGATTGCAGCTCAGATCCCTGTGGGCCTTGATGAGCATCGCCTGATCAGCAAGTCAATTCACCATGCTAGTGACTCTGTCAAGTTTCCTGCACGTCCTGCAAAAGTTCCTCGCCCTCCCAACTGCTTTATCCTGTACCGCCAGGCCAACCACCAGCTGGTCAAGGATGCCAACCCCGGTGTCTCTAACAACGAAATTTGTGAGTTCTTCTGGCTGGACTTTTTTGAAGATAATCTAACATCTGAGTCAGCTCGTATCTTGGGTGCCCGCTGGAACAACGAGTCCCCAGCTATTCGAGAGCAGTACACCCAGTTGGCCGATGATCTGAAGCGTGAACATGCTATTAAGCATCCCGACTACCAGTACGCTCCACGTCGCCCCTCCGAGCGCCGACGTCGCATTACCCGCAACAACACTGGCGGTCTGAACATCCTTCGCAATGATCCTCATTACCAGCAGATGCTCAAGCAAGCTGGATCCGGAAGTGGCAACGAGCAGTTCCTATCTATTGATGATAACTTCCTGGAAATGCTGGACAGCAACGAGATTCTCTATGGTCCAAACGGAGTTGCGCCACTTGAAGCCATTTTCAGTCACAATGATCACCAAAAGATTGCGCACGATCTGTTCTCGGGTTCTCAGTTGGCCACCATGGATTACGTTCCAGATTCGTCTGCCGACAACGTGAACATCAATTCCGATAACCAGGAGATGCTTGTCCCCAACATGTTCTAATGTGCAACTTGACTTTCCATCGACAAGGTTGGTTTGCCGACAATTGAGGAGACTTACACAAGCCAATGCAAACCCATTTACCTTGCAACTGGATCGATCTTGGCCTCGCCCAACATCCATCACCAAGCCATCTTGATTATTCACTACGTTTATTTTGCTTTCATCGTTCCGAAAAACAGAAAATTCTAAAAAAAAATGTGACATCCCAGCAGCAGCACTTGTTTTCTTTCCCTTTCCCTTTTCCTTTTGCAATCCCCCTATTCCCCTGTATTCATATGTCTCTTTTTGCTTTTTCGGTTTTTTTTTCCCCGGGTTTTTTCTTTGCTTATTCGTCGGAGGATTTTGATTTTGCGTTCAGGGTTTGTTTCGTTTCGCCTGCACTGCAGGCTTCATACTGTTGTGAGATTTCCCTTCGGGGATTTCCACTGATTACTCTTTTTCAATTTTTTTCATGTGTGTTGAGCGGTTCACGGCAATTTGTTTTCAGGAGAGCCTGGTTTTTGTCCCTTCCTTGGGTTTCCAGTACTCTCCTGCTGCGTGGGCTTTTAGTAGGTAGTTGGTTGATTCAATTGAGTTGACTAAAAAAAAACTTCTTTTCCTCTATAGACTGTAGACATGTCAATGGAGATCTAGAAACCATTGCATGGGTTCGGTAGCAGGTGTTTGAAATATGCGTCTCCAGTAGACTACTCCTACAACTACCCGTCCGAATCCCATATTATCCGGCACTCGAAGTCAGCAAATTCAATCACTTGCCTGCAAGGCCCTTCAAGTCTCCTCGATACGTTGATCTCGAAGTCTCGACTACACTGTGACGCCCGGACACTCGGTTCTTTGTCTTCGTGCATGAGGTGACGTCTCGATATTCTTTGTCGACAGGCGCCACTAATCGGCTCGACCCACGGATCCGAACGCGCTAGATCGATGGACCCACTAGTCGGATGTGGAGCCAAAGCTTGGCATGCAGCAGGGGACACGTGGGGGACGTGCAGACGGGACCGTGCGACCGTGCGACCGTGCGTTCTATGTGGATGTCTACTGGAGCCAAGACTCGGATACGGATGCAGGGTCCGGTGTGCTACACTGATCCGGTGAATTAGATGAGTTACTTGCATTCGCTATGAGAAATCAAAACTCGAGAGACTAACTACGGAGAAAGGTCCAGGCCAGAGAACGCGAACTGCGACACGGGCAAACAAAACTCCTTGGAACTTAAATGCGGAATATACACAAACAACCTTGAGAAAAAGACAACATGCGACCATGTTTTCCTAATCCTCTTGGTAGGAGATCTTGCGCATTTCTCCCAGACGTTGACGTGCGCGAGCGAGACCGTTCTCGAGTTGGAGGATCTCGACCTGTTGGGAACAGACACATTAGTACGGGTTGAATGGGATACAAAGGAGGAGGGGACGCCACATACCTGCTGCTCCATTTCGCGGACCTTGAACTCGTGCGAGCTTAGCTTTCCATAATCCTCTCCCTCGTCGCTGTCGCGGTTCTTCTCCTTGATGATATCCTGCACCTGTCGCACAAGCGCACGGCAAGCGGAACCAACAGCCTTGCTGGCGGACTCCAGGCGGTCCTGAGTCTTGCTCATGAATGTTGCCTTGACACGACTGGCGGCGACAAGCTGGGCAGTGCTGGCGGCGACATCGTTGGAGGCGACGATCAGCTGCTCTGGTGAGTTACGGCCCGAGATGACACCGTCGGCAGTCTCAATCAATGTGTTGGTCGAAGAGGCCACTGCTTTGGCGGCAGAGATCAAACCCTCCGTCCAGCGATTGTTCTTCTTGTAGAAGGCAGTGCGAGACGAGCTACCACGGCCTTCGCGGACAATCTCCTGCTGAGTCTCTGTGGCAGCCTTGATCAACTCCGAGATTGCGTTGGTGACAGCAATAGCGGCAGCAAGAATAACATCGTTAATGCGCAGCTCGTACGTTGAGAACCCATCACGGGGCTTGTTCTTGAGCTTGGCCAGACGCTGAGCAGCTGCGTCAATGGCATCGGCGGCCTTGAGCAGTTCGCGGTCGACAAGGTCACCCAGATCACCACTGGTGCTGATCTTGCTATTCTTGGGCGCGAACGAGTCAACCAGCTTCGACAACGATTGCAGATCACGCTGGACCTCGAGGTTGTTGTTGATGACGACATCGGTCTTCTGCAATGGCTCCAGACCTTCTAGACGGAACGATTGCAGGCCACGGAAGAATCGCACGGTCGCCTGAGCAGATTTACGCGCAGCATTGATCAAATGATCGGAGCTCTTGTCATCAGTGGCGAAGCGCATGAGACCCTTGGTGTTACTCAACACATCGGAGACAGATCCAGAGAAGATGGAGACTGTGCGGATAATCTCAGCGTGAGGACTGTTGGGGCCATCGGCAATGAAGTTGTTGAAGGCTGTTGAGAACTCGGTGGCAGAGGCTGATGCCTTTTCGATCTGCGACAGCACATATGGAGGAGATGCGTTTTGGTTACCGGCCTGCATGGACGAGTCGAGTTCATACAAAGCATCATCAACACGCTGCACACCAGTCTGCAGCACAGAGTCGATGATATCGTTGATCTTTGCGACTGTACCGTGGAGCACAGTGTCAATCTGGGTATCCAATGCTGTGTCGACATCGCCTTGGCTCTACAGTGGAACATGGTCAGTATGCGGGTGTCAATTATGGCCAAGATCACCACTTACCAGTTTCAGCTCCTCAAGTTCCATGAGAGCCTGTTCCATGCCAGACTTATAAACCTCAATTTCCTCGTCCTTCTCAAGAAGAGCAAATTCATGGTCTTCCTGACGCTCACTGTTGCGGCCGGAGTGCTCCTCCAATGCGCGCGTTTTGTTCTAAATGGTCAGCATGAGACACACTCAAGCAAGACAAACGGCTACTTACTCGGAGAGCCTCTTCCAGGTCGGCCATCTCGCGGTTATACTTCGACAACATGGACGAAATCTCGGTGCCCTTGGAGCGTTCGGCATTTTCAGCACGGTCAATTGCCATGCGAAGCTCGCGCTTAACCTTCTCCAAATCGTCTTTGTTAGTGCCTGTCACACGGTCCCGGTCATGCAGAGCACGATCGCGTTCCCGAATCATGTCAGCCAACTCCAAGTTCTTGGTCTTCAGCTCGCGCTCCAGCTTCTCTCGGCGTTCAATTGCCTCTTGTGCGGAGGCAGCCTTGAGTTTGAGACTCTTTGTGGTCTGCAGAAGATCGAGGTGCTCCTGTCGCAACTGCGAATACAGCTTGGCCAGTGCCTCGTACTTAGATCGCCAAGTGTTCACCTGCTCCTGCAGGGATCGAATCTGCTCGTCCTTCGAAGCATTTTGCAAGTTCAGGTTTGAGTTTAGGTGATTCATCTGCTCCTCGACCTCCTTCACACGCCGATCATATTGCTGCAGCATCAACTGGTCGCGTTCATACTGAGCACGGGCGTTAAGGTTCTCCTGCTCCAGCTCTGCCAGCCGACCCTGAGTTTGTGTCTGGTACTGGTCACGCAGAAGCTGCTCCTGTGCCAATCGCTGCTGTTCTGCCTGTAGGCGCTGCTGCTCCTCGAAATCGGACTGTGCCTGCTGTTGGGCGAGGAGTTGCTGTCGTTGCTGATCCTCCCACTGCTGCTGCAAACGTTGTTGCTCTGCTTCGTACTCTTCTTGCTGACGTTTGGCTTCATTTGTCCAGAAATCGTTGATCGGCTCTGGTTCCGCGGCGACTTTGGGTGGCGGTGAGGGCTCTACTTCTTTCGCCGGCCGTCTGGGAAGAGCTGGACGATCATCATCCTCAGCAAGCAGACTGGGTGGATCTTGTGGCAGCTTCGGGATGGTGATGAGACCTGTCAAATAGCGCAGGTTGGAGCACTCATAGTAGAACCGCACAAGACGGTGGTGCTGGGCATCATATCGACCTCGGAGTGGCTCGAGAGCTTCGTCGTCTCCAGTGGCTACACAAAACACCAGTCAGACGGTTATTCATCGCAATTCCAAGGACCAAGAGCAACGTACTTGTGTGCATGGCCCGCAGCATGCTGGTGATGAACTTGTAAATGCCGTAACTCTCCTGCACAAGTGGCACCAATGCCGAGATTCGACATTCATTGTTCGTACCGGACTGGAAGTTCGAGAAGATGAGCTTCTGGAAGGAATCGATTTGATCTTGCAGAGCCATCAGATCGCTGATGGTCTCGTAACTGTGTGAATGTCAGCACCCCTCCATTATCGCAAATTCCGAACATATACACACCCTTCGTTCGGATCATTGATCGATTTCAAGCTAATGTACTCCTCATACTCGAACAAGCCTGCAACTGTCAGACATCCGTCCTCCGCAGAATCGATCAACCGTGGACGACATACCGTTGAACTCAGGGTGGTTGCGGTGGAAATTCAGTTTTGACTCGAGGAAGAAGACATATTCTCGAATGAGCGGCGCATATCCTGTTCAAAACTGTCATTATCCGTCCCGCCGCAGACATGGCCACTTGTCGGGCAGAGAGTGGCTGCGCAGTCGTCCTGCTAGGAATCCATACCTCGAATACCGTCGCCTCCAACTCCTCGCATCAAACTATCAATCCAGTTGGTATGTTGCTGTGCCTCGCGGACAACCATGGGGTGGCCTTCTTGGAGGACCTTGTGTATCGTGATCAGGGCTTTAAACGTCTGGACCTCGTCGGCGAGGACGGGCTGCCTATAGAGCACAAAGGCGTGTCAGCCATCTCAATGATAAGGGGCCCATATTATGTCCACCAGGTATTTCAAAACATACACTTTCATGCCAGCCCAGAAAGCCGCCGACGACTTGTGGTCCCACGTATAGACGATGCAGCTCCGCACATGTTTCCCTACAGGTGCGGGGGATGGTCAGTTCGATTCGGAAGCCAAAGTGGCATCAATCGGTTTGATGAATGGCAGTGGAATATGATAAGGACATACGTTTAGGAGCAGTCTCCTCTATTGGTCGTCAATTGTCAGCGCCCGTTCTCTTTCGTCGGTCTCATCTCTGTTCAACGACTTACCAATGCTGGTGGCCTTGCGGATATTAATGGCCAAATCGGCCTCGGTCCTGCGAAATGCATTATCAGACAAGCATTTTTCATATCCCGCTTCAGCTAAGCTTACCGACTCATCGTGGCCGTTGGGGTACAATCGGTGTGTCTCAGGGGGGAGGGGAAGTGGAGGAACGTCGGGGGGTTCGTCGCGTTAATAGATTGCGAACCCGGACAGCGCACAGACGCTAAAGGAGGTTTGCGCTGACCGGAAGAAGCGGATAAGTTGACTCGCAAAGCAAAGGAGAATTGGCGAAGCACCAAAAAGGACACACGTGGGAGTTGGAGCAATGACGTTGATGGGGAACGGCAAAGCTGGCGCCTGTCGGAGTCTTGGCGACGCCTAAGCCGATGCGAGTTGGGCCACGTCGAATTGAACTAAAGGCTTTTGATCCCTTGCAAATGAACCTCGATGCGTCTACTGGGTACGCGTCCAGTGTACACATTACAGGCCAGGCAGCAGGAATAAATGGAGTATTCACTTGGGCCAATCTACCAAGAAGGGTACGCTCTACTTGGTCTACTTGGTCTACTTGGATACAAATTCAGATCGAGATTGTTTCTTGAATATTGGAGGATCGCCCCATAAAGATGAATAGATACCCACACAAGCCACTTGGCTTAATCTGTGCAAGAGAGCTATCGGAGGCAAGGAGAACCAGCCTAGCACGGGGACTTGTGTCTACCAGTGCATCGAAACCTAGAGTTAAGCAAATCCAGAGCGCTTAGCCATCGAAATTCATACTGGAATGGATCTATTGAGCCGGATTCCTGACATCCTCGGCAGCAAATTCTCTCCCCCCATATTCCAATACAAAAGCCATCACGACGAGGGCACTTCCAATCTGCTAGTGGATGGCAAGGCTTCATGACTGCTTCGGGTTGAAGAAGGCGCCCTATCAACAGAGCGTAGCGATTCAGTATCAAAATCCTCCCCTTTATATCCGGTATCGACCTCGATGTGTTCAGCGTTTGATGATGTCTCACTCTCGAAAGGAGTCGGCGCGATCAAACTCTGGTCTGACTCCAGATCGCCTGGGGCTGGGCTGTTTGGCTCGGACTCCTGAGGTGCCGCCACAACGAGCAGTTCGTCGGTGCCTTCGCCAACACGCATCTGTGGAACCATTAGTTTTCTGCGAGGCAATGGTGGTGGCTGGCGGTGCTGCTGGTCTGCTGTCCTGAGGCGTTCGGGGACAGTGTGTGTTGCTACGGGTTTACGCTTGGGTAAGGTTCCCGCGTTCCTCTTCAAGGCATATTTTTCTGGATGCGATAAGGATGCTCCAGCCGGTGGATGAGGATGGCCACGCCCAATCGGCTGATTTGATGGGCCTGAAGGAGTCCGCGACGATCCATGGCCAGTATTTGGGTCCCCTTTACCAAAGACGCTCCAACTCCATTTCTTGGCAGCGGCAGTGGCCTGTCCAAGAGTCATTGAACTAGAAGACTTATCGTCGGATGGAGTGAAAGTCTTGGTAACGGTTTCAATAGTGCTGCGTCGTCGAGATGTGTCGCTGACAAGGGACGTCGTGGAACTACCCCTTGAGCTTCTCAAGCTCGAGAAGGACCCGCCCTCCATGCGAGTAGAAGAAGGTCTTTGAATGATATTGTCGTAGGCGAAGGTAGCGCTGTCAATAGACTCTGCAACCGAGGAGTCACGGCTATGGACTGCGATTTCCGGCATCATCAGGCGACTTGTGGGTGGCGAGCTGCCTGAAGAAGTTCGCTTCGGGGATGTAGGTGGGGACCGGCTTGATATTTCGATCATCGCGTTGGTTGCATGGCTCTTTTCCTCGCCTTTGTTTTCCAAAACGACCTTATCAACCTTAGCGTTGTCCGTAGTGACCACTGGGTCTGCAGCATGAGAGAAGGTCTGGGACCGAATGGCCCGAGGCAGCGGTGTGCTGTCCGGCCTTTCGATGCCGGTTGAGGTTGCGGCCGAGTCTTTTGACTGCAGATCTGACAGAGAGGTTTTCATGCCTTTGCGCAGCCTTTTCTTGGCTGTTCCGGAGTCAGAAAGAGCAGGCATGCTCATCGTGCGATTATCATTCGACCTAAGGACTTCAATGGGATCACCGCCAACACTCTTTATAGTTTGGGGACCCTCGCCAGATTCATCTGGTATCTCTGGTATCTCCACCTGTACATTCGGCGCTGGGGCATCTTGCTGCCAGATGCCGCCGCGGAAAGCCTGGCCAAATGTCTCATGGAATGGGACATCGTCCCAGAAAGGCAGAACGATGCTTTCTGCCACCATCTCGCGGATCTTGCTCTCAATCGTGCGCAGAATGAGGCTGTATGTGATTTGTTTTGAACTGACGATGGGCTGAATGTCCATTTCCATTTTCGGTGTGGTCTCAAAAGACATCCAGATGCGGTTGCTGGGCGGGGGCTTGAAGCGAACTAACAAATGACCTTCAAGTTTTTTCAAGACAACGGCAAGCACGATATCGACCTCCCTCGCCTTAAATCGGGGGCCCAGATCAATGCGTACAGTGGCCGAGATCTCGAGCCTGAAATTTCCAGTATACTGCAGATCGACTTCCACGCAGCAATTGCCGTCGACCGTTAGATCCTTCAGTCTTGGGTTGGTGATAAACGGAGCCCCTTCGCCCATATCGATTTTCTGCAGCCCGATCTTGCTGATAAAGTTGGGTTTGTTGACCCGAGAGATCTTCTTGACGATCTTTTTCCGTATGAATTCCTCCAATTCGGGAGTTTGGTACAGCGCTAGGAACCATCTTCCGAGGAAAGCATTGATCCAACGTGTCTGTAACTGCTCCTCGGAAGAATGCAGCCGCTGGACTAATGTGACAATATGCTTGGTATCAAACTCCTGGGGCTTGGGCGGGCGATCGGCCGAGTCCCAAAGCCGGTTTTGATTCTGTAGCATGGCGATATAGAAGTCCTCCTTCTCGGACAAGTTTTCAGAGAAGAGGTAGAACGGCGGAGTCGGTCCTCCTAGGTCCCCAAGCGATACCAACCGCCGTGAGAGGCAAATGGCATTTCTTTTGAGCCATAGCTCTCCCTCTGGGATGTTCCCTTCTCCGCCGTATATCGTCACATCATGATGAGCGAGCGAAATCACATACCGCACCTCCACTTGGTTCACGTCATCATAAAGCATCAGGTGCCCATGTCTGGGGACATGACATTCATTGTCAGCAAACAGCGGTCAAGTCATAATCTATGTTTTGTTGCAAAAGGACGCATACCGAAGAACAATGTAAAAGACATTCCGCGCTCGTCTGATTGTCTTTCCATTCGCCTTCGCAGGCTCAATACTGGGTGCTTGTTTTCGATCGAACAAACTCCGGTACATAGTCTGGTAGACGCTGGGACTTTCGGCCGCAACAACTTCCCCGGCCGGGGTTGTTCTCTCTGGTGGCTTCCCATTCACACCGCCGGGGACATATTCACGACAGACAGCAAAGTATCCAGCCGCAACATCGGAGTCGTGGGTGCGATGGAAGTTCTCGGCCAGTTGGTCGGTGCCGGACTTGAGACTGAAGTCGTCATCGGTAGACTGGCGGATAGGATCGGGCGCTTTCTCGCATGATTGTTGCGGTTTAGGCGCAGACGGAAGAGTTAGGTAGCCGTAGAGGAGGAGTAGTGACAATATTAGTGGAATGAAGGTAATTCCACCGAGAGCGTAAACGAAGAGGAAGCTAGCGAGCGAACCCATCGGGAACCAGTCGATCAATGCGGGTGGATCGAAAGCTCCATAGTTTGGGAGAATGACCTCCAGCAAGTTAAGAACACGGCAGACAATAAGAGACCGGCTTCTGAACAGAAACGAGCGAGACGAGGGACAAAGGATTATAGCGCGCAAGAGAGTGAGTTGCAGAGAGTTGCAGCTCCCACAGGCATGACGGGATGACGAAGGTGTCGAGTACCTCGGCAGTACGCGTTTTGTATTTTGATTTCGGGTAAGTTATGCAGTTTAAGGCGGTAATTGTGCTCGATCGCCTGTATTTTCATGACGTATTGTAAGATTACCTGTAGAGCTCTTTGTTCCCCGCCCGATCCGACCAACTGTCAGGAACATCAAAGGAACCTTGCAAATCAAACCCTGCATCTTCTACGGTTTCTTTGAGATTGAATAATGGCGGGGGAAGCCCAAATTGAGATATAAGTCTTGGCTGTACTTCGGTAAATAGGAGCCAGCATGTCCTTCTTTTGACAACGTCTGCAGTGCAACAGCGCCCTTGACACGGTAGCGCCGATCTTATATTGGAATGCACGATCAAGGATCTGAGACCGTTCTCAACATTCCAAGATCATAGAAGCATTGTCTGTTACAGCGAGATGATTAGCTACATGTACTGAATGCAGTACCGAGGTGATCAATGTATCAACACGGTGAGAAACCCGTCCAGTGGGTAATGAAATGCTCGGGAAGATTAAATGTATGCAGTGAGCAGAGAAGAAAATGCATCCATTGGTGAACATCATATATGTATCCAACCATCTAAGACATCTAAGTATACACAGGCATATAGGGAAAAAAAAGGAGAAAGACCAGAAGAAACAACAAAGGGCAAGCAAGCTGAAATACAAATATGTGTACATGGGAGCATAGTCTCCCCTACTTCCTCCGGTTCATGGCCTTCTGGCACATTTCAATCAGACCAGTCTTAGCATCACTGTCTGGGAAGTCGCTGATGGCAGCAACGGCCTTGTCAGCGTACTCCTGGGCGAGAGCACGGGTCTGCTCAACACCGTCGCTACGGTAAACAAGCTCGCGGGCCTAAGAGAGCCAAACAGTCAGTATCATCTCCCCTCAGACAAGGCCCTACGCTGATTTTATCACTCACCCGCTGTACATCACCCTCCTCACGGAACTTCCGTCCAACCAAAGGACCAAGCTCCGGGTTACTCTTCCACGCGAAAAGGAGCGGCGCAGTCGCCAAACCAAGCTCCAAATCAGCACCAACTGGCTTGCCCATCTCTGCCTCGGTGACGGTGTAATCCAACATGTCATCAACAAGCTGGAACGCCAGACCCAGATTGCGACCATAGGCGTATGATGCCTCGATCACCTCCGGAGCACTCCGGCCGAGAACTGCAGCAGACCGGCAGGACTTGCTGATCAGACTGGCCGTCTTCAGGTAGGTCTTCTGGAGGTAGTAGGAAAGGGTCTCGTCGGTGTAAACGGGTTTTGATTCGTCTTGCGCAGTGTTCTTCAGCTGCATGAACTCGCCCTCCACCAAATTAGCAATTACAGTTGCCATGAGCTCGGTGACCTCAGGATCACGTAGACGAGCCAGTGCCACCGAGGCACGTCCAAGCAAGAAGTCACCCGCCAGGACGGCCATCTTATTCCCGAACGCCAGGTTCGCGGAGCTGTTGGCGCGACGCGTGACAGCATTATCAATGACATCGTCGTGCAGGAGAGATGCGGTGTGAATCAGCTCTGTGATTTCGGCTAGTCGGCGCTGTGAGGGTAGGATGTTGTCATCTCCCGTAACATCATATTTGCTCTCGGCGGCCGGGGCCACGAGCGGGTTCATTTCTGGGTTGGCGTCTTCGAGGATGGATGGCGCACTAAAGGCAGAATCGACTGGGCTCGGTTTGTCCGTGTAGGTGTGGTGCTTGCGCGGATCCAAGGCTGTGGCCTGGGACATGAGAAGGACAAGCATGGGCCGCATGTGCTTGCCCTCGCTGTGAGTATAGTACTTGGCGACCTTATCCAGGGCTGGATGGCCCGATCCAAGCAATTGACGGATATTCTTGGTGAGGAACTTGAGTTCTTTTCCGACCATTCTCAACGGGTCAACAGAGATACCTGGAGGCGCCTTCGGCATTCCCTTGAAGATGGCCTGAGCCGCCGACACGGCAGCTCCAAACGGCGAGGCATCTCGCCGACGTGTGGGGTGGTATTTGCGGGATTGGAGAGCAAGATGCGCGAAACGGAGGTCATCGCGGAGGCATTGGGAACAGACAGTCGAAGTCGTTCGTGATGAGAGGATCAGCCCGGTGGCCGATACGGTTCGAGCTCCCATGCTCAATGCGAGGGCTCTTTAACTATGAATTAGAATCAAGATCAAACCATAGGAACCCAATCCCAAAAAGCGATGCTGAGGCGAGTTGTTTGCGGAGTACAAGGACGAACAATCTTGCGGGCGGGAAGATTTCGAGCTCTCGGGTCGGCACGGACCCGGTGCTACACAGCACCCAAGTATGTAGGTATCTACGCCATACTACTCTTCCGAACGACTAGGACAATATTGACACTTTCAAGAGTTATAAAAAAGATGGGACTGGATGAAGAAAATGTTTTCAAAAATAACTATAATTTAGGAGCCACCGAGAAAGACAAACAAAAAGGAAAATCTGACATACGATTCTAATAGGGATACGACAAGAGATAATACCAGTATAATAGACTCAGAAGACTGCGCCGGCCATCTTGATCTTGCACAATTCTCTTCCCGCCTGAATAGAGAGCCGGATAAGAAGAACAAATTGCACAATTAACAGGTTGAAAAAGGCCACTACGAGACAGAGGCCCATGTGTGAGACCAGTGCGGTAGAGAGAAAAAAATGCTGTATCGATTATGAACCACACTCCCCTTTAAATAGCGTCAAAATCACCACCGGCATCTTCATCATCCATGTCGCCCTCCTGAATCTCCTTGGCAAGCTCCCGCTCCCGTTCCCGGGCCTCTTGAGCACTCTTGAGCTCCAAGCGGTGCTGGTTCATAGGGAAGCGCATAGCCTGTGATTAGAATGTTAGACAAGCCAAGTAGAAATTTGGATACTTCAAACAAAACATACCTTAACACTCTCATCGTGGAGAGCCAGACAAGCGCGGATACGCTCGTGGAACGCCTCGCCAGGTTCTCTAGTGGCGTAGATGTCGCCCACCTCTTTGCTCTTCATGAAACCGTGCTCGTGATCAAGTGTAGCTTCGATGACACCGTCCCGGATAGCCTTAGCCACAATGTACTCGGCAGATTCCTCACTGTCAAGGCCAAGGCGAAGACAGATATCCCGCAAAGAGATACGGGAATAAGAAAGCGACATCATGCGAATACCAGTCTTGATGACATTCTGTCGCAAGCGCAGAATCAAGGTGTATGTGCCGTCCTTCCGGAAAGTCTCGCTGTGGGTGTTGACAATGTTGAGGAATCCATCCAGATCGCCAACACTGACTGCCTGAGAGAGCAACAGATAAGGATGCATGGCCCGTTCCAAGGCCGGCTGGCGGAAGACAGCGCGGTCTGGAATATCACCCATCAACAGCTCGACAACAACCAAGAGCTTATGGGAAGCCTGATAGAACCCACGAGCAACCTGGCTAGCTGGTGACTTGCGTGTAGCCCCAATCAAATGGCTATGGGCCTCGGTGTATTGCAACTGAATGGCACGAATGCGGCCGAGATAGAACATATAACGAGCAATCTGGTTGTTGGACGCAGCCACGGGGAATGGGTTGTGCGAGATGAGAAGATCTGCCTGTGAGATATGAGATGTGGACAGGTAGTTGCGAAGCAGCAGCGTCATCACTGTAGCCTGGGTGTCGACATCTTTCCGGAGAACAGCAGTGCGCAGGGCGGCCAGCAAGGGCTGGCGGATAGTAGTAACTGCTGCTGCGGGAGAAGGAGGAAGCGGGGCAGTTTGTTCGAAGAAGAGAGAATAGTAGAAGTACACACGGGCAGCGAGAGAATCCAGCGTGCGACGGTTGAGGGCTCGCAGACGCTCAATCAAGCTGGTCGAGAATTGTACTCCCTTCTGAATCTCCCGCTGATCGAAGAGGTATATCTGGACGAGAATAGAGAGATATACATCCACCTCGGCAATTGTCTCCTTGGGGGCAGCCTTCTTCTCCGAGTCCACCTCCATTTGCGAGCTATCAGGAGCATTCTCAAAGGCATTGGCCTGGTCAAGAGCTTCCAACAAGAACGAGGCGGTCGAGTTAGAAGCGGGATAGGTTTCCACGATGACTTCGGCGAGGACGCCTGTAGTGAGATGTTTCCGCATCGACGATATCGATCGTAGGACACGGAGAGTAAATCTGGGGTCAAAGTGGGCAACGGCTCGCTCTAGCAAGGTGAAATTGGTCTTGATGTCTAAATCCATGCCAAAGAGACAGGTTTTTCGCATTAGAACTCTGCACAACTTTTGATAAAGGAAGAAGATTCGACAAACCTTGAATGGCCTTGGTCGTTGGGTCGACCTCAGCCTCGGTGGTTTCAGCATCACCATCCTCCGCACCTTCCATCGTCACATCTTCCCCCTTACCCTTGCCGGATGATCTAGAACCCTTGGTCGGGGGCACTACAACAGTCATCTTGTCATTCTTGCGGCCCTTGCTGGCGTTGGATGAGGATGTAGGCGCACCTGCCGTATCCTCTCCCATCTCAACATCTTCGGATCCATTCACACCGTTCTCGGTTGATTTCGATCCATTCGTATGCGACTGATCATCCTCCGCCATATTGCCGTTCGATGCGCCCTTTGCGTCTTTCTTAGTCGGAGCTGACTTGGCCTTGTTGGCGGCAGCACGAGTAGTGGGCGCCTTATCTGTTGCACCCGAGCTTTGTGAGTTCGAGTTTGCCTTTTCACCGTTAGCAGATGAAGAGGTGTCGGATTTGTTGTTTGATCGCAGAGAGCGCCTTTCGGCCGGCATCTTTCTCAAGCTATTGAGCTCAGCTGGGCAGCCACCAAGCTATCGGAAGAAGTAGGAGGAAGGGCGGATGGGCACAATGAAAGATAGAAATAAGAGGTTCAAACCCAGAAGAACCAAGCTGTCAATAGCACAAATATGATGGAGGAAACCTTGTGCGGACAGGTGGATGCAGTGGATGGGTGATGTGATGTCAAGAGATGGGATGAACGGGCGCAAGAGACCAGATGAGCGCTTAGTCAGTTGGAGCTTACCGGCCTCAACTCGGCCCTTCGTGGTCAGAGCTGCTGGAAAGACGACAGAAAGATATGAAGAAATCTTCTCAAAAAATAATTCCAAAGGAATACTTACACACCTAGAACAAATTGGTGCTATTGTTTTTACTCAATCTCAGCGTGGCCAGGCGTGGTTGCTGATACACAGGCGCCTTTTGAATTTCATGCCTCAGGCATTTGTGCAGCTCTCCTTCAAAGTAAACAATTGCGGTACAAAGTAGAAGCATCCCACCACCCATCCATCTCAACCAGAGCTTCAAAACACCGAAAAGATGACGCTGCTCAGTTCCCATCTGGAGCAGATTACTCTCTCGTCAAATGCCATTGCTGATTTGCCGTAAGCGCTTGTTGTATTCCTCTACGATGTTGCTCAAACTGACGCATCCATCCAGATTTCCTCCTCCGCGTATTTTCACCACTGCGTTGTTGGGATCCCACGACATTACAGCCTTAATCCGTGATACTGAAGCTCATGAACGAGCACTCTTCCAGGTTGATCCCTCTACTAAGGCCCATGGATCACAAAGACGGGCCACACGACGCGGGACTATGTTCCCCGCTGAAGCAGAGAGGGAGTCGATGGCAAGTCGTATTTATTCGGCAAGGGATAACCGCAATCAGTCTGCGGTGGCAAGAGTTTTGGGACATGATATGATGGAAGAGATTAAGCGCTCAGCGGGCACCTCAACTCGAGGGCCTCGCGGTGAGGTCAATATTGAAGTCCTCCTTCGAGGCGCAGAGATATTGTGCAATGTTTAGTAAGTGGCACGGCTCGAAAACCAACCCATTATTTGGTCTAACCAACTCCAAGCCCCGTTGCCGGTGCACAGGAAAAGATTGCCAGCCTTCGCTATCGGCATGAGATGATCAGCGGGTCCATAGCGCAGTTGGAAGACCGGGTTGCAACGAACACTGCAGAACTAGATCAAATGAGGCGTTCCTATGGAGATGATGAAGATGAGTTTACGCCTGTGCCGGTGGCACAATCAGAGGGCCCGGAGGTCACTGATGAAGATATCGAGCGAGAATTGGCTGAAATTCGAGACTTGGAACGGAGAAAACACAGGCTAGAAGAACGAGTTACAGGGATGGAGCGAAGTCTAGGCGATTTAATAGGCTGAGCTTCTTCTTTTCCCCGTGATGTTGCTCCTGCATTTGGAGAAGACTTTCTATCGACACCATACCCACTTACCTTCCCACCAGAAAAGCCCATCATGATGGAAAGTATCTCATTTTGAATGGCTGCTGTGATTTTCTCTAAATACCGAGCTCGCTAGGCTCATGCCTCGTCTCTGGGGTTATCCTGCTCCAAACCTGTCTGTGAAGCTTATTGGCTGAGAACAACGTCTGAAGAGATGCCAGACTCCGCCAGATCGGTCCTTTCAGGCCTTCTGAAAGCTGTCTGTTCTTTCGACCTTTGCTATGAGCAAAGTTTGCTGTTGGATCACTTCCAATTGTGACCAGAATTGTACATCATGTTCTAGGGCAAAGTCCTTCCCATCAGCAGCCTCCGGTACCATATCATTCATGATATGCTACATATGAGCGGCTTGTACGATAGAATCGTTCATGGCTTATGATAGTAATGAATACCAAGACCAGTTACTCATGATAGTTCCAAGTTGTACTCCGTATACAATTCAGGTCTGTCCTAGTGGTGTTACACAGCTCATCAATTGATACCAAATATCAGCCCTGGGTAAGGTACATTAAACTCCAGTATAGAAAAAAAAACATCTCTGCAGCGTTAGAGAGCAAAGAAACATGCAAAGGGCGGCCTCCGGTATTGGGGGCGGATGCCAAGACCGGGCCCAACCTCCACCGGCATCAAAGTTGCAATCTGCCAGAGCCCCATTCCATCGACGCGCCTATTCCACCTTTGTGTGCAATATAGTACAGGAGCCTCTGTTCGAGTTGGTCAGGCAGGTGCGACTGATTCTATTGTGACGCACGGACCACCACGCGCATCTTGATCCTGTTGCCACCACTCGGCTTTTCGTGTCCTTGATTCTCCCCAGAGCGCTGACCGATACATTTTCGCGGAGATGGATGGATCCCAAGGCCAGGTAGGACAGCATATGGCTGCTCCACAGCCACAGCACTCGAACCTCATTCGTACGGATCAAGTACAAAAGCTCCCGCACCTCAGTGACCAGCAGAAGAGCCAGCATACCCAGCTGGTGCGCAATTTCTGGGAAATCCTGAACACACGCGATCAACAGACACATGAGTATCAACAGGCGCATACCAAGCTCTCGCAACTGTCCCAGAACTTGATGAAGGGGATGCGAATCTTCCAACAGAACCGACAGCAGGCAATGCAGCAGCACCAACAGGCTCAAGCTGCCGCGGTGCAACAGGGGCAGCCGGGACAACAACCACAGCCGGCACCGCAGCAACAACCCCAACAACAAGTTCAACAACAACAGCAGGCAGCTCAGGGACAGCAAGGACAGCAAGGACAGCCGGTCCAACGAACGCAATCGAACAATCCTCAGACGATCAACCAGCTTATCCCGCAAATCCAAGCCCGAGTCAGCGCTCTCAACTTTTTCCTTCCTCCGAACGTGACACCCGAGCAAGTGCAGACATGGATACCCGAGGCTCGATTGCGATATGGAATTGCACTTCAGAAGCAGGAGGTTGGACGGGCTCGGATGGCCGATCTTCGTTCATCATATGCTCAGCGACAGGCACAAGGTAATATGAGCCAGGAGGAAATGCAAGAATTCAAGAACCGACAACTGGCGGCCGAAAAGCTGTTCCGAGAGGGTAGCGAGTTCTTGAACAAGTTCAAGGAACAGCAGGAAAGTTTTAAGATTCAAGCGCAGCAGAACCCACAGAGTCAAACGATGAATCAGGCAGGACAAGCAAATGCAGCTGCCAATCTGAACCAGGGCCCAGTTGCTCCTCCCGCGACAAACCAAACGGTACAAAATGCTCAGGCAGGCGCGACGGCAAACTCTATGCAACCTGGTCAATCCCAAGCCCCAGCTCCTCACACTATCAACTCAGCAGTGAATGCAGCGCGACAGACTGCTATGTCCCCTTCTACTTCCCAACCTGGCCAACCTCCTTCTGCTCAGTCTGCAGGAAATACTCCCGTCCCAATCAGTGCACCGCAACCTCAAGTGCAACGTCCACAGCCCCCGTCGCAGCAAGGAACTCCAGGAACACAAGTCACTTTCAGCCAAACCCCAAATCCTGACGGTTCTACCCCGACACCACCAGGACCTCCCCAACAGGTGAACCAAGGCCCACCTCGTCCCCTCTCACACCAAGCCGCTATCTCACAAGCCGCGCAGACCTACACCAACCCCACCCCTCAACAGCAAACCATGAACCAACAAGCCCAGGTCAGCCAGCAAGGTCACCCCCAGGGTTATCTCGCCAACCGTCCAGGTGAAGTTTCCACTCGCAACACCAACATGGCGATCCCCAAGAACCTCCACGTCTCAACCCCCGAGCCCGTCTCGATGCCCAGCTCACGTCCGTCTCTCTCCGGCGGTCCCAGCCACGGTGCCATGGGCATGATGGGCCAGCCCGCGATCCAGAAACACCCCGGCTACGTCCTGGAGGGTGAAGGCCAGCGCGTGCTGAGCAAGAAGATGCTCGACATCCTCGTGCGCCAAGTCACCGGTGGCGGTGAAGGAGAAATGCTCACTCCAGATGCGGAAGAAGTAAGTCAATCGATCTCGAAAGTGAAGAGACAAATGAAGAGATGGATAGAAAATGCTAATATTCTCCAGTTCATCCTCCAAATGGCCGATGACTTCGTCGATGAGGTTATCACTCAAGCCTGCCGCCTTGCCAAGTTGCGCCCTTCTTCGACTCTCGAGCTACGTGATATCCAGCTCGTCCTCGAACGTAACTACAACATGCGCATCTCTGGTTTCTCCACCGATGACCTCCGCACCGTCAAGAAGCCCCAGCCCACTCAGGGCTGGACTCAGAAGATGTCTGCCATCCAGGCTGCCAAGGTCACTCAGGGTAGAACCGAGTAGATGCAGATACATTTCGCATCAGCTGCGTTGCATTGCATGCAGCCGGTCTCTTCTTAGGTTTTCTTGCACACAATACGCTTTTCCTTACGTTTCATGTTCCTTTTTCTCGGAGGTCAAATAGGGGTGTTCTCTTTTCTATTGCTATCTTATCCTTTCTACTGATTCTCTTGAGAATATGGCGTCTACGTGATGAATGGGCAGGTCTTACACATCTTTTTTTTTTTAACTTGCAGTGATCTTTTTATCGCGTTTTCATGGGATGGAAAGGGTCTCTTTTTTCATGATCTCTAACTTGAGCTCATCCTTCTTTGCTTTCTTGCAGGCCTTAGTCTAAACTGCGGGTTGAATAATGAAACTGCCTACCCTGGCTTCTCTGGGTTTAATGCAGTGTGATATCTAGTGACCTCATATGTATGGATTTAGTTGTAGACATAAGTTTAAGCCCTAGTGTCCACGGATATTGTTTTACATGCTCTACTCTACAACATCCCGCTGACATGTACCATCTACTACAGAGTACAGTCAACAGGACAAATAAGAAAAATAGTTTCCCATGCTGGATTCTGCTTAGTTGATCTCCCTTAAGTTGATCTCCGTCGGCAAATAAGAAGCATGAATATGGAGTGAAAGCATGTGGTATAGTGATTGGTACAGGGTATGGAGGGGGGCTCGAGGAATATAAAAAAATCAGAAGAGGAGAAAAGAAGAAGAGAAGAGAAGAGAAACACAGGATACAATAAGAAAAAAGCGTTCGATGAACGAGGTGAGGACCGGATTCTGGATCCGATGGTATTCTTTGACAAAAGACGTTCTTTGAGAACCAAAAAAAGGTAGAAAGAAGGAAGAAGAAGAAAAAAAAGAAAGAAAGAAAGAAAGAAAGAAAGGTTTGGTGAAAAGGTTTGGTCATCGATGTGCATTGTCAGGCTGGCACAGGGAATGAGGATTATTGGGCAAACATGGGGAGGGTTCGGGTTCGGGTTCGGGTTATGATATAGAGAGTGCGGCAACGGTATGTTCGAGCAATGAGGGTGATACCTGTACAAAGGCAGGTCAGGGTCTTGGTAAACAAGGCTAGAAAGAATGGCGTTCGAGACGGCGAAGGAGATATAAGAAGTCAGTGAGTTTGAATCTTCGGCGTTCGGGGTTCGAGCTTGAGGCTTCGGGCATTTTTGGCCATAGACCAAAAGGAATTGAGGTAAAAGACGCGGAGTAACACGAAGAGATGAAGATGAGTCGCTCAACAGTCAACGAAAATTATACACATGTCACTCATGAACATCAGTTTGGGGAGAATAATAGGATAGGAAGATGAGATGCCTCGCGCAGACCCATGCTGAGGAAACGAAATAGGCGATTCTATCAAGAGGAAGAGCAACAAGGGGAATATTCTCGCTGAATACAACAAAAAAAAAAACAAGATAAAGAGACGAATAAAGGTATCAGGGGATTGTCAGCCGCCGCAAAGCACTAACGTCGGAGAGGACTCGGAGGGAGATTGCTCCTATCAACTCGCTTGCCTTGGCTAGGCGTTGACGGTGGAGCATCGCTGGGGATAGGAGGCAACTCCTTGTCCGATGCTGGAGGACCATGTCGGCTGTGTGAGCTGCGGCCTCCGACACTACTTGCTTCGCCAGCTTCGTCCACAATAGGGAGAGTCGAAGTGGGACCAGGGCCACCGGCATCTGCTGGATCCCAAACAGTGGCTAATGTTCGAGGATGTGTGACGGACACATCTTTCGATGCCTCCTTCTCCGCTGCCTGCATTGTTCGCTCGACAGATGAAGATCTTGATTGCTTGTCAGTTGATTGTTGAGGTGCGCCGGAGGCGGACACTCGAGATTCACGCCGCTCGGCTTCTTCCTTCGACATAGTGATTCCCTTGATGAAACTGATGAAGCGCTCGCCGTAGCTCTCTGGTGGGATTGGCGAAATTTGTGTTCGATCGTGCGAGAGCCCCTTAAAAAAGTGCTCTAATCTCTTGGTGGTTCCGTAATGAGTCAAACAATCGATGATACCGAGGTAGTAGATCTCATCCCCGGCTTGGCCATTCTCATGAGTGGCCCGGAAACCTCCGTCATCCGCGTAGAAGACATGATATTTCCGTTCATCGAGGATTTCATCCGGCATCTTCGCAGCTGCTTTGTCCAAGGGAACAGGCCGTTCACGCTTGATAAGCATGCGCAGCTCCCGAGCCTTGCGCTCATTCTCTAATTTTGAAGGAGTGCGCATCAAGTTGTTGGGAGTCGGATCCTGTTCGCGATTGCCTCCTGGCTGGAAGACCTGAAGAGTCTTATCCCGTAACTTCTCTTCATTGCCCCTACCTGCATCGTGGATTCCTACCAGAAGAGAATAGTCCATAATCTTGAGTTTCTTCAGCAACACGACATCGCGTTTTAATTGTTCAATGAAGAAGTCTCGTTTTGATGGGCCACATTCCAGGTGGCGATTCCGACGAACCCAGTTCAGGTCTTTCATGGTTGCTCTGGGGTTTCTCTCGAGATCTGATTCCTGCAAATCACGGCCAATGGTTGAGCCCTTCAGATCAAATGTCTGGTGGATATCTCGGTGGGGCGGGAACAGGTTGTTCATCACGACAAAGTGGATCTTTCGACCGTATGCCATCTTGACTCGGTGCAATCCGTAGAATTGTGAGATGAGGGTGTTTGGGTTGTTCTCCACGTGTCGGTAGTACTCAGGAAGAATCTTCCGAAGAAGCTTATGCTCGGAATGGTGAATGGTCTTGATAATGTACTTGTAATCGCGCGAGAAGTAAAAGAAGCTGCCGCTCTTTCCAGGAGAGCCTAATTCGGACAGGATGTACTTGCTTGTGAGGGACATGAGGTAATCGGCAGGATCGAGACGGAACTTGGCGCGAAGGTGTCGGAACACCCAAGGTGCGTAATCTTTGAATTTGAAGTCGTATTTTGCGGAAGGGATTAGTTCGTTTCCAGTGCTGCTAACCGTCAGTGATGTCCAATTTGGCAAATGCAGGAAAGGGGTGCCCACATGTCAAAGGAGAACTTGTGCTTAGCATCAAAGTCCGCCGAAGTGAGTTCGCGGTCCATCTTGGCGTTAATTCTCGAAACCGTGAAGCGGATGCCAGTCAACATGTTGTATGCTGTGACATAGTTGACATGGTTCTGATCCACCTTAGTGCCGACAATCACCCGTTCGTCGTCCTCCTCTTCGCGGCGGCGTCGCGAGGCTCGCTTTTGTTTAATAGCTTCAGCCCATCGGGCCGCATCTTCATCCGGCGGTGCCTCGTCCAAGGTGATATCCTGTTGGGTACTGGTTTTCGTTGCTCGTCGAATCAGACCCACTGACGTGCGTCTGAAGCCAGTCGTCGGTGACATTCGGCCGGTGGTGTATGCAGGATCCTCATTGTATTCTCGGCTGTCCCGCCGAACGCTAGGGGTTCGTGGCACCTGCAAGGAATGTCGTTGTCGCATACCGGAGTTCTGCGACTCTGGCACGGAGACAACGTCAAGAATGGATGAGGCAGGAGGGGAGGAGGGGTGGTGAGGTCCGGGCTTCGAATTCGGTGCCAAACGATCGGGGTCTGGAGAATAACGACCAATATCATCTTGTTGTGGGATTTGCAACAGCGATGCCGAGGGCGAGATCGACGATTCATCGACGGAGGGTCGGTAGGCATCCCCATTGACCATCAGTTTCCCCGTGATAGGTCGACCATTCGTGGTACCATTGGGTTGTTGATTGGAAGGGGATGTTGTGGTGGAGATCGCTCCCGGTCCAGTGTCGGAGAGTTTGCGGTCCAACGTCGCGGACGGCCGGCTGTTCTCGCGGGGATCCCTGGCGGATCCATTGGCTACCGAATGCATGCTGCCATCCATGGACAGGGGCTCGCGGGTGTAGGAGCTGACACTCGACCGAGGGCCATTCAGTGAGTATGCACTGCCGTTCTTAAGGTCGGCTAAAAGCTGTCGGTCATTCTGATCGTTCGCGTCGTTGCCGTTGGGCCAGTTGGTCCACAGGAAAGTATTTCCGACGGGAGTCTTGTCGTGCGATTTGCGAGATGATTCAAACGAGCGAGGATGGGTGACCGTAGCAGTCTGATAAGAGACGTCGTTAAAGGATGGCATGGCAGCGATTTTCAGTGAACGGGGTGACGTGAGTTCTGCGTGGACCGGCAACCCGAAGTGACGGCAGTCACCCTTATTGGCGGAGATTCAGGAAAGTTGTGAACCGGACCGAGGATGAGAAAGGGATACAAAGAAATCGGGGATAGCCAGTTGCCCAGGGCGAGGGTATTCAACCGATCAACATAATTTGATCAATGCAAGGGAACGAAAAAGAAAGGGTAGGTGAGGTTGTCAAATGGGGGAAATATGGGGGGGGGGGGAGAGTGAGGAAGAGGAGATTGGAGGTTGTCTGGGAGAAAAGAATTACGACACGTACTGTCTATACGTGGACTCCACTGGTCGGCTTTCTCTTTCTTCCTTTATTTTTGTTTATTTTTGTTTCTTTTTTCTTATATTGAATCGCTATGAAGTTTTTACTCCGTACATTATATTGTTGACTCTGTTCCAATTTCTTTGCCATTATTGCCCTGGAGGCTGGGGGGTTAATAGGCTGCTGCATAAAACTCGGATGGTCCCCGTGCGAGCGTATCGCATCATCTCCTTTCATGATTTCCGTCCTCTGTTCTCTCTTTTTTAGTTTCTATGACCTGATCATGCCAAACTCATTGGACCGTCTCTAACTGCGTCTATTGCCCGTTCAGGTGTTGATGCAAGGAGGGTTGCACGACGCCCCCCGAGTATGGAGTTGGACAGCCAGGTATACAACATCAAAGCAGATCAGGAGAGAGGAAGCGTACAGTACGGAAGATACACCATCGAACATACAGCATACACAACATACACAGCATACACAGCATACACAGCATACACAGCATACACAATTCATACACAATTAATACACTGGCGTGGAGCCCAAGTGCCGGCCAATGACAACGTCAACAGGCCTATCGGGTGTCCCTGAACCAGGTCCAGACCGAGTTTATGCCATCAACACAAACTTATCAGAGTGACTACGAAACATTCCAAAAATAGGGCTCCCCATATTAATGAAATCATCCAGGGGAAATTCTCCACTCCATACACGTACTAGACATGCTGATTACCGCGTTCAAGGAGACTCTGCTCGAGGCAATTTTGCAATATAAATTGGGCTGGACTCGTGGCCATCGGGCATCATCTGGGAAACGGCACAACACCACTCCCCAAAGGCATGTACAACATACAACATACGTAGGTACAACTATGGCTTGTGCTCCATTAATTTCCGAGTTTCTTGTTGGCTTTGTATTGGGCGCTCTGATCTGGTACCTAAACGAGACGGGAGTATCTCTCGGATGGAACAATAGCACACATCCTTACAATCTAGAGACCAGAGCGACTGGAGAACTCCCTTGGAAGCAATAAGGAATAATCGCATAAGGGCCATAGACCAAATGATCCAAGGGTCAAAAGCATAATACTGCCAGCATAAGACTTAGAAGCCGGGATCTACATTTCCCGGAGCCACGCGGTTAACGCGACAGTCTACCAGTTCCAAAAACAAAAATTCGACCAAAAGAAATTTGAATTCCACAATAGTAACAAGGGAATTGATCAAGATATCAAGAGAATACGAAAGACCCCAGTTCCCCATTGCAAACCCCACCGCAGGACGCCGTCCCTTTGACTTGGGAAAGAAGCAAAGCCATCATAACGAAGATCCCCCAAAAAAAAGAGAAAGAAGAGAAGCAAAAACAAAAGACGCAAAAGAAACCATCAGAGTCAGAGATCAATGGGTCGAAAGAAAGAAATTACAAGAGAAGAAAGAAAATCAGAGCCAGGGACTCCCCCTGGAAATGCGCACGTGAAAATATAGGGAGAGCTGGACCTGGTGAAAAAGAGGATGGCAACCCCTCTATTTCTTAGCTGCCCGCTTTTTGGGAGCTGCCCGGGTTGGTGGCGGGGCGGTGTTCTTGGTGATACGACCAGACTTGGTCTTTCCCAGAATCTTGGGCTGCTCGATGATAGCAGGAGCCTAGATAGTTCGTCAGTCACAGGTTGATCAAGGGTGGGATGGACTGAGCATCCGGGATAGACTTACGGCGGCGGGAGTCTTGCGGACCTTGCCAGAGTTAGCCTTGGGCTTGGTGGCTGTCTTCTTAGCAGCAGGAGCCCTCTTGACATTGGGTCCCTTCTGGGCAGCCTTTGCGGGAGCAGTCTCCTTGGTGGCGGCCTTCTTAGGAGCGGCCTTCTTAGGAGCGGTCTTCTTGGTAGTGGTAGCCTTAGGGGCAGCCTTCTTAGGAACAGCCTTGGCGGCGGGCTTATATTGCAATTAGCAAAAATCACAGGAATAGATCCTCTATGAGAACTTACCTTAGCAGCGGGCTTCGAGGCAGGCTTAGCAGCAGCCTTGACTGGGGCATCCTTCTTTGCAAGCTTCAAGGGTCCCGAGGGGCCTAAACCGCGACATGTCAGATAAATGATCATACGACGAGAGACACCATTCAAATCGCATGCAGCGAATCGCAGCATTTAAAGAGACCCGTGCAAAACATGATAGACTCGATGCGCAGTGGGCAAGGTGGGTGAAACTTACCCTTGGGCTGGGTGAATTCATTCTTCTCAACGCCGGCCTTGATAGCCTTGTTGAACTGAGAGTCGAAGACACTCTGGGAAGTGACGTTGATCTTGTTATTAGACTGCACGTACTTCTTGATAGCCTGACGACTGAAATGGGGAGCAAAGGTTCAGTTAGTGGCTTGTTCTGTGATAAAATATTGCGAGCATCCAGGTCGCCAATTCCAGAGGCATCGGCGACGAGGGGAAACCAAAACGACACATACCTGCTACCATTGCGCTCCTTGAGCTATATGCAATAAGACCCGTCAGTAATGAGGACCAACAAAAAATAATCATTGGTTTTGTTGTGATTGTCCATGCCCAAAGGCAAAGACGTGTCACGGTCGGGCGCGACCTGAATCACAACAACCAGGTTGGCTCGCGCCGGCAGTGATTAACTTACGCTGACAATAGCATCCTTGATCATATCTGTATCAATCGAATCAGCAGATATTCGCGACTAGAGTGATGCCAGTATCGCGTTTACGCGATGTGGTGGTCATCCACGATCAGAGATGACATACCACGGTAGGAAGTGTGAGTAGCAGGAGCCGCCTTCTTGGACGCGGTGACCTTCTTGGGAGGCATGATTGAAAATGATCTGAGATGACAAGGGTGAGGATGAAGAAGTCCAAGGAATTATCAAGATGAGAAGATTTTGAGAGAGAAAAAAAGCGTGGGAAGAGTTGTGGGAGCAGAAGAGGAAATAAAAGAGCAGAAGGGAAAGGGTAGGCCGCGGGGCATCCGTGATTTATAGGCGGCCGGTGTTGACACAAGATCAGGAGAAAAAAAAGCACGGATTTCTATTCATTTTGATTCTGTTTCTAAGCTCATCGTCGGGTTCTCTCTTCTTTTAATTAATGTTCTGTGCTTCTATTCCGTCTTGCTGTTGAGTTATTTGCTTCACTCGCGCGTCTCAACTTGAAGAATGGTGAAGGCGCCGCATTCTCGCTCTGCTATATGGAATACTTTAAATCGCTGGAATACTTTAGTTGAATGAGAAGCTAAATCCAAGTACACAAGACCTTATAGAAGCATAACGCGATATTATATAGTGGCATAGACTGGTAGACTGGTTCTTCAACGCGTCCTTTTCCCCTCAATGGAAATCGCGCATCGGTCTCTCTTTTTCTGGATTCTGGCGCTTAGCCCATATCTTCCAAGGACTAAGGGTAAATCCTTGTCACCTGGCACACGCATTCCAATGGCCTGGAGGAATCAACCTATTCATCTTCTTTTTCTGGGCCGGATCTGGCAGTCCGTCTTGTGTGGAGGATCCAGAACGTCCCGGTGCAAAAGAAAAGGCACGGGGCTCTCATTCAGCCTACATGTAATGCTGTAGCTGTAGAGATGTGTCATACAACCTTCAAAACTTGACCCGTACTGGATATCGAGTCTGCTTGCGTTGGGGACCTGCATCACCTCGTGCTGGTCACCCTTGCCACCGAGCTGAACTCAGATCAAATGGTCAACGTCCATGGTCCAACTCGTCGATGATGTCGATAATTTCGAGATGCTCGTTGCTTAGCAGCTGTTGCTCCGTCCCCGACTATCTGTTTAGCTTCTGTGCTCATCTGCTTTTCCTCTTGACGCGTTATCCGCTTCTGTGTAAACGATAACATTCACATTGGTGTATATGTGCCAGATGAAGCCAGAAAGAAAAAAAAATCGTTGTATATTGATAGACATCATATCATTGTCGATATGCTCCAACAATTATAATTGTTGGAGCGAAATGAAATATTTATACTCCATGAACCATGATCATGACTCGATATATATACTCGAGTCCGATATAGCAACCGAATAATTCTTCTCTATACCACCAAACTAAATCATATAAGCTACCACTGATAGTTCCTGCCAAAGTCTCACAGCAGGCCAAGATAGCCCTGAGGCCCAAGTTTGCTCAGAAACAGGGCGGCGTGCTGGTATATATCAATCCCAAGAGAGGGGAAACTCTTCCACTGCAACGCCACAACCTGACCACATCGCGATCAGCAGACACAACCAATAAGACACCGCAGAGACACGCAATCCCACCATTCCTTGCTGATATGCACTCCTAAAGTTATCGAAAATAAGTTGGCCTGAGATCGACCCCGCGTAGTGCTCGTCCAGACCCAACGTTGGATGTACACCGTGGGAATCATCCGAAGAACACATTTAATCCCAAGAGTCAAACGAAACAGGCAACAATAAGGCAGGTTGCTCCATCCAACTCTCCGCATGCTCTCATCCCGTATGATTACGATCATTGGTCCATCAGCGTGGTTGTACGATGGGGATCATCTGCATCCGCAACCGGCGCGTCGAATCAAGAGTCGATTTGTTCAGAACGCTGATCCTGCACCACATGGACTCCTGCTGCATCGATTAAGGGCTTAAATTGCTTCTGGTAACTGGTGCCAGCATACAGTGCCTGTATTCAAAGTATTTGCTGCTTTGCTTCATGAAGATCAGTTGGGGTTTGTGTTCTGGGACCCGAACCGGTCTCGCTAATCGGGCCCGATCTATACAACTTAGTACGCGAACCATCGATATTGATACCCCTGCAACGCCAACATCACAACATGCAAGAAGAAACTTCGACAATCTAAACTTATAGAGAACACACGGAAGGTACTAAAAATACTTTTTATAGACATTTCCATCCATTGTAGCGGTGAGGATCAGACCGATCATTTTGGTATGCTCTAATTGATCCTGTCTGATCCTGGCGCACAAGGGATTGGAGATGGTTACTAGAATAACAAAGAAGTAAAGGAATATAGATCTCTCAAGTTCAGTTTCAAATCAGCCCACCTTTTGCTATGATACACGGAACTTCATGCCCAGTCCCGATCCCCGAGGTGAAATGAGGGATCTCCGCATGAAAGCAGACAATGCATAAGAAATGATAAAACAAAGATACCACAGAACGCCCACGCCAGTTTAGCTCATGTTAGATCGGCAAAGAATTTGTATCGTAAGTTGCTTTCTTGACAGAAAGACCAGCAAGGCTGCCGGTTCAGTCGAAAGCATCTCTCGTCATAAAGGGACTAGGCCGCTCCACGCGGCTTCGCCTTGGCTTCCTTCTTAGCCTTGGCATCTTCCTTCTTTTTCTTCTTCTGCTGCTGAATCTTCTCATCGTGTTTGCGCTTGAGAGATGCTTTCTCGTCCTCGGTGCGGGCGACGGGCTTGAAGAATCCCTCGAGTCGGGACTGTTGCGCGGTCTTGAGGTTCTTCGACAGACGAGCGGCACCGTTGCGCACACGGTCTTCGTTGAAACCCTTGTCTCCAACCAGGAACTCAATCAGACCATCAATGTTAGGAGCTTCCCACTTGAAGTCGCACTCGGGGTGATCGGCAGGCCGGACATCGGGGTTGACGAAAAGGTCCCGCGCGTCTTGGTATGGCCAGTCCTCAGGGACTACGAATTTCTTCTTCGGGTCGTTCTTCATGTACTCCAGCACTTTCTCAAGAGACTTGTGCTCCTTGATCAGACCGAGAGCAGTGGTGGCTCCCACCTTGGGGATAGGTTCCAGGTAATCACAGCCCAGAAGAATGCAGAGATCAATGAACTGCATGAGAGATTTAGTTAGCAATTGTGGTTCCGCGTGCCATACCCAGCAAAATTCACCTGTGGGCGATCCATATCGAGACCCTCAAGGGCTCGGTCCAGGTGGATCTCCTGGATAGGCTCCTTGCGCTGCTCACTGAACGTCAGGTGGCGCAGAAGGATTGGCGACTCAAAGCATAAGGTATCCATATCCTCCGATGCAGCTCCGTAAACCTTACCTGCACGAGCCAAGACAGCACACTGAGCCTCAGCTTCCGTCGGGGCAGTGATGTAAGGAATTCCCATCAGCCCAAGAAGCTTCTTGCATTCAGCATTGTGTTCACGGGTGACACGGACTGTCCGTCGCGAGAACTTCTCGATATCCTCCGCAGTTCCAGTTTCCTTGGCCTCTTCGTGGGCCTCGGCTGCTTCAGCCTTGCGTGCAACACGCTTCGCCAATTCACCGGACTTCAATTTCGGTGGGGCGCCGTCGAAAACGTAAAGAGGTTTGATGCCGTTATCCACCATCCGCAGAGTACGGTAGAACATGCCCATCAGGTGAGATGTGGTCTCACCAGACTCACTCATGAGCTGTTGACCTTCCGAGCGCACGGCGATCAGGAAACTGTAGATGCTCATGGACCTATTTCGGGTTAGCGACGCGGGATTAATGAGCTATAACGACGACGATCCGATGACGTACGCATCCTAATTGAGGCAATCCCGTGTCAGCATCTGGAAAATATATTTGGGGTTATGAAACTCGCGTAAGACATACAATTGCGACCTTGCGGCCGAAGTGATTCTTGATCTCGCCTGTCTTGATTGCATCGGGGGCATTTTCGGAGATCACCTGGTACAGATCTGGTGGTTATTTAGCATATAGCTATGAATAAGTAGAAGTAAGCCACTTACGTTTAATACCCATTTTGACTTTGAACTGAGGTTATCTCAGGTTGAAATTCCGTGTCGGTGCAGAGGTTAAGCTTGAGCTGCCGCAGTTCGCGAACGCGCTGGGCTGGAAGCGCGACACCATTTAAGCCTAAACGGGGATAGTGCATCACATATCCACGTGACTCTATATGCCTGAAACTCTGCCTTAATATGCATGTATGCCTCAGGCGCCCAACCGGCTATGAGTAATTCGGGCCAGAACCGGCCGGCATGAAGCTTTCCCGACCCCGCCTTTATCTTCCCCGGAATGTGTCATGCGGAGGATGAGTACAGCCTCCACACCAACATGAAGCGGAATCGCATTCAATTCGATGCTAATGGCGAGTCTGTTTCTCCTCCACAATGTGCATTCACACCAGAGGATCGCCCTCACCATGTCCCGAAGATTTCGCGGCGGATAAGAGCATGTACCGAGTGTAAGCGGCATAAGGTACGCTGTGACATGAAGGCAAGTGACTCAGTGTGCTCCCGGTGCCAACGCATGGGACTAGAGTGTATTGTGAACAAAAGTCTTCAAACATTACTCGAGGATGAAGCCGAGTAAGTCTCTTGTCTTCATTGTTTACATTTGTTTACCTCTATAAGGTTGCTAATTGCGCCGGGTGCAATAGTTGGAAATCAATGATCGAATCAGCTATGACAGACTTACTCAGAAAGTCACAACTACCGGAGCTATCATATTATCAGGGAGGAGGTGGTTCGATCGAGACACCTTCGAACAAGCGAGCCCGGAAAGACTCCACCGTTTCGATCGATGATAGTAGACCTGCGCATTATAATAGAACCGAGTCGATCGACGATGCATTAAGAAATGGTACATCTTCAAGGTCAAACTATGGATTCTCCCAACAGCAGCCACGATATGCCCTGGACCGCGAGGAAACTGGCGCAGCCTCACTGGTCACAGCCCCGATGGGCAGTCTATACGAGGTGACGCAGCTCAGTGAAAACCGCGAGAGCTCGCCTGGACAACAACTCGCTCCAGATCAGGTATTAGTCACTGATCTCATCTCGCGCGGAGTGGTCGACATCCAGGAAGCGGAGGAGCTGTTTTTCCCAGTTCGACCAGGTACTCAACCGCTACCTGTGGGATGGAGCCTTGCTACCACACAAAGACTTGACATCCGTCCGACGATCATCATCAATGCTCTGTGCTGCCATCCTGGCCGTCACCGCGCTTCACATGCCAACCAAGGAACGCGTGTTTGATACATGCTATACCGAGTTCGCAAGATTAGCCTCAGAGTCCATGTTAGACCATCATCATACTTTGGATGATATCCGAGGACTGTGTATTGGAGCCTTTTGGCTTGCAGATGTTAGTTGGAAGCTCTCTGGCTATGCAGTCCGTATTGCAACGGAGCGCAATCTCCATCAGTTCTTTCGCAAGGCCACACAGGGATCGCCAGAACACTTGGAGCAGGCGAGGCTGTGGTATCTCCTCTATGTGAGTTATTATTAACGGAAAAAGATGTCATTAATTTTGCTCATACTTCTTCAGACCTTGGAACATCACTTCTCTATTGCATATGGCCGACCGCCGATGATACACGAAGATGCCAGTATCACCCAACATAATATCTTGACACAGGGTCCATCTGTATCACAAGGAGATCTTCGACTCCACAGTCAGGTTGATTTATTCATCATTCTCACTCGTATATATTTTTCATTCGGCCCTGATGTCGATGTAGAGGTCCCCGAGAGCGATTTCCCTAAGATCGATCAATACGATGTTGATATAGGGAATTGGAAGTCAGCATGGCTTCCAAGACTTGGTAAGACCTGACACCTCAACAGACCAATACCCCATCTAACAATTTCTATAGCGGGGAGCCGTTATGTCGGCGCATATCCCTACAAGGCTGTATATATGCACTATCATTTTTCTCGGCTCCAACTGAACTCAGTCGCCCTACGCACATACCACTCATCGACCTCCTCAGCAAAAATGTCATTCGAACGCAGGAAGCGTGCTAACCTAGCTGTTGAATCAGCCATTGCGACTCTCCAGGTTTGCCTGGACGAGCGAGATATCCAATTGGCACTCGTCGGCGTCCCACTATATCTCCACAGCATGATTACTTTTGCAGCAGTCTTCCTGCTCAAAATTGCCGCCAAGATTTGCTCGAATGGAGCCATCCCCGGGAGCCATGGCAAGCGAACCTCAATTGCCTCGGCAGGACTCAATGTTGACGTGAGCTATGTGCGTGTTCTTGTCGGCCGGGTCGTGGATCTCATGGTATCCTGTAGCCAGCGGGCGAGTGAACGTCATCTAAGCCACCACATCGCTCGGGGACTCCGCAAGATGCTGACGGGGCTTGAGGAATGGGAGAAGCGCACTACTGGTAGTCAACAATCCATGGGACCAAGTTCACAGGAACCTCTCTTCAAGCCAGTGGTGATTCCAGGAGCCCAGACGCTGGGTGAACGTGACACGATCTTGAATCACCCGCCTCCATTGCTTGGAGTGGCGCCGCTGTCCGCTGAACGCAGTAATGGGTTCGAACCTCCCTTGACACCGGGAAAGCAGGAGACTGGTCTGTCTGAAGGCTCGATTGATCCTATGATGGCGGATTTGTGGGGATTTGACGAGGATTATTTCCCCACAGGAGTGTTTGACTTCCTTCAGAGTCAGATGCCGGCGTGATCTACCCTGCCCATGTAGGGTTGGAATTCGTTTTCTCGATTGTTCTATTTGTACATAGTAATAGCGGCCTACGATTAACGACCATAGTTGTTGCAGTGAATATGGATAATAGAAACATAAATTTAGAACTACTAATCAAGTTGAGCTGTGATCTGAATGATTTCCCCTAGGGACACCAACCTGTGGGGCTGCAGGGATTCTAGAATGTTTGTGTTAGATGTAAAGGTAAAGGAATCTTCTCCTAAATGAACATAGATCTCTTCAAAATCAAGTCCATTTATTCAGCCAACGGGACTGCGACCTGCAACATAGTGTCCACCTCACCCTAGCCATTCTCCGATGACACACGATCCTCTTATCTGCACTTCTCCACCCATTTGTAAATTACTCGTTAGATAGGTATCAAGTGTGAAGTTTAGGAGCGAATTATATGGAAATCGGGGAAGCTAAATACGGTACTATGTATTACGCCAATACTTGACAACCGGAAGCCCTATCGCGATGCTACGGTGCGGGGTCTATAAATCAACACGGCAACGCAAAGCTGACACTCAATCCCATCAATTTTCAAACCAGCATTCTGTTCTGCTGAGAGAATTGAGGTCTTAACTCAACTTATAAAGTTCATCATGTCGTCTCTTGAGATCAAGTTCGATTGTGTGGTGCTGAATGGCACTGTTGTCACAGCCACCGACGTTGGCCGATATGACATTGGCATCAAGGATGGGAAAATCCATCTGCTTGCACCGGCTCTGGCGTTAGCAAATGCCCCTGCTTCACGTGTGATTGATGCCGAGGGAGCATATGTTACGGTATGCTTAGGACACCCAACCATCTACTGGAAAGCTTTGCTGATTCGTGAACAGCCTGGAGGCGTGGATGCGCATGTCCACCTTGCAGAACCGGAGCTATTTGGCAAAGGAAGAAGTATCGACGATTACACCTCAGGTAGGCATTTGAATCTTTAATTTGACAATGGATCCGCCATTGATACGAGTATCAACTTAGGAACTCGCTCTGCCATAGCGGGTGGTACAACTACCATCATAGCATTTGCTCCACAGGAGAAGACAAATCCATCCCTACTGGGCGTGTTAGATGATGCTCACAAGAAGGCCGCCGACAATGCATTCTGTGACTACTCTTTCCATATGATTGTCTCAAACCCAAGCCAGCAGGCACTTGATGAGTTCCCTATTCTGCGAGAACGGGGCGTTTCATCTGTGAAGATCTATATGACCTACGAGTCCCTGCAATTGCGCGATAAGGAAATCCTAGACGTTCTCCTACAGGCCAGGACACATGGTATCACTACAATGGTTCATGCCGAAAACGGAGACATGTTGTCTTGGATGACGGAGAAATTGGAGGCACAGGGGCTGCTTGCGCCGAAGTACCATGCCACTTCTCGTCCACCTCTCCTAGAGGGTGAGGCTACAAACAGAGCCATTGCGCTTGGTCAACTCATTGGAACCCCAATTCTGATCGTTCATGTATCATCTCAGCAGGCGACCGACTGCATTAGAGATGCGCAGACACGCGGTCTCCCAGTGTACGCAGAGACTTGCCCGCAATATCTATATCTGACTCGAAAGAATCTTGATCAAGATGGATTCGAGGGAGCTAAGTGTGTCTGCTCGCCTCCTCCGCGCGATGGTCCTGAGGACTTGGAGGCTATTTGGCGAGGTATGAAGAATGGTACCTTTACCATCCTATCTTCCGACCATTGTGCGTTTCTGTATAATGACGCAGAGACCGGCAAGAAATCAGCAATTACAGAAGATGCGCCACTTGGTCGTTTCCGGCATATTCCCAATGGATGCCCAGGTGTCGAGACGCGATTATCTCTAGTATTCAATCAGAACCGTCTCCGTCCAGAGCGGTTTGTTGAGCTGACGAGCACAAATCCGGCCAAACTCTATGGATTATACCCGCAAAAAGGGGCGCTCATCCCTGGTGTCTCGGACGCTGATTTGGTCATCTGGTACCCTGAATTGGATCCGTTCCCAATCACCAATTCATCTCTCCATCACGCTGCGGACTACACCCCATTCGAGGGCCATGAAGTATCACAATGGCCTCGTTATACTCTGTTGCGAGGAGAAGTGGTATGGGATCGCGATAACGGAGGTATTACTGGCAGAAAAGGTTTCGGTCAATTCCAGCATCGCACACGTAGTGCATTCTGCGAGGAACTGCCTCCCTGGGATGTCTCAAGCTTCTAGGGCAGCCCGGAGGACCGAGAATATGCCGAGCATGATTCCATCTAGCGTTCCATTTTCTATGTTGTGGCTTTGTGAGAGCGTGAACAATTATATTACTTATCTTGCCTACTTTAGGCCACACGCAGCATTAAACCGAATCCTATGTGTTATACACATATTTTGCTCTCCATACGTAATGGTGTTGAAGTTGTCTGGACCATCTCGGCGCTTGGCATACCGCCGCCCCAGTTTCGCCCCAGTTCCCACCGACAAGCCGAAAAAGTCCGAACCGGTCCAACACACGGAACCGAATAGCAATTGCTCGGAGATTTGGTCGAATCAGATTGGTTTAAATCACCTTAAATAACCGGGCCGAGTACGCTTGTTCTTGCAATTCGACCAGTGCTGATACAAGGTACATTGCATTCGGTGATTTGGTATACCTCCAACTGGAAAACTGCCGAGGTCTTCCCGCCGTTAGTGCATATTTGATTGAGCTCCCCCGCAACAATTGCTCGATAACTTTCGGTTCTCTCTCCACTCTGTACATTCTCTTGCACACATATCTCCCACTTTAGCCATGATGAATCGCTCCCTTCTCCGCGCAGCTGTGCGCTCAATCCAGGCTGGTCCTACCTCCGTGGCAGGCCGCCGATATGCCTCTTCGGCCGTCTTCAATTGGGAAGATCCCCTCGCCGCCGCCGAGTTGTACACAGAGGAGGAATTGGCTATTCAAGAAACAGCACGCCAATACTGCCAGGATAAGCTGGCCCCCCGGGTCTTGGGTATGTCTTTTGTGTCTTCTTTACTTTCACTATGAAACGGTGATCTGACGTCAATACCTCCCTTGCAGAGGCCTACCGCAACGAAGACTACGACCGTCGAATTCTACTCGAGATGGGTGAGCTGGGCCTTCTCGGTGCTTCAATTGAAGGTTACGGGTGCGCCGGTGTGAGCACCGTGGCATCGGGTCTCATCACTAAGGAAGTCGAGCGCGTGGACTCGGGATACCGATCGGGTATGTCAGTTCAGAGCTCGCTGGCCATGACCGGTATCTACGAGTTCGGCACAGAAGAACAAAAGCAGCGTTTCCTCCCAGATCTCGCCAAGGGCACACTCTCCGGTTGCTTCGGATTGACCGAGCCCAACCACGGCTCCGACCCTGGCTCCATGGAGACCGTGGCTCGCGAGCACCCCACACAGAAGGGCGTCTACCTGCTTTCTGGCAGCAAGACTTGGATCACCAACTCCCCCATCTCGGATATTGCGCTCGTGTGGGCTAAGCTCGAGTCCACCGGCAAGATCCGCGGATTCATCGTGGAGCGCTCGCGAGCCACACCAGGCACCTACGAGACCCCCGCTATTAAGAATAAGAGTGCCCTGCGTGCTTCCATCACTGGCATGATCCAGATGGACAACTGCCCCGTGCCCGCGGAGAATATGTTGCCCGATGTTGAGGGCCTCAAGGGTCCCTTCACTTGCTTGAACAGCGCCCGTTTGGGAATTGCCTTCGGCGCTATGGGTGCCCTGGAGGACTGCCTTGCCCGTGCCCGCGAGTACAGCTTGGACCGCAAGCAATTCAAGGGTAACCCACTTGCCAAGTACCAGCTTATTCAGATGAAGCTGGCTAACGCTGCTACTGATGCTGCTTACGGAACTTTGGCTGCTGTTCAGGTGGCCCGTCTTAAGGATGCTGGCAAGGCCACACCCGAGATGATCTCGATGATCAAGCGCCAGAACTGTGATCGTGCGCTGGCTAACTCTAGAACGTAAGTTATCTTGTCCCTTTTTTCCTGGTTGACCCTACTGACATTGGTATTAGTCTGCAAGAAATCTTCGGTGGCAACGCCGCCAGCGACGAGTATCACATTGCCCGTCATGTGGCCAACTTGTTTGTGGTGCAGACCTACGAGGGTCAGAGCGATATTCATGGTAAGTCATTCCTGCCTGATTGTGTTGGGCCGAGGCTGATGCATCTCCATAGCATTGATTCTGGGCCGTGCCATTACAGGCAAGCAGGCCTTTGTCTAAACATAAAAAGAATGCCTTTTGTACATAGAAGATATCCCAATGAAACGTTTTATATATCTGCCCGCAATTTTCCTAGCCACGTACTCCGTAGTCAATAAGGAGATGCCCACCAGAGGAGCGAGGGAGTGTATGATCTATCAAACCGCCGTTCCTTCCTATTTGGGCCAAGCGGGATTTTGCGGGCGCCTCACCCGCACGTGACATCATCGAGGGGCAGTGTATTGGTATTTGGCGTAATACCGATTTTCAATACAGAGGTATAGTGAGGGCTGAATATGCACATGTGCCTGGTGTAGGGAGGCAGTGCTCAATATAAGGTTGAAATATCAAATAGCATATTCTAAGATCTAGCAAAGTGTCTCTAGCTAGAGAGCACTTTACATTTAGCAGACGAAAATACTGAGGCATCTGTCCCTGGCATCCCTCATGGAGATGGCTTTACTCAACCCCGCCATATGACATACCATGGAGTTGAACCGTCACCTAGACAGCTGCTTCAAATAATGCGACAATCAAATCTGATTCAATGAACACTGAGATTCTCTCTGCTTCTGCTTTCTTCTCCATTCCATTCATAGCCTCAAACAGGGTCAGCCCTGCGGGATCATGATGTGTCAGTGTGGCGCCCGGTATTGGGCCGTACAATACGACAGAATCGATTCCGCCCACCTGGGGCACTTTTCCCCCTCTTGAGACTCTCTTCTTCCCTCTTCTTTTCCACACAAAGACGTAATCGTAAGTCGACTGACTTCCTCTCTCGCTCGATTCAATAACTGACGATCATCATCTAGTCCTTTTTTTACTTTCTGCAACTTCTCTGCACTCTTTGCTCGTCATGGCTCTCAAGCGTATTAACAAGGAACTCACTGACCTCGGCCGGTAAGCTTATCCTGATACTATCATCTGCGCTCTCATTTGAATGACTCTGACTCTTTATAGGGATCCACCCTCTTCCTGCTCTGCTGGTCCCGTTGGAGATGATCTGGTATGCACACTCGTTTCTTCGGTTGGCGCCATGTGGCGGGGCACATCTGCCCTGACCAGGTTGCATGATATCAGTAAGGGGATCATGAATGACTGACATCGAATTTCTTGTAGTTCCACTGGCAAGCGACTATCATGGGTCCTGTAAGTTGTTCTTCTCTATTCTCTGGGGGACCTTGGTGAAGGCCATCTGTCCGCAAGATCTAGAGTCATCATCGGAGTCATCATACTAATAGATATCTATAGGGCGACTCCCCATACTCTGGCGGTGTCTTCTTCCTTGCCATTCACTTCCCCACCGATTACCCCTTCAAGCCTCCTAAGGTCAACTTCACCACTCGCATTTACCACCCCAACATCAACTCGAACGGCAGCATCTGTCTGGACATCCTGAGAGACCAATGGAGCCCCGCTCTGACCATCTCTAAAGGTGAGCACTACCCTCCCTTTTCTCCTTTGCTGCACACAACTAATCAATCCATCAGTGCTGCTCTCCATCTGTTCGATGCTCACAGACCCCAACCCTGACGATCCTCTGGTGCCCGAAATCGCGCACGTTTACAAGACCGATCGGCCGCGGTACGAGGCGACAGCCCGCGAGTGGACGCGCAAGTACGCTATTTGAGTGAAACGACAAATTTGATTCCTCCTTCGCTTCTTCTGTCTTCTGCTCTCTTACCCCAATAACCCTCCTTGCGGCCCCTATCTCGCTCGACCACTTTTTTTTCTCGGTGTTATCTCAACCCTTCTCGCTCTGCATCTTTCCGCTTTCCTCCCGCTCTAGATTGAGAATGCGCGAAAGCCTGGCGTACCCATGGTCGTAGAAACGTTTTCAGTTTTTTTCCCTCCCAAACTCTGTGTTCATTTCAAAATGTTCTTTTTTTTCCCTTGCGTGCGCGGGCTTCCCTGCTTTCGTGCGTAACAAAAAAATATTCATTTGCGCCGGGTTTGTTCTTGTCTTATTGGGTTGAGTTTCTGGGACTTTTCATATCCAACGATCCTTATGACCAAATTCTCATGCATTCATGGCATCCATTCCTCTTTGTTTCAACGCTGGTTCCTGCCTGTGTTTCTAGGATTGAAATATGGACTCTGCCGAGTTTTCTCCGGTTCCTTGACTGCTTCTTTTGCTTGCACTAGGCACTTTGGACTCGGTGGGTAATGCTCGAGGGTGTCGGAGAGTAGTCTTGGGCGTGAGTGGTTCGAGATCGCCGCGTATTGTGTATCCTGTGTCTAGGGGCCTTTTTTTTTCTCTTTTTTCTTATAGCACAATCCAGGCAGGCCCGTCTCTGTGTTGGGGATCTTTCTGGGAAAGTCGTAACTTGTAATTTGGACATCGTATAGCCTGTATGGATCAACTGTAGCATCAACTTTGAACTCAATGAAATGCATTCCAACTGCCCAACTCCCAACTCCATATATATATATAGTATGTAATGTATATCTATGCAAATGCAAATCAAACCAAATTAATAATGGAAACATCCCACACCACATCTGTCGTATCGAAATATCCCCCGAAATCACACTCCGACTCGAAGCCCGAGCAAGTCCAGGAACGGAAGAGAAGGTAGGGAAGAGAGAATGCAGAAACTAATACCCAGTCCCATCCAGGACCAGACCTATTCTAGTGCATCAGCATCAAGAAACCTAATCATGCAACTTGACTTCCCCGCCGACTCCCAGCCCGAGATCCCTCGGCCTTCACCGTCCTCTGACTAGCCCTGGAAACCTGACTCACAGAATCCGCCGGCCGAACTGGCTCGTCAACTCGCGAGCTCTTGGACCGCGAGGAATGGGAGCGGTGCGAGCGGTGCGAATGCGTCGACCGTGCACCCACTTGGCTGATCGAATCGTCGGGACTGACAACCGAGTCCACGTCGAGATCGACCACGCTCTCCGGGAGAGGCACGTTGCGTGCCGAGACGTACGACTCCTTCCCCACTCCGTCCTTGCTGTGGATACTCGGGCTGGAGTAGTATGTGGCGGAGGAGCCGGCGGGGAGCGGGATGTTGCGTGCGGAGCGAGTGGACGATGCAACGCTCACGTTGTCTCTAGCTTGGCTGGCGTGAGACCGGTGCGACTGCGAGCTTTGGTGGCTCTTCTCGGAGCGGTGCGAGACGACGGACTCGTAGTCGTCCGTGCTGTGGCGACGGTGAGTGCTCGGCGCTTTGATCGTCGAGGAGCTGTGGACGCTGCTGGGAGCGCGCGACCGCTCGTCGTGGTAGCTGCTGATGAAGGTTGAGGGGGCGCAGGCGCTGCGCTGCTGCGAGGCATTGCTGGCGGGCGGGTATTCAATTGCGCGAAGAGGGATGTCCTCTGGGATACTGTAGATGCTTCCTTCTGAGGCGCGGCGGGGGTTGTCGTGCATGTACTCGGTGCCTTCGTAGATTGTGCTAGCGCGCGGGTTTTTGGAGGTCATGCTGCGTGTGAGGGTGGAGCGGGGGATTGAGGCGGTGGTGTAGGCGCTTTGTGGTGGAGGGGGTGCTTCGATTGCGCGATATTGGGATTGTTGGTCTTCATTGCCGAAGAAGGATTGCGCCGCGGCTTTGATTTGAGGGAAGTTCGAGGCGAACTGCGCGGGCGAGCGTTCCGCTTCTTCGGACCCCGATTCGCCCTTGACCATTGCGTAGGCGATGGCTGCGCCGGCGGCGGCGCCAATGAGCGTGCCGACGATGGTCTTGGCTGCTTTGGTGCCGTCATCGGCTTTCGGTGCGGGCATTTGCACAGCTTGCACGGTGTATGATGGTGGTGGCGGGGCTTGCATATGGTGGGACATGACACTTGGGGGAGAGCGCTCATAGGTTGTGGGTGCTCTGGAAACCGCGTGAGACCTGGCCTCAGATCGGACTTCAGATCTTGCTTCGGACATCGCCTCTGATCTTGCGACGGATCTTGCTTCTGATCTTGCTTCTGATCTGGCGACGGATCTGGCCTCAGACCCGGCTTCGGACCGTGGGGGTGCGACGCTCTCTGCCTTGAGAGTGCTGGCTTTGCTGACAGAAGTGGCCTTGCTGACGGAAGTAGCTTTGCTGACGGTGCTAGCCTTGCTGCTTGCCTTGGAGACCACTGAGCGGTTGGAACCCTCCAAAAGAGCCATCGTCGGCCCACTGGCTGTGGACACAGTGGAGGCAGCGCTGGGCCGGTACACGGCTTCAATGCTGTTGCCATCGAAGTCGATGACGGCAGCGCTGAAGTACCCGGAGTGCGAATCTCGCATTCTGGGTTCGCCGTGTATCTTCGCGCCGGCTTTTAGGGCGCTTATGAAGAACGAGCCGACTGCGTCTTTTGACGGGGCTGGAAAGGCGACGTGGACTGCGCCGGGAGGGGCTCTTTTGGAATAGGTTAGCTGGCTTTGTTCGAAGATCGGGGGCTTTTTTAAATGTTTGATATTTGGACTCACCCAGGCTTAGTCTCGGTCATCCAGAAATCAGCAGGTTCCCCCTGCTTCTGACCGAACCCTATATAGTCGTCATGTCTACCAATGAACTGATACCCCAGTGGCTGTAAACATGATAAGAAGAATGAGGTAGAGGTCGGAAGGTGGGAGACGGTCAGGGTGATATGCGAGACAGGCATCGTGGAGGTTGAAGCCGACGAGCTAGAGGACTAGCACGTATAGAGAGTGAAGAGTAAAGATGTGAAAGAAACGAAGGTAGATGGACAGAAAGCAGGGAAATTAAATAGACCTATGGAGGATATATACGGTGAGCGAATACCTATAAGAGACCGGAACTATGACGCCAGGAAACGAGGCCACATGAAGCCTCACCTTGAGCCAGTCATAGTAGAATGCCGCATGACTCTAATCCAGAAACAGGGGACGGAAGCAAGCTAGCAAGTCCCGAAATCCTGCCCAAGCTGGCTAAAAGGGGTCATCGCGAACACCGCATGGCTGCTCAGGCTCTGGGGCCGATAGTACGTTGGTGGACACTGGGACGTGTGATACCTGTATGGAGACCAAAGTCCAAACAAGTGGGCCACTCAGGCACGATTTGACCAAAGATCAACTGCACTGTCCAGTCCCCGATCGAAAGATCTGCAGTGTCGGGACAGTTGAAACACTGTGCCATAACGCGGCCACCGTGCAATAACGAGGCGGACCAAGGCAACCAACGTATCAACTTACCCAGTGACTGAAGGCCCAAAGGCCGAAAAGGCAAGTCACAATTGTCAGACCAAGAAACTCCTGCTCATGGCTGCTTTCGGATACCTCGGGGCCCAATTCTGCGCAAGGTGAAACGCTCTATGGCTGGAGGGGTAACCGAATGGGTCTCTGCCAGGTCATCGCGGGGAGCCAGTGTGGATTCTTGTTGGCGGATGGAGCGTCTGTTCGGGATGCCCTGAGCGACGTGCAGCAACCTACGGACATTAAGTGGGCTGGTTGCTTACTTGTTCCTTTTGGGCGAGCAAATGGCAGTCTGGCGAGTGGAGGGGAAAAGAAAATACTGCAGTTGCCCTTGGGTAGTGGTGCTGACCGCCACTAGATACTGTGTTTGAGTCACGATCTTGCAGTCTTGCAAGGTCTATTTTTGTATTTTTGTGATAGGTGAAGAATGAATTACGAGTTCACGAATGGCATTTAAGAAAATATTCTCCTCGGTGTATGGGGAGTACTCTGGACAGAGGTACAACGGTAGATGGTATAGTTGGGCGATGGGCAGAAGTGCATCTCTCGCCACCGGGTCTCCGATTCGCGAATTCAGAGTGAGGCGAGAGGGCTAATTGCATGCCACGTACCCCATAGAGGGGAGAGACTAAATATTCCCTATTACCAACCATCGTCTTACATTGTACGTGATCCCAATTCAAAAAAATAAAAAAGCCATATTTGTATTGAACACAGAAGTTGAAGATATGTGTCTCAGAGTCCAACCGAATGGCCCCCGACCTATGTGCTGTTCACTTTTTCTGGTCTACGCATCGTAACAGTCGAGGTTGAAGCTGTGTGGATGGAAGCAAGAGGGATCAAGGACTGGCGAAAAGGAACCAAATGCCATCCGACCCGTAATGTATGAGGGGAGAATCCCGGTGCTCTCTCAGCCCTAACAACCTGGGATGAAATCCCGATGCTTGGTAGCTGCCCCGTCCAGTATCCAGTATCCCAACAAGAAAACAGAGAGACAGAAATGTTGAGAGAAGTGGGCTCTTCAGAAAACGGCAGCCGAAACACCTAAACAAGAGATATGCGGATGGTACCCTCGTTTCGTGTGCAACTCAATCCCCCGTCCAAAATTCGTAGTTTGGTAAATGTGCCGCCAGGACAGGCGACAGAAACGCGCACTCTCTGGGCGCGATTTATATTTTAATGGATTTTGTTGGACTCCTCACAGGATATCCCAGACCTCTTCAGCGGCATGGCAGAACTTGCTGCAGGCAACACTGGCACTGAGACTGTAATTGCTGATACTGATGGTTTCATCCTTGAATGAATCGGCGAAGTCGTCGTGTCCCTTGGCCATAGCACCGACGAAAATAGCAATGCTCTCATTCGGCTTCAATGTTTCCAGGTAGTCCTTAGTACGGACCACGGGTGCCTCGAAACTCATGGTGACCTTGCGGCAGTTGGGCGGCAGGTGATCGGTGATTGGGTTCTTGATAACCTTCAGAAGCTTCTCCTGTGAGTTGGTGGAGCGGATGGAGAGCCGGTGGAGCAGCTGGACCATCAGACCGGCAAATCGCTTGAATGTTCTCGGAATGCGGACCGAGGGGTTCACTTCGATCAAAACACCCTTGGCAGTGTGAATGAAAATCTGGAGACGACCAGCCTTGTTCACGGGGGAATCGAGAAGGGTAAGCAGACACTACGGTGGGTTAGTTCATATTCTGGTTTGCACTGTCTCTGGCCACTGGCGATGTTGAATCGTACCTGGTGGGTAATATCCGGACGAGCTTCACTGATGTCGCGGTTCATCTTGCGCATGATACCAATGTGCTCATCACTGTTCAAGAGCGAGAACTTCTCATCCTTGGTTCCTCCACGTCCGCTCGAGACGGCCTTGTAGGTTTCCAGGCTGGCATTAGAGAGAACGACGATCAAGCGCTGAGTGTCCTTGTCGTGGGAAGGAATCGGAACATGCTGTTCTGCGACGAGCTGGGGGAGCTCTGGAGGAGGACAGGACTGAGTCCCTGGAGGCAAGACGTTAGACATTTTGTCAGGGGGGAATGCATGGATTTAGGTGCGGGGAGGGGTAAGGGGAGGGGAAGAAGAAAAGACGAATCGGGGGATGTGACGAAAAAAAGGATTAATTGGCTCAGCGATCTGTCACACGGCCCAAATCAAGATTGATCTAGAAGGAGCGTGTTTGCTGGACAATCCAGCTTTCCATGTACAGAGGATAAAAAAACCACCGGGTGTGTAGGAATAGAAGTAAGGGGTCCAACTTACTGGCACGCTTTCTCTTGCCTGCTGCTTGCTCCTGATCCGACATGATTGAAGGCGGTGTTGTTGGTACAAGGCGGTGTTGTGGAAGAAGAAAAATTTGGGAAAAAAAAGGGAAGCGGGACCCCAAAGTCGGGGAGATCCCGGACATAAAAGCGGAACGTCGGGGAACCTCGTATATGGCGTCCAGTGCAGAAACGGTGCATATTCTTCTCTCTGATACTCCGTACTCCGTCCTCCGTACTCCGTGTCTTGTACGGAGTAGCTACTGGATATTCTCACGCATTTGACTCCGGAGACTTTGCTCCATTCTATCAACGTCTATAGAGCAAAGCTGAGGTTGTTGTGGTCTAGCCTTCCATACTTCACGTACAACCCAACACGTTTGGTCATTTCTGATAAACTCGACAGGATTACTTGATGTACCAAGCTCCCCATTGGCATCTCTGTATTGAAGATCGGCATGACTCTCCGGCGGTGCCGATTGGTACACACGGAATACGGAGTCCGAAGCACGGAACCCGAAGCACGGAGCCCTGAAGATTCCAGGAGGTTCTTTGAAAACCAGCCACAGACCAAGGAATTAGCCACAAGCCTCCCGCTTGCAGACGGTTCCAATATCATATCTACAACATAGAGAGGTGTACGGAGCACTCCGTACCGAGTACCTAGCTTGTTTAGGAGACCGTCTTGTGCTAAACCACACCCGGCCAAACACTGTGAGTATTAGTACTTTTAGCATAGCGTTGTCCAGTCCAAATGGATACACAGAACTCCCTACCGCTGGACTTGGATTTGGTAAGACCAAATGATGAGGATGTGTAACATTCTCTGCATCAAGTTGCGTTGGTGACCCAGAACAACCGAATCTGACTGGTCCATGTCCAGCAATGCCTCTTCAGGGCTAGGATAGACCCGGAGGCTCCTGTCCAGTAGAAGAGAAGGGTCAGCATAGAAATAAAAGTCCTGAATGGTGCAGAGTAACTACGTCGTACAAGCTCTGTCATCAGGGCAGCAAATCAGCAAGCCAACAAATCTAAAGCTCCTGGACCAGGAGGACCTCCTTTGGGCCTGAGCTGATCTCTGAGACAAAACTTCAAAGTTGCAGCTTGCGACGCTTGTCACTGGGTCATGATTCTGGACGCTGTGGTCCGCAGAGCGACCGGGATGCATGTGTGTCATTGTACCATCGATGTAGGATCCAACACTATGTGCTCAGTTGTAATCATTGCAAGATGACAGGCCGAGAGCCAAGAATGCAGTCGCCACCGAGGCAGTACTGTGAACTCTATGTTGTATGCTGCATGTAAACCCATGCACAGTGAAATCCGGGGGGCAACTAGGCCTCCCATATTGAGTCAATGGGACCTCGTAATCTGGATAAAGACTGCAAGCCAATCACTGGACGATGTTTGTGATCTCTCTCGGGTCTTGACCCAATCAGCACGGCATAGTTCGTGTTGGCACCCAGCGCCCCGGTATATTCCCTGTGGGAATTAATGAAAATAGATCAAATGATGGTTGTGAGCTGCGACCTGTAACCTGTAACCCGTACTCCGTAGGCGCTGAGCATTAAGACGCATCAGAGCGGTCAATGAAGATCATCACAATCCCAACGTGCGTGTCCTTGTACAATGCAACCCGGAGAGGGCCTTACTGGTCATGGCCTCAAGCCTTGCTCGTCTTGGCAAAGCGAAGGCCAGGGGGCTCATCAGAGCGTCATCTTTAATCTCCCGACTTGGTTGACCTAGCCCATTGCAACTAGATAGTCCTATTGGTTGGAAATCGAGATTGGAGCCTGTCTTGCAAATTGGGTGTCTTTGGATTGTAAGAAAGGGGGGGCAAAAAAGAGGGTAGTGCCCGACGTTCAGCATACCAACCACAAGAATTTGACTGAAGGCTGGAGGGGTGATTTTGTAACTTCACATCTTCACACACATTGGACACTCATTTGTCCGATTCATTCTTCTTTGTGGCCCGGTACTAATCCCGGGAAGTGGCGAGAGTGTCTCCTTTTTTTATTAAACCCCCCTTCAGCTCTCCACCAGATATCAGACACCAGACTGTTGATCAATTCCAACTCCGATCATCTTCTCATACCTCCAACAGATTCCCAAACAAACCATCTAACCCGAAAAGAAAAAAAGAAAACATCCGAGCAAGGGATAAAGCTGGAGGTAAGCCAACGTTAGCCACCCAATCGAAACAATATGACCTAAAACAGACTAGCGTCCAGCGCGTGCCGTCACCAGCTCAAAGTGGACTTTCTCAACTTCTTCATCCCACCTTGAATGTCTTGAAATTTTTGGAGAAAAGTCAGGGTCATGCCGTGGACAGTTACCAATTCATTTAAGAGGTATGTGCTATTCAATGCAAGATGGGTGCTGTCTACTAACACCCCCACTTCAGAGGCCTTATGAAAACTTACGGAAGACCGACATGGCGCGTCTATGACGATGAGCGCGCTGCGAAGAAAAGACGCGTGGATGATTCCGACGAAGCGGAGGCCAACTTGCAATATGCCATCCGCGAGTCATCAGCCGCCGTGCTGTCGAGCCCGTCGCGTCGCAACTCTATCGTGTTGTCGGAAGGCACGCTTGACGATATCGACGATCTCACCACACCACCCTCATCGCCACCACCACATCTATCCCCACCGCCAGCAAACACCCGCAAGCCCACATTTGCATTTCTCAAGCGCAAGAAGGATGCGCCGGCTGGATCGCCCCTGACAGAAGTCAACTCGAATAGCGTGCGCTCATCCGTGGATCCGCCTAAGCCGAAGGGCCAGAAGCAACCGGTTATGCGTCAAATGCAGATTGATTTGGGAAATGACACGCGAAAAGCATGTGCCACCTGCGGCATGGAATATATCCCGTCAAATACGGAAGACGCGGCATTGCATAAGAAGTTTCACGAGATGAACGCGACTGGGATCGATTTGGGCAAGGCCTTTATGCGCGCGAACGCCTCGCGCTGGGTCTACGAAGCGACTCGGTTTGATGAGGGCTATGTGGTGATTGTCGATCGCAAGGCATCCCCCAGCGCGAAGAGCCAGGCGAAGAAGGTCCTCGAAGTCGTTAATAAGGAGCTCTCATCGCCAGAAATCGACGATGAAACCCTTTGGAGTCAAACGGAACCGCCCAAACATGTACAGGATGGCCCGACGGAGAAAGTAGATCGGTACCGGGTCTTTCTGCATATGAAGGACAGCCGCTGTGTCGGACTCTGTTTGACCGAACGCATCTGGGAATCGCGACCGGTACTGAAGGAACAGAGTGGCGATGCACTCAACGGTTCCTCTGTCTCCACGCGAGATGAAATCCGCCCGGCCATTGTCGGGGTCTCTCGCATCTGGACCTCCGGATCCTCACGGCGAAAGGGAATCGCTTTAGATCTCCTGGACTGCGTGGTCATCAATTTTATTTACGGCATGGAAATATCCAAAGCACAAATCGCATTTAGCCAGCCCACGGAGAGTGGCAAGCGTCTGGCACATAAGTTCTTCGAGGACGAGGAGACATGGCATGTCTATAATGAGCGGTGACAGACTTGAATATGGGAGGTTATTGTCTTTTTTTTCCCCTGTCAACAGCAATGGGTTCAGCATAATCGGGCTTTGATTGTACTTCACTGGAGAGCGCCTTTTATTTCTTTTATATGCTTTTGTACCATACCTGTACCCTTTCCCTCTGTATAATAGGGATTCGGGATGCCTTCGTTTCAATATTCCAATTTGACTGATCGATTTTAATCATTTATATCAAGATTACGGGTTCTATTCAGAATACAGCCTCTCGGGGCTGCCGGACGCTTCGATCGGAAAGCGGCGCCTAGGGAACCTCATGGATAAGGAACTCGGCGGGGGGGGACCCCTCAATCTTCTCTTTCCATCTCTCTCATGTCCTCACGTATCCAATCTCGCGATGTCCGGATCAAATCCTTTTCGCGTTAGAAATCTAGGTCGGTCGTCTTGCCCCTCTTCCTCTCATTGACTCTACCCGCCGCTTCCCATGACACATGAGCAACCCTTCCCATTTCCCAGCATAATGCTAATGAGTTGGTGGAGTAGGCAATCCCACAGATTCAACAGTATTGCCTAGCAAGAGCAGTATTGTTCCTGTCTTGCCCTCCCAGCCTCTATCCGCTCCACCCCTAACCCCGAGCGGCTACCCCGGGAAGTCCTCGATCTCCCTCGAACGCGCGCTGAATGACTCGAGCTCCTCGGACGAAGAGGCAAACCCCTTCAATCCAGACTTATCTGCAACCGACAGTGAGGACCAAATCACAAAGTCTGAGAGTTCGGCTTCTCGCGAGAATGATCGACCACGGCCATCTTTTGGGTCAGCTCCACATCGAGCTCCATCAACAGATGGATCCTCTATATCAACCGACCACAACTTGCGGTCCGCAACAGGAGGTTTAGAAAGCCCTGAGCACATAACACGCGCTACGTCACAGCCATCCTCAGAGTTTGACGTAACCATCTCTCTGGGCAGAGCAAAAGACAAGAAGCCGCCGCCTCCTCCCAAGAGCCATCACGGCCGAAGAATCGGCTCTACAGCTACCGCAGAACCCCCCCAGGCGGCCCGGTCCCGCTCTAATAATCGCCTGTCTATTCATAGCTCTCCTGGGAATGTGACGCCCGGCGCTTTGCATCCTAGCTCAGTGTCTCTGCCGGCAGCCGCGGACTACTTCTTGGCTCCAACAGAAGATCAGAGAGCGACGGGGTCAACAGACTCGCTTCAGCGCAGCCAGTCTCAGCATAAGCGACCTCCGACACCCCCTCTCAGTCGACGACACAGCCAGATGCGGCGATCTAAGTCTACTCAGTCCAAACCTAGCAGCCGATTGAGCATGTCGTATGATTCGGAGAGCAATGATAGCTCCCGACCTCCTAGTCCTGGTCCTTCCAGCCGAACCCTTGAAAGAAAGAGGATTAGCATGCCTCCGCCGGCATCGGGGGACTTCCATGGGATGTCACCATTGGGAGATGTTTCATTGAACCTGTCTCCCACAACTGACTCCAGACCATCATCACTGAAGGCTGGGCGACGTGTGTCGTCTTATGGGAGTGTACCTGCCAGCTCTGGACCGCCTCCACCGCCACCGCCTCGACGAACTCGAGACTCCATTGCACGCAGTAGTGATCTGATGGGCTCGAAAGAGAACCAGACACCATCCCCACAACCATCCAATGCCCTTGATATCCTAGCGGATCTCACGAGACTGCAGAAAGAGGTGGATGACCTTCGTGGACATTATGAGAATCGGAAAATTGGCTAGTGGTTAAGGAAACAGCAGGCTGTTTTCTTCTCAACGTTTTGGCATAGGCAATTGTATACATGAATGAATGAATGCATGAATTTGGCGTAGCGTTTGCCATGATCTGGTCTCATGGTCAATTTCTTTTTGTGTTTTCTTTTCTAATCATGACCATCAGAACGATCGGCCACTTACGTCGCCTCTGGCCTTGACAATGTTCACGGGTAGAACTTGACTCTGAACATCTAGTTGGTTTGAATAGAGAATACCTACCTAGATAATTGTGTGAGATATGTAGGAAAACTGTCTAGGCAATACTATAATATCTATTTTTTTGTCTCGTAACGGTGCACGCTGTAGCCCAAAGGGGGAAATAATTGGCGCATGCAACGTCCAATACTTTCTCTCGGAGCCATGACGTCGGGGCGAATTATCGTCTCTCCTTCTCTTTTCTTCTGTCTCTCATCTCTGCACAAATTCTTGACTACTTGATTCTCAGACTTATTGAGCTCAATCAATCCTCTTCATCTTCATACCTTCCCATCGCCATGACTACTCCCACTTTGATCAACTTGCCTCCTCCCCCATCGGACCCTGTCACTCCATCGGATATGGGACCGTAAGACCTTTCCATAACTCTGTCTTCCCTCGTGTAGATAGATTATATAGAACATGGTTGACTGACTTGGTTGGGGAAACCAGAGGCACTCCCAACTCCGGCACGACATCGCTATCCGCTCTGTCGACAACAGCTATCAAGGACGGCCACCAGGGTCAACCGTTTCCCCACAGCCGTCATGCCCACCAATCGTCCTCAGCTTCCACATCTTCTACCACAACCCTAGAGGCTGAACGTGCAGACCGCATTTCCCGGCTAGCGGGCCTTGAGCGTGTCGCCACAGCCCGCGCCGGTGGCCAAACGTCTTCCAGCCATGTGCCGCAACCGTATGCGCCAGGGTACTTTGAAAGCCAAATGCTGAAAGAACGCAGCACGGTCGGTAGTGCCAGCGCGACGGGCAGTGTCGCCGGACGTACGACCTGGGCAAGTGGCAGCGACGCATACGACGCTGATAAAATGAGCGAGGACCACGAGGATGACGGCACTTCCAGCATCGGCAACATCAGTGATGAGGGGAATGCCAGTTTAGTTGGATTTGGTGAAGGTGCCAATAGTACCATCAGTGGACCGACCTCTCGCCCGTCCGGATTAAACCGCATCTCTTCTGGAGGAGTTGGTGCCCGGCCTACTTCCCTGGGTTCAAATGCCAATCGCCCCAACCCTCTATCTTCCTATCTCCAGCAACAACAGTACCATGCCGGGGAAAATTCGATGATGTCACCTTCGCCGGCTGGGTCGATGACCCCCGAGCCTTTGAATGACGATGCTCGCATGCTCGATGGAATGACTTTCGACTCGGATGTCGTTGATACGACTGCCAGAACCCCACGGTTGGCCACCCCTGGTCACAATACCAATGGGTTTGGCTCGCCAGCCCGGGACTAAGAGGGTTACGGGGGTTACGGGTGGTAGATCAAGAGATTACGATGGCGTTTTTTTTCCCTTGAGTTACTCGATGTCTCAAAATGAGGGTTCCTTTTCTTTTTGGTCCATTTGAAGTATCAATAGCAATGCATGTATTTCTACGCAGGAACAAGAAAAACAAAAGGCCGTGTATACCGAGTTGAGTGTGTCTGGGTCTGGACTGTAGCGGACGTGATTGGGTCTTCCCCCTCCAAAGACCTTGCCCACGTTGCCACTATGTCGACGTTGTATATACGCAAACACCAAATAGATAGAGACTATCTCGGTAGATTAATACCTGTAAGCTGTAAACCCCATCCCTTAGAAACAAAAGCCGAAGTGGAAAAGAAGCGTGTATAGCAATCGCGTTATGACGCAGATATGCCGCCCTCAGCCACTTCAACTTGAATTTTCTTTCTTTCACCTCTTCAACCTCTCCAACTACCTTCTTCGCCCCGACCTCTTCTTGCTGGCATTGACTTGTCTAGCAGTCTTCTATTCCGTTCAATTGACTTTCTGTTTTCTGCCCAGAACCTCCCCAGAGAAATACGAAATACGAAATACCTTCACCTTTCGCCTTTGTTCGACTCCCGTTGTTTGTCGGTTGTCCACTGCGAGTTAGATATTTTTGGCTCTCAAGGTCGCTTTGTGAGACGTGTTTCTTCCTAGAAGAACTCATTCTATCTTTTCTGTTGGAAAAGCATTTGGTTTCTCTTCTTTTGGTGGATTCTTCTAGACCTGCGACTCGAAATCAAGATGGCAGCTCCTACGCAACTTGCTTGTATGTTTCTTCTTATTTCTAATGTTTGCCACTCGAGGTCACATTCGTCCTTGCGAGGGGATGAATGGTTGCTAATTGTCGCACAGTCCGCACGCTCAAGGGCATCGGCCTTATGGATGCCGCCCCCGTCTATGCGCCCCTCTCTGGGTTTGTGAAGTGAGTATCGGGCAGGAGAATCCAGAGAAAAATTTTGCTAACTCGATTTTCTAACTAGACCAGAGGGCAACCTCCGCTGTAGCGCCTACTCGCCGTGTGGCCGGTACTACGCATGGGCATCTCCCGAGAAGTAAGGCAATTTTCCTCGATTTCCCGTTCACAACCAGATGCTAATTATTTTTTCTTTCTCTTACAACAGGGTCACCATTATCGATCCTTCCGTTGGGCTTATCGTTAGCACCATCCCCGCCGAAAATGTGTTCGAGCTGGGCTTTTCGCCACTCGGCACCTACGTGATTACCTGGCAACGCACGTCTAAGGACGAGAACGGAGACGCCGTCAAGAACTTGAAGGTCTGGCGTGCCATTGAGGCCGGAGACGAGCACTCGGTCGTGGGTAGTTTCGTTCAGAAGTCGCAGACCGGTTGGAACTTGCAGTACACCGCGGACGAGCGGCTGTGCGCCCGCACTGTGACCAACGAGGTCCAGTTCTACCAGAGCGATAACCTGTCTACCGTCTGGAATAAGTTGCGCGTGGAGGGTGTTTCGGACTTTGCGCTTTCGCCTGGTCAGACCCAGTCCATTGCTGTGTTCATTCCCGAGCGCAAGGGCCAGCCTGCGCAGGTTAAGGTATTCATTGTGCCGCAGTTCTCTGCGCCTGTGTCCCAGAAGAGCTTCTTCAAGGGCGACAAGGTCCAGCTGAAGTGGAATGCTTCGGGTACTACCTTGATTGTGCTTGCGCAGACTGAAGTGGACCGCACTGGCAAGAGTTATTACGGCGAGACGACCCTGTACTTGCTTAGCGCCAGCGGTGCATTCGATTCGCGCATTGATCTCGGTATGATTTTTTTTTTTTCGCTACTCTGCTTGTTGAATCCAACTAACAATCAACAGATAAGGAAGGTCCTATTCACGATGTTAGCTGGAACCCCAACTCGAAGGAGTTCGGTGTTGTGTACGGTTACATGCCCGCCAAAACGACCATCTTCAACTTCCGTGGTGTGCCCAAGCACACCTTCCCTCTCGCCCCTCGCAACACCATTCAGTTCTCGCCCCACGGCCGCTTTGTGCTGGTTGCCGGTTTCGGAAACCTGGCAGGACAAATGGACCTCTACGATATGGACAAGAACTACCACAAGATTACTACTGTTGAGGCCTCCAACGCCAGTGTGTGCGCCTGGTCGCCCGATGGACAGTACATTTTGACTGCGACGACCAGCCCCCGCCTGCGTGTTGATAACGGTGTGCGCATCTGGCACGTCAGTGGTGGTCTCATGTACAATGAGGAGATGACCGAGCTATATGATGTTACCTGGCGCCCCCAGAGCATCGACCAGCACCCGCTGGGCGAGCCGCTCACCAAGTTGCCTGTGCCCCACCCCTCCGCCACTGCCTACATGGGTACGCGCAAGGCTCCTGTCAAGCCCGCAGGTGCTTACCGTCCCCCTGGTGCCCGTGGCCAGCTGACTCCCCTCGCATTCAAGCGTGAAGATGAAGGCGGTGCCGCCTTCGTCCGCGATGGTGTTCCTGGTGCCAGCATGAATGGCTTCGGCAAGCCGCGCCGCCGTGAGATTCCCGGCGCCGAGACCGTGGAGGAGTACCTGCCCCCTGGAGCCGCTCCCGGTGGCGGCGTTGCCCTGCCTTCCGAGAACCTGTCCAAGTCCGCCGCGAAGAACAAGAAGAAGCGCGAGGCTGCTAAGAAGGCCAAGGAAGAAGGAACCGATACTGCTCCTCCCGCTAACGCCCCGACTGGTCCCAGCTCTGACCGTAACCGCAACCGCGGCAAGAACGCCGGTGCCGTGAATGGAAACGGTGCCGCCAAGTCTGCCCCAGCCTCGGCCCCTGCCCCCGCCCCTGCCCCTGTTCCCGTTGAGGATCCTTCTGCCCAAGATAAGAAGATCCGCGGCCTGTTGAAGAAGATTCGCGCTATCGACGAGCTCAAGATGCGTCTTGCTGGTGGCGAGAAGCTCGAGGATACCCAGATGAAGAAGATCCAGACCGAGGATGCTGTGCGGAAGGAGCTCCAGGCTGTTGGGTATGACGGTTGATAGCAATTGAACAGATGAGGATGTGTGATGCTTGATGACGTTGATGCAAATTGCACCTGCATGAATATACTTAGATCGACCTGCATGTATGCATCTGGTATAGGAGCCGTTCAGTTGACATCGATATCATTATCAATATCAATACCACTCACTATCAATATGGACATCACTGGCATCTGAATCGTATTCATAAAACATCCAAAGTAGCTATATACAAAATCCATTTAAAACACTAAAAATCTACAGTCCTAACAAGAAATCCCAAGTAACCCTATCTCCCAACCTCATTTAGACCGAGAAAACTCATCTTCCACACCAGCCAACCGTTCAATCCCCATCCTCTCCCAATTAGCCCTCCACCACCAAACCAACGTCTCATCCAAGCCCGACAAATCCCCCTCCTTGACTTCCTCATGCCAAGGCTTCGTAGCAAAGATATAATGCACAGCACGAGCCTCAGCATCCTCCCAAATGGGATCATGCACGCCCTCTATCCGCAGCGTCTTCAGCGCATTATACACATACGGCAGCGCCACCCACCGGCCCTCAAATACATCCGACAACAGCTCCTGATCCGGGAAGATATACCGCTCGATCCGCTCCGTCTCCTGCAGCGCCGAAGTAATCTCTTCATACACGCGCGCAGATGGCCGCACAACCAACACGCCGCTATTCAGCATCCCAACACCGGATTCCGGCAGCGGTGCCGTGCGTTGCGCTTCAGCGGGCATATCATGCTGCGTTGTGTAAGCGCAGTTTGAGGGAACCCTGGTATAGATATTAACATTTGTATTCGGGGTCTCGTGTCTGTGGAGAAACATACCAATCGGCAGGATAATGCGCCTTCTTCATGGGGTTACAGGCGCATGCATGCGCCGCCGCGAATACCCTGTTCCCCTCGGCGTCGCTGTCGAGCGGCAATTCCATCAGCTCGTCCATGTTGCGGCGGACGAGGATGTCGCCGTCCAGGAGGACGACGCGCTCATACTGCTCCAGTGAGAAGGCAATGAGTTTGTTCCATGTTTCGGCGAACCGCGGATCTTGCGTGTAGGTGCGCGTGCTGGCGGGTGTGACGTTGGGGACCCATTGGGCTTGGATGCCGCGGCTTTCGAGGGCTTTGAGGCCTTCTGGGGGGAAGGTTGAGGTGTATAAGGCTACGAAGGGGTATTTCGTGCCTTCATTTGCTGGGGATGTAGTGCTCGGGTCTGGGGATGGGTGGTTGAGGGAGTGGTGGAGGGTGAGCAGGCCTGGGAGGTAGGACATATTTGTGATAAGGGAAGCCCATACTGATTCGAGGGCGATTGTTAGTTCTGAGCTCTGTGTTTTTTTGGGAGGGTTGGGGGGTTTGGCTGAAGAACTCACTCCGCTTGGGCGGGGAATTTTTTAGGTGTTGTTGCGTCATAGTTGATATTGTCCCGGTTGCGATGGGAATTGCGACTGGGACTGCAATTGAGGTTAGGGATTGAAGAGTTCTAAGAGTTGAAGGGTTGCAAAGATATAGGGAAGTAAAAAAAAGAGAGAGAGAAGCACGATGGCGGGATGAAGGCTGTAGATTGTGTTATCGCCCCTCCGATGCGCGGGGCTCGGATTTATAAGGGAAGGCGGTGCGAAAGAGATATGGAATAGCATGTGGGAATAGCTTCATCTGTCTATCCTAATTCGAATACAAATATGGTTAGGTCTTTCCTTCAAGGTCTCCAACCTGCACACCCCAAACCTGCCACTTAGCATCATCAACGAAGTCCCTCCGTAACCACAGCCCGGACGGCTGGACTTGCGCCGAAGACATCATCTGTCTAGCCAAGAGATAGTCACGTTCATCACCGGGCTGAGTACGATCCAACCAATCAAATAGCAGTCGAAGTTGCCAGATCCGATCGCGAACTTGATCCGGGTCGGCGCCACGGCCGCGCGCAGATTGCACGATGTTGCGCACGGTATGGGATAGAGAAAGTCTCGCGTCCACAGCCGAGGTACGCAGCCAAGGTGGCACAGAGACAAGATCGGTGGTGATGCGCGTAGAGCGCATCGGGAAGGAAGACGGGAGGACGAGGGAGCGCTCGCGGATGTCGAGGCCTTGTAGTGAAGGGAGGTGGAAAACCCAGTCCCAAGGGTTTTGGGAGGGATTTGTAGCTGCAGATGGCTTGCCGGTGAGTATAGCGGCACGGGCTGGCCATGCCGAGGGTGGGAGGCCCTTGCTTGGGTTTAAGAGAGGACCGGCGATTGCGGGAAGTATGTCTTGGGCTTCGCTGAGACCGGTCAAGGTGGAAGCGAAGACGGAGGTCGAGGAACCCGTTGGAGCGTAGGTCGCTTTGCGGCGCAGGTAGACGGATGGGTCGCCGCGTTGGAATTTCTCGCGCAAGGCATCATTTTGGCTAAAGTCTAGAACGAGTGGCCAGTGGTCTGGCCCGCGGATCTCGACCCGAGCGATGTTGTTAAGATCTGGGAGTATACAGGGGGCGCCGATAGTGCGAGTGGATTCGTCATGGGATATTATGGTAATAGGGATGGATATTGGGCGACGAGTATCAAGATCACGAGGTATGAGACATCGTGGTTCGGCGGCAAGAACCCAAAGATGGCGGAAGGCTTGGAGATGGCACTTATTGTCCAGGACAGTCGTTGGGAATATTGGGTAAAATGCGCAGATGAGCGAGGCCACAGCGCGATTGGATGTGCCAAGTGTATAGCTACCTCCTCCAAGGAAAAGTACTCCGATAGCCATGTGTGCCGCCATGTGACTGCCATATGGCGTGTCAGCGTCGATTCGGCCATGAAGGGAGCGCAACCGCCGGAACAGAGCTAGATCACCCGTGCCAGCCATGACTGCCGCAGCTGATAGGGCTACTACATCTTGACAGTTCCGAACCGAGTTGCGCGCGAGTCTTGAGTCGTAGCTCCGCACAGGCAACCGCGATATGCGAATTAGCTGGTCTAGATAGAACAACAAAAGATCTCGTGCTTGTGTGTGCCCCGATCCAGCATGGCGGAGTCCGAGGGCGAAGCAAAGACCTGCAATAATGTTGAAGAGGGGCATATCTTCGCTGCGCAACCGGCGTACATCTGTGAGCCGTGATCGTCCTTGGTAAACCTCGGGCAAACTCTGGCTGATCCACTCGGCAGTAGGCTTGATACTGTCCCACATGATGAGGTGTCGTGCCAGTGTTCGTAACAAGAACAGATCTGGCCGAACGTAATCAAAGCGAACGGTGGTATCAGGGATATCAATCTTCTTGGCTAGCACCGAGTCGTTCGTTTTCATGAAAATGATCATTAGCGCAATGGTTGCGCCAGCCGTGGCACGGTCAAGAACATGAGCAATTTCAACGTTCTTGGTCCCAACGGCGATTGATAACAACCGTTCAACGATGTGCATGTCGCGCATGCCCCGCAAGTCATCGCCTTTCCCAAGGTTAATAAAACCAAGAGCAAAGCCTGCAGCCAGTCGGTATCCTTCGTCCCGGAGTTCTTCCCCGCTAGCAGTGGCAGCTTGATCGTCCTGTTCACTGTTTTCAATCTCCGAGAGCATGACCTCGCTCATACGACGATGCTGGGAGCCACAGTAAAGTAAGCCAATGCCCATGATTCCAGCAGTTTGCGTCAATGGCGACAAGTTCAGCTCAGCTGCTCCAAGTGGGAGCATTCTTGTAACATGTACTGAGAGCAAACGTGTGATAAGGGTATCCATCGTTCCCAAGTACGATGCAGAGAGACCGAGCAAGAGACCAATAGATGTCATGGTATGCTTGGGAGTGAGATACTTGAAAGCAACCCACTTGGCCAACGATTTAAGGTGTCCATTCAAACCTAGAGCCAGCAAGAATCCGGCATGTCGATTGGTAAGATCCTGTGGTTTGTTAAACAAGATCCATGAGGTATCAATGCCCTTGGAAGCCTTGGAGATTGCTAGACCGGTGGATACTCCGTTGTGGAAGAAAGCCCAGCAAACCTTCTCCTCCGAGAATGCAGATCTGTCCGCGCTGACTGTCACATTGTCCGGCTTCATAACACACTGCAGGGAAAAGGACGGGATGGGTAGTTTCTCGGTCAGCAGAGGCAATCGACCACTGAAAGCGAGCATTGCACGGCCCGCAGGAGTAGACAAAGTTCGAACTGTCACAAGTTGCACAATCTCTTTCTGTGCCTCTAGCAAGTCAGAGTCACTCCAGCCAGGCTCGGCAATGCACTCTGCCACAGGTGCTTTGGACTGGTTGAGTAGTTTGAATGCTTCATGGAATCTCTTGTCCTCTCGGAAGATCAGCCTGGTGACCGAGTATCGGTCCGCCTCTGCAGAGGCTTCGAAAGCGTTGATGGCATCGATGTCCAATGCCGAGCTGCTGATTAGATGGAAATCACGGATGGCGTTATGGTTGAGCTGCTGTGGTACTGCCAATGTATTGGTCTGGGCAGGATTCATCGACATGTAGAGATCCTCTCTGTCTATCAGCTCTAGGAGCGTCGCATTCCAGGACGTGCATGCTTCAATCTGGCATTGCATCACTGCTTCATAGAGCGGTGCACTGACACCTTCTGGGAAGCTATCAATTATACTTTTGGTGAACCCCCAGCGCTGCAAAAGCTTGATCTTTTCCAGAGGCGTTGATACACTGTGAACCTCGGCGAAGAATCCGTTCAATGCACAAGTCCTTGGTGTGATACCGAAACACTCGCGCCACATTCGCCCTTTCCTGGGAGTTCGCTCGGATGCATTCACGATATCGAGGAGAGAGACAAATGGTGTGGGGCTTCGGTAAGCAGCAGCACTCATGAGAAATTCGAAGATTGATGGAGGCGGGAAAGGTTCATCAGGGACCTTGAGCCCGGAGATATGGGTGTTATCCTCGAACTGCCAGCGCTCCATACTGGCCATTTCGGTGCCATAGTAAGCATCTTCGGTCCATTTCCAGGACTCCCACCCTAGCCAACTGCCTAGTTGTGCGAGAATAGGAGCAAGCAAGCCCAAGGCTTTTTGAGAATCCTCCGAGTCGCAGATCGAGAGTTTCTGTTCTTCACGCAATAGATGCAATGCCACGAGGACACTACACAATGTGGTACACCTTGTGTTCTCGGAGAATGCTTCAGAGATGGGAAGGTAGCCGTCACTGCCGGCAGCCCTAAGGCCTTGAGGGCTTTGGAGGAATTCGCGGCTGAGGGCGATGCATCGGACCAAGTACGAATTCTGACGGCACGTGGACCGGCTTGTGTTGCCTCCTTTAGGTGCATTCCCTGCCGTGCGACTCTCGATTGCATCTTGTTCAACGATCCATCCCCAGGAGCTGTCCATCATCCACGGAGCTACGACACCGGATGAGCCAGATTCCAGGTCCAGCATGGACTCCCAGCTTTCTAGGTCCACATGTCCTCCACTACTGGATCTAAGTAGACCCTTCCTGCGACGGGCTCGTTTAGGGGCTTGAGTTTGCGGAGGGGTGACGAATGGGACTGCCAGACTCAAAAGCACGATAACCATGGCGGTCCACTCGACATTTTTTTCCTCCTTGGCCTGAAGCCATTTAATGACTTCCCACCACGCGACCATAATGCCATCGCCGGCTTTTTCAGAGTCACGCAAGGCAAACTTGCAGATCTTGAGTATCTTTTTCACGAGCTCGTTACGAGGCTCCATTCGGATTTGAAGCCTATGGCGTTTGTTATCGGCATCGACCAGATCAATCTTGCCGCGAGAGCAAGCATGATCAAGTTTGTTGAAGACGAGGTCGGGATCTGCCATGACCCGATGGACACCACTTTCCCTCGGGCGGCTCTCGAGTTTATTGGCAGAGATGCCATCCGGCTCATAAAGCTGTAGCGGCACAGGAACCTCAATATTGACTGGGCTTCCCCATAAGGTCTGTAACGATAGCTCGCGGTGTCCCTTTTCCGGTTCACTAAGCGACAATATTCGTGATATCTCCCCATCAGAGATCTTGCAAGCATCCAAGATATTTGACATTGTTTGAATCCTCACTGCACGAACGAGTAGCGAGCGCTGCTCAGTCGTCTTGGACTTCTTCTTCCGGCCTTTATGGTGTGGTTCTCGGTCAGCTCTTAAATTCACAATAGTTAGTTTCTGCGATTCTTGATCCACTAAGTATACAGCCAAGGAAGCTGTATTACTCTTTTGTGCGCTTCCAAAGTCGGTAGACGCTAAAGTAGAGACCTTTAGTCGGCGGGACGGTAGTTCTTTTTGGAAAGTGCCCGAGAATTGGGACGAGAAACTTTCAACCTTGCTCAACAGAAGTTCTTCTGGGAGTCCAGACGCCGATTCGCGTAGGGCAATATTCTCGAACCCGGAAGATAGACTGTCACTGTTGAGCTCTTCCAGTAGCTTGTCCACCGGAGTATCCAGAAAGCTACCTGCATTGCTGTAAACAGAGCCTGTGCCCGGAGGCAGGGAGCCTCGAGGGTTGAAGCCAAAGCTTCCACGTGCGCTGGCTGCCCCTATAGACTGCCTAAATCCGGCACCGTGAGGCAGTGTGTTAGACTGGCTGCCAGTGGCTAGATCCGAAAATGTGATGCGGTCCTGGCTAATTGCAAGGTCTGTTCGGGCGAGCAATGAGCTGACTCGTCTTGAGGCTTTGAGAGGAACACCAACGTCTCCGAAGTCCTGGGCTACTCTTGAAGCTAAATCATCCTCAAGATCTGTCTTTCCCTCAGATTGCTGGGTAGAGGGCCAGTTGTCGGTCCAAGGTCCAAAGCTCTCTCTGGCTCCAGAGCGACCTGCCGGTGTCGTTGCACCAGTTGCCATACCGAAATGTGAGCTTCGCCTGACTGATCGAGCACCTCCTGTTTCTCGTCTGGTTTTATCTTTCATTGAGCCACCTGATTCATCATCTTTGTAGCGCGCGGTCCAAATTGTATAAATCCCCGTGGTTGTGTTGACAGTGACCACTAGAATCAAAGGGGCACTGGTTGGTCGGCTAATTCCTAGAAGTTCGTCCTTTGGGGAGATATACACAATTTCATCCACAGGATCCAACACTTCTAGTCCAGATGGTCTTCTTCTGGTGCTATTGACGCCGCCCTGGAGCCACCGGGAAGTTTGCGATGTCACAACCAGACCCATCTCTGAATGAGGGTTGATGAGGGAGAAGATTCGGGGTAACTCGGTGGTTGAACTAGTATTTGGTACCCAGGAAGGACCTGAGGTAGCTGACGCTTTCGTCGATGGACGCTTATTTCTGCTGAGAGAAAAGGACTGGGAGGCTCCGGGGTCGAATAGCGAAGCAGACATGAAGGAGTTTGGTGGCACAGTTGGTTGTTGACGTCTCCCATCATTGTCCTGGACCTTTCTTTGGAAAATGAGACCTCGAGGCGTGGCAAAAACAGATTCAACTTCAAATGGAAGAGGGATTGTATGGCTATTGCCCGCAACGAAGAAGATATGAGCTTGCGATTTGAGTACAACAACCAAAGCTCTTGAGAGACTCTCGGTGGATTGCTGCGGAGCTATAACCGACACTCGTGCATCTCCATGCAGATCCAATGTTGAAAGAGTCTCAGTCCGTTTTGGCTTTTGTGTACCAGTGGTTGTTTCTGACCGACCTGGTCCTATATCCTTGTGTTTGATGTCTCCAGCTGCAAATCGAGTGAAGAGAGCATGTCGAATCTCTTCTTTCTCGGGGTCCATTCGAAATACTCGCTTCACCATCCCTGCGCGGGACCATACAACACAGTGCTTCGTCCATACCAACTCATCGTCCACGGGCCCAGTCAATCCACTTTCGTCGACGCATATCGTCCATTTGTAATGATTTTCCGAGGGCTCGGCTGGAATGATTCCCTCTGCGACTAAAAAGGTGACGGCCGAGGGTTCGTGGACGCCCAGAGAGCGAACTGACGCCATTGTGGGTTGATTAAAAGCCGGGATAGCGACCAGGGTGCGCCGTCAAAAACAAATTTGCGGTCGAAACTGTTAAAATCATTTCCATCATTCATGTAACCTCAAGTAACGTTGCGCCCAGAAGGCATGCGGAGCGGTTGAATGTCGAAGTTGGAGGACGCGCGCTGGAACGCGGACTGGATCGACTTGTCTTTGCTCCCGACACAACAACTTCCTTTCTGCATCTACGCAACCACCAACCCTTTTCACCCTTAACATCGATTTATTTGCTTGCTTTCGTTCGAACACAGGCATCCAGCTTTCAACTCCTACCTTTACTAGAGGTTTTTGACCGTCTATTATCCCTGGGGTGCCCTCTGGCGCCTGTGCTCGAAGCTACCAATAGCTCGACAGCATCGCAACCGGCACAATGCCCTCATTCCCGACTACTCCCTTGGTCCGGCCAAGGGAAGATGGCTTGCAAATTAGGTACGTGCAATGCGCTTCAGTGATGACAGTTGAATTGAGACTAATCTCGGCTTGCAAATTCTTTAGCTATCCGCTTCCCCATCGCATCCACACAGCCAAAGGCTATCCACTACGAGCTCCAAATGGCTCCTCGGTAATTATCTACGGCTATGATACCGGTTTAAAGGTAGTATGGAGAGGAGGAAGGCGATTCGCAGAATTAAAGTCGAATGGGCCTCAGGCAAAGCCGAAGCCTGCAGCAAACAATGCGGATCCTGATTCAGTCATGATCATTGACTCTGATGAGGAGGATGAACCCGAACCAACACAAGAGGAACCGATTGTTGAATTCAGTCTGGAGGAGAGCGAAGTCGATCCTGCTTCTCCGTACGAGGAGATTCTGCGTCAGATTGATATTCCCCTTGGAAGCCGAGTGCTGGATGTAGCGGTGCCTCGTGTTCTCCCCGAAGAAGCTCGCTCGCCTCTGGACCCCTTCCCGCCTATTTTGAAAAACAACATTGTTGTGTCAGTAATTTGTTCCGATTTGTCCACAAAGATTGTGACTCTGCCACTTGTTCCTCCTCATCCTACACAGACAGACTTCAAAAGCTGGCACATCCAAACCCTCACAATCAATGGGGCGACCACCCATCAAGATATTCCACGCGGTATATCCATGACATTTACCTGTCAGGAATTTGAGGACGAGCAAGACCAACGAAAATCGCGGGGCCGTTTTGGAAATTTTGGTAAATGGGATCTGCTCGTGGCCACGCATTCTGCAGAGGGATCTGGCGTGCTTTTGCTGCACCGAATTCCAATTCGCGAAGAGTCTTCTTCCTGTCTTGTAGAAGAAGATATCGTTTCTCAACGACGGCTCTTGCCAGCACCCGCACAGACAATTGCATTCAATCCATCAGCGTGGCCATCTGTTCGCCACGCCAGCCTGCTTGTCGCATTCCACCGTGGATGTGTGAAGATTTATTCCTGCTTTTCTGTGAAGAAGTCTGCGAAGTCTGCGCGACGAGCTTCGATGCCGCACGAGGACTACGAAACTATTGACACGGAAGGTCGCTGGCTGATCAGTCTATACCCTGGCTTTGAGCAAGGACCCAACGGACTACCTCGACGGAAGACAATCATCGACGCCGACTGGGTACTAGGTGGCCGAGCAGTTATGGTGCTACTTGAAGACGGCGAGTGGGGCGTCTGGGATATCGAAGGCGCTGGTCCTGGTGCTGCCAAGGGCCCGTTGCACCGTCAAACGAGCGTTCAAGGTGTCACCGGTGGTTCATTAACCACATACGCAGTCTGCGGCCGTATTATGACACCGCCTTCCAGTAACAACTCCGAAACAGAGCAGCGATCCCGATTTGCGCCCATGACACCATCCACAAGACGCGTGCGCGAAGATGGGTTGCTAAAGGGATCGATGGGCACAGCTAGTTCCCACCGCGGGCAAATCTCTGTCTTGCAGACAAACTCCTCGTCAGACGTATTACCCGACGAGTCAATTTTGCTCCGTCACGGTCGCCAGAGCGCGATTATCACAAGCTTACTGTCACTGTGGCGCAACGCTACCAAAGCCACAGGCACATTTGATTCCTCAAACCGCTGCCGGGTTTCTCCTTTCCAGGACGTGAACTTGATGGGCCAGAACTTCCAGGCGATTGGACACCTACCGGCACCTGCACGCCGTTCCCGACAGGCAGAGCGACAAACCTTCGATGTATTAGTCGCAGCAGAGCACCAACTCATGATTCTCGCCCCAAAGCTGACCGAATCCGTCGAGGAGAGCCAGCCTGTAGTAAAACAGGAAGAATCATCGGAGACTGATCAGCTGATGCTTCGACGAGGTGAACTGGATGTGGAGGGAATGGGCCGTCTACTGAACGGCATGGCTAACGCAAACCCGCCTATGCGTATGGGCAGCCCCGTGAAGCGGACTCGTGTTTTCGCCTAGATTCAGTCATAGTCTACTAATACCCATACTCCAATGTTCTTGTTTCTCCTCTGCTCACGTTCTTTTACCTCTATAGGATACTCTTCGCGCTGTAAGGTGGAGCGCAAGGCGAGAACCATGCCTTGAAATTCCTCCCTCGGGGGTGAATAAGCTCTGTATCGGATGCGATATATCAATGACCATTACAAAATGTGCCATGCACGAGCCCCGAACTTGCAATTGAATGTTGTACTGCAACATTCCGTTGCAAAGCTCGCATTTGGCTTTGGGTTCCCATTCTTTTCTCTGATTTACTGCGGATGTCGGTCTGTCTCTTGACAAGTCTCACATCGACGGCCGCGGTGGGCAGAAGGAAGGATGGCCAGGGTTGGATGTGAGTGAATATGGGGCATGATGGGACATTTCAAATAGGAACTGTAGATCTGTCCGAAAATTGAATATTTACCAAATTCATGTCATTCGTACTGAATCTATAAGAATAATTCTGGTTGACTCTTAACCCAAGAATCAAATGCAGCGAAACACCAACTAAAGAGAGCGGTGTTGGTTTTCCTTCAACAACCCGCGATCACCACCACCACCCTTCTGCCACAGCCATATACCCTCAACCGCCCACGCAGCAGCACTAGCATGACGACCAACACCGGATGCAAGAGGCATGTCATTACCCTCAGCATTTTGCTGATCCTTGCCCTTGCTTCTACCTTGGGTCTGACCGGCAGCGCCATCGGCCTCAGCAAGCATACCAGCAACAACGCCTTCCTTTTCAATAACGAACCACAGTCCGTCGGACAACTGCCCACCCCGCTCGCCGAACTCTGCGCGGCCGAGACGGAACAGGATGCGACCAATGACTTGCCATGCAATGCACCGCTGAGCGGGGAAGGTAGAACGCGAGAGAATCGCTAACTCGGGGATCGTGTACCCCGCGGCATGCGGGTCCTCGCCATGGTGATGCAGGCCCATAGTTGTTGGGAGAGAGAGTGATGTTTCGGGGGCGAGAATGGTGCCTCTCAGTGAGAAACGGATTGCCGAGGGCGCCATTGAGATGGCGTTGCTGGCTGGGTGGTAGGCCGAGGTCGAGTCTGGGTCTTCCTCGTCGGCGGAGAGAGGTTGCAGCCAAGATAGCGTTGAAGGATCCTGGGCAATCTCGGGGAAGTAGTGCGACTGGAGGTCTGATAGGAACGATGGCGAGGATGGATCCAGAACTGGCATTGGGGTTTTCGGTTGAGGGAAGTGGAAGGTTTCGAGAGTAGCGGGGTCGAGAGAGGGCCGTTGAGAGGCTGGGTGGAGGTCCTGGGGAAGGGTGGTTGGAGGAAGGTCTTCATTACGGGAGAGAGGTTTGGGTGATGGTTTTGATATAGAATGAGACTGTGCAGTTGGTGCAGAAGCCGGCGCGGATGAAGCAGGGATATCGAACGAGACAGATTTTCTCGGCTTGGAGTTTTCGTCGGCGGCAGGTGGTGGTGGTTCGAGGTCAGTCTTTTGATCTTCTTCAATATTTGCTCTGCGGAGAAATCGTTGCAGTAGCCCCGGATCCATCTGTTCCATCAGCTCTTCTCGTTCCTGCTGGATCTGCACATCTGACATTGCTGCCAGCTGACGGCGGTTCTCCTCATCGATAGACTTTTTGTCATCCTGAAGGGTCGGTTTCGTAGAAGATGCCAGGGTATCAGGCGGGTTTGCTCGTCGCTGTTTGAAAGAAGACGGCTTCCGCTGGCGAGGTGCAGGGAACCCAGTTAAGGAGGCCGACAACGTTGGTGGTTTAGGCGCGGGGGGAGTGGCGGTGGATGGAGCCCGTTCTTGGATCTCACCGATGAGGGAGAACGGAGAGGGGATTTCTGGAGTACCAGAATCATCATCTAGATTGAGAACGAATCGTTCGCCGCGAAAAGCCATGATGCGTAAATAATGTGGCCAGGTGAAGAGGAGAAAAAAAGTTATGTCAGCGCGGGGAGATCCCAGAGATGCGGCTCCCAAAAGCTAAAATGGGGCTGCAGAACAGGCTAACCACATTGGGTTAGGGGGAGATGACGGGTGTACTAGTCCCAATTTGGTTCCTCACCTTGATCCGTGGCATCTATATTGTTGTGTCCCTGTACACAACTATGCCCCCCATCTTGCCATCGCAGCTATGAGGGGCTGTACACTTGTCAGCTTATTTATATCCATTGACATATCAAGTATGGTATCATCTTTTCTTCCTGGGGATCAATGACGCTCATGAATCCGACGATCCTGGTACTTGTCATGAGCTCCCACTCGGATCCTAAACAGGATAGATGTTACCTTGACTCCTATATCTGTGGAGGGAAGAGAGAGAGAGAGAGAAAAAAAGAGAAAGAGATATAGGGAAAGCCTTAGTCAGATTACCATTTCATAGTACGAGGGTCACTGATCCGAAGAACACCTCCCCTATAGTGTCGTCGAAGCACGAGGTACCCTGAGATGCAACTTACGGTTCTAGGCTCAACGATCCGCAGGAGTATGAATCTGATCTCCCAAATACTCAACCATGACCTCAAGAATACAACAAAGACTTTTTGTAGCTTCATTCATACCTTCTGAACTCATCTGGATAGCTTTGTTGGTCCCTTTCGAGGTCGGAATCTTGGCCTTTTCCCCCGTTCGGAGCTCGACATATCAAGTTGCAGTTGCAGTACTTTGCCATGTAATGGGCTCTAATTCAATCTGCTTGCTTTTCTCCCCTTTCTGCCCTTTTCCTTTTTTTTCCCTCTTTTTTCTCTTCCTTTTCTCCCTTTTCCTTCTGCCCTATTTTCCCTAGTCCCGTTTTCCCCTTCGCTCCATCCTTTCCCCTCTTGTCCGTGGTTTCTCGTTTTCAGTGTTCTCTCACTCTTTCTTCACCACCTTTCCTCTCTTATCTCGCGTGTTTCTCTTGTTTTCCCGCATCCTGACTCCGCGACCGCTTCAAGCTCACCACCTTGGGTCACATCCAGTTTGTCAATTTTTACAATTTTTACAATTTTCCATTTTGTGATTTTGTCAAATAATTATGTCTGATCCTCCCAATATGGGTGCCCCTAAAGAAGGGCCCATTGACGCCGATACCAAACTTGACACAGGCGCCCGACGTGCCTCCGGTACCGCCAGGCGGTCGCGTCGTAAGAAGGATGATGACGATCCCAAGACAACCAAGAAGGAAAAAGAACCCAAAGAGATCAAGGAACCTAAAGAAAAGCCAGCTCGAGCTCCCCGTCGTCCACGGGAGAAATCAAACAATACTGCTTCTCGGAAAAAGCCCAAACTGGAGCCTGCAGGAGAGGATACGGGGCCTACTCCGGTAGACGCCCGAAGCCCTCCACACGCCCCTGCGGCGCCTCATCCTGCTCAGCCCGTCCAACCTGCTCTAACTGCCCTCCCTCCGCAGCCTAATTTACCTGTTCAACCTGCCCCAACCTCTTACTCACATCCACATCCTCCGGTTCCTGCAGCTTCACCTTCATATCAACTATCGCAGCCCCCGCGCCCACAATCGCAACCTCCAGCGCCCCAACCACCACCCCAGAGAACTAGCGGACAAAATTTCGATCCAATTCGCTCTGCGTTTGACAATCCATCTCCAGCACCCATATACAGCCCTCCCGCTCGCCCAGCCTCTCCTCGCAACACTTATCGCGCCAGTGCATCGCCGGCAATCTCAAGCATCATCGATCCGCCCGCTCAGAACCCTCAACCAGTCTACACCCCGATCCAGCGTTCCTCCTCTGGCCATGTATCCGGTATATCTTCGCCGGCACCGCCTGCAATGGCACCCACTTCCTCTCATCAGTCCTTAGCCCCATCCCCCCATCCCACGCCCTCTCCATCACATGGAATCCTGCACACCCCACAAGCAATGTCGCAGTCGAACCACTATACCACCCCATATCCACCCACTGAGCAGCGGCCGCTACCCTCACAAACTCCCAAAATCGAACTGTCTCCCCCGGCGATGCGCCAACCTCCACCTCCCGCGCAACCCGAGGAGGCCGCTGTGCAACCAACTCCACCAACCCAACCACCACCTGAAGCAACGGAAGTCGAGCCCAAGGACCAGTCCGCTTCTGGCGCTGGAAAAGAAAAGACCACAGCTGCTACGCCGACATCAAAAGCCCCATCCCCCAAACCACCTCGGCCTGCCAAAGAGGCTCCTCAGCTGCCCCAAGGATCTGGCTTCATCACGAATGCGCTGTTTGGTGGAGGGGATGATTCCGCGAAGTCATCCGACTCGCGGAGTACCCCTAATATCATCGTTCATGTCCCGCTGCTAAAAGGCAACCAGATTGTCAACTTTGCGCGACTTGCAGAGGAGCAATATGGCTTTGCTGCCTTACACCCTCGTTTGGCCGCCCACAAAGCGCGCCTGGCTCGTGTGGCAGCTGCTGGGGCCGCACTGGAACGCAATGATAAAAATGCCAAAGGAGTCTCTGCCGGTGAAAGTGCTGACGAGGATTTGAGTCTCGATGCGGAACGCGACAGTGACATGGATGGCGATGTTGCCATGGGTGGCACTGGCGCAGGAACCAATGGCGCGCCCTCAGAGGCTAGCGATGGAAAGAAGAAGCGACGCAAGAAGGTTGAGGAATATGACCGGGATGATCCATTTGTGGATGACACTGAAATGGTGTGGCAGGAGCAAGCTGCTGCGAGCAAAGATGGGTTCTTTGTCTATAGCGGACCGCTCGTGCCGGAAGGAGAGAAGGTCCAAGTAGAACGGTATGTTTTCTCACTATTCCATTGTTGTATATTCATGCTAATTTCTCTGCAGCGCCGACGGTACAATCAAACGTGGCCGTGGTCGAGGTCGGGGAACAGGTCGGGGTCGATCTGTGGCTTCGCATCCGCATGTTCCTATTGCAGCTGCTGTGCCCATCTCCCAAGATACTGGCCTTCCATTACGTGGACCCGGCTCTCGGGGTGGCACTTCGCGCCGTCCTCGAGGCAACAAGAAAGCCGAGGGCGAAAAGCACGCCAGTGAACGCACTGGTACCACTGCCTCTGGGACCCATGAAAGCCGCGGTGGTCGAGGTGGTGGTGCGGCAAGCTCTGGTCGCGGTGGAAGTAACAGCACTCGGGGTGGAAAGTCGTCCGTCTCAATTCCGATGTCGGATATTGCTCCTACGCCGTCAACTCCGGGCATTGCTCCCGCACCCCCTGGCCCCAGCCCATTGGCTGGTCCAGAGCTCATGATGAAATAGAGACTATGTTGATTGATTTGCAGGGTTTGGTGTTCTAGGTTTGTGGCTTTTTCTGGCTTTTTCTGGCTTTTTCTGGCTTTTTCTGGCTTCTTCATTTGCGCTATCATTTTCCTGGGTTTGGTTTGCCCTGATTGTATGTTTTGTTTTTGTTGTTGTTTTCGGTCTCGAGAAACCGTTTGCTTCGTGAACACATGAGCTTTGTATGTATAACTTGGTTTGTTATCACAGCTGGATATATCAAGTCTTCATCCAGAAATTGACAATGTTTCTAATAAACACTTTGCAGCCTACCTAGGTGGACCCCAGCCGTCACTGTCATCTGTTTTGCTGCTGGTTCTGATCTACGAAACCACATAGTCCTCTTGTGTCATATTTGTTTTATATTCTACCTATGTACCATGTACATACATTCCTAGGTAGGACAATGTGCCATGAGGTAAGTGGATAGCCCTCAGAACGAAATAAATATCCAGTGCTTTCAGCCATCTTAAATGCACTATTTAATGCGGCTTATGCAAATCTCTCTATACTTCAAGAACAGGCGCATTACTATGTGTTTACTCACCATCTGCTCTATAATTATCCCATGGGCTCCAGGGTGACGTACATAACCCCTAGCTGCTATAAGCTTGGCCGCAGTTTGAGCCACGATTATTGCTCCAACCAATAAGTACTCTGTACAATACAGAAAGTTGGGTGTATGCAGATCTGCAGTAAAGAACGAACAATAGAAAGGGTAGGGTTGCGACACTACAGCGCTCTCCTTATGTGCCTACGTATGTACGATATATGTATATGGTTTCCCCGTGTCTTTCAGCGGTTGCAGCTATTGTTAGTCGGCTCTTCGTTACTCGAGATCCATCCCATTAGCATGCAAATATTCCACACTAGCTGTACATCTCTTTCAGAAACGGTAGCATTCATCTCTGTACCGAATACTCGAGGAACCCTAGATATTGTCTGGTCTTGTTTCGGCGTGACAGGCCTCTGCACCTGGTCTATTCTTCATCTCAATGTACCAACCCAGCCGAAGTCATCTCGGGAATGTCAAATATATATACGAACTCCGTGGCGATTCTCCAAAAAATCTCGAATGGATGATCTTCAACATCCTCGCCTCGGAGTGGGCATTCGGAATGGCATGCAGTAGCCTGTGCTCTGTCAGGATGCTCAGAGCCCGATATACACAGTACCTATCATAAGATAGAGGGTGTCCCATGAACAGACTCCCACATACACCACGTCAATATGTGTGGGTTCCCTATTCAATTCGCCAATCGCTACCCGGCTACCAATACGCAAGAGATGCCCTCATTGCGAGATATCCCCGAGGGCTTACGAACCCTGCAGACTTCGCAGAAGTCTATGCAAAAGGTTTCGAATGCAATAGGGAAAGCTGACTGGGAATTGGGCATATCTAATGTCCTTGCCATCCAAGAAGCAAATAGCATGGTCTATCGGGGCTATCTAGAACAAAGGAGAGTCTTCACCTTCTCATACAGGGACTGGGCTGGAAATCTCACTCTGCTTTGCGGTAAGCTATGGGTGGTCGATGCGAATAAACTCCTCCTTGTGCGCGAGTTGGGAATGGTCGACAAATTACCTTCGCTGTCCCAGGATTCTGTGGGTGATCTCGACAAGGGTGATATAGTCGTCAAGCTCTTAGAATTACTCCAGATATCGTGGATGTTCATCCAGCTCGGCGTGCAACTAGGTCCGAATCTTCTCAAAAGCCAGCTTGGGGTTTTTACCTTGTCTTTTGCAATTTGCTCGTCTATTACATATATTCGGTGGATCAACATGCCTCAGGACGGCTGGACATCATATATCATCAAAGCTGCTAGGCATGTAAGCGCAGAAGACCTGATACACATAGCCAATGCTGGCCCGATGGCTTCTGGCTCCCGATACAGCGTCTGGATTCCCAATGTCGCCTTTTACAGTGATGTCCCCAAGAAAATGCCAGGATATGTGATGACGCTGGGTTCTTTGTTTTCTCTCCTTCTATTTGGTGCTACCCATTGTGTAGCATGGAACTTCGAGTTCCCTACAAATCTGGAGAGAATATTTTGGCGTCTGAGCTCGATTACAACGGCTGTTGCTTTTCCGGTTTCCTAGTTTCTCATTCAACTGTTAAAATCCAGTTTGCATCAAAGTGTTCAAGCTCAAAAAAACGACCAAGATCGTTCAACTGGTCGAGGCAGTTTTGACTTTTCACATTGCAACTGTGTTTGTTTTGGTGAGATTATTCGTAATTGTTGAAGCCGTTCGCTTGTTGGCTTCCCCCCGGGAGCGTTTACGAGTACCTGGGCAGCAAATATACCTTATGCTGGTTAAACGAGCAATTTGACGGCCTGGCTATTTGATATATATTCCATTTGTTCAAAGTGTTATTCGAAAGATGCATAACTTGGTGCTTGTTTCTACCGGAGTAAAATAAGTATGAAATGTGACTTGTTGAGGTGTGTACGCCGTGTAATGCAGCAGGACATGCCAGCAGATGAAAGGTAGATTTAAAAATGAACAGAATAGCGTTTGTTGCCAGATATTCCAATCAGAGCAGAGTCATTGAAGAAGTAACCAAGGAAATGAAAAGAGAGAAGTCCGTAGGGGGAGGGAAGGATAATCAAATGCTAGCGCAGTTCGTCCTCGCTTTCTGTTCTGTCCCATCAGCGTCTTGGATCAACACTGGACAGAACTGAACATCCAGCCAGGCCAATAATAGAAGCCCACAACCATCGAGACTAGGATCGTGATGTTAAATTGGCTTTCATGTGAATATGCAAGTACATCTGGACATGAACATGGACATGACAAAGGAAAGAGAAACGGTATCATATCCGGGTACATCAACCAATCATCACCAAATTACCGGGGTGCAGTGCCTGGCTGGCTGCGCCAGTTCCCGCCTGCTGAAACGGGGGGTGGAGGGGGCGGGCCAGTCGGGGGAGCAGTGCGAACAGGCATTGTCGAAGTGTGCAGATTCGTGCGGGGATTGGAGTTATTGGAGCTAGAGGAACTGGGGCTCATGAATGGGCGAGATGGGGCATCGATAGCAGAAGCGGGATCAACGAGGTGCTGACGCATCATGCGACGACCGGATCGGCTGTCGTCATCGTTTGCTTCCAGCGAGAGGTGCTCCAAAGAGAGGGGTGGTGGAGAGCGCGTAGTCCGGGACGAAGACGAAGGATAGTATTGAGGCTGGGGTTGGGGGTTGTAGTGATGGCGATTGGAGGGGATCTCGTTGGCGATCCTTAAAGGAATGTCGCCTGATACTGGGTTTGATGGGAATGGTGACTGCTGTGGGGTTCGGGTTGGCTTGTTGGCGGAAGGAGGTTTGCCAATTGCAGCTGACATGGAAGGGCCGACGGGAGATGAAGTCGAGTTTGAGGTTGGTGTCGAGGACTCTTTGAGTGACGTTGGTATTGGCGGCCCCAAGTAAGACTTGCGTTTGTGTTGATCCATCATGCTCAATGCCCATCCTTCAAGGTTGACTGGTGTGCGCTTCGCGGCCTGCAAGAAGGCATCCTTGTCCTAGAAGAGGTAAGTACTTGTAAGAGATACAAGAAAAAAAAAAAAAAAAAAAAAAAAAGGACCGGACATACATAAAGTTCTCGTGGGGTTGGTCGCTCCTCCGATTTCTTCAAGAGGCACTTTCCAACGAAGTCATGGAGAATAGGCGGGAAGGCATCGCTCTTGGGCAACTTGGGCGCTGTTTCGTGGACAATCTGCTGAAGTAGATCCAAAATACCCATGGGCCCTGCGCTTGCACGGTTTCCGGCAGAAGAGTCGGAGTGATCAAAGGGGAACTTGCCAACGGCCAGTTCCATGACCGTCAAGCCTACACTCCACACGTCGGAGCGGACGGTGTAGGCGCCTCCCTGAATTCGCTCGGGGGCCATGTATGTGGAAGTGCCAACAAAAGTATCAGCAATTGAGTTGACTGTCTCGGTAGCGACACCAAAGTCGCATAGCTTGATATTGCCGCGAGAGTTGACCAAGATATTGGACGGCTTGATATCACGATGCATAATACGGTGCACTTCGTAGAGGTAGACAAGACCAGCCAAGACCGACTCTGTTATCTTTCCCAGTACATCGACTCGAACAGGTCCGAAATCCTTGGAAACGCGGTCGAGAGATCTGGTTGTCCGTCAGCGCTATCTGCTGTTTATTTCCCACATAGTTTCCACCTACCCGAGATCCATGTATTCCATGCACAGCACAATATCTCTTGCTTCATTTTGGAATGCACCATAGAAAGTGACAATGTTAGGGCAGTTACAGTCATGTCCGACTCGAAGTTCTCGTAGAATCTGTTTCCGCACGTTTTCTTTGGCTTCTACACGAATGATCTGCGGAGGAAAGAGGAAATCAGCGCTGGTCAACAAGAAGAGAGAGAAGACACACACCTTCCGAGCCATCACCACCTTAGTGGATGCGTGCATCACCTTGGAAACAGTACCTCCATTTCCAGCGCCCAGCTCTTTCAATGTGACCAAGTCTTCACTACGAAGATCCAGTCGGAACTCCAGTCCGATTTCGAGCGTATCTGTGCGGTTGCTTTCGCTATTTCCAACCGCCCCAGAACCCTGTGCATCGCCATCGAGAGAATTAGAGGTAGCTTTAGGTGCTGCATTGAGAGCGAGACCTTTGACGTTCTTGCGTTTTAACGTCCGAGCCTGGAACTGGTCCGCCATGGCGCTTGTTTGGAGGCCGCGGGGTTGGAGTTGCACGATTCAGGAAAAGTTGCGAAAGAGAAAAAAACGAAGAGCCCGACCGCTCAAGTGATATCAAATCCGCGTTACCCAAACCGATGGGATCGAAGTGGTCAGAACGAGCCCCCGAGCTAACAGCGGGGAAGCCGATATCACCTTGCGACGTTCTTGGCGACGCTGATTGGACCTTTCGGGCGCGTCGATTCAACAAACTATCACTAAAATGTGCCGGTGGGCGCCAAATGGGAGTGAGATTGGGCTTTATGGGGAAGGGGGAACATGGAAAAGGAGAGATGATCTTCAACTACAAAGGCCGCTACTGGCAATGAAACAACAAGCGTTAGGAGGTTCCACTCGTCTTGGGCTGAGCTTAGGTGCCGGAGGCTTTACATTGTATTTCTGAGTAAATGAGTCGAGAAAGGACCATATGGCGCAAATGTTGTATTCTTGGCCCTACACCAACAAACTGAAAGCGATATGCATATTGAGGATCCGACCAGGGCCTCGTTGAATGTCCATGTCCACACAAACAAGATGCCCGCACGTGATATATACTGCTCTAGCCACAAGGCTGGCCAAAATAGGATTAGCGTCGAGCCACACCAGCACCAGCCAATCACCGCCACCTGCGTCCTCCCTCGCCGATGGCCGTGATTCTTCCTCTTTACAACCGTTGCTGCAATCACGCCTTACCCACCTCAATTCTCACCGCCTCAACGAGCTGCGCAATACCTGGAGTCGCATCTGCGCCTTTCCATCTTGAAACTTTCACCCGAAGTTGCAATCTCCTCAATCCCTAGGAATAGGGATCTTCACCTTCGGGCAAGATGAGCCTTCGCGACCTGGTCGAGGGGGAGGCGATTATGGATGACGATGAGAACGACGAGGAGCTCGCCGACGACTATGATGGCGAGGTCCGCCAGGGTGCGGGCACCACCAATCACTACAATGACTCGAGTGAGGAGGAAGATGAAGAAGAAGATGACGAAGAGGCTGCTCGCGCCGTGAGTCCCGGCCCTATGTTGAGCTTGATCTCTTTACTGACGAATATCTAGGTCCGTGAGGGTTTCATCGTGGATGAGGACGAGGAAGACGAACGCGCCGCTCGCAAACACAGGAAACGCCCACGCGCTGCCCGCGAAGAAGAGCACCTTGACGAGGAAGATCTGGAACTCATTGGAGTTACCCCGAGTCAGCAACGGGGACCTACTACGGAGGTATGTGAAATACTAATTGTGGCCTGAGTATGATCTTAATACCCTGATTTAGTCAAAGTTCAAGCGCCTGAAGCGAGGCAAAGACCGCGAGAGCCACCAGCCTTCCCATGGCGTCGATGACATTTTCAATTCGGATGAAGAAGAGGAAGCGCAGCAATATGCTCGACCGGGCCAGCGCCGTGGTCTGCGAGATGAAATGGACGACTTCATTGAAGAGGACACGTTCTCCGATGATGAAGCCCAACGTGAACGCGATGACCTAGGGGTTGCACCCGCATCCAGGGTTAACAAGACTGGATTGATTCCGACCGACACCTCAGGCTTGGATGAAAATGCGCTCGAGGATATGCGCGCTGCGTTTGGTGATGGCACCGAGTACGATTTTGCATTGCAAATGGAGGAACAAGAAGATGCCGACAAACAAACCGAAGAACGGCACCTAGACTTGAAAGACGTCTTTGAACCGTCTGAGCTTGCAGAGAGGATGTTGACGGAGGATGATAATGAGATTCGTCTCCTCGATGAGCCCGAACGCCACCAGGTTGCTCGCAAGCCCTACAAGCATGTGACATTGTCCGAGGATCAGTTCCGGGAAGAAGCAGTCTGGATCTCGAACTTGATGTTGCTCAAGAAGCGCATGGAACCCGAACTGCGCGAACCATTCCAGCGCTCTGTCGCTAAGATGTTGGAGTTCCTGATCACGGACGATTGGGAAGTGCCTTTCATTTTCCAGCATCGCAAAGATTACATGATTCATGCCGTCAAAGACATGGCCAATGGTGCTGATCCCGATGATGAGTCTGCACAATATAGCATCCGTGCCGAGAAACTCCTCAACATGACCGATCTCTGGGATATTTTCGACCATGACCTCAAATTCCGCGCTTTAGTTGACAAGCGTGGTACAATTCAAAAGACATACGACAACCTACAAACTCTATTTAGCGTGAATGATTCTAATGTGGAGGAACTGCTTGCTGCGGCCGCGAGTATGGAAGAACTTCAAGATGTGCAAGATTACATCCATTTCCAATACTCTTCACAGCTACGTGACCTGAATCAGGTGAATGGCGAGGCTACCGGAGAAACGCAGCGCCGAAAAGCGACTGGCAAATCCTTCTTCGAGCGAGTCCGCAACGGCAAAGCTTACGGTTTCGTGCGTGCTTTTGGCATCACTGCAGATGCATTTGCTCAGAATGCCTCCAAGGAAGGGCGCAGGCAATACACCGAAGATCCCACCGAGCACCCCGAAGAAATGGCAGATCAGTTCGTCGACAATGACTTTTCCAACAGCTCACATGTCCTCAAAGCCGCGAAGTCGATGTTCGCGGAAGAACTTGCCCTTAGCCCAAAAATGCGCAAAGTTATTCGTCAGGCGTACTATATGAACGGAGTTGTCGATTGCTTCCGCACAGAGAAGGGACTCCGCCGGATCGATGAACAGCATCCATATGCCGAATTTAAATATTTGCGGAACCAGCAGCTCAGCGATATCGCCCGTCGTCCAGAGATGTTTTTGCGCATGCTCAAGGCCGAGGAAGAGGGACTGGTTGATGTCCGGGTGCGATTTGAAAACTTTGATCAGTTCCGCACTCGACTCTACGCCGATATCGAATCAGACAACTACAGTGAACTTGCTGATGCTTGGAATCGCGTCCGCCGCGAGGTTCTGGATCTGGCCTTGGGCAAGCTGGAAAAGTTGATCAATCGTAGTGTCAAGGAAAACATTCGACAGGAATGTGAGAACCATGTTGCCAAGGAGTGTCGCGAGGCATTCTCTCAACGTCTAGACCAGGCCCCTTACAAACCCAAGGGCATGGTCCTGGGCACAGTGCCCCGTGTGCTCACTCTCTCCACCGGATCTGGACAAGTGGGCCGGGACCCAATTCACTGGGCTTATACAGAGGAAGATGGCCGCGTCTTGGAGAATGGCAAATTCATCGATCTTTCATTAGGAGATGAGAACCGTGGCATTTCAGACGGTGAAAATGTGGCCGCCTTTGTGGATCTGGTAGATCGTCGTCGACCGGATGTCATTGGGGTGTCAGGTATGACACCAGAGACCCGCCGCCTGTACAAGTTGTTATCCGAAATCGTCGAACAGAAAGACATGCGTGGTGCATCTTACACAAATGATCACGACGAGGAAGTCAGCGACCCATTGGAGGTGGTCATCGTCAACGACGAGGTTGCTCGACTATACCACAACAGCCCTCGTGCCAGAACCGACAACCCGGGCTTCGGACCTTTGACTCATTACTGCGTGGCCCTGGGCCGGTACTTGCAGAGCCCACTTAAGGAATACGCATCTTTAGGTCGTGATGTTGTATCTATCCAGTTCAAGCCAGGCCAGCAACTAGTGTCCCAGGATCTGCTCCTCAAGCAGCTGGAAACTGCTCTGGTCGACATGGTCAACTTGGTTGGCGTTGATCTCAACGAGGCAGTGGCTGACACTGCGACAGCCAACCTCTTGCCATATGTTTGCGGTCTCGGTCCCCGAAAGGCGGCTCACTTACTTAAGATTGTCAACATGAACGGCGGAATCGTTAACAACCGAGTGGAATTGCTTGGCGTTAACGCGACATACCCTGCTATGGGTGTCAAAGTCTGGAACAACTGTGCTAGTTTCGTCTACATCGACTTTGAGAATGCTGATCCAGATGCCGATCCACTCGATAATACCCGTGTGCATCCCGAAGACTACGATATCGCTCGAAAGATGGCTGCTGATGCACTGGAGTTGGACGAGGAAGATATCAAGGCTGAGACTGACGAGAATGGTACCGGTGCTATCATGCGGAAGTTGTTCCGGGAAGAGGCACAAGATCGTGTCAACGATCTGATTCTGGAGGAATATGCAGAGCAGCTCGAAAGAAATCTCAACCAGCGCAAGCGTGCCACCCTCGAGACGATCCGAGCCGAGTTGCAACAACCATACGAGGAACTGCGCAAGCAATTTGTCTTCCTCAGCACAGACGATATCTTCACAATGCTGACTGGCGAGACCGCTGAATCTTTAATACCTGGTATGGTAGTGCCCATCGCGATCAAGCGGGTATTTGAAGATCACATTGAGGCCAAATTGGACTGCGGAGTTGACGTGCTTGTGGCCGAGACTGAACTTGGCGTTCCTTACGACATTCCTGTACGGAACGCATACCAAGTGCACCAGACCGTCCCGGCTAAGATCATGTTCTTGAATCGCAAAGCTTTCTCTTGCAATGTCTCTCTGCGCGAAGAACAGGTCAGCCAACCATCTCGGCGGAACCCAGACCACGGATTTGGGGATTGGGACGATGCGCAGGAGCGGGCCGACAAGGAATCGCTGCAGGAAAAACAACAGCGTGGTGGTCAAGCCATGCGTGTTATCAAACACCCGCTCTTCCGGCCCTTCAACTCGACTCAGGCCGAGGAGTTTCTGGGCTCTCAAAGTCGAGGTGACGTTGTTATTCGGCCGTCGTCCCGCGGCCACGATCACCTGGCTGTGACTTGGAAAGTGGCACAAGGCGTGTACCAGCACATTGATGTCCTGGAATTGGACAAGGAGAACGAATTCTCCGTCGGTCGTGTTCTCAAGGTTGGCGGTCGGTACAGCTACAGTGATTTGGATGACCTCATCGTCAATCATGTCAAAGCGATGGCTAAGAAGGTGGATGAGATGATGCTGAACGAGAAATTCCAAGATGGCAGCAAGACCGAGACCGGTATGTTTCTGATTGAACACTTTCTTTTGAAAAAACAACATACTAATACCTCATAGATCAATGGCTCGAGACCTACACCAAGGCCAACCCTCGTCGTTCGGCATATGCATTCTGCATCAACGCCAAATACCCCGGCTACTTCTTCCTTTGTTTCAAGGCAGGCGAACATGCGCGACTTCAGAACTGGCCCGTCAAGGTGATCCCACAGGGCTACGAGCTACAGAAGAACCCTTACCCTGACATGCATGCTTTATGCAATGGTTTCAAACTGATGTTCAGCAACATGAGCCAGGGGCGGAGATGAGCATTTCTCGTCTGTACAGTGTACTATCTTTTTCCCGTTTACAGAAAAAGGGGTCCCAGAAAAGGGATGGAATGTCTTTTTAATTTGATACACCTTTGGCAGCAGGCATGTAACCATTATTTCTTTCCAATGGACAATGATTTTAAGCGAATAGTGTGGGGATCTAAATACATCTGTGCGCCGAACGGAGTAGGCTGCATAAGGTACATAGTAGACTACATCTGTTTTACCGTTGTACTATTGGACTACGTAAGCCCCTACAAGGCTGGATTGACCCATGTCAGCTCCTCGGCCTCGGCCTGAGTATGTTCCACATTGGCCCCTCTCTCTATTGCCTTGGCTAATTGGGCTGCAACGCTATTGAATTCTCGTTCCTGTGACATCAGCTATATAGTGTGGCTTGTCCCCGCATCGCCACGTTCAGCCGCACCGGACCGTAACGGGACACAGAGCTTCTTGCCACCCCTCATTGCGCAACCATGGCGGCCATGGAAGAGCTGGAGATTCACAGCAAAGTAGGAGATGTTCTTCGATGCTCTTGTGCTCAACTAACCGTTCTAGTCGTACTTTGTCCGTTGGATCAATGTCAGCGCAAACCACACCATTTCTTGGAGTATTCAACCGCACAAGAAGTCTGTCAACTTTGGCATCTTTAAACACCCCGGTCAATCCTCTGCTCTGAGCTCTCATCTTCCGACCTCCGATTCCCAGAGCACGGATTCCACTGAGAATCTCCCCGCAACAGCGGCATCCACCGGCGCGCGACACCAATCCGCCGTTATCGAGAAGCTGACGGGGATTGGTCTCAAAACAATCAGATGGACCGGCAAATGTGAGGCAGATAAGATTACTCAGGGCACCTACGATGTACTGGCGAATGAAGCGGGCAATTATGCGCTCGTCTTCGACAATACATTTTCCAAACAAATCTCCAAGACTTTGACACTTGTCCTTCTCACCTATCCAACCGGCCTGCAGCCACATGGTTCTGCGTCGATCGCCACCCCACGTTTCCAGCCAGAGGCATCAACCGATTCGCTACCACAACCCAAGACTCGCCGACGAGGCAACAGTCGAGCTACCCTCAGCTCGCAACATGTTGATGTATCCAATCAAGTTGTTCACACTGGAGTGCTTCAGAAGCGCCGACGAAAGCGCCACCAAGGCTGGGCGCGTCGTTTCTTTTCTCTAGATTTTATCTCCTGCACGTTGTCATACTACCATGATCGCAATTCAGCTGCACTGCGAGGTGCGATTCCGCTCTCGTTAGCGGCTGTTGCGACCAATGAAAAGTCCCGTGAGATCTCTATTGACTCCGGTACTGAGATCTGGCATCTGCGTGCTAGTAACGAGCACGATTTTAGCGCCTGGAAGCGTGCCCTCGAGAAAGCTTCCTCCAAGGAAGGCCCCAAGGACAACCACAAATTTGGTCTTACCGCTCCTCCGGCGCTGCGACTTTACGCCCCGTTTCAACCCTCCCCGGCCGAGGACGATGAATGGAACCGCGTCGAGAGCCTTGTTGGTCATGTTTCTGGATCACGAGATGCGATACGTCGCCTTGCTAAGGACACGGACCCTAAGTATCTTGCCTCTCCGCTTCCAACCCCTGTTGAACGGCCTCGCTCACGTGGTCGGTCCCCTAGTCCTCAGCCTAGTTCCCATGAGGCCACTCCTAGTGAGGATCACAAGCGGCCATTTTGGAAGCGCAAAACTAGCGGGCAATCGCATACCAACAGCAGACGTCCACCAGCCGTGACCACGAATTCTAGCTCCTCACAGCTGGTGGTACCTACTGGCGATAGCAAGGGAAAGCCTGCCAGTATCATCAGCCAATCTGACCACATGGACGAAATCCATGACCATTTGATGGCGATCTTGCGCGATCTTGATCATGCTGTATCTGAGTTCTCCACGCTGATTGCTGAGAGCAAAGAGCGGCGGAACCCTTCTCGGCCACCTATGGTTCCCCGGCGGAGCATGGAGTCTGACATGTCGCAAGAGTTCTTTGACGCGACAGATGGAGGTGGCGACAAGTCCCCCCTCTTGACCATTCAGGATAGCGACGAGGAGGGACCCGAAGAGGACCGGCCCGTCTCTGCTGCTGAGGAAGTGGAGGACGATGCTCCCTCTGATAGCGATGGTGAATCCGATGCGGCAGCAACTCGTCAAGAAAGCGGTACCGCATCGGGCTTGTTCCCAGTCAAACCAAAATCGCTGGCCCCACTGCCCTTGGACTTTGTAAAACGTCGTACGAACATCCTCGCCCCAACAGTCCTGCCTCCAAGCTTAATCGGGTTCTTGCGCAAGAATGTCGGCAAGGACTTGTCCACGATCTCGATGCCCGTATCTGCAAACGAGCCTATGTCACTGCTGCAACGCGCCGCAGAGCTCCTGGAATATTCATCTCTGCTGGACCAGGCTGCTCAGTCCACAGACCCTGTCGAACGCCTGATGTACGTAACCGCCTTTGCCTTATCTTCAATCTCAAGCAACCGTGTCCGGGAGCGCTCCATCCGCAAACCCTTTAATCCCATGCTGGGAGAGACGTTTGAGCTCGTCCGCGAAGACCGAGGGTTCCGTTTCATCGCCGAGAAAGTCTCCCACCGCCCCGTTCAACTCGCCTACCAGGCCGACAGCAAAGAATGGAGTCTCTCGCAGTCCCCAATGCCGAGCCAAAAGTTCTGGGGCAAGTCCGCCGAGATCACAACCGAAGGCCGCGTCCGAATTACCCTGCACGGCTCCGGCGAACGTTTCAGCTGGACACCGGCAACATCCTTCCTGCGAAACATCATCGCAGGCGAAAAATACGTTGAGCCCGTTGGCGAGCTGGCCATCACAAACGAGTCCTGCGGGCACCGTTCCATCTCCACCTTCAAGGCCGGCGGCATGTTCTCCGGTCGCAGTGAAGAAGTCTCGACCCGCGCCGTCGATGCAAACAACAAACCGCTACCCTTGGGCTTGACGGGTTCTTGGCCTTCCTCGATGACTCTCACTCGCGATGGCAATCCTACCGGTAACACGATCTGGTCCGTCGGTTCGCTCGTCCCCTCCGCGCCAAAACACTACGGTCTTACGTCCTTTGCGGCGACCCTGAATGAGATCACTCCGATTGAGGATCAGCATCTGCCGCCGACGGATTCACGTCTGCGACCTGATCAGCGCGCTCTGGAAGACGGCGACCTAGATCGCGCGGAGGAGCTTAAGGTCCAGCTGGAGGAGGGCCAGCGTCGGCGCAGACGCGAGATGGAGGCCGCCGGGGAGAATTGGAATCCGCGCTGGTTCACGCGGGTTGATGAGGACCCGGAAGGGGAGGTTGCCTGGCGGCTTAAGGGTGGGAAGGATGGGTATTGGGAGGAGAGGGCCAGGGGGAGCTGGTCCAATGTTATTCCTGTCTTTGAGGATTAGAGGGCTAGAGTGGATTTTTGGTAGATTATTGGATCGGTCTGTTGGGTTCTTCTATTAGACGTACAAGCCTATGCAAAAGACATGAGGCTTCGCTCTGTGGGCGAGGTGTTTGGGCAGGACCTTCTTCACTCTATATACAGATAAATGATGATTTATTCAAACTTTGCCTGATGATACATTGCGATTTAATGTTATGTGAATTTGGTAGAAATGCTCAATGGTCAGTGTCATTTGAACAATGTTCAAGGGTTGAATTGTGGACAAGTCAAGTCGATAAAGACAGTCGAAGACTAATAAAAGAAAAACATCAAAGCAAGAAGAGAACAAAAAACAAAGCTCATAAACCAAGGTCAGTATGAGACTGAGATCCTTCGTGTTGCATAAAACCCCTCTGTCATGCCCTGTGTCGCTGAAACCTTGAAAACTTGAAGACAACTGAAACGCAGATAATTCCCTCGTTTTGTTTTCTTCGCTGTACAGTCGTCGAGAAAGCTCACCAGTGTGAGGATCTGATTGTATCATTTACTCATCATCATCATCGGATTGCTGTGCAGCCCAGCGACGTGAGTTGCGCATCCTAGCTGCCTTGCGTGCGCTCTGGCGATCCATTGAGCCGTGACCCTGGTCTGCCATACGCATCATGACAGGAAGACTATTGAGCACAGCGCGATTACCCTGGAAATAGTGTTCGGAAAATCCGCCCTGTAGGATGCGACGCAGAGCAGTGAGGCGCATCCACTTCCACCAGCGGTCGATGGTCATGGCTCCGTGACGGCCGATCTTGACAGTGAGCGTGCTGCCGTAGTGGCGATTGGTGTTTTGGTCGATGGCAGTGTTGTAGCGAGGACCGCGACGGGGATTCTCAACAGTAGTGAGGATCGAGGCGAAGTTGCTGTGGAGAGACTTCTTATCGCGCTTGCTGATTTGTTTGCCGTGGATGGTAGCCAGGTTCTGCAGCTGGCTCTCGAGCTCTGGGGTATTGTGATAGGCATTGTACCGCTTTATAAGCTTGGGCCCTGTTGTGGTCTCGTGTACATGTTCATCAATGTCCTCATTGGAGCCCATGCTCTCATCATCATCATCATCGTCCTCTTGAGGACTGTAGCTCTTCTCATAGAGCAGGGCGATGTTCTCGCCTGCAGCGATCTGCACAACGGAGTCAGAGCTGCCGAGCTGGTCCATGAAGATCTGGATAGCTTCTTCGCTTTCTTCTTCAAAGTCATCAATTTCGGTGGCGAGGAATCCCCACTGCTGAATTGCGGCAGTCACCACGGTGGGGTCATCTGTGGCATCGATGGATTGGCCATCAGAGGCAACGATGTCCAGGAAAAAGCCCATCTGTTCAAGAATGCCATCCTCTCCGGCACCTCCAAAGATAGTGCATGCACCGAGACAGTTAATGGCGGCTGTCTTGACAAGAGGCGATGCCGAGTCGCGGATGGTGCGAGTGAGCAAGGGCTCGGTGTTTTCGTAGACGGTGTTGTCGAAGGCAGAGACGACGAGCAACTCAATGGAGCGCAAACCAAGAGTGGCTTCACGCACACTAATCTCAGTGCGGACGCTTCGCTCAAATGCAGCCAGTAGGTCTCCAACCACGGCGTGGATTTCTTCGACTGCGTAATGATACTTGGTCAGGCGGCAGAAAGCTTGCAAAGCCTCCTCGCGGCCTTGCACACTGCTGCGCTTGCGGTCGAGTATTTCTTGAACACGATCGCCGAGTTCCTGTTCCCAGTCGGGATTGTCTTGTTCGGGGTTCTCATCATCGAGAGAGCCGATGCTGTTATACCAAATTTGGTTAGTTCGTTGATTGTCAAGAGATATGGTGACATCATCCCGCCACGGAAGTGGGGATCGTGTGAAGATGCAAAAAAAAAAACAAACAAGAAAAAGGACAGGAAAGTGGGAGGGGATATGTGAAATCTACCTCATGGATGTTTCGTCAGAGAGGAAGCCCGAATCTTCTTCGTCCGAAGGAGCTCTGCTGGCATTGCGAGAGCCTTGACGCGAGCTCGGCTTCGAACTAGCGGGGGAGTTGGTGCGGGATGCTTCACGGGAGGCCGCCTTGCGCGAGACGGTCTTGCCACTCTCGAAGATCTGACGGCGGAGATCAGGCATGTTGACGAGAGCTGAGAGGATAGATATAAAAGAATCAAGTCCCCGAGGGCAGAGCAAAAGAAGAAGGAATTACCGAGGCCAGTAGAAAGAGTAATGCAAGAAAAGTAGGTTTTACCCTATGGGCACCGAACAGTATAGGAAATAAGAAAGAATCAAAGAATTTAAATAATCGGGCATGATCTCCCAAAGAACCGAGTTCGTTGAAGAAAAAGAGAAGAACAAAGAGAACAAAGAGCAGAGCAGAAACAATAGACTCGATCAGGCAGGTGACTGCGTATGTAAGCCCATGTTTTCTGTTTGAGGTTTAGTACTTCGCCTCTTTGTCTACTCGTCTCTTTGTCTGCTGTTCTCTTTGTGAGGACATTGGAGGACTTTCCACCAATCACATTCAGATGCTTTGATTGTTTCTCTCTCGAGATGTCTCGAAGAGAACCCTGGATACTTCGAATTGCATTGTTCGCCTCCCAGGTGCATTCTCCCATCGGGCATCGGATGTTTCTTACAAAATCCAGCCACCTGGTTGGCTACCTCTCTGAGGTATATATGATTGGCTTGCATTAGTCCACAGCACTGACACTGACGGCAGAGGCTTCCACTTGTCGATGAAAGCCATAGGTTCTCACACATCGGCCAATGGTGAAGACCTCGATATCTACTCCGTGTAGCAGTTTCTCACGCGGACTTGGCCGATCCGCGACCAATATCATACTATGAGCATTGCTAGTTGACTCTGTGAATCATCGGCTCTAGTATGTCTAGTAGAGTGAAAGTGACAATTCTACCTACGCATGTACGAATGCCCAACTATCTGTGACTGTGCCAAAGTGGTACTTACATGTCGTACATGCTGATGTCGTGGCCCGGTCAACCCTGCTTTGCCAGGAGCTTGGTTGGGCCACATGCATGTCCTTCGGGATATTGGACATCCAGATCCTAGATACAAGCTATCTTGCACTTTATTGCCAGCAGCACAAGTAGGTGCAACCCCACAACGACTACCTAATAGTTACTGAAGAGCCGTTCGCTGTGGATGCCGAAGGTCTCTCGCAATGTAGGAAAGCAGATCCAGGACCGATCAAAAGATCCCCTTCGGTTATGAGAGATTGATCAGTAGTGTGGTTTGACATCGACTTTGACATTTAAGAAACATCCGGTGCTAAAGTATTCCCTTTTTTTTGTTTGTTTGAGGGGTATCATTATCATACATCCGAGTAAAAAAAAAAGATAGGTCATCGGGACAAGTTTACAGCTTCTGCCTCACCAACTCGATGATCTGTCGGGCCTTGACGCCCTCTAGATACTCGCGGCCTTCCTGTCGCCATTCATCTTCCTCGTCCTCATCGTCTCCAATCTCCAGATCCACCTGTTGGCTAGCCGCATAGGCACTCATAACTGTGTCTTCAGCCACACGCACTCCATTCTGTACCAGCACGCGAATGCACTGTGTCAACCGCGCAATCTCTCGGCGGGTCTTCGGAGAAATATCGTCGTTCTGGCTAGAGTAGATCGAACTGGAGACCATCTCTTCCATGCGCGTAATGGAAACATTCTCCGTAGTCGAGGATGCAGCTTCGGCCCCATCGGCATGTTTAGAGATATGAATATATCCGTTCACTCCGAGAACAATATTGATATCACCACCACCATTGGCAGCAGGCACACTCCATACTTGCCGCTTTGACCGTACTACACCACCAGTACCAGAACCTCCAGGAGCAGCCAGAGAACTGCCCACAGCCGAAGACCCAGCCCCAACACCACCCTTAACGCTAGAGCTGGAGGCCCCGCTGCCTCCAGTTCCGGCCACGGCAAGAAACACGCCGTTGCGCAGCTTTCCGTATTTCAGAGATCGTGTGTGTAGTGACGCCGCGCCATCCTGGTGCACGCTCTGCACTTCGGCAACTACAAGGTCACCCTCGCTGAAGAATGTTCGGATCTGGAGCTCGTCGGCGCTTGTTCGTCGACGCAGAATACCACCGGGCAAATTGATTGCGGAAAGAGGAAGCTGGGCGAGTAGGGGTGCGGCAACATCGACCTTCCACCGCCGTGATTGCACTTCGACAATGCGACCAACAACTAGGTCGCCAATCTCGGGGGTATAGCGGGCGCGCATAGGGTGAACGGAGAGTAGCTTATTGGTCTTTTGAACGGTACCAGCAACGGTAGCAATGATAGATGTTGAGAGCGGGTTCATATAGGTGCCGTGTCCTCTGCAAATTGTTAGTGTTGAGAGGAAAAAAAAGTAATGATATCAACCCCGCGCTTTTAGGGCAGTCTTGAAGGGTACACCAACCTCATCCATTGCGGATCATCTGTGACCACTTCTCCTGGTGTGACAATTCCTGCGCCGATATTCGAATTTCCCTGTAAACGAGGTCGCTTGTGAGGCCGAGAGACGCCCGTCATCTCGACGTCCTCATCGGAACTCACAGACATAGAGTCATCTGAATCGATTTGGTAGGGAGCAGCTTCCTCTACCACTGGGGGAAGGATGGTAATCGCCATTGCGAAGGATTTTGTTTATGGGCAATTGCTGTTGACTTGCAACATGGGAAGAAGTGTCCAGACAAATGTTAAAGAGAAGAAAAGTCACATCACGTGATATATCCACTATAGCGGTAGCTATCGAGAGATCTACAGGCCGAGCAGTACGATGTATATTGTACACTACATATATCTATCGAGGGATTCGAGTTGCCAATATATGACATAGAGGCTACACGTTCATAAATTAACCTCAAATTAAAAATGCCAATGACCTGTCATGCGCCATTCAAAGCCAGTGAATCAAGTCAACGCCGGTAGTAATACACAAGATGAATTCCCTTTATAAAGCCACTGCTCAAGGCTTTTTGGCCACTTTGCTAGCATTGGAACTGGGATCCTCCTTCTTCTTTTTTGAGCGACTGCTGCCACCCTTGGGTCGATACCCGGTGTCCTCTTCACGCTTGCGCTTGTTCTTGGGGGTAGGTTGGGTCTCTGTTCCATCCTCGTCGTACATATCCTCATCTTTACGCTGAGCCGGCGCTCGTTTGGACGAGCGTTGGTTTGAAGGACGGGATGCCGATTTTTCCGAAGCAATTTCATTATCCTGCAGAGTCTGGGGTTGATTGCGACGCAGCCAATTGTAAACCGATGCGGGATTTCGCATAGAAAGATCACGCTCACGCTCTGCAAAAGTAGGGCGATCTGGGATGCGTGCCAGCTGCGTGGCAGCTGCCTCGTCACCCAGCTTGGCGTCCAAGGCAAGGTAATATTCGGTTTCGTGCTCGGGTGTAAAGTATCCAAGCTTGCGCTCACAGTCATTATCGGGTTTCTTCGCAATAGCATCTGGACTGATCTGATGGGTTTGTGACAGAGTGCTGTACTGGTGGGCTGGTGCAAACGCCTTGTTCAGTTTGATGTTGTCTTCAATCGTACGGTATGCACCTTTATCAATGCTGCCAGCAGCCAAACCAGTCTTGGCTTCTTTCCATGCTTGTTGTGCTAGTGTTGCATCGTTGATCAAAGGCGCAATTTCCTGCTCGGGAGTCGGGAGCAAGGGACGGTCGGTTGGCAGGGTCAGGTCGAACCGCATGTCGGGAGAAACATGCAGGCTCTCATTGAACTCAAGCAGAACCTCAAGCAATTGACTAGCACAGAGTATTAGCACAGTTCATACAAGGGGGGTGTATGCAAGTCCCATACTCGTTTTGTTCTTGTATGCGCTTGGACAGATCCTCTATACGCAGTTCTTCCCGAATCAGGCTTTCATTTTCTCGAGTTCCCAGCTCGAACTTGACTTTGAGCTTGGCATATTTCTTCCTAGAGAGAGAGGAGGGGAGTCAGCATTGTCTCATGGGTCGACTGTGATGGCTCGTACTTGAAAGATCGGACGGATTGCTTTGTAGGCACAGGCGCAGAGGTTGGTGCATCTAGCAAAGTTTCAGCAATAGACCGGTTGTCGTTTGGTTCCGCCATGGTGTATGGTTGAAAGAAGTTCGGATGAAGAGACGAAGGGGATGTGGTCGCCCTGCGCGATCGCGCCAAGAAACGAAATGCGTGGGAGGCGGGTCCGGACTGCCGTAAAAAAATTAAATTATCATCAATCGGGTTTCTTCGCGAGGCCAGTTTCAACCTTTTCGCAAATTGTCCATTCTTTTTTTTCTCTGAGATCTTATCGTACCATTCACATCTTCAGCAGAATGGCAGAAGTCGCCGACGTTAGTCAAAAGAAGCGCAAGCTGCAGGACGGCCCTGAGCTTGAGATTGATATTTCCGCGCCGGAACCAGTCTCAAAAAAGGCTCTGCGAAAAGCAAAGAAGAGCAAGTCAAGTGACGCAGCCGATGATGAAAAGCCCAAGTCCAGCAAGTCGAGCAAATCCGAATCCAATGAAGACAACACAGAGGGCAAGCGGTCTCAATATGGTATCTGGATTGGAAACCTTTCTTTCACTGTGACCAGGGATGAGCTACGCATGTTCTTTACGGCCAACTCGGATATTTCTGAGTCATCTATTACTCGAATCCACCTGCCCAAGGGCCCCGAAAGATACGGACGGGCGCAGAACAAAGGCTTTGCCTATGTCGACTTCACCGACAAAAAGTCACTGCAAGAAGCAATTGGTCTAAGCGAACAGCTCATGACTGGCCGCCGTGTGCTTATCAAGGATGCAAACAGCTACGAAGGTCGTCCTGCGAAATCCGAGGCCCAAGAGAATGGTGCGGCTGCAGCCAAGTCCGGCCATCCTCCATCCAAGCGAATCTTCGTCGGCAACCTCAGCTTCGACGTGACCAAGGAAAACCTCGAAGAAAACTTCAGCAAATGCGGAACGCTCACCAACGTGCATATGGCTACCTTCCAGGACTCAGGCAAATGCAAGGGATATGCTTGGGTTGAATTTGAAGAACTCGCTGCCGCGGAAGCAGCGGTGAGAGGATTTATGCTGGTCAAGGAAGATGATGAGGAAGAGGATTCCTCCGACAGTGACTCCGACTCGGCGTCCGAAAAGAAAAAGTCAAAGAAGCTAAAGCCTCGGATGCAAAGGATTTGGGTGAACCAGCTTATGGGTCGTCGTATGCGAATGGAGTTTGCTGAGGATGCATCAACACGTTACAAGAAGCGCTTTGGCAAGGACGCTGAGAAGAAGGATGAACCTGCTATCACCGAAGTCGACGGCGAATCCCGAGAACGACCTCGACACAAGAAGAGACGTGATTCCATCGATGAGTCGCGTTACTCCAAGGAAACTGTGCAGAAGCTCAGTGGTGCCATTGTTGAAGGCCAAGGTCAGAAGACTACCTTCGACTAATTTATCCATCTGCGGCTTCGGAGGGTCATCTGCGGCCTTTTTATACGACCATTCAACCATCCTACACGCTGTATATCAGTTGATTTCCATTAACAATTTGCAGTCAAGGTAGCATTAAGATCACACTGCCTGTATGATCTGCCTTGTAACTTACCAAGGACCTTTGGGTCATAATCTTCAGTGTTTACCCCGTCTCTCGAATATCACAGGCCATTTAATCCACCATTCTGGTGGAACGGCTTATGGTTAAGAAAATGCATGTATACTTCCAGGACGACATACCACACCGTCCAACCTGCAGACCAACCCGCCCAAGGCTGAGTACGTCAGGAATCGAAAATGAACAGCGAACAAAATTTTCCACCTCACAATCCCAACTTTGTATCATAAATCCTTCAAATTTCAAGTGCTCTGTAGTGCCATCATGTTTAGTTTGCCCGGAACTAACCCAATTGAGTAAACAATTCTAGGCCCAATCTTGGCAGAAATGGCTTCACCGCCTGGGCTAGGCCCGATCGGGCCTGACGTCTCTCGCGATGTCATGCCCTTCTCTGAAGTTGATTCCCTCTCTGTGCTTCTCATCTCTCTTGGGCTGCATTTCCTTTCTTCTTACCCCTTGTTCTTTTATTCTTTCCATTCATAGTAGTTAGCCTTGTTGCACAAGGCGTCTTTCCTACTTCTTCTAGGCTCCCATTCTGATATTTTGATCTTTCTCGATTTCACTCGCTATTCCACCGTTTTAACGTCCTTGCTCAACGCCGGCCACCATCGCCAGATCCCATTCATTGTGTCAACCCCGCTCCGATAAACATTCATTCAAGCTTGTATCAGCAGGGCAAATTCAAGCACTTTAAAGTGATTAATCCCTTGCATCCTCAGCATGGCTCCTCGTCTACGTCATATCGGGGCCAGTCGCAGAAAGAGACGGGAGGAAGATGGTGAAGATGAGGGCTCAATGCCTGGGGACTTGGGAGACGACTCTTTGAGCGAAGGCTCTGCCGACAGTCACCAAGAGGATGAAGATGCAGATGGAGAAGTCAGCGAGGAGAGTGAGGACGAGGTGGCTACGTTGAACAAGGTCTACGGTGGTGGATTGGATAAATTCACACGGCCTAGCTCGACATCACCAGAGAAATGCGGACTTAAAACGACGGTTTCGGATACAGAGGCAATGTTGAACGGTATGAAGGTCTCAGATGTTGCAGAGGTTCATCTCGACAACCTGAACGAACGGGAGCCTCAGACCGGCAGAACGCCGTCCGCCCCGCCAGCAGAAGGCAATCGCAACAACCTTGCTTCCAGAAAGCGTCGCGAGAATGATAAGCATGTCAAAGAACGGGAGCCCAACCTGAACCCATCTTTCGTCCCCACTCGCGGCAGCTTCTTCCTTCATGACAAACGATCCACGGACAACGGTCATCGGCTTAAGAGCAAGTCCCGTCCCTATGGTCTCATTGTAGACGGCAACTCGCGCAGGTACGTCCTGCTCTATTCTATCTCTGATCTCGTTACTGATATGAACTAGATCTTCTAAGCCCGATTCCGGCGGAGGACAGTGGGCACACGACCTTCACGATACCGTGGCTGGAGACGATCGACCTGTAACGAAACGCCCAACACCATCCGTGATGCCTAACCCTGGCCCATCTGTTCCCACCGCTCCGAGATCCTCCCCGCCTAACCGGTCCTTTTCCAGTACAACATTGGTTGGCAATGTCCCTGTCGTTGTTTCCTTGCCCGGCATGGCCAGTCCAGTACATTTCTCTGCTGTGCCCAAGAGGCTCCACACCCGGTTACCTCAACATCGACCCCCTTTGCGACGGGACAAACCGGTACGGATCTCTCTTCCCAGCCAGCCGCCCCGATACATATTCCCCTCCGTTGAACGCTCTTTCATCTTCATCCCCCGCGCTTTGCGGCCCAACCAAGTCTCTCGTGGTCGAGGAGGTCGTGGCGGTGGTTGGTACACCGGACGACGTCCCAGCTACTACCCTAATTCTTCATACACTCCGAGTGTCGTCAGTCGCCGATCGTCTTTTGGCATGCCACCTTCTCAGGATGGCTGGCCATCACCTGCTGGGTCTGTCTACTCTAGGCCCATAATTCCCACGGACCCCAAGCCTGTTGTCCGCCTTCCCCCTCCGCCTCGTCCACCTGTCGGGATCCCACCATATGGGCCTGCGGTGACCATGACCCTTCCTCACCCTGCCTATCGCGAAAGCCGCCCCGCCCCGATTCCCATGCACCAACCTCGTCCCCAGAAGACCGTCTCTGTCGCGGACATTGAAAGTCCGGCGACTTTCCCTTTCTCTTTCAATCCGCCTCAGCCCCAACATGAGCAGCCTTTCCACCATCAGGTTCCTCTTCCGGTGCATGGCCCTCATGGCCATGAGCTGCCTGGACATGGCCCACCAAGTCAGCCTTCGGCCACCCCGCTCTCACAGATTCCGGAGCGAGCGATCCACGCACCGCCTTTCCAACCGTACATCTACCAACAGCCTGGCTTCTACCCCACAAGTTATCCTTCGGGGGCCATCTATTACCCGGCATCAGGGCCTGATTATGGGGGTTATAATGGACCCGTTGGTCCCGGGGCTTCCATGCCACATTTCCCGGGACAACCAACGATGCCATATCCAGCTGGCGAGCAGCCCTCTCAGTCTGGTACCGGTACCGTTGCCCATGAATCTGGTGGCACAGTCTACTTTTATGATGCCAATAATATGTACGGCCCAGGCGCAGGACCAGGATCCGGGCCTGGGGGTGTGGTCGGCATGGGTGGGATGATGACGCCGCCAGGCACGACCTTCTACTACCCACAACACTCTGGCCAGTACTATGGGCAGTGACGAATGATCAATCCTGCTTCTTCATTTTTTCTTCTCCATTTGACATTCGCCTTCATTTTCCTTTAATTTTCTCTCTCATTGCTTCTTCTTCCACGTTGTTCTTCGTCTCAGTCTCCTTTCAGCTCTCTCCAGGATCTGCAGGGGTCTTTGGTTCACTTTCTCGTTTTCTTTCTAATTTGCATCCACACATTCTCTAGCCCAGCTTGTTTTTTTTTTATCTCTCTTTCTTATTCTTCTTCGCTCTCTCCTAATAGTGCGTTTGTTTCCCCTGGTTTTTATGACTCTTCTTGGCCCTTGTTAGATCTGGATTTTGATGCATTTGAGCGTTTTCCATCCCCCTCATGTCTCCGCAACCCCCCCTCCGCCACATTCGTACTTCCAGGCTGGAACTCATCTATGATTCTAGCCTTCCAATCCCATCCAATCGGGCCATCGAATCCCGTCCTGCATTCACCATTTGACAGTGCATGACCTCATATCTTGCGTTTTCTATTTTTGAACTTCTGGCCCCTCTCGAGGGATGTTTTGATGACACGAAAAATAAAAGCGATTTCCCTATAATCAGGTTCCTTGGATATGAACTAGATCGAATGCATAAACCACAGACATAGATGCCCATCTGCGGTGTCTTGGCAACCCCGAGCGTCCAGGCTTCCAGGCTTCCAATTGACGCCATCTTAGGTAATCATCCTCACCGCCTTCCAACTGAGTCCGCAGGCAGCTGACCGGTCTCTCCGCTTTTTCCCTTCAATTCGACGGCTCTGTACAACTCCCCTCTTCTTTATTTCCTGGACTCTTCTGCCTTTCACTTTCTTTTCCCCCTTCTTCATCATAGTCATCTTCATTTTCTCTTCTAGCATCTGTTTCTGATCGTACACCTTACAGCTATCTTGTCCTTTCCCCCATATCCTCAATACTGCTGCCTTATCTACAGCAGTGTATCCACCCCTTCACCTTCATAATCATCATACATCATGGCAACCCCATCAGCTCCGTCTCATCCGGGCCCAGAACACTTGGTTACTGTCAAGGTACTATACAATGACAGTAACCGTCGCTTCAAGATCCCTTTGAAGGAGTTGAAGGCTCAGGTGTTCCCCCAGATGGTGAGTCTCCACTCAAGCTCAAGCTCCGACCGGACCTCTAGTCCGACCCCGTTTTTCTTATCTCCAACGATCGTCAGATTAAGTTTTTGTGATGTCCTTGAATATAATCTTCCTACTTTCTATCAAAATAATACGTACTGTTTTCACAAGCTGACTTGATTGTTCCGGTTTAGCTTCGAACCCTCCTCGGCGTTCCGGCGGATGTCAACGTCATTCTGGAACGCTATTCTGACAGTGCCGGTTCTTACATTCGCTTGGAATGTGACAACATCGCAGTCTACAAGCAACTTTACCGAGCTGCCAAGGCCAAGTCTAAGCTCCGTATCAAGGTTACTACTCTCACTTCCCCCACCACATCGGCACCCACACCAGTACCATCAGAATCCACTGTGCCGACGGAGTCAGTCAGCCACTCTCGTCACAGTTATCTTGAAACCGTTTTGAGTCCTCCGGCACCCCCCAACACTTACCCTCTCGTCGAGCCGGTTCAAGCTCCTCAGCTCATCGACTCGGCCGAAGTTCTTCAACCCACTTGCGAGAAACAGTTGGCCCTTGATCAAACTCGCTACCGCACTTTTGATGTGGACCAAGAAAGGAATCAGTTCCCCGTCATCTCTCACAACTCCCCCAACGGAATGTTCTGCATTGACTGCAACCACTGTGGTCGCTCAATTGCAAATGGGCATTACCACTGTAGCATTTGCGAAAACGGGGACTATGACTTGTGTCTACAGTGTGTCGGTGCCGGTGCAACTTGCCGCGGCGAAGGTCACTGGTTGATCAAGAGAACAGTCAAAGATGGCGTGGTCACCAATAGCACAACTGAGACAATTGCACCTCGAGATCAATCCCTCCCAGAGTTTAAACCTCTGCTTCCCACCCAGGTTCAGCGCGAGGTAATCACCAAGCCGGTAGTCCACATCCCCGACTCGGTCCAGGAGCCCATTCAGGAGTCAGTTGCAGAGCCAGTGGCCTCATCAGCTTGTTCGAACGCAGCCGTGCAAGGTGACGACAAGCCTGTGTGCAATGGATGCTGTCGCGGTAGGTTCGCCCCTTTTTTCCCCCCTATTTCGCTTTTCTCTTTGCTAATGACCTACAGAAGCGGATGAAAGTAATCTTGTCCGGTGCAATGACTGCGAGGACTATGATCTTTGCCTTCGCTGTCTCCTCAGAAACAAACATGGCCATCACCCCGGTCACACCTTCCAGCTTGGATCTGACCGAAACTTCTGTTTGAAGAATCTAATCACCTCTCGCTGCCTTCCTGGCCGCCAGTTTCGACACGCCGCTATCTGTGATGGATGTGACAAGGTATTTACTTAACCTGAATAATGTGAGGGTCCCTGACTAATATTCTCTAGCGCATCGTTGGCGTTCGTCACAAGTGCCTGGCGTGCCCCGATTGGGACTTCTGCCCCTCTTGCATCTTGACTGCTTCTGACAGCCATCCTGGTCATCGATTCGTGCAAGTCTACGATACTATCGGTGAACAGGCTCGGGAACATGAAATCCACTATGGCATATTCTGTGATGGTCCTCTATGCAAGAATAAACCCGCCCAGAACTACATCAACGGGGTTCGATACAAGTGCGCTGTCTGCGACGACACCGATTTCTGTGCAAGCTGCGAGGCCCTCCCGACCGATCATCACAACCGCACTCATCCATTGGTTAAGTTCAAAACTCCTGTCCGTAGTGTGACTGTGAGCACTGTGGGTGACAACGGCTCGGGTGGAGCGGTCGCTTTGGGTGACCAACTTTGTACCCCCACCCGAGTGGCTGACCAGGTCGAGTTCGAGGAGCAAGAACCCGTTGAAGTGGAAGCTAGCAAGCCTGTAGAAAAGGTTGAGGCTCAACCACTCATGAGCAAGCCCAATTCCGAAGCCGATAGTTCGGATGTGTCGGATTATAAGGCCTTCTTCATTCGCGACACCATCACTGACGGTACCAAGATGGCACCAAACACCATGTTCCATCAGACTTGGACTCTTTACAATCCCGGTCCTGCCGCATGGCCCATTGGCTGCGATGTACGCTTCGTCGGTGGTGACAAGATGTTCAACGTCGATCTCTGCCACCCATCTAGCGTTGAATCTATTCGCTCGGCCATGGAAAGCAACAAGCTATTCGCACCCGTGGAACCCGGCGAGAGTGCTGACTTTACCGTCAATCTGCGCACCCCCCACCATGAGGGTTCTGCTATCTCCTACTGGCGTCTCAAACTTCCTAATGGTGTAGCTATCGGTCACCGTTTGTGGTGCGATGTCGATGTGCAGACCACTTCGGCGGCAACCACCACCAGCGAGACCTCCCCTGTTGTGTCGGAGGTTGCCGGAAGTGGTATGATCTTCCCTAAACTGGAGAAGGAATCCCCCGAGTCGAGCACTCACCAAGCCGAGGTTCCCGCGCCCCAGGCACCTACCTTGTCCAACTCCTCCGAAGGTGACATTTTAGAGGATGTTGAAAGCCTGACTCTGGATGATGCTTCCACTGACACTGGGTTCTTGACTGACGAAGAATATGATGTTCTTGATGCCAGTGATCAGGAATATCTTGACGCCAAGCAGTCTGCATACTAAGAGTTGCAGAAGAATCATCTTTCACGACACATGATATAGGAATTGGGAATTTGCACAAGGGAAGAGTTTTCAATTATTTTTTTTTCGGACTTTGCCGCAAAGGTCTAGTCACTTCCAGCATGACTAGACTTAATCAGAGTGAACTTTTTGGAGCTTACAGAAACAGACAAAAGCAGAAAAACAGGACCACGTTTTTGCCCATAGTTTTCCAATGCACTTGCTGTTTACACGATTAGCAAATAAATGCGTCCACGGGGTGTGATACCAAGGTAGCCCTGGAGGTTTAGAGTAGGAGTTGTAGTAGTGGATAGTAGGGAAAGCATCCTATAACGCTAGGTCATGTCTAAAATCCAGGGATGGGTTCGGATAGTCGTTATAAGGACTTGATAGGTTCTTGGACCATCGGGGTTACCATTAGGTATATGTCTAGAATGGACGTAACTTAGCGATTGCTAGGGCCATGGAAATATTTGAAAGTGTGGCAACATTCCTGAGGAGAACGAAGAGATATAACTTCTATAACTATACGGTTCGGTATAAATAACAACTTGAGATGTTATTTGTACACGTGATGAACTCTCGTTTAAAACAGAATATAAGCATAAATAAGACAATCTTTGCTTTCTATTCAAAGAGCTATCTCTGAATAAGTCACTGAGCTCTCTGGTAACAGATGCTTCAAAATTCCGTCAGTGTCCACTGAGGCTAGGACTATCCCTGAAGATGTTTCTCAATGCGTACCTTGGGCCATGCTAGATGTGAAACTCATTATTGAAGATGCCGTCAATGTGAGTGCGGTGGTATGTAGAAATATTGACTGCCTGATTGAACTCGGGTGTGGCAGTCACTGTCCGTGCAGTAATCGGCATAGGCGCCCACGACGTTCTTCTTCCACTAGAATGTGCATCGCCTGTCTATGGATCATCACCCGAATAAGTTTGCCCTGCTTGTGAAACAATACAGCCAGATGGCGGGACTTGGAAGATTTCTATCCGGCGTAGTTCAAATATGATAGAGAGAGGGTGTGGTAATGGTAGGGTATTTCCTTCAGTGACCCTCTATCTCTCACCATGAGTGCTGGTTATTATCATCACTAAAACCTTTTGAGGTGTTCACTTACGTTAGGGGCCTTGATGCATACCTCATAGCTTTCTCAACAATCATGATCACGTATTTTGATGTCTATATCCGCAGACTCTAACAACTTGACTAACCTATTAGGCATTAGCTCGTGAGTTCCAAAGGCTGTAACTTGGGCTTATTTTTTGAATATATGGCGACAGCCGTTATATGGTGTCGCGCATATAAGTTGATGTTATGTAGACCACAGAAGTTATTCGCCCAATATAGTTGGAATGTGGCGTAAAGCAAGCGCGTACTCGGCAGAGCATATCCTTAATAACTCGCTTCTTACCCCGAGATGATTAAGGTATGTACTGTTAGGATCTTGCAAGGACTTTGAAGGTTGCCCCCAGGCACATGATTTAGATGCTTGCTTGGCATCAAAGAGAGAAGAAGTATACAACGGACGATAGTTGTCAAGCGCATCGAAACATTCTTGGCAATAAAGATGATGGAAGGAGGTGATGATGACCCTTTCATAGGGCCTCTGTGGATAGCATAGAGCATGCCCCAATCTTCTGTCACTTGCAGCTAGTGGTATAGGGGTGGAGGGGAAATAAAGATGGATGAAGAAGATAAAGGCGAAGGTAGAGGGAGTAATAGGGCCTGAAAGATGATTGTATGGGTGAAGAACAAGTTTTATACTTACCTATCAGGGATAGAGAAAAATTCCATACTAAGTTCTACGGTCTTTTTTATAGATACCTACACCGGGATGTACATAGAGGCATCCAGTTCTTCTTCTATTGTTATGAATGGTACGTCAGAGGTTGACGACCTCGACCGTTCTCGTTCATATGATGGCAACGTACATGAGTACGTAACCCGTCCCGGCTTCCTTTCCACACGTCAATGTGGCACATGAACAGACGAGTCCAATAGCCATTGGAATGGTGGTCCCGTCAATGCCTTTGTAGTCAAATCGGACTGGAGAAAAGCCGCTCCAATTCGGTGCATGGACTGCCCAGCCCATACACATCAAACTGATGCTGTGGGCATCGGAACCGGGTGGCAAATCTCGTCGCACACCCATCCACACAGCACTCGAAGTTCAGACTCTCCTCAAACCCGATAACCCGGGACGACCAGGTGGGTTCACCCTCTCACACACTGGAAGTAAACCCATAGACCGGACTAAACCATAGAAGGGTTGTCTTGTTGAATCGGCCCTTGATAGGTTGTCTTCGATATGTCGAAGAGTAGCTGAGTAAAAGGACAATACTGGCGAGTCGAATGGTGCAGTATTGGTCGAGGTTGCTGTCAGAGTCCCCTGGGGGAGACATCGACATTCATGCTGAAGAGTGTTGATGCTAAGAGGCTAGTCATGTGAAGGCGCTTCCCTCTCGCTAATAGTCTTTTAAAGTCGCAATGGACTACTTCTAATCTGTCTTTCCAATGGACTTTCTAATGGACTTTCTAATGGACTTTTATTAACTTCCTATCAACTGCCAAGTGCTTAAGAGTATCGTCTCGTCTAACGTAACGATAGCCTCATACTCACACCTTGAACTATGAAATCGCTGGGTTCTGCGTATCTCTTATTATCTAACATAAGAAAAGGCCATCATATTAGGCGATTAGACCGTGGTCAGTAGTGAGTATGAAGTTGGAGGCTTCCAACGTTGGGCAGAAAGATCAGAGATGGCACATATATGCGTGGTCGACTAGCTAGAGGCTAGGTACGATATATAGGGTCCGTTGGAAATCCGCGAGTTGTGGTTTGACGACCCACATATTGCTTCGTTCCATCCACTTTTTTTTCGGTTTCTTCGCATCGCCTTTCTCCAGGTGAGTCCCCTAGCGATTTGGTCGATTGGAGCATGCAGGCCCTATTGCCCCCCACCCCGCTTTGCCCCTCCATTCATTGTGTGCGCAGACCTCAGTCCTAAGCCATCCTCGATAGAACCTACTTGGAATCCTTTTTTTATTTTACAAAAACCCCAACATTAATCAATATGCCACCCCGCGGTCGTGGTGGAAAGTTCTCCAAGCCCTCTCGAGGAGGTATGTTGTGTGCGACACATGCAAAAGTCTCAGGCTGATCAGAACTAGGAGGCAAGCATTTCAGCAGAGATCTCCAACCATTAGACAAAGATGGTAACCAAATGGGTCTTTGGCGGGTAAAGAACCTCCAAACAACCCTCCAACTTGCAATATCTAATTTCTCTCTAGGAACCCGAAGACCAGATCAAATCGTCCGACGAAGAATCTTCCGATGAAAGCTCCGAGGAGTCTAGTGAGGACGAGTCCAAGCCTGTCGAGACCTCCACGACCGCCGGTACCCGCGAGGAGCGTCGCGCAGCCGCCAAAGCGAAGAAGGCAGCCGCTTTGAAAAAGCGAGGCCAAGGTCCCGCCCAACCCGGCGATTTGCCCCCTTCAGACTCGGAGGAGTCCGACGACGAGCTCCCCGCCAACCCCAACCACACCGCCAAGTCCCGCTCGCAGACCCAAAAGACCGTAGCTGAGCCCGTTGCCGAACCCAAGAAGCCCGCCAAGGTCAAGGATATCTCGCAGTTGTCCCGACGTGAGCGGGAGGCTCTTCAGGCTCAGCAGGCCCGCGAACGATACCAGAAGCTGCACGCCGAGGGTAAAACCGATGAGGCAAAGGCAGATCTGGCTCGTCTTGCCGTCATTCGCGAGAAGCGTGAGGCAGAACGCCTGCGGAAGTTGGCAGAGAAGGAGGAAAAGGACGAACAGGCCAAGGAGCGTGCTAGTGCCATTCAAGAGCGCGAGGATCGCATGCGCGCCGCGGCTTTGGGAAAACCTAAGAAGGGTGGAAAGAACTAGATTTATGCAATTGATCTGTATGCTCTGTATGCCTATACTAGCTACACCCCCCAGAATAACCCCTCGACGCTGCGGCCTTGCATGACGATGCCCCAACCGGCTATCAAGCTGACTAGCCACATAATGGCGAAAATGAGAATGGGCACCAGCAGAAGCTCCGTATTGTGCAGGAAGGGAAGAGCATTGTACCCCAAGAATGTGATGTAGGTATAGTAGATGAGTGCGGACAAATAAAGCGAGTTTCCCAGGAAAGTAGCCAGGAAATTACTCGGGCTGCGGGTGAGCAGCGGTAGGAGGAGGAATTGCACGACGTAGAGGTGGAGGTAGAGAGGGAAGAAGGCCCGGTTGGATACCTGTTCAAGTTAGTAGTGTGGAGACGTGAAGCGTTGGCGTAGTCCCTACATCGAAACAATATCCGAACTCTAATTGCTCTTTCTCTCCAGGCTGTGTAAACAGGCCCTGTGCCGCGCCCCGTCTTCGACTACGGGAGCCTCGTAGACCGGCCAGAGAGGCGGCAGCTCCGTTCGGACCGAATATACGGCCAATGATGAAATATCCTATTGTTGAGACCAGCAATGACGAGCCGATGAAATGCATGAATACGAAGAGGAAAGTCAGGCGTATGATTGCACCGAAACTTGGCGTGTAAGCGAGCCCCCAGGCAAAGGCTGTGAGGAGGAGGAAGAATGATAGTAGGTAGGTGAAGGATGGATCAGGTCGGTGCCATGTATTCTTCGTTTCTAGTGGGGGATTAGTAGAAGCAAGCGAGAATAGAAAGAGACTGATACTGACGTTTCTAGATTCTGGTCAGTATAGATCGAGGGCAGACCTAGTCTGAACTTACATGATAGTATATCGATTTGAACACCTTCTTGGGTGCGATTAACAATGAGGTCATCTCCCAAATTGCCATCTCAAAATCCATTTGAGGGAACTTGAAGAGTCTAGCTCCATATCAGTAATCGTTCCTTCGCGTCGACGACTCCGGTCCTACCTTTTGAAGAAGCGCGGCATGCGAACGCCAGACCCGCGAGTTGCGGGTGTTGAGCCGAAGTTGGCAGAGCCGGCATGTTGGCGGGGGGCAGAGATATGGGGATTCATGATCGAAGACCCTTTTTTTTCTCTCAGAGAACTGGAATCTCGATGCATACACAATGCAGTCGGGATTGTTGTATGCTTTGTGACCAGGTGGGAGGTTATGTCATCCAGATCACGTGTTGGGTATAAGTGTCTGTGACCGAGTGGTTCGTTCGACGTGCTCTGTAGTTTGCAGCGGACAGAGACTCCCATTTCTTCGATCCTTAGAAGGACCTGAGGATACAGAGTCTGCCATGAGAGCTCTATGTAGGGTTTGACTTCAAATCATTCATATCCTCTGTATCCTCCGTATACTCCCTACCTATCGCTTCATTGCATCCATTCGGAAGTCGAAGACTCCACCCAGTACTCCACCAGTAGATAACCATTGGCAACGTATTACGGAGTATATAGAAGAAAAATCAATATCACTATGGGTAATATACAAACCCCTGAGTCTGCCATCTTCCTCTGTGGGCAGGTCAGGATATAGTCTCCCGGCAAGATTTCCCCTGTTTCCCGACTGAGATACAAATCTATTGAAAAAGTTCCAAGGTCCGAGTTTCAGGAGTTCGTTCCTCGTCCCGCCCCCGGTTTCGTGTCTCCTCCCATCACTTTTTGTTTTATTTGACTATTTGACCCTTGCTGCAATGACCCAGTTCATTTAAGTCAAACTGGATAGTCACTTGCTTGGTCTAGCCTTGCGCATACCGGGTACGTCGCAGTATACCCAACGGTGGATCTCCAGCAATTGATCCCGTTCCCCTCGCGTGAAAACCCGAGAAAAGAACAATAATTAACATTGTTTCATAGCGCAAGAATGTCCCAGCAACGGGAAGCTTACTCCCCTCCCCCATACGCCCCCCTCCCAGACCGCAAGATACAAGCCTTCCAAGCGTGGATACCCAAGTCGACCGTCCATCCGCGATGCCTTCCCAGATGTCATGGACAACCCCCCAAGAACCAGCGAGTCGGGAGAGGATCGAGACCCGCATGATCTGTCTCTATCCCCGCAACATGCTACACGGACATCCATTGTTGACAACATGCTTCTCTCGCTCGATCAATTTGCCCCCAGTTCATCTGTTCTAGACGACTACCGGCTCTTCAACTCAGCATTTGAAACAGACCACCAAAGCCATTACTCGCAAGAGTCTTATTCGCACGGCCGATACCGTGGCCACACATTCTCCTCGTCAATGTCCTCAGAACTAGACTACGGGTTTGAAGATGCGACGGCCCGCTACCCAACGGCCACAGCGGCCCAGGGCCAACGCAGCAACAGTAGTTCCAATCACCAGACAACGCCGAGACAAGTGGGAAGCTCACGGGGTGGTACCGGCACTATACCACGATCGAACACCGCTCGGCAAGGTAGCAAGGGGAGCTCAGCGTCCGCTGTGGACTATACATACACAATTCCCAGAGCACGAACGGATCAAGGATTAGACCGACGCTCAGCCAGTTTTGATTGTGGCCCAAAACGAGCGTTTGCGCCCTCCACGAGTGTGCCGGCAGGACCATTCTACGATGATCATGATGCGGCACCCACTCCGAGTGTGCCAGCGGGGCCACGAAAGGTCCAGGACTGCGCGCGCACACCGGTAGCCTCGCGACGGAATAGTATGAAATCCGCCCAAGCCCCTCTAATCCGGAAGGTTCAGCCTGAGAACACCAACACAAACCCACAGAGAGATGACTTCCAAACTACCGACACAGCCGCCATCGCGGGATCGTTGGACCCCCCTGCTCCTAGTCCGACTATATCCTACAACAAACCGGCTTTTCCTCCACCAGAACCAATCTCAATTACCACCATTCCCACCAACCCGAAAGAAAGGCCGGGTTTCTTCCGGCGTGTCTTTGGATCCAAGACCTCAGCTCCCCTCCCCGCAGATACAACAAGTGTATATGATGTATCACAAGAACATAAAACGACGACCAGTCTGAATGCAACGAAGACCCCTGCAGTTGCTTCTCCTTCCTCCGCCCGCACAGGACCCCATCAGGTTGTGAACAAGAAATCTTCCTTCTTCCGTAGAAGGAAGCGATCAGTACCTGATCATGCACCTCCACCAATTGTAATTCCCCAGCACCTTGCACCACAGACTATGGATGCATTGCCAGCCCCAAGTCCAGTGAGCAGCCTGCGACAACTCATGAATCCTTATCTCGACGAAGAGAATTTGGACGGCGAGGCTAACAGACAATCGGAATTCTTGCAGGCTCAAAAAGAAGTTTCCTCCCGAACCATACCCTTAGCTCCTACCTCATCCGCCGAGAAAGATTTCTCGGGCAGCGAAATCTCCACAGACTCTGCCATGCAGGAAATGTCTCAGAGTGTTGCCGCTTCTCTTACCTTGTCCCCTGTGGTCGAGGATTTCTCTCGCAGCATCACATCACACGCAGATGCTCCTCAGATCAATATATCAAAGTCGCCTGTAGACCCAGTGTCTCCCATGGATGCTATATCTCCTGTGGACTCCATATCAACAGCATCGCACTATCACACCGCTGTGAACACACCACTCATCGAACAGGAAGAGCCTGATCCAGCCCAAGACAATGAACCTGGCGATGCCATTGAATATGGTCCCACGGCATTAGACCGCGAACAAGCTCAAAAGCTCTTCGACAGCCAGGATCAGGTAGTGGGCAATGAGCCTGCTGCCGCATGGCTGGGAGATCCCGATCGGGCAATGGTCCGGGAAGCATACATGCAGCTGTTCAACTGGTCCAACCTCAATATTGTCGCCTCTCTCCGGGCTCTCTGTGATCGGTTGGTGCTCAAAGGAGAAACGCAGCAAGTGGATCGTGTTTTGGATGCCTTTTCATCTAGATGGTGTGATTGCAACCCAAGTCATGGCTTCAAAGCTACCGATGTTGTCCATACAATTTGCTATTCTATCTTGCTCTTAAACACTGATCTGCACTTGGCCGACATCGACTCAAAGATGACAAAATCACAATTTGTCCGAAATACTATGCCCACTATCCACCGAGTGGCAATGGATGCTGCACCTGAAGGATTCCAAACTTTGCAAAAACTTAACCCCGTAGAGGGGTTGGATCATGAGCATGGTGGTCTCCATGATGCCGGTCCTTTGGTCAATACACCTTTTACCGGAACAGTGAGGGCTTGGGAGCAACAGGTTGAAGCTGTGCTCAAAGAATTCTACACGTCAATTCAGAAGGAAAAGTTGCCTTTATTCGGTGCCCAGCCAGAACGAGAGATACATCGTATGTCGTCCCACAACTTTTTGGGACCCTCCAGCGGCACTCTTCGTAGAAGCCCCAGCACAATCAGCAAGAGTGGTTCTGACATCTTTCCCCGCGGCCGTTCTGCCAATTCAAACCACGGAGCTGCACGGTGGTCATCCAAGCCCCGCTCCCGGGCTGGGAGGCTTTATCCCCCCTCGATGATGGGGTCTAGTCGCACCAGCCTAGACGATCAATCATCTGTTTGGAGCCCGACTGGATCCAGTACGTGGAGTAAATATTCCCTAGGCAAGTTCACTTCGGCCTCTGTGGATTCATTTGGCTCAGACTTCCCCCGCGGTGAGTACCAACAATCCATTGGTTTTGCCAATGCCCTGAGCCAGGCCATCATCCGAGAGGATTCTGCAGCCTCGGTATATAGCTTTGAGGAACCTGAGCGAACAACCCCTCTGCTCGAAGACGACACATTGGCTCTGGCCGGGGCTCCGTGGGCCAAGGAGGGCAGCCTGAAGCATAAGCATCACCTGGATGCGGTGGACAAACGGGCCAAGGATCGGAACTGGAACGATTGCTTTGCGGTTATACAGCAAGGTTGGATGCGCCTTTTCTCGTTCAACAGCCCCACCAAGTCAATGCGCCAAAAGACTAGACAGCCAGGAGGCATTGTGGTCGGTGGCGGCAACTGGACCGAGAATGCGGAAGAGCTTTGGAAGTTTATGCTGCGCCAGACCATCGCCAGTGCCCTTCCATCGCCCGGATACTCAAAATCCCGTCCTTATGTCTGGGCTTTGAGCCTGCCCACTGGGGCAGTCCATCTCTTCCAAGTTGGAACGTCTGAGATTGTCCGGGAATTTGTTTCCACGGCCAACTACTGGAGCGCGCGATTGTCCAAAGAGCCCCTTATCGGAGGCATCAGCAATATTGAATATGGGTGGAGTGACGGTGTCATCAACAGTGCCCTGATTGGGGATGAAAATCGATCCCCACCACCTTCATCGGGCGCCAGGGCGAGTATGCAAAGCTCCATCCGAAGCTCCATGGATCAACAGGGCGTGCGACCCCGACTTCCTGCGGATCGGGTCACCATCAGCGATTGGAGTCCACCGCAACAGAGTATGGTCGCCTCGAACCTGACCGAGGAGGAACAACTGAAGGCCTTGCAGGCCTATGTGAAGAATGTGGAAGATGATCTTACCCGCCACAATGAATTGCGTGCTGCGATGAACCTTGCTTTCTCTCCACGCCACCCCAATGCTGCCAAATCCATGGTGAACTGGGAACGCAAATCAGCCTATCTATTGCGCGAGATTGTCAAATTCCGCACCTACATTGACTCTCTCCGCAATGCCATCAATTCTAAAGAGAAAATCTTCGCCTCCAACATCAACAACTCTCAGGAGAACGAGGAACCGGCTGTGTCGTAAACGGCGCCAGCTTCTGAGGACGAACCTGTATATACTTTTATAACGATATCTTGGGGTTACTTGGGATTACTTGGGATTACCTGGGATTACTCTTTTTTAATAGCTTGGGGGTGATGCGGATACCATTGTTATTTATTGACGCGTGAATTGATTCCTACAAGTCATATGGCTCCTGCCTGACACGTAAATAAATTCTACAGCTCTTGCCAGCGATCCTCTTTACTTCATGTGCTCCGTACTCTCTCTACCTAGTCGTCCTAGTACCTACATAGGTAGTTCGTTGCTACTCCCACTCTACTAGATACCTTCCAGACACGCACGCTCATTCGCCGATCGAACCGGGTGGAGACCCAACACTCGTCATGTCTCAGGTTACAACTCCGACACACTCGGCATTCCAGACCCCAGATCAAACTTTGAATGATCTCAGCTCTGTATACTTCATGGCAGAGGAAGCACCGGGGGTTATTCCCCCGATCTCGGTAACACAGTCTGAATACGCGCAAACCCCTTCCGAGGGCACTGAGGATGAAGACCCTGAATTCACCACATCCGCGCTGGATCTAGAAGACCACAGCTTCATTCCAGATCGCGACGAGAGTAGCTTGTTCCATCCGTCGAGCGAAAATGGCGACCACGAACGCGGCAACAACCAAACGCTAATTGAGGAGCACGAAATGCGTCGCAAATTGATGGACATCGAGTCGAGCTTCCTACCCGAACCCTCGACAATCGACCTGGCTGCGACCGGTCCTGCTGTTGGTGCGGATGATACGTATTTGGTGGGGGTTCCCAAGGATGATGGTACTACACAGGACTCCTCACAGCTCTCTTTCATAGAGCCAATAGAACCAACCGAGAAAAATACAATGCACGAAGATCACACACCTCCAGATCTGGGCTCGTCTGCTGAGCCCGCAGAAGCCGAGTCAAATTCATTGCCTGACCCCTTCTCCTCGTCGCCTACGGCAGCTGCAGCCCTACGTCGATCCCAATCCACATCGTCGGAAAACGCGGAGATCCCCCAGGCTGTGGATCTTGGATCTGAGTTTTGCATGGGGAATGAATCAGAGCTGGCCCCTTCGAAGCTTCGAGATACCTCCCGCAGCTTATCGCCCGGGACGTCGCACTTTTTCAGTGACCAGAGTACATTCGGGAGTCGCAGAGCCAGCCGACCGAAGTATCTCACTAGCCGCCAATCAGCCAATCGTCTCTCGCGCTCCTCGATCACAAGCACCAACACTGAAACAACCCACAGTGATGCCACACAGGGCGTGGACTATGCTCTTCAAACGGGAGGCGCCACATCTGACAACTATGGCAGCCTACATGCCGAAGGTCGTGCTCAAATAGCTAGAACAACCAGTCTTGGGAGTATGGCATCTGGAATCTCTGGTTATAGCGAAGAAAATCCACTTGAAAAAAGAAGTCTCCCTGGTCCAGTGGAGGGGGCTCTGGATACTCTGAGGGAGGAAGGCTCGCCGAATTCTCGTGCCGGTCCTGTTGATCATGAAGATACTTCGGCGCCGGCGACACCAAAGGCGAAGCCACAAGATAACAATGTCCCTATCGATACAGCAATCACGGCTCGTGTTAAGGGCATCCAGTTTCCAACCACATTTGCAAATCGGTTCCGAGAGGATTTCCAAGCATCCACAGAGAAACGAATAGGATCATCGACTCCAGCGTTTGCGAAAAGTGGCCGGACGTTGACCCTGAAGGAACAGAGCAGTACCATTGATCGCCTGGCGAAGGAGAACTTCGATCTGAAAATGCGAATTCATTTTCTCAACGAGGCACTAAATAAGCGATCCGAAGAGGGCATCAAGGAAATGATCTCGGAGAATGTCGAGCTCAAATCAGACAAAGTCAAACTTTCGAAGGATAACCAAAGCCTTAGGCGCAAGGTTCGAGACTTGGAGAAGCAGGTAAAAGACCAGCAGTCGGACAAGGACTCTATGGTCAATCATGACCCTGAAGGGTCAGACGATGGCGACCGTGACTCGGCCCAAGACGAAGAGATTGTCTTCCTACGTGAACGAGTTGAAACTTATGAACTCGAGATTGAGCGCATGAGATCGGAAACCATTGCACGGGAAAGCGAAAAGCGAAGGTTGGCCGAGATGATCAAGTCGCTTAGCGATAATCGTACGGGAGAATCCGATGCAGGGGCTAGAGAAGAGCGAGTGAGTTTGGGAAATCATTCCATCGGCGTCTTGAAACTAATCATTCAAAAGGAAATGTGGAAAGATATGCTTGACGCAGAGACCTCAGCGCGTGAACAAGCCGAGGAGGAAAACCGTAGACTTCGAGATGAGTCAATTCGTTTGCGGAGTGAGATGTATTCTGCCACACACTCGGATTTCGGATACGCACGAGATGGCACCCAAGCCCCTGCTGTTGTCGAGCTGGAGCTTCTCAAGCAGGAGAATGCGGAACTGAGGAAGGAAGTGAGTGCTCAGACATCAATGCTCACATCTCGTAACCGAGAGAAAGAACGTCTTTATCAGGAGATTGAAGACTTGAAACTCGGAGAACGTCGTCATGTGGGCCGATCCATAGCTGGAGATAGCATCTTTGACCGTTCTGCCTCACGCTCTCATATTCGACCATCGTCTCAGGCTAGCGACGGAACGGGCATATCACGCAGCGACCTGGACCGTGATGAACTTGAAGCCCGCAATGGACAACTCAGGGACCAGGTATCGACCCTCAAACTTGAGAACCAAGCCATCCGAGCTGAACTCGAGGACTACATCGCAGAACTGGAGGCCCTTGACAAGGCATACCAGGCCGATGTTGATCAAGCCGAAGAAGAGATGCAAAATCTGCAGCAAGAGCGAGACCAGGCCGTGCATATGGCAAACGAAAGAGATGCCGCTTTCCAGGACCTACGGGCCGAGGCGCAGGAGGAGTTGGATACACTTGGAGACGAGCTCGACCAGAAAATTGTGGAGTGCCAGCGCATGAATGAGGACCTAAGAACCCAGGACGAAAGCCTCAAGGTTCTACAAGCTGAAATGCGATCTGCCAATGAGGGCATCATCCGACTGGAGGAAGATGCACAGAATAACCTAGCCGCCTACAAGTCTGTGCAACAAGAGCTTGAAGAGACTCATCGTGAAATGGAGTCTACAGAAAAGAGCCTCTTTGAAGCCAACACAAAGGTACAACGACTGACGGTGCAAATCGAGTCGAGCCAGAATGAGATTGCCTTCCTCCGTGAAGAGCAAGAGGGCGATAAGATCCGCATTGGAGATCTCGAGTCGGACCTTAAGAACTACCACATGAGTCTTGTCAGCGAAAAGGAGAAGACCAGAGAGCTGGAGCAACGACTGGCAGATGAACGTCACCAGCGAGAGGTGGTCGGGAGCAAGGAAAAGCAGGATGTCCAACGTGTCATGAATGAATTGAACCGTGAAGCTTCGGCTTCCAAGGAGGAGATCCGACGGTTGAAGAAGAGTCTTTCGGCTCAGGAGATTGAAACGTCCACCTGGCGAGAACGGCTGATGGACCTCGAAAATAATTTGAGAGAAACTCTCGGCGACCTCAGCGGCAGTCGGTCCAGCTTGATCACCAATATCATGAAGCTGCAAAAGGAGCTCGAATCGACTGCGCTTGAATTGGAGAGCATCCGCTCGCAGCTAGATGATAAAGAAACACTGCTTCGGAATCGTGACGCTCTGCTTGAAAGCCATGGACTCGAGTCACGCAAACTCTCGGAACTTCTGGATCGTGAACGGCATGCGCGCCGAGCCGACAAGCAGTCGTTTGAGTCGTCACTCAAATCTCATCAGCAGGCATCTCGGACAATTACGCAAAGCAATTCCCGCATCACAGATCTGGAAAAGGCGCGAACTGAAGATCGCAAGAGATATGCATCGCTGGAACAACAATTCAAGGATCAACTTAGCGAGCGCAACACCGTATTCCTGAACCTTTGGAAAAGGCTATCCGGGCTTTGCGGACCGGACTGGGCGCACTCCAACAGTCTGATCAATGGCAATCTTCCGAGCCAGGAGGTCATTGGTAATATTTTGTTCTGGCCAGGCTTCAGCCGTAACCTTCTGCTTGCAATGAAAACTGTTGAGACGGTGATGGCGGGTTTCAAAACTCGCATCAAGAGTGTCGACTACGAGTTGACCAAGCGTTATAATACACTCGAACAGTCATATAATGGACGATTCAAAAAACTGGAACGCCTCGAAGAGGCCGTGAAAAACATGCGATCCGGCCGCGGACACTCAGGCTCCACGCCGGAGATGTCTAAATTGCGCGGTGAGAACCGGCTTCTCAAAGCTGAACTTAACCTGCTTCAATCCAATTCCCGAGGACAAAGTCCTGCGTCTGCAGCTGCGGCTGCAGTTATGCCTCGATCCCCTTCTTTAGCAGAACGATCCATCTCGACCGGTGGCACTGACAGATCTCGATTGGAGAAAGGTCTCGCTCGCCATCCTACCGGACTCCCGCAGCCCTCTCACTCCTCTTCTAGCAGCACGTTGGCCAACAACAATGCTGGGACGATGATACCACGGACACGCAGCTCACATAGCGGCTGGGATGGCGGTGATGAAAAGTGGATCCATAGGCTGCATGAGCTGGAGAAGCGACTCAAACAAGAGCGCGAAGCTCGCCTTTTAGACCGCAGTGGTGCCCGCAAGCGACTCGAAGAGCGCGATGCGGAGAATCAGAAGCTTAGGGATCAGCTTAACAGAGAACGTACGCGGCGCGGGCCTTTGTCGACCCTCACAGATGGCAGTCGACTCCCTGGCTCGGATGAAGCACATAGTTCTAGTGAAGGAGAGGGCATTACGGTTGATATCGAAGTTTGATTTTTTTTAGGTCGCCGTTTACCTCCTATATACCCACTCGCGTCTGTTTTGCTTTCACTTTTCGGATACATATTCTTGTTATGATTCACGAGGACCATGAGATGGAAGGCGTTTTTTTTAATATTGGGTTTGCAACTTGTCCTTTTTTTCCCCTTAAACTTGGGTGATACATCTTACCGCAATGATACTTTGAGCGAGAAATCCACAATTCCCGTGCCTTGATGAATCGAACTCGTCGACAGAATATCGATATCGGCACAGACATGAGCCGGTGCATTCTCTTCCGTCAACCCACCACTCACCTCAATCAAGAAAGCCCTTTTCGAAGCCCACTCGCGTTTCAATTGCGCCGCAGCATTCCGCACCCCCTCCGGCGTAAAATTATCCAACATAATAATATCGGCTCCAGCCTCAATCGCCGCATTGGCCTCCTCAACACTTCGACATTCAACCTCAACCTTAGTAGAGAAGCCCCCGGTAGCCTTAGCAGCCTGCACAGCGCGAGGAATCGCCGCAGCAATAGATTGAATCGACGTTGGGTCAGCAACACCCCCGTCCGCTGCGGCTCGGTTGTTCGCGCACGCCCACACGTGGTTATCCTTCAGCATCGTCATCGAGCTCAGATCGTGTCGGTGCGGATCGGCCCCGCCGGCAAGCATCCCGTATTTCTCAACAAGCCGGAACCCAGGCGTGGTCTTTCTTGTTCCAGCCAAAATACCCTGCCACCCCTCGGCGCGCAGTGCCGCCAGCATCGAGGCACTTTTGCTGGCGATGCCGGAGCATCGCGCGAGGATGTTGAGCGCTACGCGCTCTCCGAGGAGGATCTTGCGGATGGGTCCGCGCACGGTTGCGCAATGCTGGATGGGCGTGATTGTTTCGCCTTCTTTGATGTGCCACTCGATTCTGGGGAAAGTGGGTTAGATGGATACTTGAGTGGGAACCCGGTTCCCCTTGTGACTTACGTGCAGCCTAGTTGGGAAAACACCTCGTCGAAGAATGGTACGCCGGCGAGAATACCCTGTGTTGGTCAGTTCATGTCCAATGGTGAATATTGCGGCGAGGTCTTGTGTGCCCACCTTGCTCTTTCCCAGTAACCGGGCTTCACCCTCTGACTCGCCGACGACAAAGCCGCCATAGTCCAGGCTGGGACAGTCCTCTTCCAGCCAGGAGGCGATCTGGCGCTTGTAATTGCCTGGCAGCAGATGACGTAGATCTCCGTGCGATGAGGCCATGATGTGGATCTCTGGTGGTTGGATTGAGGAGTTGCTTATCAAGTTGATCTACGAGTTCGCATCAGTTCCCCGCGCGGGGGGTCTGACGAAGCTCGGGTTGGCCCGGGGGCCCGCCCCGGTTCTGGCCGCATCACGTGATACCCACACACGCGCGTATCAGGTGATCCCACCTATCGATTCATCGAGTTAGGGTCATTGTAGGGCAGCAACTTGGAGTGGATCTTTCTACAAGCTATCCTAAGTAGGCATTTTGGGAAAAAAATAAATCTAACGACCGTCGATCTTTTACCGGTTTCAATACCTACAACAATACAATCAAAGCTCGGGAGCAGATTGTTGAAAATAATACTCCGTAGATACATAGTGCCGCACTCCGGAGGGACGGGAATACGGCACACACTAACAGGGAAAAAAAAGAGAATGAAAAAGACCCAACGATCGTCGTGCGAAATGGGTGGAGATTCCTGACCGATGTTCTTGAATTCTTCGAGAAGGGAGCGGGTCAGGGAGGATTTTGGTTGATTTGATCCTAACCCCTACATTTATCTAAACATGTAGGGATTGCCGTTAGTCGACCAGGGCTACGGCATATGCCATACAGCATACCTACATACTTCATGTGCATGTCTAGGAGGTATAGCCCTCGACAGCTGATACCTCGGGAAGATACCTCGGAGCACAAAGCTAAACCGGCCTGCCGAGGACCCACGGGCAGCATGTCACGGAGATAACTTGGTCGGGCTCGGCACCGTTTTCTTGATTGTGTGGAATTCTTAGTGCATTACAATGTGTATGTTGTGTACATCGTACGATTCAAGCCTTAATCACATCCATGGATACCAGCTAGACTTGAGCGGCTTCTCCACTTGAGTTGAATGTAAAATGTCTCGTTGTACGGAGTACTCCGTACAATGTGTCGTAGATCCGCCGGGCACGTGACATTCAAGCCTTCCACGCCTTGTAAACGGTCTTGCAACCAAAGATCTGACCCTTCTTCAACAGAACCATTGATCTCCACTCTGGCTCGTTGATCGCGTTCACAAAGCGGCTAGGTTCAACGCAGAACCCAGCTCCCTCGCCATGCGCCGGCGCACCGTTGATCTCTGGCACGTCGATATACTTTCCGGTGTAGAACTGGAATGCCGGTTCAGTGCTGTGCACCTCGAGATGCAGGCCCGTGCCCGCATTGCTGAACTGCGCGAGACGGCGCAGAGGCAAGCCACGGGTGTCCAGCGGAATCTTGCTGGGGTCAGACTCCATGACGAAGACGTCATCGATGTGTGCGCCCGTTGCAGCGAGGGTGAACGGGTTGGTCACATCTCGGGGGAACTTGGCGATGCCGCCTGACGGGATGCCCGTGCTATCGAGAGGAAGATAGTCATCTGTGGCGAGTTGGGCGGTGGTGCCCGATATATCGGAGCCGTCACCGATGTTGAAGTAGCTGCGAGCGAGGATTTGTCAGCGGGATATAGCTCGGATGTTGACGTTTTTCCGAATTGGTCGAGCTTACCTGTGGTTGGTGAGGTTGACTACGGTCTCCTCACACTCATTGCCAATGAATTCCACCTCGTACTCGGCTGTCAGCACGGTCTTGGCGTCATCCTCCTTGCTAGCGGTATACCATACGCGCACCTCGACGGTGCCGGGATAACTCTCCTCGCCATCTTTGCACAGGTACTTGAACAGCAGGGCATCGTGGCCATTACGCTGGACAGTATGGGGGCCGTCAAATACGCGCTTACCCCAGCCCTTCTCACCCCCATGCAGGGCATTGGGGCCGTTGTTTTGCGTCAGTTGGATTGGCTGGCCATTGAGGTCTTGGATCAAGCCATCCTTGATACGATTGGCAACACGACCGATGGTTGCACCGTAGTGTGGGGAGTTGTACTTGACGTAGTCATCCTGCGTGGGGAAACCCAAGACGATGTTCTTCCCGGCGACACGGAACTCCTGGATGATGGCCCCCAGGGGCAGAAAGGTAAATGCAGCTTGCTCGGGGGCGGACATGATTGGAAGCTGTTTGTGTTTTTGTGAAGAGAGATGGTGGGGGGAAGGGAGGTTCTCAGTTTTAGGGTCGCCATGACGTTTGGAACCCCGCAATTTCCGGGATCAATCACCGTCAATGTCAATAGATAGTTTTCTTTGGTTTAGCATAAATGCCTATAGTCTTCAAGATGCTTCCAGTGCTGAAACCGAAGTCATTAGCCTAAACTTGATGACATTATCCATGTCCAGATTAGGATAAGCTCAACCCGTGACGGCTCCATTCGCTTTTTGAACTTCGAATCTCAGACCAAATTAAGATCAATAAGCCCACGTTCGGAATGGCTGATCTTCCCCAATCATACGCATTTTACGTTACCGGAGACTATTGCGCATAAAACAGAGATACAGCGGACATAACACCCCGGGGTTAGGAGTCAGCGAGTATCCGGTCGGAGGGAACGGGGTCCGGCGTCCGAAGGGATATTTTACCCCGGACTCGCGTTGGCCCACCTTCGAAAAGAAGGGAAAAAGGACCAAAAAAAGGAGAACAACATACAACGGTGTACACGCCAAGTTTCAAGCATTGGCAGGGTGCTGGGCAATTTCGCCAGCCCCAAGTAGGGTTGGCGATGGGGCCGCGTCTCAGGGGTAACAATCTACATAATGCAACTCTGGGCGAATACGAACTCCCATTGTACGATCTAGGTGAACGGTAGTCCTTGACGGAGTCCTCCGTACGGAGTATGGAGTACATATGCTGTATATCGATCCATTTAGGGCTTTTTCTTCCGGAGCATTTGACCCATCACGGTAAGTCGGCATTGGGCTGAAGGGAAAAAATGACGGAAAATCGCTCAAAACGAGTGGGGACGGCCCCAGAAAGCCGCTGAGTCAAGAACTCTAGATCACGGGTGGAGATCACTAATCATGACTAATGCAGTGACTAATCCCTCTATTACTCAGCTGGGTTGGGATTTCCGAATTATTGCCGTTCGATCTACAAAGTGGAGCAATCGGCATGTTGCTCCGGTCCCTAGATCGAGGTTCTGGAATTGTACCTGTTTGTAGAATGGATTGTGATTAGAAATAAAGAATACACCTCCTGAAACACCATTTTTTGAATGTAAGAAATCCCCCAACTCCAAAACCAAGTTCACTGTACAGAGGTAATTAGGATCCCAACGCCTGAATCCAGTGGAAAAAAAAAAGAAAGAAAGAAAGACAGAAAAAAAAAAAAAGATCTTGTGGGGGAAAATAGCCCCAAAAGAGAAAAAGAGAAAAAAAAGAAAAGAAAGAAAAGCACATGTAAAGTATACATGTGTCACGTCATACGGCGTTAGAAAGTCGAGAAGAACAGAAGTAGATCTCCAGAAGTTGCCCAATTAGATCGAAGTAATCTCAGTGGGATTGGGATTGAGGAACTGGTTGAAATCCTCGTAGTCGTTCTTGGAGTCTAAATATGACCCTTGAGACATGCAGTTCATGGGCACCTGGCGATTGAACATGGGCGAGAGTTGTTGGTCGTCAAAGGATATGTTGGAGTAATCCGCCGTCGACATCAGATCCATCTCATCGAAAGGATTAAACCCGTTGCTGGGCCACTGCTGTGGACCCTGAAGAGCGAGCGGGTTGACCACACCTTGCATGGACATGGGTTGGGCGAATTGTGGAGTGTTGGGCATCTGAGGCTCGGGCTTGATGGGCGCGCGCGTGGACGGGCTATAGGTGGGCGGCGTAGGCGGCATATGTTGCTGAGAGAACGCATCTGATGAAAAGCGCGAACGAGCAGCCGGTGATTGGGGGCTATCAGACCCGCCATCGGTCGATTCCTGGCGTTGCATGCCGGAGTTGGTGTGCCATAGATCCTGCTGCAAGGTTTCGGGGTTCTCTTCGAAGCGTTCGCCCTTGGAACTGTCGAGGGCACCGAGGCGCATAAGTAGGTCGTGAGTGAGTGGATGACCGTTGGGTTCCAGTTTCAGCTGCTCGCCGGGCCAGCCTTCGCCTTCGATGTTGCGTCGGTAGAGTTCTTGGAGGCCGTTCACCAGCCAGGATTGTTGCTGTTCCAACATCTCCACGTATCTATCAAGCGAGGCTGCGTTAGGTTCGGTCTCTCTCTCTCTGTAAGTTGAAATATAGCTTACCCCTTCGGGTATACTTTGTCATGCGCCTTCTTGCGCTCTCCAAAGACACAGATGGCGTTATCTGCCCGACACCGGGAACAAGGGCTGGATCCGTCACACTGTCCGGAGTCAGTGTCTGTTGCGGACGATTTCCTCGTCTCTTCACACATACCTTGGATTTCTTTAGGCGACACCGATCGCACGCTTTGCAGACTCTTTTGCGAACATTGCTATCCGAATGCGAATGTTCGGAGGTTGGCGTTGATTGACGTGCTGCCATGATGTGTGAAGTGGTCGACGATAGATGTGATAGAGAAGGAAGAGAGAGACTTTGGGGGGGATTTTGACCCTCTTTAGCTATACTTCCAGATCCGGCGAGTACCAGGATTGATCGACGTCAATCGGGGTCAATGATATAATGATGTCGAGGAATTCCTGATCAAACCAGAAGGGAAAATTGAGTTCCCAGGAGTTGTAGGTGGTATAACCTTGGATAGCGCAGTGATCAGAGCAAAGTAGGGCAGATAAGTATATTACTTAAAAGAGATAGGGAAGGGCTCTCTCGTCACAACGGGGAATCGATGTGCATATATAAGTCTCTCGAACAAAAGAGGGGGGCATTTCTCAATTGGGATATTATTATTATTTTAGAGATTTATGCCTTGTAACGAATCAAGAAAAAAAGAACGAAAAAAAAAAAAAAAAGAGAGAGAGAGTAAAATACACTCAGTAATACGCCAATACCCGGTGGAGCTGGAAGACTCGGCATTTTGGCACGGAACTCGGACAGCAAGTGACGTATCTCCGAGTGGATTGCACTTCCGGCCATGCGATATACAAAACAGTATATACCTAGATAGAGCAGAGATGGTCGATTTCCAGTGCATGTTCACCGTTCAACGGTCACGGTTCAACGCCATGTTCGATGTTCTGGACAGCGCAGAACACGGCATAAAATATGCAGGGTATCTATGCGCTTGGCAGGTTGCATAAGGAAAAGCCTCAAAAAGGGCGCATTAAATCGGCAAACCCATGCCGACCTATATTTCCTATGGACTGTGACCTGTTCACTATCTACTATCGACTATCTACTATCGACTATCTACTATCAACTATCTACTATCGACTATTCACTGTGACTATTCGGTCCTACTATTTACAGAGCAGGAGCATGACGCATGTAACTGAAAACGTAGATGGCGAGGTAGAATCACCACAGTGACACTCCAGGTGATTCATGACCCTGGGCCCATCGCCAATGAACGAACATCCTCAGCCACACCCGTCAAGGTGATGGAGTAATCGAGTGAATTCGAATGAATCGAGTGAATCGAACCGAGTTCAGAGGGAATGGAGTCCAAGAAAAGTCCATGACGTGACCATCCTGAGGAAACCCCGAATTCGACCAGAGACGCCGTCAGGGCTAGACCCCGAAACAAGGATATGTATCCCCTTTTTTTTTCTCTTTGTCTCGGCTACCATTCCGGATTAGAGTGCATCTGGTCCTCTTTTTTTTTATTATTATCCCTTTTTTTTTTTTTTTTTTTTTGGTTTCCCCCTTCTCCTCCAAACAAAAGCTTAGCTACCGTGAACTTACTGCATTGGGAAATATGCAACGACAAAATCCAGATGTCCAACAGCCTCCCTGGTCTGGAGCCATTCGACCCGTGGGAAGTCTCTCGATTTCGCTGCATGTCCCGGGGTAAGATACTCTCGCGGAGACACATTCCGAGTCCATTCACCCCGAAAGGTAGACGTGTGCTGCCCATGTTTCGGTACAATCTTTCAAGTCGGATTCAACAGCCAAATAGCCTGTGGGTATAAGTATAGAGCTGATCTCCAAACGGGATCTTCACAGCTTTGAACCCTAACAAAAGCAGTGGAGGCACCAGAGCTGACAGGCACAGCCTCGACAACAATGTTGACGTTCCTTCTGCTTGGGCCCGTTCTGTGGTTCACTTCGTTCCTGACCCTGTTCTTCGCTCGGTTCCGTTCTCTTCCGTTTGATCAATCCCCATGCCCGACTCCGTTGAGATCGGGTCTTATCTGCAAGCGCATCTACAGTGGGTGGTAGGGTGTGCGTCGACGGTTCAGTCCCCGGGTGAGATCCCTCGCGGTGGCTTTGCAGTCGGGCCTCCACAACGCGTCGGACTAGGTCTGATCCGGTCATTAGCTCTGCCATCCTTGGCTAGCAGACAGGGACATACGGGCAAGCGTCTCCTCAATGTTGACCATTTCGCGGGCGCTGGTCTCCATGAAGCCACAGCCGTGTTTGCGCGCGTATTCGAGCCCTTCACGGGATGTCACCGCACGGTCGCCTCTCAGATCGCATTTGTTGCCCGCGACGATTTTGATCGGTGGTAAGCCGACCTGCCCGACATGACCACGTTTCTTTCCTACTTCCTTCCGCAGTCGATTGTTGTCCTCGACGCGTTGTTCTGCCTCCATGTGTATCATGTCCATGAAATGATCGAGCGTCCCGAGACTCGAAGGGTTGGTGATATCGTAGACTAGGATGAAGGCATCCGAACTCAGGGTAGAGGCAGTCCATAGGCCCCGGTATTCCTCCTGGCCTGCAGTATCGATGATGGAAAGAAAGTAGGGGAGACCGTCGACGTTGCGGGTGACGGAGTATGAATCCTCTGGCGTCGATTAGAAGGTTGAATCGCATCGATCTGGAAGCGCAATACCGATAGTCGGATCATATCTAACGAGGCATCACATTAGAATGGCTTCAAATGCAGGGGTTCAGGGGGCTGGGAAGCATACTCGTGAACCCAGTGACTGCGGACCAGCCGCATGGTGATGGAGGATTTGCCTGAATCCCGATCTGATCAGATCTCGATCCACCAACGTGGCACCGAATCAGGATGGGAGAACGATCCCAGAGAAGGTTACTGCAACGTACCGCATCCACCATCTCCACAGATGGTGATTGAGATCTTATCCATGACCATCACCACATGGAATTGGGTGTATAGTCGAGGGGATCCGGGGACGGGGAGTATGGGGAGAGGAGTATGGGGAGAGGGCCAGGAGAGTGGGTATATATATATATAATCGACATATTAAATTAATCTCAAATAGGGGCTACTGAGGTACTTCTTCATGGGCCAGTTCAAGTTCATTCTCTCGTTTGATTCTTTAGATCTTCATCTCGATCTCAGGAGTCGTGAACAAGTACGCCATACAGGAACGGGGCAAAGGACGGAGGCCAGGAGATCTTCTCCGTCCCCCGTCCTCCGTTCCCACGGCCCCTGAAAGTGATGCATCACTTTCCTGGTTGCCCTTTTGGCCTGGGCTGTTTTCCACGGCGGTTTTGGACGTGGAATCGCCGAAATACCAAACGTCAGTTAGAACCAAATACGATGGTCTCATTCTCATTGGCGCTCAGAGCTTTTCGGGATCCACCAGACGGTTGTACTTTTGAGAAAGAGGAGACGTCGAATTGGATGGACTTTTTCTCTTTATACAAATACCTAGGAACGTAAGAGTGTCTCTCGAAATCGAAGAAGACCGCAAAAGCCACGCACAGGCAGCAAAGTGGAGATTGTGGTAACCCGGGGAAACTCCGTCCATTCCACTTCACTTCACCATGAACCCAACCACCTTTACCCTCGAATACGATGAATCTCAAGAACCTCCCCCCGATCCCTCATATATGACCTTTCCGCATAACTATGGCTTCGGTGCCATGCTACCCCAGGATGCGGATCTACCACTACAGAATTTCGACCGACAGCCTGGCCTGGAAGGCCGTATGTCGAACGTCATGCTCACATACGAGGGGATCCCTACCTCGGGCGTCTCGATGCCAGTGAGCCTGGATCCCACAAACGCCTTTGCCTACAATGCCACCTACTCGACCATGGGAGTACCGCCACAGATGGATCACTCGCAATTTCAATCCACCTACCCATATTCATCGTCCATGTCCATTCCCCGTTATTCTCAGCACGCCCCGCCAGTTCGAAAGGAACCATACGATACAAGCACCGAATCCACGGCGAATTTCGAGGACTCGGACTTTTCAGGTCGCATGAGCGACCGGTCATACGCTCAGACACAGGCACCGGCTCAGCCACCGGCACCGGCACCGGTACAGACCCAGGCACAGGCACAGGCACAAGCACGGACTCAGCGACAGCCCCCGGAGCGCCGCCTACAGCCTGCAAGCCAGCCATACCGTCCATTGCAACCGGTGCCCATCCAACCTAAAAAACCAGTTACTGCCAAAGGTGAGTTGTGTGTATCCTGCACTCGAGCCCGTTGGCTTCGCCCTATGGTGGGACTGATGTGGATCAGATGATCTCTCGCCGGGACTAGAAAAGCCTGAAATTGGCAAGACTAAACATACCGGCATCTATTCGACAACTGGCTTTGACGTGCTCGGGGCGTTGGTACGTCCTGATCCCTGTGGAGTACTCGGTGATATACTGACCTGGACTGTAGGGCCGCGTTGCTATGCGGCCAAACCCCAAAATCAATATCGGTGCGGTTGATCTCTCATGTGCCTTTGTGATGTGCGATATTTTGATCGAGGATCATCCCATTGTCTATGTCTCAGAGGCGTTTGAACGATTGACAGGTTACACCAAAGACGAAATTGTGGGCCGAAACTGTCGATTTCTTCAGGGCCCCGACGGAAAAGTCAACGCTGGCGCAAAACGGACCTTTGTTGATGGACAGACGGTCCATCGGTTACGGTCAACGATCGATGATCGCACCGAGATCCAGGCTAGTATCATCAATTATCGCAAAGGCGGCCAGCCTTTCATGAATCTCATCACGATGATCCCCATCCAGTGGGACTCGGATGTGTATCGATATTATGTCGGTTTCCAGGTTGATTTGGTTGAAAAGCCCGATGCGGTGACCCGAAGGAATCCTGGTAAGCTTTCCTACTGCTTTATGGCGAGCACCTCACTGATTGCATATAGATGGGAATTATAGCATTAACTACCAGCGTGATCAGCTGCCACAGTATATCGTTCCACCAGCTGATGTTCACCCCTCACGGCCAGATCTCATGTTGCGATATAATCATGACGAAGTGACCGCCATTCTAAACGCCGCGGGTGCACCGGGCAATGAAGTCAACCGGCACTACTTGGATCGCGTTCTCGTTGAAAACACTGACGATGTGATTCATGTCCTTTCGTTCAACGGCGAGTTCTTGTATCTATCGCCATCCTGTCACAAAATTCTAGAGTACAACCCAGCGGAACTGGTCGGCAAGACCCTGTCTACTATCTGCCACCCGAGTGATATTGGTCCCGTAATCCGTGACCTGCGAGCCAGTACGACCACCGCTCCTGTGAGTGTTGTGTATCGTATTAGACAGAAGTACAGGGGATATATGTGGTTCGAGAGCCATGGCGCGTGGCACATTGATCCTAACCACGGCCGGAGACATCTTGTCATGACCGGCCGCCCACGACCAGTCTACGCATTGGATCAAATTTCCCGCCTGGGTTCATCCGCTGCGCTGGCCGAGAATGACGTTTGGGCCAAGGTTTCTTTGTCCGGTGTCATTCTGTTCATCACAAGCAAGGTGAAGCCAGTGCTCGGCCGCTCGGCCGACGATCTAATAGGCAAAGGTTTGCAAGAGATCATGGAGCCCGAGACTGGTGGTTCTTCTACAATCACGCAAGCCTTGGAGGCAGCGAGTCGTGGGCAGGGAGCTGGTCTGGCCACCGCCATAGACGGCGGCCGCAGGAACGAAAAGGATGAACTGCCCTCGTTCAAGCATCAAATGCGGCATAAAAGAGGACATTTTCTTTCAGCCTATACCACATTGTATACTGGCGATGTACAAGAAGGAACCAAGCCGACGTTCCTTGTCGCCCAGATCCGATTTTCTCGGTCCTCTCCCCCATCCGCTACTGCTATCGCAGCTGCCGAGGACGAGAGCCTCGCTTCGCTTACCGGCACCGCACGCAACACAACACTCACCCTCGACAATCCCCTCCCGCCCCGCCAGTACGGCACGCTTGGGCAACGAATGCCCGATCTATCGTCCCTCATTGGATCTAATGGTCTGCCTACTGGTAACCGCAGCATCTCACCCTCTACGGATCCCGCAACTTTCTTTACCGAGCTTAATCCCACACGCGGATCGAGTTGGCAGATTGAGTTGCGCGAGCTGGAGAAACAAAATCGCACATTAGCCGACGAGCTGCAACGCATGCTGGCTCGCCGCAAGAAGCGTAAGCGCAAGCAGAGTGCCATCGCAATTGAGAAATCATGTGCCATGTGCAATACCAACAATACCCCCGAGTGGCGGCGCGGTCCGAGTGGAAATCGGGATCTTTGTAACAGCTGCGGTCTACGGTGGGCGAAACAAATCCGTGGCCAAGTGCAGGCGCAGGCTGCGGCTTCTTTGACCATCACAGGATGATGGATATAAAGGGTCTATTTTTCTTTTCTTCTTCTGCTTCCTTGAAATTTGATATTCTTCTCCACTTGGAGGGTTTCTTGATACCCCCCGGATTGTTGGCCAAATTTGACCAACGGTACTTCTGAGCACTGGACTTTGGGCTGGACTCTTTCCTTTGCATATATCTCGATTGATAAATATGCAATTTGACTTGATGGGATACAAAGCAAGTACCTGCCAACGTAGAGCGTAGAATCCAAGACTAGTAGACCGTAATTCTCGATGATCAACAGTTTCTTGTGAGTCGAAATGTCCAATATAATACATAAGATCCCTTTTCTAGAAAAAAAAACAACGCATTTACTGTACAAGCAGGGACCCTCAATCTAGTCGACTCCAAGATCATAGCTTCTTGGTCTTGGTCTTGGAATTATCGGCACGAACTGTAATCCACTGCTCCAACCAGCGCCTCTCCAATTTCTCCGCCTGTTTTCGGTCTTGTGTGGCAGAAGAGACATCCACACCACCGCGTTCTTCAACTGCAATCCGTACCTCGGCAGCATTCATAGCCGAAACCCCTCCACCGGCACGGATCATGCCATCATCAATAGCCAGGTACTCGACATAGCGCGCAAGCCGAGGTCGATACACCACACCGGCTAGCAGCGAGCCCCTGGCCGTATCATGGCGCTTCACAAGGCCGAAAACAGCACAGGCGCGCAACACCGAAGCGGAGTCCGCGCTCGCCGCCCAGGCGGGATCAGCAAACCGCTTAGCAACCAGGCACAACTGCTCAGCGCTCTCGCATTTAAGCAGTGCTAGCGTCTTATCCTCCGAGCCAGTGATGTGTGCATCCAACGCAGCAAGTTTGCGGTTCGTAGCAGCGAGGCGCTCCTTCTCTACCTGTGAAGGAACGCGACACGTCGCGGGAGTAATGGCAGAACCGAATATGGGAACGATCAAGGGCGTGAGCTCGCCGCAGGCGATCAAGATCATCGTGAAAGGGATCATGCGGCGAACATCGCGCGCCGAGCGACGGACGAGCTGGAACTGTGCGCGGCCGACCTGGGGTTCCTGTTTTATTGATGGCGCTTTGCGGTTGTATGTGCTTGTCCGCGGTGGGGAAATGGGGATGTAGGCTGGTAGACCTAGCTTTTTCCGCAATGGCAGCGAGGCGCGATAGTTGTGGTACACGTTTTTCAGGCCCGTCTTGTAGAAGGTCAGGTATGCGCGTCCGAATTCGACATAGCGTTTCAGCTTATCTGCCGCACCTGCAGATGAGGACAGCGGGGAGGGAGTAGTGATCTCGGCGGGGAGAGTGCTAATTGGGGCATTTATCTCATTTCTGGAAGGGATTGAGGCTGTGGTTGCGGCTGGGGGTGAAGGGCGAGGTGATGGGGAAGGTCGGCGAGATTGGCTTGGAGAGGAAGTTGAGAAAAGCTGGGATCGGGCATAAACAGGCAACAATTGGGATTGAGGATGGGCATGGAAATGAGAGCGATTCCAAGGTTGCAATTGAGCATGGAGAGCGCGCTGGCCCCGGGTTAAGTTGGCCATTGTGAGGTGGTGAAAGTAGATGGAGAGCGAGATTACCGGTTATCAGGTGTGGACACCTCAGGCATGACGCTCTATGTATGTACCTACGTTGCATAACTAACTATATATTTTAGAGCTACAATCGTATCGAATCATTTTCTTTTTGGCTGAAGCAACGCTTGGGATTCTCATAAAGACCTGCTATATATGCTGGAGACAGGGTAAATGTACATCAATTTGAATTAAACACAAACATTTATTCCTCACGGATCTCAATATTTTCAATGAGCCCATTACCCAACCGCGCAATCTCGTTCAGAATGGCAGTCTGATTGATGGCTACTTGGCCCTTGGTATCACCTGGAGCGGTCGAGTACGCTGTCTTCAGGTTCCAGGCTCGCGACTTGAGAGTCTGGGGGTTCCAAAGCCCAGCAATCACAGCACAACGATCATCGCCATGGAAGAGCATGATACTTTGATTGTAGCAGGCCTGCACATCACAGACGAATGACTTGATGGTCTGCATCATTCCAGTCCGGGGTTCAGCCAAGTTCTTGAATTTGGGTGTCGAGGAACCGCCAAACAGCTTAGAGCGAAGATGAATAACAAAATCATAGGGAGCAAGCGAGGTATCGAACAGGTCGGAAACATCCATTTCATGAGTTTTGCTTCGCAGCAAGCTTACTGCTGCTTTGGCTAGGCTGGAAATGCGAGCAGCCACAACCTTGGAAGGCATCTCGTATTGAGTCCAGGTCACTCCTTCGGGGTCAACATCGGAGGCGACAAACAGGGCCAGACTGTTCATCGCGGGATCGATGCTGCGCCAGGCCGTGAAGCGAGTGCGAATATTTTCGCTCACCTGTGGTGTCAAGTCGCCTCCCAGGTCAACAATGAACGGCTCCTGCTGCCAGTCCCACCGAGAGAGGGAGTGGAGAGTCCTCAAGAATCCGGTCATGACAGATGAAGGACAGTCCCAAGGGTTAGGTTGAGTGAAGGTCCGGATGACTAGCAATTCAATCAACTCATCGCTGACTTGGGCAGTGAACAGGTGGGAACTGAACCATTGCTTGGTCAAACGAATGGTGGGTGACAACAAGGGGAAACGCGTGCACAGACTGCGGAGTGCTTGTGTCAAGCGTGGAGTTTGGACAAATGTTTTCTTGTAGGCAAATAGAGCATAGGCTGCCTCTTCGCGTTCTCTGGGACTGAGGTTTCGATCCTTGAGATTGCGCTCAAGTAGGGTCTGTTCACGCTCATGGTGAATCCTCAATCGGAACAACACGCCAGAGGAATGGGGAATCTCCAAATACGCATTGTTGATAACCTTGCTTGATTCGTTTTCAAGACCTACGCGGCAAGACGAGGCAGCAGCACCCGATGATTCGAGCGCATCTCCAATCTTCAAAAGGAATGCAACCTTTGTCATTTGAATAGCAGCAAAGTCGTCAGGCCAACGCGAGGAGCTTTCGAACTGAAGTACAACGTCGGTGGGCCCTGTGGGTCTCAGGGAGGTATACCGGAGAAGGGAACTAGCTGGGGCCAAATGACGAACCTCCAGTGGCACATCTTCCATGTCACGGATAGACCTCTCCAGATCCTTGAAGGCCTCGTCGATTGACTGGAAGGCAGGGCTGGAGTATGCCAGAATGCCATCGCCATGCTCTTTGAGGTGCTCGTCATATTCATCACCAATAAACCCAAATTCCTCGGGGGTGATCTTGAAGTGCCGTTGCAGGATGTACTCCAAAATCTGATAAATGATAGATTCCTCCGACTTGTCGGACCACACAAGACTCTCCAAAATACTGCCATCCTTGAATCGTCGAAGCTCTGACTTCTCACCCCAGAAAGCCTGGAACGAAGCAGATTCTTCTTTTTCCTCTGCTGCCGGACCGTGATCGACAATACGACCAACATTTTCAGCATTCAACAGCAACCCTACAGAAACGCCCTGACTCGATTTTTTAGGCTGCTTGGACTTGACCGACCAAGAATCGATGGCCTGGCTCGCAATAGAAACAAGTTTGACTCTGTCCCCGAGGGCCCGGGTAAGAACATTATACAAAGCATTTTGTTGATGAAGAGCTCGGAGAGTGTCACCATTGAATGATTTGGGGAATGAGACCAGGCGGTCAAATCTAAGGGCTGGTTCATCAATCTTGAGAATGAAGACCTTGTCAAAGTTGTCCTCTCGTGACTCATTGAGCATTTTTAGGGTGATGGCAGCTTCATGACGCAGTGTTGCGTATGACCAAGGTGTCATTTTGTAGAGAATGTTCATTCCTCTGCGGCCATCAAAAACAACAGGTACTCCAGAAGGAACGGGAACCTCTTGACCGAAGAACAGAGGAGTATTCAAATCCCTGCCAGCCAAAAATTGGATGGTGGCTTTGAAGATTTGATAACAGCTGTATGATGGTAGCAAGACCGGTTGTCCGGCCGGACCGCCGCCTTCGAACAGCAAGGACAAAAGCACTGTCCATTCGAAACCACCAAATCCTCCATTCTGGAAGGGGGTATGGAAGCCTCGTTGTTGCAGCCAAGTTCGGCCCAGAATGCATGCATCGCTGAAAGAATCACACTTTTTAGAAGCCGAATAGATAGTCTTGTGGTAAAGAGAAACTGTGGCATCGGAACGGAGGCTGGCATTGTAGAACGAGGTCGGTTCGCCGATCTCCGAGTTATTGGACGCCTGGCGGATGTTGCTTTTGAGAGGGAGCGTTCTTGTGATCGGAAACAACGTAGGATCAATTGCGGTCAGAATTCGGATCTGTGGGCCAGATGCTTCAGGTGAGCGCGGTTCTAACAAGATCAGAGGACGGAGACTGTCTCCATCCTGAGGGCTGAATTTGACGTCGAATCCCTGGATGTTCGCGATGTCATTGATTCCAGCAGCCATGCACGCGATATAGTAAGCTCGCTTGTGAAAGTATCTGAAATTGACATAGTCCTTTTCCTGGAAGAGCGAATTTGGCATAGTCACTGCCAAATCGATTGGGCGTGACTCCAAATTGCGGGCGCCTGTCTTCAGGGCAAAGCTACCCACCACATTGATATTGGTTGGCTTTGCATATGCCATGCTGTATTTCACATCCTTGCTTGGCCGTGGTTCAGGCCATGGAACTACTAGACCAGAAGCACGCAGCTCTTTCTCGGCATCGGCGACAGATTGCGCAGCCTTATCGGGCAGGCCTTCAATGGCGCTTTTGATCTGGTGTAGTGTCTCCTGGACCTTTGATACTTGTTTGGGGTAATTAGGTCTCAAGCCCGCCAGTAGCTCGTCCATCTGGAGCTTGAAGAAACTGGATTTGTAAAAGCCGCTGGCCATCGCAAGCTCTGCGGAGCGCTCATCTTTGCCTCGTGTCGGGTTTCGTTTCTCGGTCACTTTCGGCGTTGGTTTCGTGGAAGGGTTAGAAGCAGCATTCCCCGGAGCAGGACTGAGCTTCCTGCGCTTCGATGTGTGGTCCGACATTTTGTGAGCGTCGTAGGGTTTGTCGAGACCGAGATTTTTTTTTTGGGCGATAACGGTATTGTATTGGATACTGTATGGCTGAGTCATCCGTAATTATCAGGTACTGCGGAGCATCGCCGAAGTCGCAGTGGAGAGCAATGGCATCATTGATCTTTCTACTCTCTTTTTCTCTCTCTCTTTCTATATTACAGGAAATTTTGGTGGATTCTTATTTCGTCCTACCTAGGCAATTTCAACTCAAAATGTTGCAGGCTCTGGGAGGACCTGTACCTCCAAACACTGACCATGTATGTTATCTTCCCTCTTCCCCCGCAACCCCTCTATAACTCTGAAAGTTGATTTGATTTAACATTCACAAAGGCCGTCAGTGTATCACTTCCAACATGGCGAGCAAATGTCGGCTACGAGGAAGGAGAAGATTGGGTCACAAAGAAGATGCAATGTGGTTATCCCCGATTCTTTGTCCATCCCATTATTCAGAAGCTCGCCCAGGAGGTTCTTCGCCGAGTCGGTGACCCCAATCTCGAGTCTGCAACCCTTTTTCCGTCGGTCAAGCAAGCGCGCATCTGCCACTCCTTTTTGATCGGAAAAATCCCCGCCGACCAGGCCTACAAAGCGCGGATCGTCAACTTCATTCCATCTCCGCAGACCGAAGCCGGTCCAACAATTACGTCTTCCTTATCGTGCGTCATTTACCCCAAAGAATATGCCCCCATTACCAAGCAAGTATGGCAGCACTCGGGCAACGGTATCTCCAGTCGACGAGGCGAGTTCTGTCTGGGGGCATTGGAGGATGGATTTTTGGTGGAAGACAAGGGCCTTGCGACTGCGGAGTCGATCTCACAACGTCCCTGCAAGGGTCCCCGCAGATACCAAAGTATCAGTGGAGCGAGAAAAGGCTCTGTTGGAGAATCTCCTCCCAGGTCAAACAATGAAGACGGCCGAGACTATGCTCAATTTATCGAAGAGCGATTTGGCCGAAACCTCAGCACTTCTCTCGCCAACCAGGCCAAACTGGCTGTTCGTAAACGTATCGCGGGTGTTTTGACAGCCGATGTTGAGTTGCCAGAAGCTCTGGAGACGGCTTCATCCGAAGGTCGAGTTGCCGGTATTTCTGAAGATGATGTCCTTCTTTATCCTTCGGGCATGAACGCCATATTCAACGCTCATCAGAGCTTGCTGGCTACACGAGGCGATTTACCATCAATTTGCTTTGGGTTTCCCTATACTGATACATTGAAGATTCTCCAAAAATGGGGACCGGGCTGTGTATTTTACGGACATGGCTCCTCAGAAGACCTGGATGATCTGGAATCTCGACTCAAGGCCGGCGAGCGATTCCTTGGGCTTTTCACTGAAGCACCAGGTAACCCTCTTCTGAAAACACCGGATCTCAAACGGATACGCGCTTTGGCAGACCAGTATGGCTTTGCCGTGGTGGTCGACGAGACCATTAGCAACTTTTTGAACATTAATGTTTTGCATCTGGCAGACATTGTCGTCAGTAGCTTGACCAAAATTTTCAGCGGAGACAGCAATGTCATGGGAGGAAGCGCTGTCCTCAATCCTCAGGCACAGTATTATGCAGCTATCAAGAAGACTTATGACCGAGATTACGAAGATAACTACTGGGCAGAGGATGCCGTTTTCTTGGAGAGAAATAGCCGCGATTTCATTTCTCGCATTGAACAAATCAATGCTACCACTGAGAACATTACAGCTATGCTGAAGGACTCTCCGCTGGGTAAGCATTTATCTATCTGAGTGACGGCTATACTAATTGTTCCTTAGTCAAAGAAGTTTACTACCCTAAATACAGCCCCACAAAACCACTATACGATAGCCTCCGAAACGCCAATGGTGGTTACGGTGGTCTCTTCTCTGTCACGTTCCACTCCACAGCTGAGGCGATTGCCTTCTATGACACCATAGAGGTTCTGAAGGGACCCAGTCTTGGGACCAACTTCACATTGAGGTAAGCACTCAGCTACTTACTTTCTGGATTTTGCTAACTTATCAGCTCTCCTTACGTCCTCCTGGCCCACTACGGCGAATTGGACTGGGTATGTACACTCGCATGTTGCCCATATCGAACCGGGTCATAACTAATATGTCTTAGGCACGATCCTTCAATGTCGATCCGGATATCGTGAGAATCAGTGTTGGATTAGAAGAGGTGTCTGATCTTCGGTCCAGGGTACAACGGGCCTTGGATGCTGTGCAAAATGTTCAGTCAAGCGCATAGTCGTAGCAATCAAAGTTGGCTGTACACAAACGTACACGTTCGGACTTCAGAAATCAAATCCATAAATTGAACTATGTAACACGATAGAAAGCATAATACCATGGCCTATCACACTGTACTTTGAATAGAAACGAGACCCCTTTGAACGCCTTGAGAGAGATTTGGACTTGCTAGAAATTGCGATCAAGCGGGTCATCTCCTACGGTACTCGCGGCCTGGCTTGTGATACCTAGATCTCCACTGGCGGTTTTTCTCAAAGCCTGTCGCATGGTCTCTACATTGAGATCTCCTCCAAAACTCGAAGAAATCGGACTCTGGGTAGAACTAGCAATAGGGAATCGAGTGGGAGACATTTCAGGCCCTTTGAAAGAGGTCGCGATACTTGTTGGCGGCGGAGTGCCAAATCCATGTGAAGAAGAGGAACGCAATGGAGAGGGAGATTGATTGAGATCTCCTCGGCGCTCCCGAGACATCGCGCCAGAATGAGCTTCATTTGTTTCCGTCTGCTCGGCGTTGACAACGTCGGCAAAGGAAATGAAGCTCAACCGACGTACGTCCGTCGTTTCTAGTGCCCCATAACTTGGAGGTAGGTCATCTGTATTAGGCTGGCTGGGGGGATGGTCGATGCCCGAGGACGACATGGATTGCTCTCCCGATGCACCACCCGCCGGCTGATGTAGGCTATGCGTGACAATCTCGACTGAATCTGGATCAAGATGATCGTCTGTGATAGCGGCCGATGATGCTTCGAGGACAGGTGGAATGTAGTTCTCGGTGCGAATGTGGGCCGGAATAGAGGGCGACGCTTGTGCTGACACTATATCTTCCTGCACATCTCTTTCAAATATCTGGGAAGCGGGGGAATGTATACGAGGCGGCAAGTGTGATGAGCTGTCGGGCGACGAAGGCTGCCTCATGTATTTGGTCGTATCATGATTTGGTGTTCGCAGGCCTTCAGAAGATCTGACAGGTGATATGCAACCTGTGTTGATTTGATTCTTGCCCCATGTGAAAGCAGCAGGTTTCGAGGCTCTTGTGGTAGCTTCAGCCTCGCCTGGCTTTTGATCTGTTAAGTCTGACATTGAAGGAACTCTGTCAAACCGTGGCCATGATCTGGTTCAATATGTAGATAAAGTAAATGGGAGTTAGTTCACCTTGAGAAGTGTCTCCAGCCCGGCTTCGATGATGACATGAGAAATCGACCAGGTGATCCTTCCCCCCGGAGGGAAGAAGCCCAACGTGATCGTTACTCGACTCTATAGGTGCATGTACCCAGTACTTTTATACTGAGCTGGAATGAAAGACTAATCATGGGTACCAGATACATAGATATACTTTTCAATACGGTACGGTAATTACCCTCCGGCCAAGGGGGAGTCACGAGACCAGGGGAAAAAGTTCGGGTTTGGAGCGCGAGATGCCAACACCTCCGGTCCTTCACTCCAAGTCAAGTCCTACCTGTCAGTTTATCCCTATGAAACCATGTTCATGAAGCTTAGCTAACCATTTTATTTCAACTCTCCAGTTTCTGATCAATCCCCCTCCCAATTGACCAGGACAATGGCGACCTCTCTTGCGACGAAGCGGCCGTTCCTCACGTTGCCTTTTCTTCTTCCCTCGTTGTCGGATTCTCTGGCGCTTGGATTCCGACGCAATCAATCTTCATACCGACGCACCAAGCAGCGCCTACGTGTGAAGCCAGACTCTGCCTTTGACCCGTCTAACTTGGCTCACGATCACATTATCCACAATCCGCCATCCAGCGCTCCCAATGTCTACCACACTCCATCCAAATTCTTGCCCACCGATGATGTTCGGCGAGCATCAAGCATTTCCTCTGCTGCGACAATTAACGCCGATGATCTTCCCGGTGTCTACAAGTCTATGCCCGAAAGAAAATATCATCTTACTCCTTCAGACATTGAAGAAATCCGCAATCTCCGCAAGAACGACCCGATGACCTGGAGCCGAAACAAGCTCGCTAAACGTTTTGACTGCTCGCCCGTGTTTATTGCTATGGTTTGCCAGGCCAGTCCAGAGAAGAGAGAGATCCAAGCTCGGATCTTGGAGGCCGTGCAATCGCGCTGGGGTCCCAAGCGCCGTATGGCCAGAGAGGACCGTCAACTGCGGCGGGAGGCCTGGGGACGTGACGCCTAGTCAAGATCCAACCGGAGAAGGTCTTTGTAAAGAAAATCCCTGTATTCTAGCTTATCTAGCATTGTTTATGTATTCCATACCAAATTTTCAACTCGTACTTCACCAGCGATATCGAACATAAGTAGAATTCCGAATAATATTTTCCATTTTCCAACTTCTTACCTGTCTTGCCGTCCTAAGCATTTTTATAACAATAAATCAAAAAGAGCCGAAGTCCCGTATTTAGGCCCAAACAGGAAGTCCGTTGTAACGTCGCTACTGAGGGCGGAAACCAATTACGTGATAAGACACACTCCCTGGACTCTCTGCGGTTACCTCAGGGCAAAGACGGCATGCCCCTCTTTCCCCTCCGTCGCGTTCCTTTCGCAAAACCTGGACCTCTATTCTCTCGGATTTCTCCAGCTGTTCGTTCTCCTCTCTCCTCTCGACGCTTCTTCTACGGCTACATCAGTGATTCCAAAATGGCGCCCCAGCTAGAGCCCTTTTTCAAACAGTAAGTCTGCCTTGAAAGCGAAAAAAAAAACATCCCCCACGCTAACGTGTCAAAAGGGTCGATGCCTCGTCCAATGACTTCATCGATCGTAGGTAATGCTGGTATCTTACAAGGTCCTCGCTGATTCTGGTCAAGGTCTACGGAAGGCGGTTGCAATCCCATCTATCTCGGCGCAAGACGAGAACCGAGAGGATGTCTTCCGCGTGAGTGTCCCCTCAGTCAGCGCGGAATTAAAAAAAAAAAGAAATGCTGATCTCTCCAGATGGGCCAATTCCTTGCCGATGAGCTCACAGCTCTTGGAGCTGAAGTGGAGCAACGACCATTGGGCAAGCAGCCCGGCAAAGAGCATCTCGAGCTCCCCCGGTAGTCATTGCGCGATACGGTAACGATCCGAACAAGCGTACCATCTTGGTCTATGGACACTACGACGTGCAGCCCGCTCTGAAGGAAGACGGCTGGGCCACCGAGCCCTTTGAGTTGACCATTGACGAGAAGGACCGTATGTATGGCCGTGGTTCTACTGATGACAAGGGACCCGTTCTCGGCTGGCTCAATGTTATTGATGCCCACCGCAAGGCTGGCATTGAGTTCCCCGTCAACCTGCTATGCTGCTTCGAGGGAATGGAGGAGTATGGATCCGAGGGTCTGGATGACTTTATCCAGGCTGAGAGCAAGAAGTACTTCAAGGATACCGACGCTGTCTGTATCTCTGATAACTACTGGCTCGGTACTGAGAAGCCTTGCCTCACCTACGGTCTGCGCGGCTGCAACTACTACTCCATCAGCATTTCGGGACCCGCCCAAGACTTGCACAGCGGTGTCTTCGGTGGCTCTGCCCACGAGCCCATGACTGATCTGGTCAACGTGCTTTCCAAGCTGGTTGATCCCCAGGGTAATATCCTGATTCCCGGTCTCATGGATTTGGTTGCCCCTCTCTCTGAAGAAGAGCAGACCCTTTATCCAAACATTAGCTACTCTATGGATAACCTCCACGAGTCCTTGGGTTCCGAGACAAGCATCCACTCTACCAAGGAGCGCACTTTGATGGCCAGATGGAGATACCCCTCTCTGTCTATCCACGGTATCGAGGGTGCTTACTCGGCTCCCGGTGCGAAGACCGTCATTCCCGCTAAGGTCATTGGTAAATTCTCTATCCGTACCGTTCCCAACATGGAGAGCGCCGATGTGAATAAGCTGGTCTTCGACCACATCAAGGCCGAGTTTGCCAAGCTGAACAGTAAGAACACTATGGATGTTTGGCTGCAGCACGATGGTAAGTGGTGGGTTGCCAGCCCCAAGCACTGGAACTTCTCGGCCGCTGGCAAGGCGGTTCAGCAGGTGTTTGGCGTCGAGCCCGATATGACCCGTGAGGGTGGAAGGTGAGAGACTCTTTTCCATCAAAAAAAAGTAGCATCCCGACTAATGATTTGACAGCATTCCCGTCACATTGACTTTTGAGCAAGCCACTGGCAAGAACGTCTTGCTCCTCCCCATGGGAAGTTCGACTGATGCTGCCCACTCCATCAATGAGAAACTTGACAAGAGAAACTACATTGAGGGCACTAAGTTGTTGGGAGCTTACCTGCACTACGTTGCGGAGGAGCCTACCACCGCATAGATATAATTTTGAATTCAATTCATTCCCTGTTTACTTCATCTAAAATTCAAGACATTCTATCAATCAAACTATCACTCCGTACTGGAGTAATAAATCAAGAAATTGACTACTGGTTTCGGCAAATGAGTGTAGCAGCCATGCATGAAATATATATTACATGTGAACAAGAATATTGGTGTATCCAGGTTTTAATTACGTGTGTTACTACCGAATGGGCACACAAGAAGCCCTTGATCACCTAAAGCAGTGACTTGAAATGATCAGCCAAACAGCCAGATCCAAAGAAAATGAAAATGCATCAATCGCTATGGCGGCGCTCGAGAATTCCAACGTAGACAAACAGAGCAGAATATACGCCGTCAAGTGCAAAGCAATTCAAGATTAGTTACTATATATAGGTTAATATCATGTTCATGTAACAAATTTCAAGGGACAACTTACTAGATCTCCAGAGGAGAAATCTGATCCAAAGCATATAGCCAGTTTCCACCCTGCTCCTCCTTTTCGAGCCTGTAGACGAGAAATCGTTAGTGGATATCAAATCGAATGAGAGCGGATTCAAGACATACCAGTCATATGGCCACAAGATGAGGTGGCCTTGAGTCTTGTTAAGGAGACCCTCTGCACGGCCTTTATCCAAGTACTCATCTATACCATGAGGGTCACGCTTAGAGCCAATCGTTGTAGCTCTGCGCCTGCGTCTCCGAGACTGACTCGCCGAGTTTAGGTTCACGGCTTCAGAGTAATCGACATGAGCTGAGGCCGAGCGTGGTTTCTCGGCATCCTCCCCGGCGGCAAGACTAGTTACATCATTGGTCCCATTCGGGGTAGTGGTCGTTAAGTTCGGGTCCGATGCCATTTTCGTTGCGGCCTTCTCACCCATAGACGACAAGGTCTCTTGCTTTGCGAGCTGCTCAGACTGAGGAAGACGACCAGATTCGTTCCAAGACCCAATCTTATCATCAATTGACTGGGGGCTTTTCGGGTCTGCTTGCGCTGCTTCGGCTCTGGGGCCGATGAAAGACAACTGAGAGGCGATCGACATAGGAGAGCTGACGCCACCACCGGGTGTGAGAGGGCCACTTTGTTTTTGTTGCGGCTGGGCGGGCTTGTTCCCCTGTTGGCTCTGCATCTCTGCAAAACGTTCGCCATATGCGGCATACTCCTTATATTCCTTCCAGTTTTTCACCTCGTTGTCGGGCATGCAGCGGAACACAGATCGATAAATCTTAGTGTTTTTCTCAGCGACGGCTTGCCATGTGTCGAGGTAGAAGCCATCGATGATCGGGTCTCTCATGCAATCATTGTCGATGTAGATGCGCCTGAGGTCTGGAACGGATGGATGATGATGCTTCGAGGTTTCGCTTTCTTCTCTAGACGCGGTCAAACCAGTGCCGCCGGTCTCAGACTCGCGACTTGATGACCCAGACAACCCATGCCCCTGTGACGGGATATCCGTATTAATCTCGGAGTCGCGATTTGTCTCACCAGATGTTTCAGGTCTGTCCTTGGGGGTCGAAAGTGTTCGAGAGGGCTTGTGCGATGATGACTTCGGCCGTTCAATAGTACCCTTACCCTCTGAGGCGATGGGGGAGAGCAAAGCTTCTCTTCCATTGGCTTCCATCGCTGAATCTCGACCAACTCCCAATCCGGCTTGAATAGCCGCTGTCAGATGATCAGGGCCATCACCGCCCACGTCCTTCCGATGATCAGGATTTTCAGTAACTCGCGGGTCGGCAGTGAGCTTGCGATTGGATTTGAGATTAGGGTTACTACCTTGCTCCCAATCGACATCATGATTAAAGCTATACATGGCTTCAGAGCGAGAAAGGAACTCATCCTGGACACGATGCCGGCGCTCAACCATTTCTCTCTCATCTTGTCGTTCAATGGCCGAGGACCCTGAACCTCTTCGCTCTTCTCGGTTATCAGCTTGGTGATCAACTCCTTCGGCGACCTGGATTTTGCGTAGCTCTTCCTCAGTAGCGAAATCGTGTTCCATAAGCTCATCGACATCAATTCCGAGATGCTCTCTCATCAGACGCATACGCAAAGTGTGCGGGAATCGACCGACAAGGTACGGCTTGCCATTCATGGTCGACATGATCATATCGGTGTCTCGCACGATAGACGCAACCTCTGAATCACGCGAACCTAACATAGATCGTTCGTTGATGTTCGCGGAGCCAATGATAGCAGCACGATCGTCAACGACCATGCATTTGGCATGAATGTAAAGTTGCTCAGTAACCAATTGCTTTTGTGGTCCAATCTTGCCCCAAGTTCGCAAACTGTAGAACTGGATATAATCCTCGGGTTCGATTCCCAGAGCACGGAGGCGGCCGAAGATCGATGTTTCTCCACGGCAGATGCTACGGTATTGACACTGCATAATGAGGCGAACACTTGTACCACCTTCGCTGTCCACAGTATTTTGGAAGCCCGGCATGAGGGGAATGACAATGACAGCGCGCCATGCTTCCTCATTCTTAGCTGCTCGGACAATACGCTCAACCAGGGCATCTCCAATGAGATTCTCAATCTTGCGTCCATCAATCTCGCAAGTGCTGATGAAGAACTGATTCTCGATGTAGACGAAATGTTCAGATTCTTCAATCAATTTCACGTAGGCATTCATGATGCTGTGTTCAGTGACATCGGGTGTTCCCGTCGACCACATGCTGCTAGACCGGAGTATTTGTACCTCACATGTGCCATCAAGACCCAGAGCTTCCAAATCTGCGGGGTTGAAATCAGGTGGCGGCAAGAGGAATGGCGTCGGCCGCGTGGGCTTCCGTTGGCGAAGAATATAGTTCCACCGTTGCACGAAATGACGAGTAAGATCCCGAGCAGGCTGGCCCACGACATGCATGGAAATATCGTGCCATGGCATTCGCGGCACGACATTACGGTCGTACATCTCCTCATAGGGCTTGTCAAGGTCATAGAAATCTTGGATTCTGGGATTGGAATAGTCCTTACCGGGCCAAAGTTGACAATGGTCTGCATCTTTGGGACCGTCAGTGGTTTCAAACCCAGTAGGTTTGTCATCGGTTAACTGATGCTGAGGAGTATCCCAACGCCCAAAGCACAGATCAATGCCACCGACAAATGCGATAGTATGATCAATAAGACAGAGCTTCTCATGGTGGGCCCAGAAGAAGGTATTTTGTCGGAATTGATTTGGTGATCGCTGAACAAAGATATTGGGATGGAGATCGAGGAGAGAGAACTTGGAATACTCCGAGTCAATGGGAATGGCGGAGTTGATGTTGCGGTACATAATGACAAACACCTTGACACCTTCTCGAGCTTTCTGCTGCAGGAGACGATCCAGGCGCCATTTCTGGCTGATGGCAGCAGGGCGACGCATGTACAGCTCCGGACTCAGCCACCAATCATGGATATAGATAACGTCCTTTGCCTGGTTGATTGCTCGTGAGACAACCCACATATGGTCTCGTGCGTCAACCAACCACTGCGCAAAGCAATTTTGTCGCACAGGCGCAAAACTATCAAACCGATTCGGATGCATCCAGGGGGTATTGGCAACCATGAAACGGATCGAGTCTTCGAACTGTTGCAATTGACGCTCATTCCGAGCTAGTAGTTTGAGCTTGCGTTCAGAGTTCTCAAGGCGGAGGGTGTGGTGTTGAGGATGTCTCGCAGATTGCTTTGCAGACTTGGCAAGATCCTTCGGATGTTGATTGCGTAGACTCAATTTCGGTGTCTGGATCTTGAAATGGGGATCCACCAAAAAGACATCGTAAATGTTCATCTCTTCAGGTGAATCCACGCAGACTACGTAGCTGTGCCTGACCAAAAACCATTTGGGCCAATGGCGCTTTTTGACCAAAGAAGGCGTGAGGGCTTTGCGGAAATCAAGACCTTTGGAGGATTGGATGATCAAGAAACCTTCTTTGCCATGATAACTGCCTTCAGCGGCCAGGCGGACGCCCAGAGCAGATAATTCCAAAAATTTACACAAGCGATTGCTGTCAGCCCTGAATATCAGGAACCTGATCATCTTTTGCAAATAAAGCTCGAGCTTCTTCCGCTGCCTGCCAGGGTATGTTTCTTTTCTGGCACCCCCTTCGTGGGCGGAGGAAGGCCCTGCGGCCGAGTCTCCTTCCGGGTTGGTGATACTGGATTTTCTGCGGGCAAGTGGACCAGAGACTTTACGCTGGTGTGGTTGTTGACTTTGCTTTTTCTTTGTCGAAGGCCTCTCTGTCCCACTCATGCCCTCTGCACCGGTCTCATAACCACCTTCTTCATCCTCATCCTCGAATTCGCTTTCAAGACCTCGCACGCCTCGCATGTAGGGGAACGCACTTCTGGGGAAGCGAGGGAGACTCGGGCTGTTTTCGCTCGTACGTAGCTGAATGTACTTTTGAGTCCCCAGATGAAGCTTATACTTGAGATGCAGATTGGCAAAATCCCTCAGCGTGCGGAAGATGATCCATTTCATACGGGTCATGCCGCTTCCGTATTCCATTTCAATCCGGAAGACTAGATGACGATCGCCGGAGTGAGAGTCAATACGGCTGTCTGTGACTCGAACCTTCAATTGCTCCAAGAGAATCGGGATCCTCTTGCTGCCATGTTCATCTCGTTGGAAAGCACTAGCCAGGATAAGCGCAGCAGGCACAGCCGAAGCAAGTTCAGCCAGTAACTCTGCGGATTTTTTATTGTCCACAGCGTTATCTGGCCTTCGTCGTTGCCCAATGAGCTTGAGACCAGCCTTGATTTGCTTCCATCGTTGAGCACTGGCACTTGTGCCACGTTCAGTTCGATGGCGTCTCCAGCTCGCTGTTAGGCTTTCATCATTTCCAGATGGCCCGCCAAACCCAGTCAGTCGTCTCAAGTTGCTCGGCCGCTGTTCGTCTTGATTGGCATCCGCGTCCCGGTCAGTATAACTGGCACCCCGTGTATTAGCCCATGGACGGCTTCTCATCCGCCGACTGAGCCTCTCACGGCCTTCATCTTCCGAAACGCCTTCCCGTGGTTGGGGCATGAAGTCCGTCGTGCTCGCTCTTCGGGGGAACAGATTAGTGCGATAGTTCTCGAATGGCGCAAACGAAGATGAAAAGTGAAACGATGGCCTGCGCGTCGTTTTGGGCGTTGTAGGTGCCGTGTAAGGACCACCTTCTTCCTCTCGTTGTTTCCGCCGCCGTGACATTTTTCTTTTTCCCGGGGCTCACGTTGCTCGCCGCCGCTCTCCTCCGCGTCAGCATCGATCTCACTTCCTTCTTCTTCCAGGGGCTCTGGGAAACGGAACTCTCCCCTTTCCGATCCAGGTGTAACCATATCGCCTGGGGCCGGTCGGAAGTCCGCACTGGCACTACTTGGAGATCGCGAGTGCGACGCAAATGCGGGCGTAGTAGCGAGGGACTTGAGTTTGCCAAACAACGACTGTTTCCCCTTCGGACCCTGATCATCATCGTCGGCATGTTGGGATGCAGGTCGAGATTGCGGCCGGGACTGAGATATGTCGGGAGCCTCGTTGTCTGTATCTCGGAATTGTACACTCTGGGCACGGGATGGAGGAGACATTCCAGGGTTGGACGCCTGATGCTGAGGGCGACTCCATGGTTGGGGGTCTTCGGTTGACCGGTTTGGCGGTCGAATGCTCAGTGATGACCTGCCCCTCGGTGAGCTGTGTTTCAGGGACGATGAACGCGCATTTTCCTTGTCGCCCAGGGTTCCATCTGCTTCCTTATCGTCTGTGGGTTGGGCCTGGTTGAAAGAGGCCGGTTTCTTGGATTCGGTCGGAGGAGGGAACTGCGGCGCTGAGTTTGGTCCATTGGAACTTGTAAGGGGCTCTGGATTCTTTGCTTCAGCCTTCAGCGAGCCAGTTTCGACGTCCTTGTGAGCTGAAGAGGCCGACATGTTGGTGCTAATGCAAGGTAATTATCAGTTGCCGTCCAGGGGGTGGGGGAGTTCAGGAACATTACATTTGGATCAATGACCTGGCAAAAGCTGACCAGCATTCGTCATTATCCCAATGAGAAATTTAGGGAACTTGGATAAAGGGAGGAGACATGAACACCTTGTTGACATTAAAGGAGCTTTAGATAAATTAGTTTACAGTGGAGTCGCGCCCCAGTTTGCTGGCCTCCGACTGGAGACCCGGTCCCAAGCGGGCGGTCAGATTTTGGGAAAAAAGGGGGCTTAGGGGGCGCTATATAGTACGATTATGGAGTACGGAGTATAGAGGACGGAATACTGTTCTCAATGACAAGGTACGCTATAGAATATTGCACCGATCAGGAGGATGTAAATGTGCTATCCCATGATAGAGTAGGGAGAGATTCACATTGATGTACATAGTGGCATATAACATATACCATGAGTAGCTGGGAGAACGAAATATAAATTTGGAAAAAGCGAAAGAGAAAGAGAAAGAAGAAGAAAGAAAGAAAAAAACTCATCGAGATAATGACCTGGGACCTCTACTATATACATAAGTAGGGGAACTCCCTGAGGCTACTCCGTACTTCCGTCGCCTCGGCTTTTTGTAGTATACGGAATACCCGAGTCGCCTTTAACAGAGAACCATTGAGCTATTCCTCCCCACCATTTAAACCCCTCTCTCGACCATATCTGCATCCCACACCCCCCAGTTGCTACCACCATTTTCTATCAACCCTCACAATGTCCGACGACCCGATCAAGTCCTATGATGATTCAGGCCGATCCAGCCCGATCTCCATCTCCCAGACTGTCTACGCAATTGCTGGTATATCAGTGACCGTCTTCGGATTGGAAGAGCTTCATGAAGAAGCCTCGGAGGTCGCATGTCTATGGCTTCTGCATCCCAGATTAGCTTCTCAAGCACGTATGACAAGCATTGCCAACTCCGTCCTTGCCGACTGGAACACCAGAAATAAAGGAAATCCATCGGCCAAGGGCCTGATTGCTGTTGCATTTGATCAGCGAAACCATGGGAGTCGGGAAATTGATCCTCTTGCCAATAAGGCCTGGAGACAGGGCAATCCCCGACATGCGCAGGACATGTTCTCCATCTTCCGTGAGTGACAGAATACCTGGGTGAATCATAAGATATAAGATTCTAACTAAATCTAGAGGGCACTGCAAGAGATACATCGTTACTTATGGATTACCTTGCTTCCTACACATTCCCCAATGGCGAGCATCAAATCACCGAGAATCTAGTCCTGGGAGTCTCGCTGGGTGGACACGCGACATGGAGCTGTTTACTGCATGAGCCTCGTGTCAGCGCCGGCGTGGTCATTATCGGCTGTCCGGACTACATCAATCTGATGGCAGACCGTGCACGACTCTCAAAGCTGCCATCATGGACCAAAAGTGACCCGCCCGGCGCCGAGGTACTTGGATCGGAAGCTTTGCCGACTTCGTTCTTGGAGACTGCTAAGCAATATGATCCTGCCGGTATGATGCTGCAGCATGTGGATTGTGGGCCATCAACCAGTCCTCTGCGCGAGGGGCCATTGCCGCAGCCTTCGGAAAAAGAACAGCAGGTGCTCCGGCCGATTCTGACTCGTGCCTTGGCTGGTAAACGCATTTTGAATCTGTCCGGCGGTGTGGACAAGCTCGTTCCTTATCATCGGGGAAAGCTATTCCTTGACTGGTTCAAGCAGACGATCTCGCCCGATGGGTGGTTCGGTGATGGCGGAGTGTCATTCGAAGATATCATTGACCAGACGGCAGGCCATGAGGTCACTGCGAAAATGATCGATGAGGCTGTTCGGTTTATCAGCGAAACCTTGGCCGCAGGCCCAAAAAAAAGCCGAGCGACGGGGCTCGGTGCGAGAGTCGAAGATCTGAGTGTCGATGAGTGTAAATGTTTCACTTCTAGATAGAAGTTAGATGCGATTATGAAAGAACCTTGAAAGAACCTTGATGAATCCGTTGCATCTGCAGTTGACATAAGAAAGAGCCCAAAATCTACGATAACCGTAGGCTGTAAATGGACAGCATGAATGTTCCTGGAAATTTGGATCATCCGGTCTACATGAGCATGGCTCATTCATTCAACCAAATCCAAGGTCTGCGCTCCACGAGTAGAGGCAGACCAGATATGCATGACAAGCATTTGAAAAAATCCTCCTTATGGTATTTGTTTAACACACTGATGAAATCGTAAGGGCATTCGGAGGCCATATGCTATGCTGATTGCATACAAAAAAAAACCCTTTTTATTTTCGACCGCACGAACCGACTTGGTTTCGGTTCGGGCAGGTCTCATTTTGAGTTCCGATCGTCCTCCATGCTGGCGAACGAACACAGCTAGGGCTTCAAATTGCCCCTATTCACCCAGCCTTCTCCAGAAATCTCGACGAATCAACGCTTATGCGACGAGCTCAACAACACCACCGGCGGCCTTGATCTTCTCCTCAGCATCGCGGCTGACGTAGCGGGCACGGACGACGACGGGGATCTGGGGGAGACGGCCCTTTCCGAGGACCTTGGAGTAGCCGAGGGGCAGGAGGTCGATGACGGGGGCGACATCGGTCTTTTGACCGCTCAGGTAGGCGTCACGCTGCTCAGCGGGGACGAGAGACCAGAGCTGTGCGGGAGAAGAAAAGGCCAGTTAGCGAAATGATCAATCCCCATGAATCCTATTTTCCATATTCTTCATCTTGTAGATCGGCATCCCTCCTCTTTGCATGCTATCGCTCTTTCATACCCAGCCCCGATCGACAATCTCTTCCTTTTCAAATTCAATCGACTTGTAGGATGGAACGTACCTTATCGACGTTGATGGTGGGCTTCCAGAACTGCTGGTTGGTCTTGTGGAAGTAGCGCATACCGACCTTACCGAAGTAACCGGGGTGGAACTTGTCGATGTTGGTACGGTGGTGGTGCTGACCACCGGCCATACCGCGACCACCGGGGGACTTGCGGTGCTTGCCGACACGACCGTAACCGGCAGACACATGGCCGCGGCTGCGAAAGATGAGAGGTTAGTGATACGTTGGTGTGATATTGCGACGGGCTATGACGAATTTGGTTTTTCTGGTCGCGATCGACGAGAAAAGAATCCGATTCAGACGGCACAGGAAAGGGTGTCGACTCACTGCTTCCGGGTGTTCGAGAAACGGGTAGGCATCTTGTCGGCGGGGGTGTTTCGACAAGACCGTTGATGTTTGGCGTTGAAGGGATCGTTCCGTCTACAAGATGTTGAAATCCAGGCTTAGAGTGTGCGCTAACAAATTCGCTTGTCCCGTGATCGTAAAACCCTAGCCCTGGCTTTGTCAGATGTTATGTCATCAAATATTTACAACGACTTACACCGCTCGTAGTTTCTGCCATATTTAGGGCTTGGGAGCGTCTACGAAGTACGCAACAATCTGATGACCACGATGACATGTAAATAGGTAATCATATTATGTGTAATTTTTCATTGCACGTACTGAATTACCCCCTGTCTTCAGCGAAGAACTTAGACAGTCGTTGCACGGTCATCTGAGCCGCTCGCGTAGGAGGCGCTGGGATCAAGCTCCCTCTAATCCAACCGGGCAGCTTTTGCTGGATTCGCGGCAACTCATACCGGCGATCGATCATGACGATGGCAGCATAGTCATTCACATGTCTAATTGCTCTTCCAATGCACTGATTAACTGCTCGCATGCATGAATTTTCGTAGAAGTCCCTCCCAGCCGCCTTGCCTGCTGCTTTCCTTTCCGCCTCAGAGCCAGAAGCCTGTTTGTAAGTCTTCTCCTCAAGATATTGGATTTTAGCCTGCCAGATAGCACTGCGAATATTGGGAAAGGGGAGGCCAATAATGAAGACTCCACGCCCTAGCTTGTCAGAGAAGTTGATGCCTTCCGACAACTTTCCACCCACGATAGACAGAAGCAAGGCACCTGAGCCTGATTCAACGGACTCGGTATATTCCCGCAGCAAAACATCTGTAGATATGGCCGCGTCACGAGATTCATACAAGATCTTTTTCTTCCGTTCGAGAAGATTGAGGATAGTTTGACCGTTCCCATTGGGAATAGGCTTCTTCCAAACACCTAGGACATGATTGAGATAGTCATAACTGGGAAAGAACGCAACAACACCATCTGGGATGACCTGACAGAGTGTTGTTATCGTACGCCCGAGATCGGTGATCTAGTTGACAAGTAAGCAGCAAAACGTCTCGAGATATGGCTATTTACATACCATTTTTTCTGAATTTCGTGCCTCATAAGTAAAGTCAAATTCGTTTCCCATCAATCCTTGGGTCAAGGACTGGGCCACCAAGTTAGATTTAGGAATGACGTGGCCATAACTAAATGTACCCAGTCGTTCTGAAGACACGTATGAGAACAAATGATTCATATAGTCTGACATCTGGTTTGGGGTATGAGAGAACTGCAGTGACCGAAAGGAATTCGACTCGCACTTACAGGAGACATAGTACCACCAGCTAGAATGACAGCCCTAGCATCTTCGGCAATTTCACGAAAGTGGTTGGTAGGGTCAAGGAGCATGTACTTCAACATGATATCATCTTGTATTTTCTGAAAGAAAAGACGTCCCTCTTCCGAAGGATTCATCAGGGGAAGAAGAAAGCTCTGGATATGGAACAGAACTGGCATCGTTGTCTTGTCCCTGTGACGACCAGATTGCGGCTGTTGCGAGGATTCAACATAGCCATCAACTTTTCGGGCAAGCTTGCTCTCTTGCAAATACCGAGAAAGTTTATATGGGTTGATCTGGTCAACTCCCTTTCCGGCCATGAGATCTGACGCTTGGACCGAACCTTCCACTGGTCCCTTTTGCTGAGAGATTGACTTCAGCTGCTCTGCAATGGAGCTCACCAGCCGGATGACTTGGGCAATGTAGTTTCTATTTTTTCCTTTCAATCTGTTCTTGAATTTGCGAGCATAGGTCGTCAGCTGTCCGATAGCGGTCTGTAGTTGACTCAGTGAGACAGCGACTGAGTGAATGCCAGTTATCGCATCCATGAGGTTGTGAGCCTCATCGATGATGACAATATGACCTTTGACGGAAAGATTGAGGGCCTCACGGGCTGATCTCTGTAGCAGCAAGGGATATGGAAGTGTCACAATCTGATATTGAGTGAGAATAAACATTGGGACTGTCAGTGGAGGGGGGGACACTTACCTCGCTGTGTTTGATGACTGGACGAGACGCATAGTAGGGACATATTCCCAGCTTTTGTCCCACGTTGGCAATATCTTCGATGTCTTTGACTGTTGCCAAAGCATGGTCCCTAAACTCAAGAGACAAGGCCTCGTCGTCTTTGGACGGAATAAAGGAGCACTTTTTGTCGGCTGCTCTACCGGCTTGCTGTAGGTCTAAACACTTTTCATTGATTGCGGTGTTATTCTCCAAAGCCCGGACCTTCGGGTTGATGCACAGATTCTTTCTGGACCCTAAGGAGAGGTGTTTCACACGCTCCTCGAGTTTGGAGAATTCGTCTTTGCTCTCTGGGTCGAGGTCGCTGGGGATACTGGAGGGAAACTTGACCCGTCGCAATTCACCAGCAAACTGGCTTAGCTGAGAATGGGTTCTTGAACAAAAAAAGATCTTAATCTCGTTATCTGCTTCATCCTCGTCATCTTTCTTTTGCGTTGAGAATTTCCCTTGGAACCGTTCCAACAGAGCCCGGGTGCTTGCAGAAAGGCCGTCGGAATTGCCCGAGTCATTCTGCTTGTTACGGGTATCTGCATCGCTCTCATAGTCATCAAGAACAAATTGATCCTCGTCAACCAGTTGCGGAGCCGATTCATCTCGTCGCTATTTCCTAGTTGGTATACAGAGCCCTGCCACTTGACTTCCCGGGGAGATTATGTGCGTACCTGCTTTTTACGGGGTCGTTCTGCATTGTCCGCATGTTTCAACCGATCTTCCTCTTGTCGAATCTTAGATAATCGGGCTTCGAATTCTTGTCTTTTTTCAGTGATAGCACGTCTCGATTCCCGTTTGGCATGTTCGAGCATCCAGTCCGGCTCATCATCGTCGCCTCGGGAATTGTCAAAACTTGAAAGCTCCTTATTCCTTTTCTTTTTTTTCCACTAGGACCCACCTGTTGCATCGACCGTTTCTTGAAAGGCCTTTCGCTTATGATCTCGAAGCCATGTCAAGGCACCGCAGATTAAGCTTAGAGATTTTCCCTTTTGGGAAGAGGCTTAGCCCAAGGTCGATATGACGTTCAGCTCTGGGGCTGTGGATTGTGACAACTTACAGTACCTGTACGGAGTACGATGGGATTAGTGTTAAAATAAAAAAAGAACACTTCTAGCGTGCTTACCAGTGGGGGACTCGAATACGGCAATCTTGCTCTCTTCCAGGCACGTGTATAAAGCCTCCATAAACTGGAGCTGGATGTCATATGGCGTATAGGGATGATGAAAATCCCGCATGGTTTCCCGTCGAGGAAAGGATCTCTGCTCTACGGAGTAAGTAGTAAAGGGAATTGATAAAAATAAAAAGCCGTGAGTGGAGCTTAGGCTAAGACATCACTTCAGGGGAAAGGAGAGGAAATAATTTGCGGGTCTGCAGGAGATGGAGTACTCCGTACTCCGTACACCATACGGAGTACGCCATACAACATCCAGCATACGGAGTACATCATACGGAGTACACCATTCACCATTCACCATTCAACATCCAACGTCCAACATCCAACATCCCGGGACTCCATACTCCGTACTCCATACTTCATCCTCCGTACATGCATCGATGTTACGCCCTACATCTATATTCTCTGTCTCACGTTGAGGCTGACAAGCCTATTAATAACCCCGTTGGACCTGTGGGGCTCAGTTCTTGTATCTGGCAAACACCTTGGCGGGTCTCTATTTTTTTTTTCTCTTAATTTCGCCTTTCCCCTCTTCTTGACACTATCCGACTATTGGCACTAGGGCCTGGGAAGTTGGATTGCCCTCATTTCCCCCCAAATAAACTGAATTACAATTACCATGAACAGACCGCCACAAGGTCACGGTCAGCAACGGCCAGGTGCAACATGGTATCCAGGGGGGCAAGATGACTTCTACATGCCAGAGGTCATATCCCCATCTCCTCAAAGGTATGATTTAATCCCATTTGCATCTCTCTGGGATGGCAAAAATAAGAGTACTAATTCATCCCGGCAGAGTGATGCCAGAGGTTCCGGAGAACATGCAGGACAATATTGCTCAAATGGAATACAACACTCACGACCCCCGCCGCGGCCAACAATCCCCCGCGCAATACCAACGTGCCCAGGCCCAGTATCCCGAGCGCACTTCCTCCGCCGCCCAAGGACCACCGCAACACAACGAGTTTCATGATCCGAGTTCCTACGCGCAGTCCGCGACTTACGACAGCATGGATCATCCCAACTTCTCGCCCTTCCCGGTTCTACGAAACCCACCGCCTAATGTCCCACCCACCGATGAACAGCGCGAGGCGAATTTGGAGCGCGCGCGAATGGCCGTGCTCTCGACCACGGATCCAGAGATGCAACTGGCGTGGGCCCTGGACGCCCTCGCCTTTGTTGAGGTCGCCGCGCAAAACGAAGCCCGTCTCTGCTTGACCCAACCGCCGCGCCCGCAGACCCCGCAAGTTGAGCGCCAGCTACGAGTCGACGCGATGAACATCGTCGGCTTTCTGGCCGAGCAGCGTCACCCCAAAGCGGAATTCATCAAGGGCATGTGGCTCGAGTTTGGCAAATTTGGCTGTCCCGTCGATCGCAAGGAGGCATTTCGATCCTACTCCCGAGCCGCTGAGAAGGGATATGCGCGTGCCGAGTACCGGATCGGAATGCAGTTTGAGAGCTCGGGCGAGCCAGAGAAGGCGATCAAACATTACGAGCGGGGTGTTGCGCGGGCGGATTCTGCCTCATACTATGTGAGCATTGAGACGAACTTGCCCAAAAATGAAGAAACTAACATTCTTGCAGCGCCTGGGAATGATGATTCTTTTGGGACAGCACGGTCAACGCCAGGATTTCAACACTGGATTGGATTACATTCGGCTGGCAGCGCAGTCGTGCGACCAGAACGCACCTCAAGGTGCATACGTGAGTCTCATTCTGGGGAAGGTTTCGTTTCCCCCCTGAAATAACTCTAACCCGCAATAGGTATATGGTATGCTCCTAGCTCGGGAGCTCCCTCAAGTGAGCGTCCCGGAAAGCTTCCTACCCCTTGATCTCAATTTGGCACGTGTCAATATCGAAAAAGCTGCATATCACGGATTTGCCAAGGCTCAAGTCAAGATGGGTGCTGCCTATGAACTCTGTCAACTCAGCTGTGATTTCAACCCTGCGCTGTCTCTGCATTATAATGCACTGGCAGCCCGCCAGGGCGAGCCCGAAGCGGAGATGGCGATCAGCAAGTGGTTCCTGTGTGGGCATGAAGGCGTTTTTGAGAAGAACGACGAGCTGGCATTTACATATGCCCAACGTGCGGCTCAGAGTGGCCTTCCGACCGCTGAATTTGCTCTGGGTTACTTCTATGAAGTAGGTATCTTCGTGCCGGTGGATATCAAGGAAGCTCGCTCTTGGTATGCCAAGTCCGCCGCCAGTGGCAATAAGGATGCGTCTGGTCGGATTGAAAGCATCTCACGCTCTAAGACCCTGTCCAGAAAGGATCATGAGAAGGTCGCCATCTCACGTATCAAGTCGACGCGGTATACAGCTCACCAGCGAGGCGCATCTTTGGAACCAACTCCAGAGAATATCCAAATGCCAGATCCTACGCGAATGAACTTGTCGGACAGCCCGCCATCTGCGGCACCTTATCCCGATCGTCCTCATTCTACACGTCCGCGGCCCCAGCAGGGTTACCAGCTGTCAGACACCCGACCAAGCTCGGCTTTCGGCGTCAACCCCAACCTTCGATCCAATGCACCTTCAGGTTACGGCGGCCCACCTCCTCCGGGCCCTGGATCTCGCACCCCATCATATGGACCAGGTGGACCCATAAACTACCGCCAGTCAGGCCCTGGAACTCCTGTCAGCGCCCCTGCTGGACCAGCAAGTCCCCAGCCCAATAACATGATCAGTCCCGGTGGGACTCCTCGTCTTGATATTGGCTATTCTGCGCCAATGCCACCTCCCGGCGGACGACGCCCACCGCCTCGACTTGATTCGGCTCCGGAGCGCAAGCCCATGAGACATCCTGTCTCCGGTCACTCCGGGCTACCCTCCCCCGGGATGCCATCTCCTCGTCTGCCGGGCTCTCCTTCATTCCCCCCACGTATGGAATCTCGACAACCGTCTCATGGCTCGGGTGCATCCACACCTCAGGCGCCACCCTCGGTTGCATCGTCGACTTCATCCGCGCCGCAGCAAAAGCCCGCGAAGCCTGCCCCGCCACCAAGCAAAGGACCCAAGACATTTGAAGAAATGGGTGTTCCTAGTGCCAATAAAGACAGTGACTGTGTAAGCACATCTCCTACCCTTGACCAAACGTTTTGAACCAAATCTAATTGTTGCAGATTGTGATGTGATACCCCGGGCTCCTTTTATCTCCTTCGTCTCCCATCCTTCAACCTCGTTTTTATGTCTTGCATTTTCTTTACGCTTATAATCTCGGGGTTCCAAAAGCTCTTGACCCCCGAGAGGCGAACGGTTTCCAATAGGTCTTCCCATGTTTCCACATAACTGCATTTGTCCCCCAATTCTTTTTCCTTTTGCTTTTTTTTTTTTTTTTTTTGCTTCCTTCTTTTCTGAACATATGATATTTGTTTGTCTTATTTCCCCATGAGCCCACCTTGAGTACGAATTAGATATCAGGAGTAGTCATGAATTTATCGTTTCCAATGTTGAGGGTCAATATTCCACGTGAGATCACTTGATTCTCATTCTCTCCCGGGGGCCATTTGGTACAACATCCTCCCAATTTCCAGGACTCCAACATGGCTCCACGTAAGCCGAGGAATAATGCATCTACTAGTGATGGTGAGATGTACATTGGGATTCTCTCAGACTGATCTCACTGGCTGACTGTCGCTGAGATGCTTCCATGATCCGGGAATACCTGCGTGAGTCTCCCGATCCATATGGTCCAGGTCAATGACTGACTCGCCAACTTTCCAGGCCAACAAAAGTATGTTAGCTCGGATTGATTATTCTTGTGGTGACTAACATTTCTGGGCATAGTCGTCCATATTCGGTTTGTTCTGGTCCCAGGGCTAGAGAGACAGCCTGTTGAACACGCATTATTTAGGCCATTGATGTTTCTGCAAACCTTCACAATAAGGTGACCAAAAGTAAGGAGAGTACTGTGATCTTGTCCTGGGCTTTCCTGACATATATATATTTTTTATATAGCACAAGCCGCAAAGCTTCTCCGGGATTTGCATGAGAAGAAAGAGATCGAAGGACGGATTTCTGGTAAGCCAGACATAATCGCAAATATGAGGATCACTCGATCGAATAGTGTATAGGCAAACAAACAGTCTATCATGCTATACAGGATCCCTCGGACAGCATAACCCCCGAGATAGCTGCAGCTCTCAAGCTTGACATCGAAAGGCTCAAAAGTCAGTTGTCAACTATAAAGGCAAATGAGAAAATGGCCCGAGCAGCCTTAGCATCCCTGCATGCAAAGCCCCGAGTGTCCTCTCTCCGGCAGGACATCAGCCGCCTTGAAAGTCAGAATTCAATGATCCAGGCCCGTCTAGCAAGTCGCCATGAGGGGGACTCGATTCAAATGTCATCAGCAGAGAGAGAAACGCTTGAAAAAGAATGGGGAAAATGGCAACGGCATGTCAGCGTGCGTCGTCGGATATGTCGCGAGCTGTGGGGACATTGCTCTGAGGTCCTTCCGGAGGGCATGACCGCGTCCGAGCTGTGGGTGAGTTCAAGAGAGAGAGAGAGAGACATAGGCCAACATCCAGTGTCAATGCCCACGAATTCTGACAAATGTTATCAGGAATCTTTGGGGCTTGAAGGAACGCTCCAATAAGCGCTCATTGCGGAGTGGTGATCTCTCTAGTCCCCACTTGGTCACATCATTTGACACGAACAACGTACGTTTCCTACAAGAGCTAGGCACTGAAGACTTTCCCCAAAGGGCTTATGAGGCTATGTATTCTATTTCCGATAGACATTTGATTCGACGGTATGCAGCTTCAATGGAATGGAGGCAACTAATAGGAGGCGAACCGTAATCAGATGGACACTGTCATGAGGGCGTGGTGAGATCGTATAAGATAATGGGATGTTCTCTCTGATGTTACTTCTCAATATTGCCCATCTAAATCTTTCTCAATTGCCATTTCCTCGTAATTTGACCTTCCTACTTGTTTTTCCCTCCAAATGTGCCCTGGTGGACTTTCGTGATTCATTGATCCCCCACCGCCCGCCGAGCCTATCTCCCTTCCCCTCTCTCCAATCTCCAACCCCTCCCACTTCCCCCATGCAGGTGTCTTCCCGTCCTCTGTCATCTCGTCGAACCAGTCACTCAGAGATGAGAGGTCGTGCGCCTCTTCCGGTTTCCTCTGGGGCGGCGCCCCAGAATGGACATTCTCGCAATCCCTCGGGACTTGACGTTGCCCGCAGCCCGCCGAATCAGAGCAACAAGAGTCAGTCTAGAATCCATTTCCCAAACCCATCACGGCTATTTCTGGGGACAAACTAACTCTCTGGTTCAACCCTGCAGATACCAAACACGTTCCTTGCAAATTCTTCCGCCAGGGTGCCTGTCAGGCAGGCCCCGCTTGTCCTTTCCTACACTCCACCGACGCTGGAATTGACTTTGCTCCTTGCAAATATTTTGCAAAGGTATGAATTTGGCACTACTTTGAAGTTTTCATTTCGGACTTTCCCGAGGTAGTCGGAAGTTAACGCGGGGTGGGGTCTGTAGGGAAACTGCAAATTCGGCGCGAAATGTGCATTGGCGCATATCCTACCAGATGGGCGGAGAGTCAACCGGCCGACTGGGAACATGGGAATGGGAAGCGGTCATCTCAATCTGGGCGGCCGGGTAAACCCGCAGGCCTATGTCAACCAGGACTCCGCCTTGACCAACTCAGTGCTCTCTCAACAGCGCATGAATGGCCACGAGCAGCCTCGATATGCCCCGCAGCTCCCCTCGCAGGAGGAGTACGGATCCCTGCACGGGCAACCACAGCCGACTTATGATGGAATCCCGACTATCGATACGGGCTTGGCCTCCGATGCCGGCTCCAAGTATGGATCACCCGCTGAAGATGTTCGATTCCCTATGTCGCCTAATAACAACCACCTTAGCGCTCTCGATGCGGGACTCCCCGCTTCGTTCGACAGCCAGGGTATTTCCCATGCTGCGCGTTATGGTCCGGTGGCCGCTTCGATGCCTTCTCAGTTTGGATTGGAATCGCCGCCAGCCCAAAGACCGGGACCAGCAGATGTATTCCGGAACCTCCGTGACATTGGCTATGGTACCAGCTTGCGCAAGCCTTCATCCAACATCGGATCATCTCCCCCGGCCCCCGAAGATATGATTGGCACCCGGTTCATGCACTCGTCGCGCCCTGTCAAGCCACGCATGCTTTCCGCTAGTGTCCCTCGTCCCACAGCCCTCGAGGACTGGGATGAGAATTTCCCTATGGAAGAGGACTACCTGCCAGTCAACCTGCACGACGATGTTCTTACCCCGCAAGAAAAGCTGCGCCGCCTCTCCCGCACCGATAACGACCTGGGTTCTAGCCATCGCGACATCAGTGGCCTTGGTATGACCAGCACCAGCTTTTCCAAGACAGGCTCCCCCTAGCCTCGAGTCCATCTCGCTTTGGTGCATTGTTTGCCAAGCAGCGTCAGCGCAAGGAGGAGGAATCCCATGGCTCCTCATCTTTCCACATCGGGTCTCCTCTCCGCGAATCATCGCTGAACCCCATCACTAGTCCTGGCCTAGGACCCATTGGCAGCAGTCGTGCATCCCACGAGGGGTCATCGTTCATCTCGAGCCCTGGACGTCAATCCTCAATGTCCATGATTTCTGAGCAGCTTGGAGGCATGTCCCTTCACCCTGGTTCCGCTCGCCAGTCGTCGGCAGGTCCTAGCGGCCGCCTAGACCGAATCATCTCTTCTCCTGTCAACACGAGCAAGATTGAGGAGGAAGAGCAAAGCGATCTGGTCTTTGATATGGAGGAAGAAGTGGGCAACAAGCGGAACAGTGCCTCGTGGGAGAACAAAGAAAACTCCTCTTAATTGGCTCTCTTTGTTCCAACCAATTCTCACGACGACACGCCAAGTCCAGCTTTGGGACATGTTCATATGCACCGAAAAAAAACACATCGCACAAAAGGATATTGGAGTTCAATTGGGCAACGACATACACTAAGAGACAACACAAAAGGAGGCTCCAGAACAATACATCCTTATCTCTTTCAACCGAGATATTTGATTCGGCGAAATCCAAAACAAAAGGCGACAAAAGCAAAAGGCTTCATATCCTTCTCATCATAGACTGGCCCTCCCAAACAGCATTTGCTTTTTCTCATTTCATTTCTCTTGGAAACATCTAGACCAGTCATATGTGTTTTCTCATTGCTGTGTTTTCGGAGGACAGACTTCTCTCACCAGCTATCTACTGTATTAATCTCTGCCTTTTCTTCTGACTTTACTTGTTTATTTCCCTGGATATTGCACTGCACTTGAGTTGACATATCTCGACTCTCTCCCGTACTTGTTTCTGTTTCATGATTACACGACCCTTGCGCTCTTTGGTGTTTCTTAGGTGCTTTCTTTGTTTTCTTCTCCGCTTGTGCTCTGTGCCCTAACTGTCGGAATACGTGATCTTGGTCTTCAAGACTGCAGGCCTGTACAAATGGAGATATGCAAATAAACAATTCCTTGACACTCTTGTGGTCATCCGTAAGACAATGCGTGCGTGTGTAGGCGTATGATGGTATTCTTGAAATCATTTAGATATAGGATTAAACTCGACCTTGGAAGGCCCCGTGGCAGCTTTTAAGGATATGTTGTCGACTGGACTATGGAAGATCCGTCCACGGGTAGATTGACTCATTATCAGTATTGGGGTGCGTTGAAGATTAACTGGAATAAAAAAAAGAACCATCCATTCCATGTGCTACCTAATCATACACATTCTTACCTAGGTAAGCAAGACTAAATAAGACGCCTCAAAGTACGCCTTTTGGAACCGAATCATGAAACCACGCCAATATGTTCACCTCTTTTCTGATTAAGCCTCATCCAGGTAAAGTGCAGTCCCTTTCAGATTGACCAGTCCCTCTGTGGTAGATTGAGCCTGAATCTGCTGTGTCTGCTCCTTTGCAAGACGATCAGCCAAAACACCACGCCCACGCGGTCCATCAACATCCATGGTGCCATCGTACGTAGCCTGACGGGAAAAGTCGTACAGCTGTCCCGTAGAAGTAACAACACGTTTGATCAGCGTCTCAAGAGCCTTGCCGGTAAGCGCTCCGGCACGGGCCGCAACATCGGTCTCCACATCAGCTCGCTGGCGTTTCGCGGTCTCCTCGCGTTCCATCTGCTCATCAGCCAGCTTGCGCTTCCTTTCCTCGACCTTCTTCTGGTGCTCTTCTTTGGTAGCAAGATACTTGAGAGAATGGCCGAGCTTCTGCGTTGAGCGCGGGATGAAATCCACAGGTGGTGCGGAGAAAAAGAGCACGCGGCCATAATCGTCGCAGTGGAATTGCTGGCGGATGTCCTCGGGAATGGCGGCGTTGGCTGCATCACCCAAGTGGAAGACTTCCACGGGGCGGGGGGCATTGGGATTGAACACCGCCGGCGGAGCTTGCATTCGGTTTTGAGAGTAGCCGGTGTAGGGGGATGGCTGAGCTGCTGAGTATGGCTGGGCCACTGGCAAGGGCTGGTATGCACCCGCAGGCGTTTGCGGCGCTGCGAAGTTGCTCGGGCGACGTTGCAAGCTTGCTTGGAAGGCCTGGGATGGGGTCATTGTGGGCGGGAAGGCTGGCGAGGGACGGGGAGAGGTGTGAATAACGATTGGGGGTGCCGGTGTGCGGATTTGATGCGCAGCATTTGCCGGACTCATGGCCGATATAGGCAGTGCTTGGCCCAGAGATTGACGGGGTGCTACAGACTGGGGCAGGGTAGGAGGGGGCGGGGATGGGGTAGGCTCGGGTGGAGGGGATTCCTAATGCTGTCAGCTTTCCATCTATCTTCTTCTCGGTGGACACGAAAAAAAAAACTTACATTCTCATCTCGTGGACGGCGGTGAACAGCTCCGACAACAGGGGGCGCATTGTCGGCTCCCCAGGTCGGCCGAGGAAGGTCATCGGTCTCTTTGGCATCCTCCTTCAAGAGATCTTTGATCGGACTAGGGATCTTTTTAATCTTGCGGGGCACATCAAAGAGATCCATTTCGTAGTCCTTCTCTCGTACTTCATCGGGCAGACAGCTGGCCCATGTTTTGATCTTGTTCAACTTATGCTTTTCCTCATTGTAGCGAGCCTCGCACACGTAGATTTCCTTATCCGGTGCGAGATCTCTTGGGCGACCCCGGCTATAACGAGTGAAGAACATCACAAAGCAACGGTCCACGATCTCGTCAATCCGGTGGTCTCGATATTGGCCAGTCTTTACAACCTCGTTTGGGTAGAAGTGCTTCTCGAAATGATGCACCGTCTGCTCAGGGCGGTAATACCAACATGCGTTGATCCACTTCTCACCATCAGAGTCCTGCCAAGTACGATATATCTGTGCGACAATGGGCTTGGACACGTCGTTTTGGTTTTGGATGTGAACCCAGTCGCCAACTTTCCATAGTTCACCGCGGTGAAGAATACCATCGGGGAGGGGGAAACGCCCGTCTTCCATCAAGAACTCGCTGTCGGGCTTCTTCTTTTCCTGCTCGGCTAGCTTTCGTGACTCGATTTGCAGATCGAATGCGTCTTTGAAGATCTGACTGTCAGATTGGTTATAGGCCTTTGCATTCTCGAACATGAGATCAAGATCGCGCATGAAATGGTCGACAGAGTTGTACTTCTTGCGCTTGGACTTTCGTTTAATAATGTCGATGGCGATGGGTTCCTTAGTCTCCATATAGTAGTCCGGATACATGGCCTTGTCGGGCAGTCGTTCAAAATGTGTTATCTTCAAGTGACCACCTGCGCCCTTGAACTTCCGGATTCCCTTCAATATGGTCTTGATGCGGATTTCCATGGGTGTATCCACGCGCGGAGGACGGCCTCGTTTCTTGCGAAGGTCCGGTTCGTGCTTTTGAGCCATTCCACGCTTGAAGCCAGGTTTGGGCCCGGGCTTCTTCCTTCGTCGGCCCTCATCCTCGGAATCGTCATCCTCATCCTCCTCTTCCTCCTCCTCTTCCTCGTCCTCGTCGGGCAATGGATCTGCCTCTGGAATCTCCCCTAGATCGGGCAAGTCTGCCTCATCAGCGGAAATTATGCCCTGGACAGCCAACTTCTTAAACTCGGAGGCGAAAACATCCTGGAAACTATTAGTTCAATTCGAAGGGTGGTCGAGAGCAATAATCCAACCTACTTTTACAACAAGCGCATCTTCGTAGGCCTGTGATCTAGGCCTGTTGTATGTTTGTGCATTATGTGGGATCTGAATCGTTAGCTGACTAGTTGCAAACTTGGGAGGGGGCGCAACCACCCACCAAGGCGCAATCGCGAACGAAATCGGAGAATTGTTTATATTCTCGCTTGTTGATGCGCGCTTTCAAGATACTCAGAGCCATTGGCTCCTTGATGATATCGTAGTAGTCGGGGACATAGCGCTTGTTGACACTGCGATGGAACAATCGTGACGGGTCATGGCCACTGCGCAAGATAAAATTAGCTATAAATCCAACTGGAGGGGTTAGGGGTCAATCGCACTCGTGTTCTCGGTAGTCATAAATGGCCATGACTACATCCATCATTACTTTCCATAGTTCGGGGGCGATCACGCCGTCATTCTCGATGGAGTTGACGGGTCGCTCACGCGGGGGTTGCGATAGCTCATGCTCGGACTCCATGTCGTTGGCGACAAGCGCGTTTTCCACGCAACTCACGGTAAATTTGGCGTCAGTCTGAATCGAAGGAATTGAAGCAAGTGAGTCAGAATCCAGGTAAGTCAGCAGGGAGCCTTGGAGACGTTGGAGAATGTTTTACGAGCGCGTCCAGGTGAAGCTGTTGCTGACTCAGCGAGAATTTGACGTTACGGTAATTTCGTGACACACGGCCTCACTTCGAGGTGGATTTTGAGGGCCTTGGGCTTTTTGTTTTCTTTTGCTTTTGAGATTTCAGGCTCAAAGTTGCCTTTCAAGGTTCTCTCTTCAACGGACTGTCTCATAGCTGTCTACGGAGGCTGCTAATGAAGCCTTGGTTCAGGCACTTACCGTCCTTTATATACATGAGTCTAGGTACCTGGGTACCCTTCATAATGTACCAACTACATGGTAGGTAGCTCCCCAGGCTTGGTACCTACCGATCAATCTGTCTCTGTTTACAACAAGTTCTTGCTTCAATGCTCTCCGACCCGAATAAACATTCGAGAGTTGAGTTAGATGTCCAGATATTGACCTTAACCCTAGAGCAGAAGAAGAGTCCTACCTAGGTAGGCTTGCATTGGAGACTATACCCCACACGGCAAATCGTCATATCTTCACTATCGGTGGGAACTTGCCCGCTTCACACTCCCCTAGCCTCATCCCTACCTCATTTTCTTCGACTTGATCACTTTCTCAAAATGAGGATACGAATCCGTGGGCCTTCTGGCCAGTCAACTATCACCTTCGACGACAGCGCAACCATCAAAGATCTCCAAAACCAAATTGCGGAGAAGACCGGCCTGGATGCCTTTGACGTCAAATATGGATACCCTCTCAAGCCACTGGAGCTTGACAGCTTTCAACCAGAGCAAAGTATCCTAGGGGCTGGGATAAAATTACATGGGGAATCACTCGTAGTCGCACAGAAAGAGGGGGCCAGCCGCGGTGCGAGCGATGACACGCCAAAAGCACAGCCGGCGCCATCACAGCCGTCAATGTCGCAAAGACCGCAAATACCGCAAGAGTCTTCTGCGGAAGACCCACCAGAAATTGCTTCCTCAGATCATGCCGGAACGTTCGTTCTCCGTGTGATGCCCGACGACAACTCATGCCTCTTCCGAGCAGTGGGCGCCGCTGTTATGGGTGACATGGATACGATGGTTGAACTGCGATCGATCATTGCAGGAGCCATTCAATCAAACCCAACAGAATACACAGCAGCGATCTTGGGCAAAAAACCAGATGAATACTGTACGTGGATTCAGAACGAGGACTCCTGGGGCGGCGCCATCGAGCTCAAGGTTCTGAGTGAATACTTCAACATCGAGATCTGCTCCATCGATGTACAGACTCTGAACATGTTTCAGTTTAATGAAGGGGCGCCCACGAGATGTATTGTGGTATATTCGGGCATTCACTATGATGTCCTCGCGCTGTCCCCTTCTGACCCACCCTACACTCGTGCCAACCCACTAGCGCATGGCGATACAAAGATCTTTGAGGCTGTTGATCCGGTTGTGTTGACAAAGGCTAAAGAGTTATGCCGGATCTTACAGGGCAAGCACTACTACACCGATACTTCTGGATTTACTGTTCGCTGCAACATCTGCGGAGGCACATTTACTGGAGAGAGAGGTGCGACTAGGCATGCCGCTGAAACTGGTCATTACGATTTTGGAGAGGCAAGATAGCCATTACACACCATATAAATACATAGGTAGGCATACCGCAGGAGTATTAAACCGTATGAAGCTCATTGTCATAAAGTGGTATACATAACATATCGTACAGAATAATCTTAGATCTCATAGCATGGCAACCTCATCTGCCTCGTCTTCTTCCTCCTCCTCTGCCGACTCCGCGCTTTCTTCCGGGTTACCTCCCCATTCCACATCATGGTGAATGGGATCTGTGAAGAATTCATGCTGCAGGGCGTCTGCGGCACTGAGGCGCTTGGATGGGTCCAATTCCATGAGTCCAGACAACAGACGTGTTGCTTGTTGCTCGCTTTCCGTCAAATCTTCCACACAGCTGGACCATTTCACCAGCTTCTCCCAGCTGTAGCCCTTTTCACCGATGGTTGGAATATTTGTCTCAAAAATCTGACCATGCATGGCCGCAGCGGTTTTCATGCGCCGAGTACCGAATATGCTCGACATTTCAATCATCGCATCGATATCATCGGCAGAATTGAAGAAGGGAAACCGCCGTCCCAATAAAGTTAAGAGAATGACACCAACTGACCACATGTCAATCTTGGTGGTCTGTGATGTGCATTTGAAGAGAACTTCTGGGGCACGGAAGCCTCTAGTTCCAGCGCGGTTCGCTCGCCGTGATGGCCGCGAATCATTCTTGGGGTAGCCGGCTGACAATCCAGTGGATGGAGGGTTCTTTGAATAATAGCTCGTAAGGATTCGGCTTCGCCGAGCATAGCTTTGGTGAGTACAGAGACACGGGCTGGTGTATTCTGAACCTTGGCGCTGTTGGGACAGGGTTAGTTAATCGATCAACGAAGAAAACCCATGCATCATACCTCTGCCAGTCCAAAGTCGACTAGGACACCTTGTTTTAAGTCTGGATTGTAGAGAAAGTTGCTAAGAGCAAAAGAAAGACATCAATATGGTTCAAATAGCACCGGGTGGCATACTCACGTTGGTTTGATATCACGGTGAAGGATATCATGTTCATGTACCGAGTTTAGAGCGGTCAGGAGGGATCGTAGATAATGGCGCATGTCTGCAACCATGAATGTGCGGTATTGGATGCGAAAATCGGTATGTGGAAAATAGGGTAACACAGCGACGACTTGATCCTGATATCGAAACGCAGTGATCAGCGGGCAAACAGACCCGCATCCTCGGAGATCATGCAACAATTCCAGCTCGTTCTGAATTCGTAATGGGCTACTCGTGACGTAGATTTTCTTTAGGGCGACAAATCTCGGCTTTTTCCGTTCGGTTGGCTGGCCCTCGACTCGGCGTCGTTTAGATGGAGGCTCCGCATAGTTGTCTTGTGCTGAAGCAAAGATATCCCAGTCGTTTTTGTGTGCATCATAATGGAGGTCCTCTGCCTTGTAAACTGTGGAAAATGTTCCTATATTTTGTCCCATGAGCGAAATGACCGAGCAACAACAACTGCATCGATCATACCTTCTCCGATCCTGTTCACGAGACGAAACCGATCTGAGATCCCTGGGAATGTATCTTCGAGCTTCTTCATATCCTCTTTGACAGTTTCGTCCACTTCTTCCTCGTAATCATCACTCTCCTGGGGCATGTCACTCTGGGGAACTTGTTCATCATCCTGTCCCAATGAGTATTGGGGTTTAGATTGTGGCTCTTGGAACGAAGTGCTGTGCTGGAGGTCGAACACGCCTGGAGCAGCGCGGAGGCCCGACATGGTTGCTGAACGGAGGGACAGTGCGCGGATGAGCTCTGACTGAGAGGTATACAGTGGGGAAAAGGCAAAGAGGTATAATAGGGAAGGTAGATCGTGTCGCGTCACAAGGCAGGTGTCAATGGTAAAAGAAATAATTGTAATTACCGCGCGGTGACAAAGTGACAATACACCAGATGGGCAATACAGGGCGGTCTGCCGTACATTAAGAAGGAACATGCAGGTCTAGCGGTAAAATATGACCGGCGTATTACTAAAGGCGAACCCAAAAAGGGCAAAAGCCAAACAATCAGAACGAGAGCTTATCAACAAATCGGCTTTCCTCCCCGCTTTCACCTCTTTTTTCCTCTCCCACCACCAACATGGAGGACAGAATACAATTCGACATAAATGAATCGCTCAAGTATTACTTGAGTGATCCCGCTTCTATTCCCACCCCCGATGCGGACCCAGAATTGTTGGATTGCGAATCGGATCCCGATCAACTTTCGCCAGCGCTGATTGACAATGTCTTGAACCCAATCGTGGATGCTGTCGCGGAGAACCCAGAAGGAATAATGCGAGCATCTTTATTTGACTCGTTACAATTTTTGCTAAAGTGCGCCCCGGTCCCTTCCCAACTTGCCCATGGAGGCTGGCGCCCGCCTGGACTCGAATCTGACGAATCTTTTCATACTTGCAGATACTCGACCCTTCTCCCCGCAAAGTATTTGAGCAAACTTTTGGATCTGGTTGTTTCTGGCCTGTCTGTTGAGGCAGATATAATCCATGGAGACCTTGAATCCGATGATCAAGATGCCATTCAACACCACAAGCAGCTTCTAGAGATGTATGGGTTCCTCCTCCAATGGGCATTGTCTGCCGTCGAGGTCAAGGCAGCAGAGAAGCCTACCGAAGCCGCACCCGTGCGAAGAGGAGGACCCAAGTCCAAGAAATCTGCCAATAGTGGCCAGTGGGATTGGACGCCCCAGATCCAAATATCCATGGAGACAATGTGCAAGGTGATGAAGCTTAAGCTAGGACGTATTTTTCTGACTACTTCGGATCGTGACACATTTATTACTCTATTCACCCGCACAATCTATCTGGTCCTCGAAAGCGAGCAGCGAGTGAAGAGTATGGCCATTCGCATGCATGCATTCAAAGTCCTTTGCATTGCAGTCAAGCACCATGGCCAGGCATTTGGTGGGTTTGTCTTGGTATGAATACATGTTGAATAAGAGCTGACCGCGATATAGGCGCTCAAACTTCCATTGTGCAGAGCTTGACTTACTTTGAGCATCTCTCGGAGCCGATGGCCGAATTTCTCCACATTCTGGCCGAACAATACGACTATCCACAACTTTCCGATGAGATATTGAAGTGAGAATTTATCAGCGGATAGATTGGATATATTGCTAACCATGTGTACAGGGAGCTTGGAAACAAGGAATTCAATTCCAACGATACAAGAGGCCCAAAGTCTGTATCAACATTTATTATCAAATTATCCGAACTTGCTCCCCGATTGATCATCAAGCAAATGACACTTTTGGCTAAACAGCTAGATAGTGAGGTATGTGCTGTTTTGTTTTTTTTTTTGTTTTTTTGTTTTTTTCCCTCTCCTCTCTCTCTATACTAACATACTCCAGGCCTATACGCTCCGTTGTGCAGTGATCGAGGTCTGCGGGAATCTCATCTCCGATCTTAGTCGACAGGAAGAACGCAGTGATAATTACAAGACCCAGATCAACGCGTTCTTTGACGTTCTAGAGGAAAGATTCCTCGACATCAATCCTTATTGCCGCTGCCGGGCGATTCAAGTATTCATGCGGATCTGCGACTTGGAACAAAAGTTCCCCAAGAGGCGACAGGCGGCAGCGGAACTCGCTGCCAGAAGCTTGGAGGACAAGAGCAGCAATGTTCGACGCAACGCCATCAAGCTGCTGTCCAAACTTGTCTCCACGCATCCTTTCAGCGTTATGCATGGAGGGCTACTCTCATACAAGGACTGGACTGAGAGACTAGACGCGGTCGACGCTGAGCTAAATGCATTGCGACCCCCCGAAACGCCTGGCTTCGAGGCAGGTGACATGACTCAAGTGGATCCCGAACTACTGGACGACGCTACACAATTGCCGGATGATTCTCCCTCGAAAGCACCCAGGATGAGTGAAGAAGAGAAGAATATTGCCATGCAGAAAGCCGCAGAGCAGGCGGCCACATCCGAATTAATGACACGCCTTCAACTGACGAGGAAGTATTACAACGAGGCCATCCGGTTTATTGAAGTGCTCCATTCTGGGTCGACCATCGTCACTCAGTTACTATCCTCCCGGAATAAGAGTGAGGTCATTGAGGCTATGGATTTCTTCGTCGTGCTCGATGCGTACAAGATTGAGACCGCCCGCGGTGGAATTCGCCGTATGCTGCGTCTTATCTGGACCAAGGGAAATAGTGATGAAGGGAAGGGTGTCCAGACCCATTTAATTGATTGCTACAAGGGCCTATTTTTCGACGCACCGGGCTCTTTCACCCCCAACGACGCTGCAAACTATATTGCCCGCAACATGATCAGTCTGACTTTTGGTGCCACTCCCGCAGAGCTCACTTGCCTCGAGCAGTTGCTCAGCACTATGATGAAGGCTGGAAATGTATCTGACGCAGTCATCGCCAAGCTGTGGCAAGTTTACGGCATACAGAAGAAGGAAATCTCACGAACGCAGCGCAGAGGTTCAATTATTGTCCTCGGCATGCTGGCTCTGGCAGATCCAGAGGTTGTCGTCAAAGAGATCGAGGCCATGCTGCGCATCGGCCTGGGTGGTTTGGGAAGAGTCGATCTTGTGCTCGCCAAATACACTTGTATTGCTTTGCGGCGCATGATCCCTGGGCGCCAAGCCAAATCAAAGGAAGTGGTTGGCATCCCTAAACTCGCTAGTGACCACTCAGTGTTGGTGAGGTTAGTGGCCATGCTTGAGATCGAGACAGCCAGCAAGGAGTGGTACGGAGTCGCAGAACATGCCCTCAACGCCATTTACTCTTTATCCAAACATCCGGACGTTCTTTGCTCCGATATTCTTCGACGGAAGACCAGATTCGTCTTCGCGCCACATCAACGGAAATCCTCTGTCTCTGTCAGCGGGGAAGAGGAGCAACAGCAGCGGTCTGGCACTACAACCAGCGAGGACCAGGAATCCAAGCCCAAGCCAGCATCTGCTGCGCTTTCGCAGCTACTGTACGTTGTTGGCCATGTTGCAATCAAACAGATCGTTCATTTGGAGCTGTGTGAACTCGACTTTAAACGGCGTAAAGTCGAACAAGAGAAGAACAAGGCAGCCACTGCACCTCAAAATGAGGACGGTGCCGAAAAGGACGAACTGGACCTCATTGGCGGTACGACTGAAGATGACTTCCAAGACGCCATGGCCCATATTCGAGAACGCGAGCTTCTCTATGGGGCGAACTCCCTTTTGGCCAGATTCGGTCCGCTAGTGGTGGAGATTTTGGCCAACAACAACTCTTATCCGGATCGTGACCTGCAGGCCTCTGCGACTCTATGTCTTGCGAAGCTCATGTGTGTGTCTGCAGAGTACTGCGAGAAGAATCTACCACTCCTCATTACCATTATGGAGCGGTCCGAAGATCCCATCGTCCGTAGCAATGCTGTCATTGCACTAGGCGATATGGCTGTCTGCTTTAACCACCTCATCGACGAAAACACAGATTTCCTCTACCGTCGTTTGAATGACGATGATGATTCCGTCAAGCGCACCTGTCTTATGACTCTCACCTTCCTCATCTTGGCTGGTCAGGTCAAGGTCAAGGGACAGCTGGGCGAAATGGCCAAGTGTCTGGAGGATGATGATAAGAAGATCGCCGATCTAGCGCGCATGTTCTTCACGGAACTGGCAACTAAAGACAATGCTGTGTACAACCACTTTGTTGATATGTTCAGTTTATTGAGCGCAGAGCCTAATTTGGATGAGGCATCTCTGCGTCGCATTGTCAAGTTTTTGATCGGCTTTGTGGAGAAGGTATGTTTAGGGGGGGCGCTATCGTCTGATGAGCCATGCTAATACTTACAATAGGAAAAACACGCTCGTCAGCTCGCCGACAAGCTAGCTGCTCGACTTCCTCGATGCGAAACGGAGCGACAGTGGAACGATGTTGCATATGCCTTGTCACTTCTACCGCATAAGAACGAGGAGATCACCAAGACTGTCACTACAGGATTCAAGGTTGTCAGTGCCGCAGCCTGAGTCTGACCACGGGGTCTGAAATGGATTATGTGTTGATGTACTTGACGATCGGAGTCTGGCGGCGTTGGATTTCAATACCCAATTCCTGTTCAATATTATATATATTCTTTTTGTTGCGGAGCGAAGTGAAGCAATTAAATCATGGGCTTTTTATATAAATGGGATTATCATCTCAAGTGAAGTGATTCTCTAGAGTATGTCTAAGAAAAAACCAAAAGTTTGCTGATGAGAAAACAAAGACGCCGAGTTCAATGTTTGTATGGTCGCATGCCAGATACGCCAACGTTGCTTGCTTACACTGTCAAGGAAATCACAATTACATCTATGCGCCCTGCACTGTACTTTCGGTCAAGGCGAACTTGCCTGAGCGAATCCCCTGCAGAACATTCTGTCCCTCCTCTGTAAGCTCTGGTCTACCCAGCGGCGTCACGGCACCAGTGAAGAAACGCGGGCTCCACGCAGTACCCTGTTCATTGCGCTCCGCAGCCCGCTGCCGTTGCCGTTCCTCAATATCCTGCTTGAGCTTGGTGGCCTGACTAAACTGCCTGTCGATGATTGCGGTCGTGACATCCGACCAGAACTTCAATGATTCGTTGGACAGCTGATCTTCGGGTGGAGGCAGGCTCTTTGTGACGGGGTGAAGCGGAGTGATATCGATGAGCAGACGAGGTTCTTTGTTGCCTGCCAGAGTGAAATATATCTTGCCATGCCAGGAACCGGAGAGGCGAGCTACGATGTCGCCCTCTGGGACATCCTTCAGTCGACTGACGGTGTCCTTGTCGGGGTTATAGCGGAAGATCACGCCTTCCAGCTTGTTCTGTGTCCGGCCAATCCAGCCTTCTTCCATGTACTGCAGGATCACTTTCAACCCTGTTTTCGGGCAGGAGACATAGCATGTGTCGGCGACTGTGATTGAAAGCGCTCCGCGCAATATCCCCCCGAGGTGGGCGTCTGGGTGTGTCAACTGGTATTCCTCGTTATCTCTCTTCTCAATATTCACGAAAATTCCGAGGTTGTGCTGGCCGGGGCTCACACGGATGCTGGTGCCGGTGAATTTGGCGCTGATCTGGTCAAAGCCGCGCGCTGAGACTCCTCGTTCGGGGCAGTCGATGTAGAAGGCCGAGACTGGGGGGTGGTGGGAGGTCTGTTCAGTGAGGTAGCACACTTTGATCCTTTCGTCACCATCCGTTTCTTTGCTGCCTGCTTCGACGCCGGGGAGGTTTGCTTCTTCGGGAATACTGTCGTTAACGTCCCAACTGCACTAGGGATTGTTAGCAAAGAAGATAGCCAGAGAAGCCACCGGTACTCACTCGGAAAAATTCGCCCAATGTTGAGTTGTATGGTTTACACGGTTTTCCCTTGATGTATTTCTATAGTAGGGTCAGCAAGTGGCCAGTCAGTCCGAAAAGGTAAAACATACCAAATCCTTGGTAAACCAGAACCGCAACACTTCCAACATGCGACCTAGCTCATCATCTGACTTGCCAATACTATATAGCTCCTGGGTCAGCACACGAGCATCCGCGAAATATGGGCACATTTGCTGACCTCGCAAAGGTCTCCGGTCGATCTAAGTAATGCCAGTATTCTTTGCCGTCATCCACAGTTAGCTCCAACCCCTCCCCACGTAGTATGGATACAGGCGATAACCTACCTAGATTTGGTCGCGGTTCCAGTAGCTGCGCAGGCAATGAGAAGCGAACCGAAGCGATGTCTGCCACGCCGACAAACCTAGTTCTTCATGTTAGCGTCTGGGCATGCGGTGCGCAGCGTTACGATGCGGGGGGAGAGGGGCCAATGGAGCAGGGCTGTATACTTTCGAAGGATAGAAAGGAACGTTTTCAGCTTGGAGGAATCATCTGGGGCCTTTTCAGGCGCTGTAGTCGCCGACATGGTGTGTTCAAACGATGGGAATCCTTGGAAGATGGGCGTTCAGTAGAACCGAAGGGGTGGCAAACCAAGAGGTTGAGAGGGGCTTTTCTGAGGTCTCGGACCTGCCTTGGAGCCGAAACAAGGATTATAGAGTCGTCAAAATTCCCACAAGAGGTCCGGATTTGCCAGATCACACAGTATTCAAAAAGGAGATTTGAGAGAGAAGCTCAATAACAATCGAGGCGGTGACGTGTGAACTATTTTTTGCCCAGTGGGGAGCATCAAGTGCTTTCTTTTTGTTCACCTGCAATTTGACTTGATTTGGAAGTGTCTAGAAGTGTAGAATGGTAGAAATGTAGAAATGTAGAAATGTAGAAGAGTAGAAGAGTAGAAGGGTAGAAGGCGTAGAAGGCGTAAAAATCTAAGTGAAGAAATGTAGGAAGCCTAGAAAGTGCCTGCCTATGGAAACTCCATACAAAAAAAAGGGTCACGCCACTACGTCACCGGCCGAGGCGATAAGGAAATCGAGTATCTATGTTGTAGGCAAAAAGAACATCAGGAGTATGAAGTTAAAAAGTAATTATCGAATCAGTAGGCCACGAGAGACAACTCCTGCAGCTGCTGCTTCTGCGCCAATCGTCGCAGCCACGTTCGCACCGCGGGCCCGTAGTCAAATCGCCGTCCAGCTGCGTACTCGTCATCCGACCGATGGGACTGCTGCTCTTCACGGATGCGTGATCGAAGTTCTCGCTGACCATTACTTATTGTCTGCTGATACTCCTGAACCTTGGTCTCTGAACATGTCTGGTATTCATCAAGGGTTTCCTGGGGAATCACCACCGCATCGATCTCTTCACGCGTTAAGCAGAGGGATGGCTCAGGACCAAGTATGGTTTCATTCAACAAAAGATTGGTGGACTGGATGGCCCGTTGGTTGAGGATTTCCAGATTTCTCACACTGATGGCCAGATCGTTAACAAGATCAGGTAGAGGGTCGCGCACGAGTCCCAGAATGGAGAATTCAATTTCTTCTTCTTCGTATGCAGCCATTCGATCCAGAAGATTTGGCTTGACCCATTCCAGCCAGTTATCTTCAGAACATTCCCCTGTCAAAGTGAGTAAGGGCGACCTGGAACCATATTGCTTGGTGTGTACATACCAAGCGTCCGTGGCTGTCGCTCTAGCCCATCAAACTTCCACAATTGGCCCATTACGGGCATAAATGCAATGAAATGGAAAGTAGAATTTGAGTCATCATCGGCCTGGCCCTTGGAGCCTTTTTTTCGGACCGTTGCTTCACTCTTGAGCTGCAGGTCTGAATTGAGAATGTCCATTTTCCTAAGAGGGATGTGATCAGTATTTGAAGTAACAACTTTGGGGGAGGGACTTTCGGATCCTACCGCGCAAATGAGTTATGTATCCTTTTAACAAACTCGAAGTTATTGATTGCATCCCCACGCAAGGCTGGGGTGAAAGGCATGGTGAAGTCTTTAAAAGATCGTAGATTTTCTCCTAGATCAATGCCTGGGATATTGTTGACGATGTTTAGCAGTGCCACGCTGGCACAAGCATTGTTGGCGGTCTCAATATTATATCTCAGCAAGAATCTATAGCTAAAAAGATATGGGAACTGACCTGATTTGCGAACCATAGCCCCTCAGGGCAAGTCGCTTCCTGTTTTCCATCATTATCTTCACGCCAGCGGAAGAGAAAAATCAAGCCATAAACAGGATTGCTGCCCAATTAGCCCCAGGGGGTTTGATACAGATAGGGATCAACATACTTGAGGAAGGCCATCATTTCTTCGTCAAGAGAAACGACTTCCTGAATTTTGACCCCCTTGACCCCAAACTCCCGTAGCATAACATTGAACAAAGCCTAAGATATATTAGCAAAGAATTGTGACGGGTTCAAGCAAACATACGGGCTCTGATTCAATCTCGCAAAATCCATTCCAGCTATCTTTTTCCAACCGAGTTGCAGACTGGCATATATCATCGCTTAGATCTTCCGGGTCGGTCAATCGGCGCCTTTTGACTCTAGGGCCCATGATTCACGAGAGTAGGTGTAGAGCTGTAGAGGTTTAGGGTGGGATTAGAAAGGGTGATGAGATTGGAAAGAGAGATGAGATTGAAAGGGGGAGATATTCAAAAGCTTTATACAATAAACCAATTCATTGAGCTGCAAGAGTATAAAGATGAAGGGAAGAGGTCATCGTCATGTGGACCGAGCTTCTCCCGACGCGCTTCCCGCGTCTCCAACTTTTCTTCTTCTCTCTCTACCTACCTACCTCTCTCTCTTTCTCTCTCTCTCCACCTACCAGCTTTAGCTGCAGCATGCCATGAACGGCACTCCCCTCCTCCCGTCTGCCTTTCCGCAGACGCCGAAAACAATTCCAGGCACTGGAAGAAAAAAGCTCTTTCAGACTCCAAAATCGCAGCTGCGAGAGAATCGCACCGTGCGAACGCCACATAAATCAGTATCCAAATCGGCCTCGAAATCCTCGAGACTGCCGCCCCCTAACGCGAACGATGAGCCACTGATCCCCACCAGTGTGATCGATGCGCCCTCGCAACGACTCTATGTCGTGGCAGTATATTTTGCATTGAATGCGTGGCGGATCTATGAGTCCCTGACTGCATCCGATGACCTGGACTCAACTTGGCTCTTGTTGAAATGGGCTACGATAGACGGAATCTTTTTAGTTGGCTTGCAGGCTCTGCGCATACCTTGGTTGGAATGGGCATTCCCGACCACACTTACTCTGTTCCTGCTGCACGCCGTGGGAAATGTGTTTTTGATGTTTCGCATCCCAGTAAGCTTCTTCTTTTTTTTTCCTCTCTGCTTTCTTTTCTGATGATATCTACAGATTCCTTGGGGTGCGTGGCTTTCTGGACTGGTCAAGGTGGCGTATGATCGCGAGTTGTCCATTTCTGAGCGCAGAGTAAAGCCCGGCGATATTATTCACAATGCGTCATTGATTTTGGGAAGGCAGATTGTGCATATTCTACCAGAAGGGTAAGCTTGATTATGTCCCAAATTCCAAAATCCAAAAAAGTCCATGCTAAGTCTATAATAGATCCGCCGTTCTCAACCCGGATCGAACCTCGCTTTGCCTTGATTCTCATCAATCTACTATCGACTTGCCCATCCGTGTCAACCAGACTAATCCGGTCTTGATTGAGGTTTTGCGTTTGGATCTTAACACTGGCGAGAATGAAACAATTAGCATCCCGGCAAAACAGTTGAAGTCTCTCAAGAAGCAAGCAGATAAGAAACATACACCGGGTCAACTTCATCGAGATTTGCTTTTCCCAGTTCGTAAGACTGGTGTCTATCGTCTTCAACGGGTGGTCGACGAATCTCAGCTAGACGTTCACACGCGCACATTTGATGCGCTAGTGGTATCTTGCCCGCGAGCTCTGATCAAAAACTCACACATCGACAAGTGCAGAGGAGAATTATCAGACTTCAAATTGGAGGTGGAAGGTACGCCTCCGTTGAAGGTCAAATATAGTCGCCAAGTTAACAACCTCGATCGTGGCTTCTCGGTTCTCAACATCCAACCAGACAACTTGCGCTCTCCGCTGCTAAATGGGCGAACTACCGCTGCTCTGTATAGCATCAATCAGCCCGACGTGTCGTGGGCTCAGAGCCAAAGGATTGAGATCCCTTTGAATGAATCATTGAATGATGGCGGAGAATGGTTCTATACCGTTGAAGAGGTCCACGATGCTATTGGAAACGTGGCCAATTATTCTACCATCTTTGAGGAAGGAGATCGACCGTCTACCAAGTCGCAATCCCAATGGTATCAGTTCTCCGTCCATGAGCGCCCGCAGTTGTCTCTACAAAAATGCAATTCTCAGAATCCCTTGCAGGTCGCCAAGGGAGACAGCACAAGGCTCCCCTTGAGCTTCCATCCTGATGGACAGGCATACTCTAATGATGGTCCCTTCTCAGTCGGTTACTCGTTCACGGGCAATGCACAAGAAGTAGCAGATGCCCGGGCCGTTGACCTCAAACACATGAATCAGACTTTTGATATCAAAGAGCCTGGTTTGTATGCCTTGACATCGGTCTCTACCAAGTTTTGCCCCGGTGAGATCCTGGAGCCTTCATCCTGCTATTTGCATAACCCGCCTGAGCCCGAGTTGGCAGTCAAGGCGGAGAAGATCTTTGACCGCTGTGCCAATAACGCCATTGGATTACTCGTGGATTTGGCTTTCACGGGCTCACCTCCATTCTCTCTTCGATACAGCATTGAAAGCTCCAAGGGCGTTGTTTCCAAGGTACAAGCCGTTCAAGGAATGCGCACGCAGCTCGATTTCACTCCATCGGAAGCTGGTTCATACACCTATCGTTTCCTGGACATTGAAGATGCCGTCTACTCACCGCGGGCTCTCAAGTTACCTGCGCTCGAACAAGACGTGAAGCCACCGGCGTCAGCTCATTTCCTGTCAAGAAAATTGAGATCTGCCTGTTTCGGTGAAATGGTTTCTGTGGAAGTGGCTTTCCTTGGAGAGGCGCCTTGGGTCTTGCAATATGAGATCGTTCATAATGGAAAGCGATCCAAGAAGTCATTAGAATCCGATACCGATGTGGCAACCATCACAACTGATAAGCTGATTAACGGTGGCGAATATGTCGTATCACTAACCAGCGTCAAAGACAAGTCTAATTGCAAACGAACTCTCAAGGAAAGCATCAATATCGAAGCCCGGTCGCAACCCCCGCATGTATCTTTCGGTCAGATTGATAAGAAGAGAAGCGTGTTGGCTTTGCAAGGGTCCAGGATTGAGATCCCGTTGAGGCTGAGCGGCCAGCGTCCTTGGACTGTCAAGTACAAGAATGTGGATGTTGATTCGGCACCGATTCAGAAGAACTTCTGGGATGCAAACAGTGTTTTGACCGTGGATAAGCAGGGTCTATATGAGATCAGCGAAGTCTTTGATGCCGCTTGCCCTGGCACAGTGGATCAGTCTGCCAATGAGTTTGAAGTGTCGTGGATTGCACGGCCACAAATTACTGCTCTGGACGGTTCTCCCATTGGAGCCGCCAAGGAGTTTGCTAAGGCATCGGTCTGTCAAGGCGACGATGATAGTCTCGAGGTTCGGCTTTCGGGTAACCCTCCGTACAGTCTTCAATATGAGAAGCGACGCAAGGCGGACCGTGGTGGATTCTCTTCGGCGAAACCAAAGAGCTTGAAGTCTGCCCTTCATGTGACTTCAATGGAGATGGATACCTCCGAGGCTGGAGAGTACAGCTACAAGTTCACGCAAGTGGGCGACAATCTCTACGACAACGATCCAAAGAGCAAACCTTTGACCGTGACACAAAAGGTGAACCCGCTACCGTCCGCTAAGTTCGACCAACCTGGTCACGTATTTGGCTTCTGCAAGGAAGATATCAACGGCGAGGAATCGATCCCCATTACCTTGGAGGGTGTCCCACCATTCTCTTTGGAGATCAGCATCAAACACCACTCCAATGCCAAGCCGGAGATTGTCACCATCCCCAAGATCAATTCCAACCGCCACAAATTACTCATTCCTCGCCGCCATCTCGACTTGGGCCAACACCAAGTCAGCATCCACAAGGTTCGCGATTCGAGAGGATGCCAAAGGACCACTGAGCTCGATGCCTCCTCGGTGAGAGTGGCCATATCCGATGTTCCTACCATTATTCCGCTCGAGTCCAAGGTGGATTACTGTGTGGGCGAACGACTTTCGTTCTCGCTGTCGGGTCACGGTCCATTCGATGTGTTCTACACCTTCGACGGTGCGAAACGCAAGGCCACTTCTCAAACCACCAACTTCCGTCGTATTGCCGAGCTCCCTGGCAAGTTCACCATCAATGCCGTCAGTGACGGAGCCAGTGGGAAGTGCAAGGCCCACAAGGAGATCACCAAGGTTATCCACCCTATGCCTAGCGTGCGGATCAGCAAGGGCAAAGAATCGGTGGTGGATATTCACGAGGGCGGAGAGGCTGAGCTTCACTTCGAGTTCTGGGGCACACCACCATTCGAATTTACGTAAGTCAACACTCTGCATGTGGTCTGCACAGCTCTGCTAACATCCAACAGATACATCCGTAGTTCCAATGTCCGCAAGGGGAAGAAAGCGGAGATTCTTGATATCAAGCACGATATCTCGTACGAGAATTTCAAGACCATCAAGACCTCCGACGAGGGAACTTACGAGGTGATTGCGATCAAGGACAAGTTCTGTTCATTCTCTGCCCAGAACCCGGGTAAGTCGGACAGATGAAACAAATGATGTGATGAGAGTGTATTTTTTTTTCTTCTGCATTGCAGCGGCGCTAGTGTTTTTATGTTTATTCGAGGGAGGCTGTATCTAGCTATCCAAATGTTGGATTTATAATCTGATTTCTGAACCTTGAACCTCAAGCTTGGACCTCAACCCTGGAACATGATTAAGCATAATCCTGTGCGTTTTACAGCTCGACCTGTACGACCAAAATACTCTCCGATAAAAACCCAGTAACAAAGAGCCAGGCCAACTTTTTGTTATCGTCTGGTTCAATAGGGATCAAAACGGCAGCACTCGCAGACCGAATCCTCGACCCATCATCCTCAAATAACAGCCTCTTCTCCCACACACCGCTACTTGGGTTGAGACGAGCATACCACACCTGCGAGGGATCCGTGGCATTTGGATCTATAGAATTGGAAGGCATCTTGAAAGCCTGCGAGATACCGGCCACAACGAAGCCGCTAGCGTCGTCCGCATCCGTGCGGTAAGGATCTGTGTAGTAGGTAGGGTTGTCGGTGAGAGTAGGGAAGGGAATAGAGGTCTCAACTGCGATGGAGTAGTTAGACTCGTGCAGGGTGGAGACATAGAGCTCGCCGCCCATGGCGCTGGAAATGAGAATTTCCTTGTCGGTGCGGCCATGGCCGAGACCATTGTTGTTCCGCAGACCTGTCAGCGCGACGGTAGCATATGGCTCATCGAGGATACCTGTGATCTGCACGTGAATGACGTCGGACCATGTGGCTGAGGGCCAGACATCCTCAATGAGCCGCATGGCACCCTCGCGGTGGAAATGGTCGTTGGTGACATAGAAGGAGGCCGGACTGGCGGCAAAGATGTCGTTGGGGGTTTTGATGAGCGGATGATAAATTGAGCGCACGTGGCGGACGGAACCGGACTTCAAGACGTGGTGGAAGAGCTCGATTTGAGATCGAGCCTTGGGGACGTTTGCAGGCTCGCCGGCCTCAAAGTAAGCCGGGTTGGGCAAGTGGTTGACGGCGTAGATATAGACTGCATTGGCCTGCTCGGGGTCTTCAATGACATCGATTCCATGTGTCAAAAAGGAGCCTTGGAAGTTTTCCATTGCCAAACGGGTTGATTTCATAGTCTATCTTGTTATTTCTCTGGTGTACAATGTCCTCGGGATGACTTACGTTAGGATCCACGACATGAATAGAGCCTTGGTTCCTGACTGGCACAAAGTTGCCCAGTGGGGGGAACCAACTGAACCGTCCGCTCCTGTCATCCTCGCAGGCAGTGAACAGCAAGTTCGCTGGGCGATAGTGATGCAGATCCTCGCAGTGGACGGTGTCTTCAATATGAATTGGGCCCTGGCCTTTAGATAGCACCGTTGGATTCGGTGTAAGGAAGACTCCTCCAATTCGTACGAATTGGCTTATGGGGCCAGCCAGGAAGGCGACCAGGAGGAGACCGAGGCTGAAAACAGTGCCGAATCCCATCATATGTTTGGTTTACCCTAAGTAGGTATGGGAGGGGAAAATTGAACGAGTCAAGGGTCGGAAAGTATCCATTTTATCTGCATGTCGATCACATAGACCTAGACCTCGGCTCAGAGCCACTACCTAGGTACTATATTTCTGTCAGCTTGTCCCGGATCGGATGGTAAATGACAGGTAACGGTGGGTTCAATACGGGGTTTTAAATGCAATCTCATAGACAACGATACAACATATACAACATCCTAGACTTACCTAAATTCCTTAACTCATTAAGCCCTAAATGGGCCCTAATAAACGTGTTTCCAAATAAAGTAAGAAAGGGCCTCAAAGCCTGTAGAAGTGTAGGTTTTTTGACAAAAACAGAAGGATTTGAATAATGTTTTTTATGGTTTCTCTATCTTGTAGCAACAATCCAGATTTAATTGAAATGTGTCGGGTGAGATTGTTGTTACTACAGATTGAAAGATCTCGAAACTTAATGATCAAACGGGAACAGAAGAGAGATGCAAGAGGTGCATAGTCCTTAGGAACTTATTGAGGCCTGGGTTGAAGCAAATAGCTAAGCCAACCTTAGAAAGCAGGCAAAACGAAGCTTTTCATACACTCGCCTTGAAGTAGCCGTTTGTCTCTTCTCTTTTCTCGTATTTAGGGTTGTACTGACTCCTCAACCAATCCTCGAATGTAATCTCTGCTATCATTTTACTCAACCACTTCAATACACATTTGTTGATTGTCGACTCTATCTAGGTATGAGGCAACCCCTCCGTTTGCCATCCGGTGCCAGATCCACCCAAGATTTGTATAATATGTGGGATGTTCCAGGGTTCTTCTGATTTATTTGAATCTTCGTCCTCAAGGCTCGTATCCCCATAGAAATGACAGTGGACCAATGCTGCATTGCTGTTAGTGACTTACCGTTTGGGGTCACAAGTATTGTTAGGTATTTCTTTCGATGCATGGACTTTTGAATACGTGGATGTATCAATGGAACCAGAGAGGTATTGAATTTGACGGTTGAAAGACCGAAGACTTCCCATCCAGACCCTGGATGTGAATGGGAATTACGGCCTCGTTGCCGGGAATGCCTATATGGCCGGAAACTAGCAGGCCCCGGCATTAAGCTCTACTCTAGCTTGGTAGATCTATGATCCAGGGGGTATAAGAAATAGGTCTAAGGATGATAGATGGAAGAGGATAAGATAAGAAAAAGGAGGTGTCAACGGAAAATCTGACCAACCCGATCCACTTCGGGTCTTCTGGTCTTTTCCGTCTGAAACTGGTCCCTGGGGACCCTCTGGTTCACTGGCTCTTCAATACACGATGAATCTTGATGAATATTGAAAGAATATGATGTTATTGTTCTGGATGGCTAATTCTCCTTGATCTCTGTAAAGACTGAAAGTTCCCCGCCGAGTTAAATCAGCGGGTGGGCGGTCTGAATGATTCTGCCTAATAATAAACGTTTCGTCACCGCCTTCCGTGTGCCCGTTCTTTCATCAATAAATCTCTCCCTCAGAATGATTCTGCCTAATAATAAACGTTTCGTCACCGCCTTCCGTGTGCCCGTTCTTTCATTAATAAATCTCTCCCTTAGAATCCTCTACCTTAGCCTTGATCGCCCCCGATTAACCGTTCTAGCTTAGTACGATAGTTCACCTCTAGATTTAATGTATGACGTTATTCCGTCGAATAATATAGAGCACCCGAGTCGATATACGATTTATATAATTATAACTTATCTTCTATTATCCGCGCTACCTACCGGAATACGGTTCTTATACGTTACTCCGTATCTATATCTATATCGTAGGTATAGCCGAAACCGAGACCGGCTCGATACCGTCGGTTATATTTATCTCGAAGTAAGTTATATAGATAAGGTAATTTAGATATTTCTCCGACGGCGGCTAGTCCTATACGGAAGAATAACTCGGCGTTATCCTAAAACGGGATAGTACTCTCTATAGATATCGGATCATTAGTAGGACGGGTCGCGCTCGGGATTATTACCGGCGCGGGGCTAGGATCGGTCGGCGCCCTTAATTTTCCTTTATCTTTAGGAGTAGTATTAGTATAAGACGCGCTACTTTAATAGGGATTAACGATTATATAGGCTAGTTCGGAGGGTTCCGTACTCGATAGTTTCGTAGTAGTCGGATTTAGGTTATTATAGAGAGGAGGTATTAATCGGTAATAGTCTTCTAAATCGATTTCCTATAGGTCTAAATTTAAATACTCTCGTAGGTTATTAACGTAACTTTCTTTATAAAGACTTAACTCCGGTAGGTTCGTTCGGGGGCGCTTAGTTAATCCTCGTACTAGCGAAGGTTTCCCTAGCTACTCTTATATCTAAGTATTATTATTATTTCTATATATTAGAGGCGCGTTTTTTAGGGCCGATACGATCTTTAGGATTAGACCGATACCTTTATTTATATCTATTATACGTTTTCTTAGTCGGATATCGTCCTATATAGTATTAATAATATATAGTTAGACGTTAGGAGTGCCCTCCTAATAATAGAATTAGATTTTACGCTAATAAATATATTCGCCTAAAAGATCTATAATAACCTTTTCTTAGGGTAGGTAGGTTAGTAGAGGCTTTACTTACTATAACGCGCCGATTTATAGGATAATAATATTAATAGGGTCTTAGAAGTCGCTAGTTATATAGCGGCCTCCTAGAGTAGATCCTCCTCGTAAGGGTATCGCTAGATAATTATTATCTAACCGTAATAGTTTATTTCCTATTATTTTTTAGAATATTAAGACTTAGCTATCTTCTATATATATCGTGCCGGATCGTAGCTATACGAATATCTCTTAGGCCCGATCGGTAAGGAATAGGGTATAAAGGTATTCGGCTAGAATCGTATCTCTAACTTCCGTTATAACGTCGATTTATTTTATAAACGTTTCTATTTAATATTATAACCTATATATAGATAGTAGTTTACTACTTTTATTAGGAATAGCTCTTTTAGGTACGGAAAGATAGAAGTTAATTACACTAGATAGTAGTTACGATATACGATATCGGGATTCTTTCGGATCTTTACCGGCGAAGTTAGAGTTACGAAATAATAGGATCTAATAAGATCCTACCTCGATTCGACTTTTCCGAATAATCCTTACTAATTATAAGTAGGATTCTGTGATATAGCTACGAGAGTTAGGCTAGAATAATACTCGTAGGTAGTCCTAATCCGCTCGTATCTATTAGAAAACGTATTATACGGCTCGAACGGAAATAAGGTCTTTAAGGATAATATATTCTATAAAGAAGGATATCTTATTACGAGCTCCTAACCTCCTTATTAAGGATAAGCGTATATTATTTAGCGGGTCTCTATAATAGTTAATTTCTAAGAGATTAAACCTTACCGATAAAGTGGTATCGATATTAGTGTAGACTAATCGATATTTCGGTAATTCTCGTACTACGTCGATCTACGCTCCTTATATATTATAATCGATAATATAAATACCTACTAAGATACCCTATCGATCTAGTCCCGGTCCCGACTTCTAATATATATAAACTTTCTAGTATAGTAACCGAACGGAAAGGTATAATATAATCTAAGGGCACTCGGACGGTTCTTAAGGTATAGGTCTAGTCTTTATCTTATTTTCCTTTCGGACTACTCCCTTAGACGGAGGTATATCTACTACTATATTAAGATAGACTTTAAAGCTTCGGAGAAATAGAGATAGTATTAAGTAACGAGATAGATAGGAGTGAAGTAAAGAGATAAGGAGGGAGGGGAAGTATTAAAATAAAAGATAATAAATCTATTTAACGAAAGGGGAGAGTAAAAGTGTCTAATAACTAAAAGTCCTTACTAGCGTAAATATTTAATCCTTATAGTTAGGTTACTATCCGCTAAAATATATAATAACTATATACTAATTAATATTATTTAACCTAACCGCTAAACCTCCTTATAATTCTTATTTAAACGGGCTAAGTTAAATTAACTAATCTTTAGCTATTAATTAACGCTATAGATATAGCTCCTCTCTCGATCTCTAGTATCGGAGCTCTTAACGGATCTCTCTCTACCTAGGGCGCTCTCGGATAATAGACTCTTAGATTATCTAGATAAATCCTCGAAACTCGTTCGCTATATAGCGGTCTTACTATCGCTATAATACCGCTCGGGTTAATAGAAATTAGTTATCTCGGTCCTAGCTACTTAGGTTTTATCTTATCCGTTCGTACTTTATCCCTAAGGAAATCTCTTACTAATACTAAATCTCCGTCTTAGAATTTAGTTCGGTAGGTATTAGTCTATCGACGTTCCCTTTCCTATACTAAAGTATACGTTAACGCGACCGCTTTAATACCTTCTTAGCGGCGTTCTCCTCTATATATCTCGTATAATTAAAGTAAGTGTAATAGGATAGGCTCTTTAGCTTTCTAATCTTATATAGTGGCTAGGTATACTAAGTCGGTATTATATATATAAGACGTAGGGTTAAATCCTAGTATTAATTCGGTAGGTATATACCTATAAACTCTAACCTATCTAGTGTTAATAGCTAGGACGACCTCCCTTAATACTTCGCTCTAACGTTCTAGTCGACCTAATTATATATAATAGGTTTTTCTTAATATAGATACGACTAATTATACTACTCGCTCGTTTATACCTACCGATTAGGGGTAATATATTAGGGCTATATAGGTATACACTCTATATTTTTCTTATATCCGAAGCACTCGATCCGCTATAAAGTAAGTCCCGTTATTACTATATATATTCGCTAGCTATCTAAAGACCGGGCTTAATACGTAACTAAAGAAGTATTCGACTAAATAGGCGTCTATATTCTCGGTAGCCTAGGCCTATATAAAGCGAGAGAAGTAATCTATAACTATTAGGATATAATTCGTACCTAACGTATACTTTAGTCTAATAGGTCCGAGAAAGTCTATTCCGATTATATTTATAGGTTCTATTTCCTAGATATAAGATAGTAGGCCTAATAGGTTT